TTTAGAAAACTTTATCCATTGGGTGGTCGACTGTTCCGACCACAACCCAGACATGAACTGTCGTAAATACACTTCACCGTTATCAGAACTAGGAGATGTCAGGGCCACTGCTCCGCCACCTGTCTGCGGCGGATTTCGATTTCAGGCTCAATAAACAAATTTTACTATTTAAAATAGTTTCTCTTTATGACTTTCCACTTCCAACAAACCTACGTTTATTACAGAACTTCCGGATAGTAAGAAGCTGAAGGAAGTGAACTCCCCAACCTCGTTCCCAGGGTCGTACTCAATCTTACAAAGCCAGTAGCGTACTACATGCCGAGGCCGATGAGCTCCCCGCTATAAATGGAAACAGAGAATTAATCCCACTAATTTCTTTCAATTCGTTACCCTCCTAAGGAAGATAGGTACAGCAATTAAGTATTTCATTGGCTAAACATTTATTGGCATAATTTCCAGGAAACCTACCTGAGAATGTGGCCAATGGAAATAAATATCCTCAAGTAAGCGAAAGCCTTTATAGGTTTTCCCTTCAAATTTCACAACGTTTTCACTCAATTTAACGCCTGACTTATTCAATTTAGATTGAAAGATGACGTAGATCGGCATTCAATTTAAAGTATTGTATTGATAATTTATTTTCGTCTGACCAGCAGTAGGGGTAGATCGGGCATTCATTTTCATTAATGGGCAAAAATATCTCACACTTTGTCGAGCCTCTTTTTAGACTTCCTGCATGTCCGTATTCCTACACAATAATTATGTCATAAATTATAGCGTATATCATTATCAGACGTCCTCAATTCGTAGATGCACACCCCTCTTTCTGAACTAAGTTTTCAGACAGAAGCAGGAATGAGCCTAGTAGGAGTGGAGATGTGGTCGTCTGATGGAAGTGTCCCTAGAAAACATTAATTTACCCAAGATAAGTGTTGGGTAACCATTGCCAAACATATGTCCCGATCTCTTGCACGTCAAGAGATCGATAGATGAATCATCGATAATTTAAAAACTTACAAAAACAACACGAAAAAACAGTAAACAAAGTTTAAAGATTAATACACTATTAACATAAAGATGCCGCTATAGATTTGTTCAAACTTAAAACAAAAAGAAAAGATCAACAGTGAAAAAAGAAAATTCGTAAGCCGTTTCATTTCGTTAATCATAATATAGCTCTCATTATCAGTTACTTTGTTACGTTATAAATTGCTCAGTCGCAAAGATTAAATCAAAGAACCTCGGAGGAACATAGAAAAATATATCAATTAAAGAAAATTATCGATTTGTATGACCAAACGATGAAAACGATTGTCCATAAACGAATAAGAGAAGTAATGCTTGGCAAATTGCGCGCACCCACGTTCGCTGATTTGAATGCGTCAACCGTCAACAAAATAATGTCCAAAAATCAATTTAAAAATGCTGTAAATTAAGTCTTGGATGCACGTATCAAAACAGAATGCCCAAAACGAAAATGAAAACGAATGTTATTGGCAAAAGCTTGGGTGCCTACAAATTGACACTGAATGCCCCAACAATGAAAAAGACTTGCCAATTTGATCACATGTGTATAAATCATGCGCATTATTGAATGGCTGAAAATGAAAAAGATCAGGAAAATTCGGACATTGCCCGGATATAACATCCCCGGTCAGAGAGTTGTTCGCTGATTTGCAAATATTGCCATCGATCCGTACTATGAAACACAACATAAGAAACAAAGCCAATAAAAACATTCTATAGTTAACGATATTTAATGAGTAGACTATCATTTCTGTCATCAGAAGCGAAATACGAAGCTGTAATTACTGACGAAGCCAATAAAATTATCGCACATTATGCAGTCCGATTCAACTTTGGGCATTGCATTAATGTTTGCATACCAAGTCTTCTCTGCATTCTCAAGAGCGTCAATCGTTTCTCAAAAGTGGGGGACATACCTTGATCAGAACTAATACGAGCGGGAAACGCGAAGCTCTGACGGCGTGGGGTTCGGGGCCCGCGAGTAAGGGCCTGGACAATTTTGGATTTTAGACATTCTGTGGTGCAATTTCTGACCACTTTAACCAATTTGTTTTAGCAAAAGATTATCATTTAAACATCATTATCGAGTTTGGAGTCATTGAATCAGATATTCTGAGCTAAAGAATCAAACCGTAGGCTACAATTTTTATCCGGGGACGAAAAAAGTGGGGGGGGGGGGGGGGGGGGCAAACGATATGATATCCTCCACTTTAAAACGTGTGGTGGGGGCTTGGCCCCTCGTCTCTGCTCTCCATAAACACGTTTTCATTATAAGCATAACTGGTCCACGGGCTGATTTACGTCAATTCCGATGTAGGAATAATTACTTAATTAATCCGATACTTATCATTAGACGCATTTGATGCAGTGTCTTACTGTAATAAATAGTTGACTCAATTCAATTTTTCAGCATTTCGCACCTCAAAAAACTCTAAATACATCGCATGTTATTGATTTGTCAATTACAAGAAATATGTGAACATTGTTCTTCCCTTAGACTCGGTTTGTTCCCTGAATTTCCCATCGCAACCCTGATGATGAACACGCGGGTGGTATGAGGTACACTGAATCAACCCCCAAGGAACTGTTCAAGTCATAACCGTAGGCAATATACAAATACTGCACTGATGACGTGCATGCCCACTCTATTGCTATAATATACGCCTTCGCGTCAGACGATTTACCAAGTTTCCAAAGAAAATGCCGTTCAGTGCACGTAATAAACCTTCCAGAAGAAAAGTACCGTATCTTGGGAAATTTATGACCGCAGACCCTGAACTTTTACACGCCTCATTTGACAGCATATTCTGTTATACTCCCGAGAGAATATGTTTACCAGCTGTCGTACACATCAGAGCCAGTCATAACTTCTGGGTAGTTGAGCCTGAGTTTTTCTTTCACAAAATGCAAGGGTCCGTGCGACGATTTTTTTTGGGAACACATTTTGTGCAACTTTCTTTTCCTCTTAATTTAAATGAATGCAAACTATTCGACATCTCCTTTTGGTTAACTTTATTGAAAAGTGCACTTCTTTAAACATTTCATAAGTTCCATTCTTTTCTGGCAACTGAGGACACTGTTGCTGTGATGTCATTTCAGGAAGACACTGTTCAGTTTAGGAGATATTTTGTTGAAATTGTTAATCCATAATTTGCTCATTGAAAACATTTGTGAGAAAGGGTTGCTCATTGGCTTACTGCCATGTATTTACACAACGAATCACCCAAAGAAAAGAAACTTTGTGACAGCAAAATATCCAAAACTCTAGCCCCGTTTTTGTGCTGAAATAGCTGTAACATTGAGGTATTTACCCAGAATTACATCACAGTTTTGATCATATGCAAATTCTCATTTGCATTAAAAACAAAAAGGCACCAAAATACCCTTCAAAATGAAAATATGGTTAAATGGGACACAACGGTACATTTTCAAGCATTGCATTAAAAAAATACATTGCATGTATAACATTACATTTAAAAAGGTTCCTATCCTTTTCTTTCTTATCTTTGTATTTGTACAGTTTATTAAAAAGAACAACAAAGATTGAAACAAGACCATCCATTTATAGCGCACTGTCGATCCGACGATACAGCGTTAAAGGGTCAAGAAATAGCGTTCGGTCTTTCTACGGGCCGTGGAAGCCAATCGGAGGAAGGCCGTCTTCACTGCACTGAGTCAACAGAGTATAATTGATTTGGTGTATACGGCCAAGATCCCTCGATGGGTAACACGCAATGGGAGACGGACCGTCCGGAAAACCGCCGTGAATCCAGGCGCGGATTCGGGGGGAGGGGGGGGGGGGGTGGCGGGGATCAACCCCCTCCCCCCGTCCCTCAGCTCTGTCAAAAATGTTTTTTTTTAATAGAAATTTATTAAAAATAGTGCGAACACCCCCCCCCCCCCGCTCTGACATCCAAAATGTTAATGAAAGAAAATGTATTCTGTATAGTGTTAATAATCGTCGGATTTGAACAGCGCCCCCATTGAAAGTATGGTTCGAGCCCCTCCCCTCCCCCACCACCTATTGAGTTTACGGAGGCCAAGTGTCCGGACAAAAAAATGTCTACATTTCAGCAATGATTTGCTGATGAACCCCCCCCCCCCCCCGCAAAAAATCCTGGATCAGCCCCTGGAATCGTAAAGGGCCGCAAACGCTTAACGATAGTTTTTGATGCATGTAAATGGTTTAGTTTAGTGAGAAGAAGGGGTATCGTGCACCCTCGGAAATCAACTTCTAATCATTCAACGTCTCTAGATCAGAAGAAAAATGCGTAGAAAACGATTTGTTATGTTAAAACATGTCCCACGTATCATTTTTTTAAGCAAGTAATTCGTCTGTGCTATACCATTACCGAAGAATCTATTTTTCGCTATATCTCAGCCAATATTGCAGATAACTGAACAAATAAGGTGTATAAATCCACGTTTTTAGGTTGAATTTGGTATTGAAGTTTTAATATGTGACATTCCCCTACCTTAAGAAATTCGCTTAGTCGTTAAACCAAATTGAATGTAATGCAAAATGGTTAGCCTGGAAATGAGACTAATCATCTGAGCACGTAGCCTACTCATTTGATTCAATATGATTGTGTGAAGTTTCAATAATGTCATTGCAGTAATTATTTTGTTTAACAAAAACAATCTGTACAATAGCTTTGACAATTGTAATCATTAGCCTTGAAATAAGACTCAAACGTGACCCAACCCAATTGCACGCATTCGAATTGGCTGCATGCTGGCGGTGGTTGGGATGGGGAGGGGGGGGGGGGGAGGGCAAATACCAGCTTGGGCCTGTCGTAAACAGCGCCCTCACATAGCGCCTTGAAAATATATATAAATCTGCTCAAGGCTTCATGAAACCAATTCTTTTTGTTTGTCCGAAATGACCGAATTATTTATTGACTTGCTGCAAAGTATTTAATTTTTGAAAAACATGGAACGATCACATCCAAATATACACAAACTGAGAAGCATTCCATGTCAGTCTATACTGCTTTTTAATTCGTCCATTCATATAAATCAAAATGGATATTCAGAATGGTAATAAATGACATTATTTAAATACAAAATAAGTTATATTAGTACTTACGAAATATAATAAGCATAGTGACCATACAAAACCATATGCGAATGAGAGGCCAACCATTAGGGGCAGTGTATGGCGTGGCTACGGGGAGGATTTTTTTATTGGGGGGGGGGTGGGGAAGAGAGGAGTTCGATCTCGAATATCGGATAGAGGGTTCCCAGACATGGCGCTCTGAAACGCGTCCGAAAGAATTTAAAAATAAATATCTTTGAAGTTGACAAGTTATGATAACAAGTATTATATCCGCTCAACCATCCAACTTCATGTTTGTCTGAAAATAGTTTTTTGGGTGCACTTAAATTTTAAAAAGGCTTTACTGTGCATTTCAAAATAGTTTCTCTCATAATTTTTAATAGGTCAGCATAATATTTTAATATGTCTACAAGTAAAATGGGGAAGTTAGAATTGCTTGACTTTTCTTCCTGTGGGATTTTGGCTTGAACGTTTACACATGCTAGGCACTGAGGGAAAAGAACTCATAGTGTATGGGGCAAGGGGATGAGCCACTTGAGGAGAATTGTCACTAGTAATACCTCCAATTTTAACCATTTGTACCAAAATAATGAGGCAATTTTTCAGAAAAAATAAATGTATTCGCCTCCTCTTTTCATCCCCTCACTCAATAAATCCCCCTACCTTGTCAAGAACGTCCTGGTATTGAACTGTACAGATTTCAAATTCTAGCACTATTTAAGTTTAAAGGTCTTAAAAATCCAAACAAGAATTAACTGGATGATACTCCGTACTGTGCTGAACTGCTAGTTAAAATCACCACATTGTATATGCAATGATTTGCTAAAACAGTTAAGCAGCTCCACTCAACTAGGCCCAAAAACTGTATGAAATACGCTTCATTACTTTATTGGGCTGATCAAAATGATAACAATTATATTTATATAATATACATTACACATTATATAAAACAGATGAAGAACGAATTAAACTAAGGGAGTATACTTCATATTACTTACTTTTCCTAGAACTGCTTTCTTAAGATGGTGCTGTTTAGTTATGACAAATACGGATGTACTGATTGGCTGCTTAGAAACTTGTCTTTGGGGACATGATGAGAGACTCAGTCATCGCCTTCCTCATTGTAGTTGTTGATTGTCAAATTTTGGCTACCAAATACTGCAAAATTGTTATCTCCAATGACATTATTGGTAATGTGCTGAGCATCCTGTTTCTTCTGATGTCCAGGGATGAAGATGCTGGAAATCTGTCCTTGTCCTGGTGATTTTATTGCCTTGGCATCGACTTCATCTGCCACAGCCAAGAGAAATAAAAGTGCAACAAATGATTAACTGAATGCATGTGTACGTGGTGTACTTGGGGATCAGGTTGTTGTAGGGGTACATTCCAAGCCTTCTACCATCGTGACCCAGGACTGAAGTCTGCCTGGAAGAACATGTTGATCAGTCCCTGTCTGACTGTGGGATTCCATGAAAATGTCGTTCCTCATCTTCTACCAGGGGACCCCACTGATATAAGTTGATTGACCTTTCAGGCTATCCCAGCGGCAGTTGAGGGAGGGGGAGGGGCGAGCTGGACTTTTTGTTAAGGTAAAGAGATCAGCAGTCTAAAACATTTACATTTGTATATCACTGTCACACGTATATTAATTGGTCACCAATGCTTTGTACGGTACCCTGCATATTCTGCAAATGTAAGGAAGTTTATAATTAACCCTTGTTTGAATTAAGTTGCTTGTCAAAAAAAAAATTTACCAATTGGCATAACGTCTTGATAAATGGATATTTTCCACTTGAGAAACAAAACCCTTTTAAACTAACTGATCCGGGGATCACACGTTGCCTTTTTCGCGGTTGAAACCTATAGTTTGTGTTTCACATTTCACATGTTTTCCATCATGGGTTATGACCTCAATTGACCCCTGGATGACCTTTGACATTACATCGTCAAAACAACACATCAGCAGCCCTAAACCTTTATTCAGAAACGTTAGTGAACACCCGTTCATTTATGTCGAAAAAAGGTCAAATTTTTGCATTGTAAAATGACCTCAAATGACCCCTAGATGACCTCCGTCCTCATATTTCTGAAGACTTGAACAGTAATGATTTAACCCCCACCCAAGGATCACTCCATCCAAGTTACATTAAAGTCCATCAAATTCTGTAGAAAGTAATCCCTTGAAAACTTATCCTAAACTACATACATACGGGGATACGGTCATACAGAATTCAGCACTGGTATAAAGTGTCCCCCAAAACATTCGTATAGGCAACATCATATAACCAACATACAGATCCTTGTCTTTTTATTGGTGGAACTCACATCATGTGACATTCGTTATTGCTCCCATTCACGCCGGGGCTCAAAAAGCCCCATTTGCCCATGGGAAATAAGAAATACTATTCAACAAATAGGATCATTCTTGTTCCATGACACAGTATTTGTGTGCAAATGCATGCTGGTGAGCGCGTTCAGCATTGCGCGTATTATTCCAAAGAGCCTGCGCTACAGAGTTGGGTTCAAACATTTTTCGAGAAGGGGTGGTTTGGAAAAGAGAAATACATTTTCCACCAATTTTGTATTGGAATAAAAGTTCAAATATATAAATGACAAGGATATATGTCAGTTATATAAAACAAATATTGAGTGGCTGTAAATTGTGAAATGGAAGGAATATTATCGCTCGGTAAAATCTGGACTTTTCCAGTTCACTCGGCTTCGCCTTGTGAAATGGAAAAGTCCAGATTTTACCTTGCGATCATATTCCTCCTATTTCACTCTGAGCCACTCAACATTAGTGTACTCTTAGAAGAACTTACCTGCAGTTGGTGTTGTGTCTAATTTTTCCACCAGATGCTCATAGTCTGTTTTCAGGAGTGTGTTGCGAAAAAGCCTGTATGCGTCACATCCTCGCTTTTCCAGCATATTTAATAGCTTGCCAGTCTGTTCCTGCAAAATTTATTGAAAGGCAACTTGTTTTTATCCAGAATAGGGTAGAAAAAGTATTTACAGATGTCACTATTTATAATGTGAGGTTCGTTTGAACGTTTCTGAACAATTAAAAATGGATTTAGAATTTTATCGCTTATACGTTTAAACGTAAAAACGCCACATCCTTAATTAGTCGGGCTCAGTCCCATGCATGTACCATAGAGCTAGGACCGAAGGAGTCAGAACTCTTGGGCGATTTACATTTTGCCCATTAACATTCCAATCCCTCGGGAATGTCCATAGCTAAAGCACTGTGACCTCAAGCCTGGACCATTCATTGCGTGACTGCAAGCGGCCTTTGAACACGATGATCGTCGCCGCCTTTTAGTTGGTAACCAACAACCTCCCTATATGCTGCATAATAAGTCGTGTCGCGTCGCTGCTCTTTTTTGAAAAATATATTTTACAACAAGATAGGCTTTAACAACTGCGCAGTTGTTAGATGAGAGTTATAAATTCAACTTATCGATGTGCAGTTGTTGGTCCTTGAAGGCGCTACCTGTCCCTGTAATTTGAAAATCAATTGGATTTTTTTTCACTTTATCATGTCTTTTCGGACTTTTTAACTGGCAATATATCATTAATGAAATGTGATTTTTTGGCAAATTTCACAAGTTTTCACATTAAAGGTATAGATCATTTTGTTTGTCATGAAATGATTGTTTCAGTGATGTTGACCACATTGTTAGCCAGTATTAGCCAACTCCGAACAAACACTTTCAAAATCATTCATTTTTGGTGATGTATGACAACTGCGCATGCGTTTCTACCATGGTATTGTCTACAAAGCAATGCAAACTCTTTTCTCTAGCATTAGTGAGCGCGGATCTCTATTGTGTAGAGATTAGCTTGGTGAGCAACTGAGCAAGCTGGCCACCAGGTGCTTTTTTTATTGTTGCTTTTGAGCGCGGCGACGATCCTTTTACTTTTGAAGTCTTGGAGTTCGAACCCCTTGGGTCCTAGCTCTATGCATGTACCTACTCGATAATTTAATGGGAAGGAAGGGTAGTAATTATAAGCAGCACATATAAACTCAAACCTTGCGGTTTAAACACTGATATATTTCACTACAATGACCCCTTTTTAGATAATGAGATATATTTATAGATGAGATTTGAAGGTTTGCATGGTGGAAAGATACAAAGACAAGATAAGTTTGCGGTGGCACCATGTGAATAAATCTCTTTTGTGAGTATGTGTGGTGCTGAAAAGAACCGGAGGGACTCAATGTTTCTCCTGACGACGGGCAGAGCATACTGTTCGAAACGTTGAGTCCCTCCGGTTCTTTTCAGCACCACACATACTCACAAAAGAGATTTATTCACATGGTGCCACCGCAAACTTATCTTGTCTTAAAATATTTATAATTAGAAAAGGTATGAAAACATGATTTATGAACTCACTTTAGTAGTTGACTTGGATGTAATATCCTGACACATATCTGGTGTGAAGACTTCACATTCTATGAGGTGGTCCAGGATTCGGCTGGGTTCTATGTTGTCTACTAAGGCACAACGGTTTCGTCGTAGTCTTCTCTTATCCGAGTCTTCCATGCTGAAATATTCTATCCAGTTTGGGCTGCACTACATACTAATCTGTGTGAAAATTGCAAATGATATTGACTTTGTCTTCTCTACACATAGTATGTGTACATACATTTTTGTGTCGGATCCGGGTCCTTTTTTGGGGGGTTGCTCATTACATGTACATTCAGTGTGCAGTATATTAAAAAAAAGTGTCCATTTCTAGTCAGGATCTCCTTTCATTATTGCACACTTTAGCATTGGTTGATGTATATGCAATATTCACTGACCCAATGATAAAAAAAGTGATCTTAATAAATCTGAACATGCCTCAGAATAGCCTCCTAAACATGTCTCAAATACTGGACTCTCTATGTACTGCGAGCCAAACAACAATGCGCGCTACATTTCCTGAAAAATAATCTTTTTACCTAGATAAAAAAGCAGAAAAATATAAACTATCCTCCCTTCAGGCATTTCGTTAACTTTTCATTTTAAGAGTGAAGTTGGAGAAAGTTTGTACTATTAAAGGGGCACATCGTCCTGAAAATTACCAACAATTTTGTTTCAGATTGTAATACTTATCCTATTTCAAAGGTCTAGTACTTGGAAAGAAAAAGGTTGTCAAACTGTTTTACAGATGAAAGCAAACAAACAAACAAACAGGTTGTTTACATCTGATGCGGCAGACAGTTTGTTGCAAATTTCCCAAGCTGTAAAATGGGTCATTCTGTGTCAATTCAACACGGTTTTGGAACCGACCCTCACAGATGATATTTGGTGTGATGATTGGCCTTTATGAGAAACCCCCAGAACTCAGGCATGCAACTGGAAATATAGAAAAAAAGAGGAAATTCCAAACCACACAAGACTTAATTTGTACAGTGTTTTTACCCCTCAGCCGAGAGGCTCGAGGGGTATTGTCATCGCCTAGGGCGTCCGTCCGTCCGTCAGGTCGTACCTCCCGTCCGGACGTCCGTATGTCAGTGCGGACGTCCGGGCAGCTTAGTTTCCGGATGATAACTTGAGTTAGAAATGTTGTTTGGGATTGTAACTTCGGTAGGGGGTTGCCCTTGGGAGTAGGCAAGTTGGGATTGGTTTTGAGGTCAAAAGGTCAAAGGTCAAGGTCACCGTGGTGAGTTAAAGATAAATGGTTTCCGGATGATAACTTCAGTTAGAAATCAGATTTTGGTGTCAAACTTTGGTAGGGGGTTGCCCTTGGGAGTAGGCAAGTTGGGATTGGTTTTGGGGTCAAAAGGTCAGAGGTCAAGGTCAGTGTGGTGAGTTAAATGTAAATGGTTTCCGGATGATAACTTAAGTTAGAAATCAGATTTTGGTGTCAAACTTTGGTAGGGGGTTGCCCTTGAGAGTAGGCAAGTTGGGATTGGTTTTGGGGTCAAAAGGTCAAAGGTCAAGGTCACCATGGTGAGTTCAATGTAAATGGTTTCCGGATGATAACTTGAGTTAGAAATGAGATTTTGGTGTCTAACTTTGGTAGAGGGTTGCCCTTGGGAGTAGGCAAGTTGGGATTGGTTTTGGGGTCAAAAGGTCAAAGGTCAAGGTCAGCATGGCGAGTTTAAAGGTAATGGTTTCCGGATGGTAACTTGCGTTAGAAATGAGATTTTGATGTCTAACTTTGGTAGGGGGTTGCCCTTGGAAGTAGGCAAGTTGGGATTGGTTTTGAGGTCAAAAGGTCAAAGGTCAAGGTTACCGTGGTGAGTTACATGTAAATGGTTTCCAGATGATAACTTGAGTTAGAAATGAGTTTTTGGTGTCCAACTTTGGTAGAGGGTTGCCCTTGGGAGTGGGCAAGTTCAGATTAGTTTTGGGGTCAAAAGGTCAAAGGTCAAGGTCACCGTGGTGAGTTAAATGTCAATGGTTTCCCAATGATAACTTGAGTTAGAAATGAAATTTCGGTGTCTAACTTCGGTAGGGGGTTTCCCCATTGGTACAGGCATGTTGGGACTGCATGGTTCTGGGGTCAAAGGCCAAAGTCACCATGTTCAGTTAAAGGTTAGTGGTTTCCGGATGATAACTTGACTCTGGCTGAGGGGTTTCAACAGCAACACTGTTATTTTTTAATTTGTAATGGCATTCATGTAAAAAACGAGGAAATCAGCGGATCCGAGAAAAAGTTGCATGCCTTAGGCCAAAAAAAAAGAGTCTCCGGTTTCTGGTATGCGCGCGCGCCGCCGCAGCCATGCGCGTCGGCAAAATGAAAAAGTTTTTTTTTCAATACAAGATGATGTCTCAAAACCGCCAAACTCACTGGTTTGACTGGAATTCTGCTGCTGCACAATTTTAACGTGTTTTTAGATGGGGTTATGATCGAGAATAAGCTTTATGTTGCCTCTCTGGACTCCCATATATTTGCACTAAGTTTAGTCGGGCACCATTTGCAGTCATCAGCCAACATTTGAAGCAAAAAAAAAAAAAAAACCAGGTAAAAAAAAAAAAGCCGCGTCGCCGCACCACTTTTGGGGCAAGCTCCATACCAGAAACCGGAGACTTTTTTTTTTTGGACTTAGAACTGAATTTTTTTTTAAATTTGGCTAGTTAGTTTTTGAGATATGGGTCAAAGAACTTTCGACTAATATAAGCATGACATCCAAACTTTTAAATACTTGTATCTCAAAAACTATAGTGGAATCTGCTGACCGGAATTAATAGCTGTTACTGCAGTGGTGTCAGTGGTGTATCCAGAGGGGGGGGGGGGGGGGGGGGGGCAGATGTTTTTGACAATTTTTTTTTTCAGCAATTATTTCAATAAGTGGTTATAGAGTTCTGACATCAATCCCAAACAAGAAAAACCTGCTCAAAAACCATTACAATGCGTCATGAAAATGGGCATACAATTTGAGGTATGCATAATAATGGTCAGTTTTGAAGAGCACCCCCAATTGGAAGATGGGTACCCCCCCATGTCTACATTTCATACATTTCGGTGCAGATGTGCCGTCCCCCCCCCCCTCCCCCGACATTAAAGGGAATATACATCATTTGCTTTTGCTGTAATTTTCAGAAATGGTTGGAATTGGGGGGTTGGAAATATAAAGCAAATATAGTTACACTGACTTTTTGGAGGTTTTGGGTTCGAAAATGCTATAAAAACCAAGAAAAACGATCATTTTCCTGTAGTCTGGTTCCCTGACTCCATATAAGAAGAAACAGAGCAGTTTACATACATTGGGGAATTGTAAGGTTAGGGAACCAGTCTAGCTGGCTCGTTCCCGTTCATAGGTTTGTAATCGATTGTAAACAAGTGCGATGGTCAATTGGGGCCAGTATTTGAAAAAAAAGCCAGTTGTTTCCAACGCTGATCGGCCGATCAGCGTTGGAAATTGATACAAAAATACCACTTTTCTTGAAAATGACAGTATACCAGGTGCCATAATTTTACAGGATGCTTTAGACTGTCATTTACCAACATCCTATTAAGGTATTTCGCAAAAACTTGGTAGTTCTATTTTTCGATGTTTGCAAATGTTGTATATTCCCTTTAAGCTGGATACACTACTAGGTGGTTTCACACTCACACGCAGGCTGCATGCGTTCTTAAAGACAAGGCACATGCGTATTTTGATTTTCCTATCTGTTGGAGGCTCCTGGTGTGCGTGTGTACTACATGTACCTGAGTGCGACTCATGCGAGCCTTGCGCAACCGCAGAAAATGGCTGTCGCCAGATTTGTCAATAGCACCTTCAAAGCAAAGTTGTACATCATATTAAGGTTCGTTGACCATATCTCAAAAACCCAAGTGCCAAATTACAACTTCAGTTCTGGGGGTTTCTCATAAAAATAGGCCAATCGTCACACCAAAATCGTTTCAATCTATGGGTCGGGTGAAAAATCGTGTTGAAATGACACGAATGACCTAAATAACTCATGGAATTATCTATAGACACGTATAAAACATGACGGGGGCAGGCGCGGTTCTAGAACCAATATTTTGGGGGGGCTAGCACGGTGGATCCAGATTTTTTTCAGGGAGGCGTGCTGAAATGTTGACCGGTTATTTTTTCCAGACACTTAGGCCTCCGAAAATCAATAGGTGGTGGTGGTGGTGGTGGTGGTGGTGGTGGTGGGGGGGGGGGGGGGCTCATGCCAAATTTTCAATGGGGAGCGCCAACAAAATCCTAAACTCATTCACACTATATTAACTAATGCACCCTTGTCACGGCTATTTCTTCTTTAGGGGGAGACCGTTCGCTAGTACATCACAATCCTTCTTTTTGCTAATGCAATTTTTTTTTAACAGAATTTATTTTGGGGGGGCTAGACAAAATTTTTTGGGGGGCTACAGCCCCCCCCCCCCCTAGAACCGCGCCTGGATGGGGGTATATATGGCAATGTGTCGAAAAAAACATTGAGACTTAAAATTTTCCAGTTTGGATCCGCAATGTTTTATGAGCTGATATTGAACCAACCTACATGTAGGCATATATTAGTATACATTCTGAGGCTATTTGCCATTCGCACAGGACCTGTCATTACACAGAAATAAGAGGAAAAAATTCTGGTTCATGCCAAAATTTCTCAATGGTTGAATACTGTTTCCTGACTCCTTTTACGTGCAAAATAGTAGCCCTTTGATGAGACACCCATCTATTACTAGTGGAGAAGATGGGTGTCTCTAGGGCTCCCATATGGACGTACATGTAAATGATGTAATGGACGAAATTTCTGCATGAACCCAAAATAAAACTGGTTCCTGCATTACCTTTTGATCCAATAGGCACACACAGTGGGTACCAGCCAGCTGAAGCACGTGCACAAGGGCATTACAAAAATGACCGTCCATGGATTAAATTTCATTTAACTTAGTGGCTATTGTTACGACAGCCGTAAAGTAATGTTTAAATACTGCCGTTACGACACTAAAAAATGCAATGCGAATGTATTATCAAATTTACAACTGCCAAATCATTCAGAATGCTTCGGTAGCTCGAATGCTAGTCCAAGTAACTAGGACTCTACGAATCGCCCTTTTTAACATTTAGACATGGTCGGGCGATAGGAGAGTCCTAGGTACATAGCCTTATTGCGTTACTAATAACTTTTTTTGACCATTTTCACTCGTACCCCCAATCAAAATCTTCAGATTTCACCCCCAAAACAGTCTTCAAACTGCCTTATGCGACTCTGTAGGCTTCAGTGGGAATTGGAAATACAAATGGTGGTGGTTAGGTTTACATACCTTTTGAAAGAAAAGAGAAATTTCACCTTCAATTCGGGAAACATCCTTGTCACAAACGCCTTGTTTGAGGCTGCCAATTTGAATTCAGGAAAAGCATCAGACAGACCAATCACAGGGCACTTTGATTGGTCACCTGGATTGGTGACCAATCAAAGTGCCCTGTGATTGGTCAGGTGACAAATCAAAGTGCCCTGTGATTGGTCTGTCTGATGCTTGCCAGGAAACAGTCTAGCCAGCCATGCACCAGTCTACTTTTCCTGAATTCAAAATGGCAGCCTCAAACAAGGCGTTTGTGACAAGAATGTTTCCCGATTTGAAGGTGAAATTTCTCTTTTCTTCCAAAAGGTATGTAAACCTAACCACTACCATTTGCAATTTCCAACTCCCACTTAAGCCTACAGGGTCGCATAAGGCAGTTTGAAGACTGTTTTTTGGGTGAAATCTGAAGATTTTGATTAGGGGGAACGAGTGGAAATGGTCAAAAACTGTTATTAGTAACGCAATAAGGCTATGTACCTAGGACTCTACTATCGCCCGACCATGTCCAAATGTTAAAAAAGGCGATTTGTAGAGTCCTAGTTACTCGGACTACTCGAATGCCTGGTTTCACGTTAGATTGGATCCAGGTTCGAAACCCCTGCCGCGCTACTCAAATTCGTTTTTTTTAATAGAGTTCTTAACATTCAGATTTTCAATCAAATTGTTCCTTTTATTTAAGTTGCTGATTTCATTTTTTTTTTTTTAAATCAGTGGTTTTCGAGAAATGTTTTAAAGCTGGAGTCCATCATTTGCAGTTATTTCCAAAAAGTAGCTGGCGTAATTCTTGTTGAAAAACATACTTGGTTGAAAGATAGTAAGGGGACTAAACTCCCTGTCATGCCTGTGAAATTATTCTTTCTGGAAAGCTGTCATTTTGAAGAAATCAACAAAAGAAGGCCTTTCCAACGGTGCTTCTTAAGACACACCGTAGGAAATTTAAAATTAGTAGCTCGTTTTGTTTTGCAGCAAAGCGCCGCAAGCATTGGCACGACGCACAACGCACACGCCCGTGGTTGCTGTAATTCGTCGGATCAGTGCGCGACATCGCGTAGCTGCAATCGGCTCATTGAGAACGTGTCTCGGACGCTGAATTCAGGCCCAATTCAAAACATGATTCAGCAACTTTTGATTTGAAAAAGGCTGTTCTTCTCAGAATATACAGCTGAAGCTGAGCTGAAACTACGTGGAGCCTCATAGTTCTAGGAGTAGAGCTGAAACTTCATCAGGTATCAGGTTAGTTGTTCAATACCCTTCTTTAGAATTTGAGCACGTCTGTTGCTTGAAACGAACAAAATGCACAAATTACAAATGATGGACTATACCTTTAAAAAAGGGAAATAAAGTCCGAGAACATTTGGTTGATAAGAAAATGGAAAAACCTAATTATTTTTGAACTTCTGCTTCAAGTTTACAATTTTTTCAGTCCAAATTTTGTTTGCTATTGGTAACATGTTCATGAACGGGTGCAGGCCAGCTACACTGGTTCCCTTACCTTACAATTTTCCGGCATGTATAAATTGATCCATTTTATCCTTAGTGGAGTCAGGGAACCGGACTACTTGAACATTTTTCGTTTTTCTTGGTTTTTCCAGCATTCTCGAACACAAAACTTCAAACATGGCAGTGTTACAATATTGTTATCTATTATACTAACCCTTCAAGTAGTTCATTTCTGAAAATTACAGCAAAAGCCAATGATGTACATTCCCTTTATATTATTACGTTAGGGAACTAGTTCTGTAACGACACGAGCAGTTGAAAGTTGGTAGCATAAAATGGCACGACAGTAGAGCGCGTGATGAATATGCATGACTATGACGTCACTAGAAGCTCATGAGTATATCACGCACGGTACTGATAGATATGTATACATGTACATGTACATGTGGATGCACACTGTATGTGCTGCATCCCACCGATGATATCACATTTAACAAGTCCTCTTTCTACTGTCGCGCCGCCTCCCTCTAGTGTCGTCCCACTTACCGATGATCATCAAGTGGGACGACACTAGAGGGAGGCGGCGCGACAGTAGAAAGAGGACTTGTTAAATGTGATATCATTGGTAAGTGGGACGACACTAGAGGGTGGCGGCGCGACAGTAGAAAGAGGACTTGTTAAATGTGATATCATTGGTAAGTGGGACGACACTAGAGAGTGGTGGCGCGACAGTAGAAAGAGGACTTGTTAAATGTGATATCATCGGTAAGTGGGACGACACTAGAGGGTGGCGGCGCGACAGTAGAAAGAGGACTTGTTAAATGTGATATTATTGGTAAGTGGGACGACACTAGAGGGTGGCGGCGCGACAGTAGAAAGAGGACTTGTTAAATGTGATATCATCGGTGGGATGCAGCACATACAGTGTGCATCTACATGTATATCTATCAGTACCGTGCGTGATATACTCATGAGCTTCTAGTGACGTCACCATGCATATTCATCACGCGCTCTACTGTCGTGCCATTTTATGCTACCTTGAAAGTTGCGTTACGGCTGCCGTACATCGTTCGGGCGATAGCCACTGCGTTCACTTAAACTTTAAAACAAGCCTGTTGTTTCTGCCTTCCTTCCTTCACCCTACTTCTGCCTTATCATCCAATCACCAACCTCCTTCGACAATTATTAAGTTTAAGAAGAACCAAACCTTTTTGCCTAGTTTTGGAACGGATCGCGGAGTACCACTTCTTCATCACGCAATAAGGCCAGGCGGGAATTCCCCGACTGCAGTAGCAGCAGTGTCACAACTAGAGAAGGGGCACTTATGATAATTTATGCATATTGTTGTCAGCGCCACAAACTGTGCTGTATGTAGCGCCGCGCTGCGTGCATGAACTGGCAATCTGCTAGTGGAAAGAAATCGTAAATAAGGGGGGGGGGGGGGGGGGAGGGGATCTAAACCCCCCCTCCTGGGCCGCAAAAAATTAGGAAAATCATGCAGAACAAAATAGCACACGTTTGTTGTTAATTAAATTCCCCTTGAGATAACCCCTTTCAAAATCAACAATCTGTCTTCCGTAACATGCCGCACACTTAATAATGGTGTACCATGCAATTTACGAAAAATACTTATAAAAATAGTAGAGGAAACATAATTTTGTACATTTTACTTTGATGATGGTCAGAGCGTGGCCAGACTGTATCATGCACCCTTCGACTGTGCTCTTCTAATCTTAGTCTCAGCATCCAAGTCTCATTTAATTATACATACGGATATCATTTAATTCAAGTCTCATTTAATTATACATACGGATATCATTGGAGTGAAATTATGGTCTTTTTTTCTTCCCGAGAGTAAAAGAATACACTTTAATTGATAACTATTGCATAATAGGACACTGGATACACGAGATCTATCTGAACGATGACCTGTGAAACACGATAACCTCATCAATATGTAACAGAGAATGCAATAATTATGTAAGTTAGCAGCGATTGCTCAAAAGTCTACAACTTTCCTGATTTTACATGTTGTTCAAATACAAAAAACAACTTGAAGCTTAATGTATATTAATAATTCATATTATTTTAAAAATGCTTTACATTACTTTAAAGGGAATATACATCATTTGCTTTTGCTGTAATTTTCAGAAATGGATGGAATTGGGGGGTTGAAAATATATAGCAAATAAAGTTACACTGACTTTTTTGAGGTTTTGGGTTCAAAAATGCTATAAAAACCAAGAAAAACAATCATTTTCCTGTAGTCTGGTTCCCTGACTCCATTTAAGAAGAAACAGAGCAGTTTACATACATTGGGGAATTGTAAGGTCAGGGAACCAGTCTAGCTGGCTTGTACCCGTTCATAGGTGTGTAATCGATTGCAAACAAGTGCGATGGTCAATTGGGGCCAGTATTTGAAAAAAAGCCAGTTTTTTCCAACGCTGATCGGCCGATCAGCGTTGGAAATTGATACAAAAATACCACTTTTCTTGAAAATGACAGTATACCAGGTGCCATGATTTTACAGGATGCTTTACACTGTCATTCACTAACAGTCCAGCAAGGTATTTCAAAAATGATTTGGTAGTTTTATTTTTTGATGTTTGCAAATGTTGTATTTTCCCTTTAAAAGCAATGTACACTAAAAAAAAGTACATTCTTAAAACAGAAAAATAAAGTCATTAATAATTTAATTAATTAGTTTGACAATTAATTAAAACAAATCGTTTACTTAAAAAGATACTTTGGAGAATAAGCCATCAACAATAATACACATGATGCCAAGTGAAAAGAATAGGGGAAAATTGTTCACACCATCTCTGAAGCCATACGTGCTCATGTGCAGTAAGCTCATTAGCATAATACTGTAAACTGTGATACAAGTTTGTAGGCACTTTATAAGCATTTCCCAGTGAAGCGCATGAGTGGTGCTAGTAATCAGAGAATAAACTTAATATTACATATCTGCATGATTTTACCAAAGAAAAAAATAGTTTAGCAGCTTTGCACAACTAAGTTATCACGTTCATTTATTTGTTTATTTATTACATTTATTTACCCAGGGTATGCCCGAACAGTTTAAAACTGGTAGATTTTAAATTGGGGCCCTGCATACAATAAATAATGACTACAAACGTGTATATATACAATACATTACAAATACAATACAATTCAATACAATGGGATAAAACATTATTTGATTAATGTATAGTAGTTAAGCAAATATTATAAATACAATATTTTTTAAAACTGTTATAACTACATGTACAGTTGAAGGCTTTACTACATGTATAAGGTGGATTCAGTGAACATGAAGTATTTGGATCTATCTGGTAACATCAAGAAAACAATATTGCCATAATGATATTCGCTGAATATAATGAAATATTACTGACTGAACTTTTTACGTAGTTCAGATTTGAATGAGGTTAGAGAAATCATGGTTCTCAACTGTGCATGCAAATTATTATTCCATATGATTGTTCCAGTTACTACGGAAGCGTATTTATATGGAAGCGTATTTAGGACATAACAAAAAATTCTGGCACACTATTTCGCCCAAGCGAATTACTACTAATTCGCCCGGGCGAATTAGAAATCCGCCTGGAAGAATTAGTAATCCGCACGGGCGAAATAGTAATTCGCCCGGGCGAATAAGTAATCTGCTGGGCGAAATAGTAATTCACCCGGGCGAATTAGTAATCCGCCCGGGCAAAATAGTAATCCGCCAGGGCGAAATAGTAATCCACCCGGGCGAAATAGAGGGGCATAATTTTTTTTAAGTCATGTCCTCAATACTTCACAAATGTACATCTTTCAAAGTTCCACATAAATAACACATACACATACAAAGAAAGAGTTCATTTTCCAGCCAGACGCGATGCTATTTCGTTGCTCTTTTCATGCGGCGCGCACTCAATTTCGACTTGTCATACAACAAAGCTCCCAAAATATAAGAACTTTCAGTTGTATAATTTCAGACAGTTTGCGCAAGTGTTGCAAGTGGCTAGATCGCGGGCTTCGGAATTCAATTCTTTGACTTCAACACAGAGACAAGGGCCCACATTACATTAAACTAAACAACACGGTTGTCCTGCCCCCAGATCTGAAAAGAGGACAGTGATCCAACTACTCAGACCTGAGTTCAAGAGGGGGTAACATTTACAAGTACTTAACTTTTAAATCGACGTAAGCTCAGTGTCCGGCGTCTTCTTCTTCACCGGAGACCTTCAACTTGGTCATCATGGACCTGCACAGGACACACGGACAAAAAGACAAATAAGATACTGCAAAAAAAAAAAAAAACAGAACAATGTTAATCGCCAGTCACAAATGTACATCTTTCAAAATTCCACATAAATAACACATACACATACAAAGAAAGAGTTCATTTTCCAGCCAGACGCGATGCTATTTCGTTGCTCTTTTCATGCGGCGCGCACTCAATTTCGACTTGTTGTCATACAATAAAGCTCCCAAAATATAAGAACTTTCAGTTGCATCCTTTCAGACATTTTGCGCAAGTGTTGCAAGTGGCTAGATCGCGGGCTTCGGAAATCAATTCTTTGACTTCAACACAGAGACAAGGGCCCACATTACATCAAACAAAACAACACGGTTGTCCTGCCCCAAGATCTGAAAAGATAACAGTGATCCAACTTCTCAGACCTGAGTTCAACAGGGGGTAACATTTACAAGTACTTAACTTTTAAATCGACGAAAGCTCAGTGTCTGGCGTCTTCTTCTTCACCAGAGACCTTCAACTTGGTCATCATGGACCTGCACAGGACACACGGACAAAAAAGATACTGCAAAAAAAAACACAGAACAATGTTAATCGCCAGTCACAAATGTACATCTTTCAAAATTCCACATAAATAACACATACACATACAAAGAAAGAGTTCATTTTCCAGCCAGACGCGATGCTATTTCGTTGCTCTTTTCATGCGGCGCGCACTCAATTTCGACTTGTTGTCATACAATAAAGCTCCCAAAATATAAGAACTTTCAGTTGCATAATTTCAGACATTTTGCGCAAGTGTTGCAAGTGGCTAGATCGCGGGCTTCGGAAATCAATTCTTGGACTTCAACACAGAGACAAGGGCCCACATTACATCAAACAAAACAACACGGTTGTCCTGCCCCCAGATCTGAAAAGAGGACAGTGATCCAATTTCTCAGACCTGAGTTCAAGATGGGGTAAAATTTACAAGTACTTAACTTTTAAATCGACGAAAGCTCAGTGTCCGGCGTCTTCTTCTTCACCAGAGACCTTCAACTTGGTCATCATGGACCTGCATAGGACACACGGACAAAAAGACAAAAAAAGATACTGCAAAAAAAAAAAAACAGAACAATGTTAATCGCCAGTCACAAATGTACATCTTTCAAAATTCCACATAAATAACACATACACATACAAAGAAAGAGTTCATTTTCCAGCCAGACGCGATGCTATTTCGTTGCTCTTTTCATGCGGCGCGCACTCAATTTCGACTTGTTGTCATACAATAAAGCTCCCAAAATATAAGAACTTTCAGTTGCATAATTTCAGACATTTTGCGCAAGTGTTGCAAGTGGCTAGATCGCAGGCTTCGGAAATCAATTCTTCGACTTCAACACAGAGACAAGGGCCCACACTACATCAAACAAAACAAAACGGTATAGCATTGCGTCTGGCTGGAAATGAACTCTTTCTTTGTATGTGTATGTGTTATTTATGTGGAATTTTGAAAGATGTACATTTAAAACTGGTGATTAACATTGATCTTTTTTTCCCAGTATCTTTTTTTGTCTTTTTGTCCGTGTGTCCTGTGCAGGTCCATGATGACCAAGTTGAAGGTCTCCGGTGAAGAAGAAGACGCCGGACACTGAGCTTTCGTCGATTTAAAAGTTAAGTACTTGTAAATGTTACCCCCTGTTGAACTCGGGTCTGAGAAGTTGGATCACTGTCCTCTTTTCAGATCTGGGGGCAGGACAACCGTGTTGTTTTGTTTGATGTAATGTGGGCCCTTGTCTCTGTGTTTATTTTATTTGCATAGAATAAGTGAAATTGCAGAAATGAGTACAATGAGCAAGAAAAATCAAGGAATGAGTGAATGAGTAATCAAAAGCGTTCGAAATGAGTAAATGAGTAACGCCATGAGTAAATGAGTAATCTAATGAGTAAATGAGTAACGAAATGAGCAGATATATATTAAATGATTGCATCCGTTCCTTACCATTCGGAGATTAACCTTCAAAGCTTTAACATGAATACTATTGCTGCAGTCAAACCCTATGCTTGTCACCAGTGTGACAAACGCTTTGGGCGGAGATATAACCTCTTGAGACATACCGAAAATGCACATGCTGAAGATGAATCCGACATAGACGAAGCTGAGGTGGATAATTCTGAACCTGAATTTAAAAGCGGTAGATTTGAAGATCCGGAAATGGAAAATTATGAAACTGAATCTACGTATGATGAAGACGAAGATCTTGAGGAAAATGATTCCGAATCCGTCACAGAGGTGGAAGATGACGAATCATCTGATGAAGATGAGTCTAGTTCTGATTTGGAAGACAATGCAGCCTGTTTAGACTGGTTGGGAGAGGCAAAAGAAGCGATTGATGAGATGTGGAGTGAAAAACATGAAAAGTACATCAACGAGGGCATGAGTGAAGATCAGGCCACGGAAAAGGCCAACAGAAAGACCCTGTGGGCAGTCAAGCGAATCTTTTTCAATAAATACAAAGATTTTCTGTCAAGTTACATACATCTGAAAGATAATGATACTCATCAAGAAATTGTGGACGAGATCGAAGACAGATTGAATTCCGGCATTCTGATGCCCACAGCTCTCAGCAGGGTCATATCTAAACACCAGGCCAAATTTGACGGCCTGTTCCATCAAGATGAAGATGACGTTAACGAGGAAGACAGAGACGATTAAAGACTAGTCAACGTTACATTAAGATCACTGATGATTTAATTGCAAAGAATACATTTAAAAACAAATTAAAAAAAACACACGAGTGTTTCAATGAGAAATGAGGTCAATAAAGCAATAATGTTATCATGCATGTATACATTTTCTGCAGTTGTATTTTTCTTTGTTAGTGTTGTCTTACAGTTAAACAATCGGGAAAGCCCTACTGTCATGCAGTCAAATAATTAGTGTTTGGACACGCCCTGTCAATAATCCCCGAAATATTTACGGTCTTTAATGCTTCATGTACGGCTTTATCACGCACTGTGTCCAACTTTGGGACTTTTTTGGGGGGTAAAAAAGTTAGTTGCCTTGACACTCTAAATCTTCAATATAAAATAGAAGTACATACCATTGCTTTAACACAAAAGACCTAGTTATATATATCTTTGATTTTGTAAACAAGTCCGGCACGGTGGTACAACTAGGGTTCGGTGCATTCCTGTACAGACAACGGTAAAGGGGTATTAAGGCTTGAAATCATGTTTAGTCAGTCAACTTCATTGACTTCTTTTCACGTACAGATATATGAAGCTCCCGCACATGCCGTGCGCTGCCAATAAAGTCCCATTGTCCGAGGGAGTCTGTGTTCCCTGTTGCGCAACTCCTGGCAAGCGATATTTAGAACGCTCAATGATCCATCCCCACTGTACATGCAGGTAGGTTAAGTCGGTGAAAGATAATCGATATAATGAACACGCCTTGAAAGAATTACGTCTTTATGGATTAGGGAAACAGAGCTATCTGATCGGACGGTGTAAATATACAATGTGTAGGATGCAGTCAGTCCCTTAATACAGATGTACGTGTACATACTGTACACACCGTACCGACTGAGCCGACGCTGAAAGTTTGTATTTTCTACGACCATCGCACACAGATAATGATACGTACATAGATGGTTCTGGTGGTAATGTGCAAGAATATTGTGCAAATGGTATTGCACCTGGATAACATACACAATATGACAAGGCAAATATCGGTGCAGAAGCACTGAGTTATTTATTTGCTCCATGATCGGTGCGGTCATCGAGGGGTGATGGACCATCGGTCTCCGTATAGAACGCATGGATTCATTAGCTGTCTGATCTATTATTAACACAATTCCTCCATGATTAAAACAATCATTGGACTATACCGTGCAAGCTCTAGTACGCTGTTCACCGGTGAGTGTTTGTTTACTACAAATACATAAATTAATTTTTTTCAAACTTTTTAAAAACTCGACCATCCGACAATTTCGTTGACTTTTTTTCACGTATGAAACGCAGAGGTTAAAAATAATTAGTTACGATATTCCTAAATATACCTCTGACAACATCTCTAAACTATGCTTCACACCACGGCCTACGGTGGCCCCTTTCGAGAAATATCGATCTCTTCCGGCTAAACCCCACGGAGCGGTCAATAATTACTCCCGACCACTTAAAGTCCTATTGTCCGACAGATTACACACTTACCACACGAGAGCGCACGTGCGTCGATAGTCCATTGTCCACAGGATTATCTGGGATCTATGCTCACTTCCGGCCACCTACGTCAACAGTCTATTGTCCGAGAGGATTAAGTACTGCCGGCCACAGGTGGTCGTGTTCGGATTGCGTAAACCGCATGTAATACACGTGTAGATACATAACTATACTGTATTGCTCGGGCTAAGGTCAAAATGTACTATACATTTTTATATTTCCCCATATGCAATCTTTCCCATAGAATAGGTCAAATTGCACCCGATTCCTTATACCCACACCTTTTTCCTATTCATCCCATCCATTCAATTAGGGGTCAAACTGTGCCAGAATTTCCTAACCCCATTAATTCATATTGATATCTATATCTACATATTTACATATTTATGTGACCTTTACATATTTCTATGCCAAAGGTCAAACTGTGCCAGACAGTCCCCCTTCACTACTCATGCCAAGGGTTCCGTACGTAATTGTACCGGGTGTAACATGTACAATGTGACGACTCGGCCATAATTGCCGTACACGCGACCTTCGATACCCCCTCCTCCTCCGCAATCGGTGCGGTACTGTATCTATTACTTGTTTTATAGCTGCATGGGTTAAAACCATTGATCTCCATTAGTAAGTCTTACTAATGGAGATCAATGTAATGGAGATCAATAGTTAAAACACAGAGCAAGTCGAGAACTGTGCCCGGTTATCTTTATAATAGGAAGTTTCGAATTAGTTAAATCAAATCGAATCGAAAAAATGCAACAACAAAACAGGCCCAATATTTTTTTCCGTTGAAGCACAAAACACAATTTGAAATTTTTTAAGACAAAATAATATACATGTACTCAAAAAATTAGGAAGATGCCTTAATTTCCCGACGTGGTGTATCAAGCACTGTATGCTCAATGCTTTCGAGAACCGGGGGAAAACATTCGCAGCCGGCTTAATACTCCGGCGGGACTCAAACCCACGACCTCCTGCTTTATACATCATTTTTCACAATTTACATCATCTTTCCTAATATGCATCATTCCTACGCAAAAAAATCAACTGTTCAACCAATGAGATTTTGATTCTTACAATGAGAATTGTTTGTCAAGTTACGCACAATCGCACATGTATGGCAAGAACTAAAATATTGTATGGGCCGAACATAATTTGACGCTTGGAAAGCAATAATTGTCAATAAACATGGGTTGATTTTTTTTTTGTTCGATGTCTCATTCAAAAGTGAATAAAAACAAATTTGTTGGAGTGATCGACTCGGAAGAGAACACCAGACAGTGCATCTTTAAGTTGAAGCGTAAGTATAATGCTCTGTGAAAGAGTGCAGCTACCACCCCGGAAGTCAATTAAAAAACCGCGGAGATTTTTCGTAAGGGGACATTTTTTTTCAACGACAGAAATAAGATTTTGATATTACAGATTCAAATCCATTAATTCAAAATAAATTCTTTATTCAATAGCTTTTATTAAAATATTAACAAGGTTTCTGTAAATATGGTAAGTTGTATGCAATTAATGCAAGCATTCGCGATAAAGTATTCCTACCTACTTTTTGAATGCTAAATGTAATAATAAATCATGGAAGAATCTGCCCAAGCCGGTTAATCTAACATTGGTCATTTCAAAAATGAAGGCTCCCCTTAGGCCCCCCCAAAAAAGTCTCCGGTTTCTGGTATGCGCGCGCGTCGCCGTAGCCATCCGCGTCGGCAAAATGAAAAAGTTTTTTTTTCAATGAAAGATGATGTCTCAAAACCACCAAACTCACTGGTTTGACTGGAATTCTGCTGCTGCGCAATTTCAACGTGTTTTTAGATGGGGTTATGATCGAGAATAAGCTTTATGTGGCCTCTCTGGACTCCCATATATTTGTACTAAGTTTAGTCGGGCACCATTTGCAGTCATCAGCCGACATTTGAAGCAAAAAAGTCGGGTAAAAAAAAAAAAAAAGCCGCGTCGCCGCACCACTTTTTGGACAAGCTCCATACCAGAAACCGGAGACTTTTTTTTTTGGCCTTATCTATTCGTATTATTTTTTAAGCGCACGTTGTAATCGACTAAAATGCCGACACTGTGTAAAATAGTATCCGCCGAGCACAATCCGTTTTCGTTTTGTACACAAATAATAGGCACGCTAACCTTGACAAAATTACAGATCAATTAGCCCAAGTACAAGTAATTCTACCTCCGTGGTACAACCGAATGCTATTGTAATTGTTTGCACTAGTTAGTTTGGGATGGGAAGGATGACATGTCACAGCTGGCTCTGCTCAAACACAAGTTACATTCCAAAAGTTGACCGATCATTCGATGCGAAACCTCCCGCTCTCCGGAGCTCCACCACTGATCGCCAAAAGTCCTGTAACGTGACGTACCTGACTTGTGGTGACGTAAGCATAAATTATCATAAGTGTACTGCTGGAGTTGTGATACTGGCGCTACCGAAAACATGCAAAACAAGAAAATAGACTGGCACCTAAAACAACCAGTCCAATACAGCTTCAGTACTGCATCAATCAACCATGCCAAAAGAATTTAAGAAACATTTGGCATGAAGCGGGAACTAGTCTCAATTTACTACACATTTCTCCATAGTCAAGCCACCAGACTATTGACACTGAATGAAGAGGTCAGTCTTTTTAAATAGTTGTACCATGGATGGACATGTACAAGTCTAGTATTTAGCCCCATTTTGAAATCAATCGCTTGACTTCCCTCTCAATGAATATTGAAGAAAAGTCTCCTTTAAAAATTGAATTGAGTCTGCAAACTTGGTAGGTGGAATACTGAGGACATGTTCTTTGCCCCAGTGGAACTTTTGGAGAAATCTGCTGGCTAAACTGTGAGTAAAGTCGGACTTACATGTATTGTTGATGTACCCTAACGTGGCGCGGCCCCTAACGTGGCGCACTTGGATTTTTCGCCGGTAGCGCCTAGCTAGAGCAAAATTTTAAACTGAAATTTCACAGAAAGTGAAATTTCATCAAGTTCTAAACGGTCCTGTTCATAAATCGCGAGTTTATTTACCCGTAACAAAGTTAGAAGGAAAAGCTATTTTGGCGTGATTTTCCGATTTTATTTTCAAGTGCAATGCCCTGAAAAATAAGAAAATAATTTTCTGACAAACATTTGGCTGGGTATGTAAGTAAAGATATTAATTATTTATCAGAATTTATCAAGTTTACAGGAATTCGTAAGTGTTAATGTGGAATTTTCCAAGATTTATTCAAGTGCGCCACGTTGGGGAACACTCCGCCAATTTGTGCCCAATTTCCGGACACCACCGTTTTTGAATTTCGGATTAAATTTTATGAAACTGAAATTGTTCACAGAGGTTAAATAGCAAGCATTGATAAGGTAAAAGTACAAGTATTTCATTGCATGAATTTGAGGTTTATCAACAAAGAGGTTTGGCAACACTACACGAGGAAAGTCGGGTAAGCTTCGAAGTGCGCCACGTTAGGGAACACGACTATATTTAGTTTTGCTCGGTTCAGAGCACTCCAGAGCCGAATGTCGGACACTTCGCCCCATTTCCACGTCGCCCCATGTCACTTCGCCCCTAACCACTTCGCTCCATCCCCACTTCGCCCCATTCCCACATCGCCCCATCCCCACTTCGCCCCATTCCCACTTCGCCCCATTTCCACTTCGCCCCATTCCCACTTCGCCCCATTCCCACTTCGCCCCATCCCCACTTCGCCCCAGCCGTTACATGTAAAAAAAAAATCTCATCTATTTTATTGGCTTAAAAAAACAATTTCAATAGATTCACTAATTGCTAACCAACGGAAAGAATTAGCCCATCACCAAATGAACAATTCATAACCAACCTCTCAAGCTAGGTCCTCCCCTACCGAGAAAAAAGCTTGAAGTAAAAGATCCAACTTTGTTCCCAACCTGGCTAGCCTATACCAACCCGTCTCCCACTTATCTGAGAACGACAATACCTTCGACATCCTAATTTCACTCTTGGAGGAACCAATCTCATCTAAATGAAGTTGTAAGTGTCACATATCAGACAAATTTTGACGGAACATTTTCCTCAAGGCAGTGAGTTCCTTTTAACTCACTGACCCATACCTACTGATTCTTTTGAATCCAGCGGCTGATGATTTTATTCACAAGCCAATAGGAGAGGCGTCTCTGAATGGGATAGAGCCATCATTTCTCTCATCTGTGTCTCGAGCATGCACCTCATCAGAGAGTTTGTATTTTTCCTAAGTTTCTAGAATTGGGAGCATTTATTATCTGGGGTCTTTGGCAGTTTATTTGGTCTGCACCCACCCCTAGCCTTCACCTTTTTCATACTACACGGGGCGAAGTGGGGATGGGGCGAAGTGGGGATGGGGCGAAGCGGGGATGGGGCGAAGTGGGGATGGGGCGAAGCGGAGATGGGGCGATGTGGGGATGGGGCGATGTGGGGATGGGGCGAAGTGGTTAGGGGCGAAGTGACATGGGGCGACGTGGAAATGGGGCGAAGCGTCCGACACCCCCAGAGCCTAGCCCAGGTTGGACAAAGTCTTCATTGCATTACGACTAACGTCCAGGGTGAGAATTCTCTACATAAGACCACCGAAAATTTGGACCAGGTTTTTGTTACGTTTTACCTCGTTACAGAAGCTTATTTCACGCCTACATTTACTATGTGTCCTTACCTATTGGGCCGCTGGGTTCAGGAATTCCACATGTGATGCTGACCGACATTAATCAGGAAAATAAACTCTAAAGCAACGTTAAACTTGTACGTTTTTGTAGTCTCTTATCATCAGTTTATTCCCAGAGTCGTACGTCATGTACAATGTACGTGAGTACGTACGAGGTACGAAAGCGCGCACGCACGCTAGCGCCCTCATTTGTTTAATTTTGTTTTGTTTAGTTTGGTTGGAACATGACAGTGACGTCACTCCAGCCAACCGATGTCACGAAAACGCTAAACCAATGACCAAAGCCGAAACGTGTTTCTGTTAGTGGTAACTGGCGCGAAAACACGCTCGGTCATTGGATTAGCGACCGCGCCTTCAAGTAAGTGCGCGTGCGTATGAGGGTGGTTACTAAGCAAATCGCGCGTGCGCACTGCATATTCATGCCGCATAGTCTGGCCCCCGGACCAGACGTGATATGGGAACCAGACTAGGGAACCAGACTAGGGAACCAGACTACACGCTGCACAGACCATGCACAGATGTACCAACCTCGTCCCGAGTGCTTACTTTATTTCCAACACGGTTTCCAATAGTAAACCCTGGATAGGAAATTTTCTTCCTGTATCCTGATTGGATACCGCAATTGGCTAGTAATGGATTTTTATCGTGTACTTGGTGTTGTTATTCACAACGTGCAGTACGTGTTTTCGCGATCATTCGTCCACGCCTTCTCGAAAATATTAATTTCCTTTCCAGTTTGTTAATATTAATATGAAATGTGATACTGCATATTGTTTCGTTAAGATCGTAACAGTTTAATTGAATAAACATCGTGTTTTCGTAACTCACGCCATGCTCGCACTGCTACGAATTGACTCTGTCTTTACCCCAGACACCGCATACAAAAACAAACGCTAATGTAACGCAGATGCAGGCACCAGACTATTCCTCATTTGCATACGTGTGCAAAAATCTTGTACATGCAAATGATCCAATACCAGGGTGAGAGAGCAGGTAGTGATGGGCGCGTACTGCTCGACACCCTGGGTACGAGGTTGCAGACGTACGTACATCATGTACGATTAGACTCGGCGGTGAGAAACTGATGAAAAGAGTCTACAAACACGTACAAGTTTAACGTTGCTTTCAAGTTTATTTTCAAGATTAAGGTCGGTCATCATCGCATGTTGAATTTCTGAACCCAGCGGCCCAATAGATAAGACTACATAGAATACTACGACGTAAAAATTAGCTTCTGCAACAAGGTAAAAATATTGAAAATACTGGTCATAAATTTTTTCGCCCGGTTTTGAGCTCTTTATACCCTGGACTCCCTCCGTTACGTAGGGAGGAAAGGGAGTCCACCTGGGCTATCCAGAGCCATGAGTCGGCCCCATGCAGACATGCCAGAGCTACAAGAAATGTCTCAGAAAGGCTTCTCCACTGTTTCCACAGTATTGGAGGACTACCTGGAGTAGCTAGGAATACTGGAGGAGGTGAAATGTGGGCCATTTCGAGTCCTTGTTGCCAATATATAGTACAAGGACGCGGAAAATGTTAACGATACAACACTTTTAATACTTGAATTCTCCTCCAACATGGCGCTTTATCATGTATAGACACAACACATTCGGACATGGTCTGGCGATACTATCCCCAGGCTATTGTCGGATTGTTAAAAAGGTGATAAGTTGGGTCCAAGTTTCTCAGACTGTCTTTTAGTTTTACTGGAAAAGAATTCCATACTGGGCCACCACCCATATTACTTTAAATATGACCTGAAAAATACCAAAAGTTCTAAATCTGATAAAGAAACACTATTTAAGGAGTGCAAAATTCTTTTATAATACTTGTAGTGGTGGCCCAGTAATTTTGTCTGTACTGAGGGTACCGAAGTTCCAGCGCTCCATTCAGTATAGCCCCATAAATGTGGCCTATTTACTGGACTGCCTCCGTAAACATAGGCCACACATCCACATGTACAAAAATGTGTCGCATTTTGCCAAATTTTGATTTTCGCATTTAGGCTTAGTTTGTAGGTTTTTTTTGCTTTAGAAGCATACTCACCCTCTTTATAGGTTGAGTAAGAGTAGGTTGTAGATTTTTGCAGCGATGGTTGTGAGCGTTATACCTCGGTAGTTAGTTGTTAGGGCTAGATTACCCTTCTTTGGAATAGGTATGATGCAGCCTTCATGCCAATGGTCTATTTTTTGCAGATTGTAGACAGCGTTGCATAGCGTTGAAAAATTGTGGATTCTTGATGTTCTGTGGTGCGATCTCAGGCAATATCTGACCTCTTTAAAAAAACTTTTTTGAGCAAAAGATAATCATTGAACCATCAAATTTGGAATCGTTGAAACAGCTATCCTGATAACTCTAAAATCAAACTGTAATATTATGCTTCAATAATTATTCAGGGACGAAAAAAGAGGGTATGACAAACGACATAATACCCCCCAAACGACATGATACCCCCCCCCCCCCCCACTGGATCTGCCAGTGCCAGCGAGCACCTTGTGGCCTGCTTTGGAAATGTCTAGTGGACTTTGTCAATTGCATGTTTTCAGTTTTTCTTTTGCCTTATATGTTTTTCCCCCTTTATATTGCCTGAGTTTACTTCCTCCTGCAACCATGGTGCAACACAGTATAAAGACTTTTTTCTTTTGTCTTCAACTTGGTCAAGAACGTGTTTAATAGGGCAAGGGGTCCGGGGCCTGCTTAAGAGCCCCGGGAAATTTGGATCCTACATGCTCTGTTGTGCAATCTGAGGCGATCACTGGCCCCTTTCCCCCTGAATTATTTGAGCAAAAGTTTTTAAGATTTTTTTGAGAGGAAAAGGCATTACAGGAATTTCGGACAACCAAATACACATACTCATATTTCGTACTCGTACTCATAATTAGCATAATTAGCGTTACTCATAATTAGCGTCGGGTTTTGGTAAAATGTCTTTACAATTTTTGTATTACATATTTTGTTTTTCATTTTTTTTTCAGCAGGGGGGGGGGGCATGGCCCCCCTTGGCCCCCCCCTTGGCTACGCCTATGCTGTCAAAGGAGTTGTAGGCCTGACAATTTAGCTGCTGTTTTTCCATTTCGTGTTGATAATGACGTATTCAAGTTGTGCCTTAATGCCAGTTGGATATACATGTGACCAGAGCTTTCCTTTCTTCTTCTGGAACTTTACATTTAGGCAAGACATACTGTTTTCTTTCAGAAAGTCACTTAGAAATTCACCATTTCTATTTGTGTTTTCGTGGTAGGAGTGTTTGTATCCATCGTTTCTTCCCAGTTTAGCGTTGAAGTCACCACCTATTGTAGAACAATAACATTATGTTTTGGTACTTTGTGGACCAGGGATGAGAGATCATCGTAAAACATCCGGACTTCACACACGTTTGTTGGGCTATAGCAGCAGATCACTGTGGAGGTTGGGTTTTCATTGAAAGATGCAATCATGATTCTAGGCGTTATCATTTCGATGTTATTGAGGGCTTTCTGGGCTCTGGGGCTTAGTAGCATACCAGCACCACCAATGGTTGCATTTGTGCTGTTTTTCCAAGCCGATGACATAACTAGAGTACAGTATTTGCCAGCCTCGTGATATTTCAGATGTACGTCATCATGGAAATAGTGATGCTCTTGGACACAGATAATATCTTGGTTATACGTTTCCGCTGAAGCTACAAGTTCTCCAAACTGAGATTTAGAGCTGAGCGAACGAACATTGAACTTAGAAATGTAGACAATATTCTTACAGTTGATTAGGTTTGGCAGGGTAGCTGTTTTTTCGACTGCACACCGTGCCAGATTAGCAGGACACACCCCTTGTTTAACCGCGCGACGGGCGATGCGGGATGAACGTCTGATTTCGGGAAGAGTCATTTGATTTCTTTCAATGGCTATATGATATCCATGATCCCCACTTCTATGGACATGCGCAGTAGCAGACTTTAGCTGCTCAGTTCCCCAAACCGGAGAAAACTGCAATTACTTTGCAGCCCGCTTTGCAGAGTGACATTCGAGACCTGAAGCGTATTCTTTTACACACAGCTTTCGTCGTCACCAGCGCTCTGAAGCTCGACGCTGGTTTTACCCAGGTAGGGGGTTTGAAATCAGAGTTGTCCTTCTCCTAGGTGAACTACCTCCCAAGGTTAACGAGCTCCACCTGCCCGGAGCAATCTGGTTTTAAGGTGCCAGAAACTCGCCTTCACACCCCTGCCCTCAGTTTGAAACAGAGATCGGCACATGAAGCCGGGCAGTAGGAGTTTGAATTAGGAGAGGCTATTTGAGACGCTGATCATATGGGACATTTCATGGATGAGGAATGGCTCAGTCCTCCTCACCGCCCTGATCATCCTAAAACCTTTGACCCCATTTCAATCAATTCCCAGCTAAATTTGACTTTTTAGGACATATCACTTTCTGATGGCTCATACATGTAGGTCACTGAAGGCAAAAATTAATGTCGATCCTGATGCTATATTTGGGTCCATCATGCTTCCACCAGTCGAACACCTTTTCTTTTCTAATTCACTGCACTGGAGGATTTTATAAAGGTAATTAAGTAAAGTCCAAGATGTCCGTCATGATCAACCGATAGCCCAGCATGATCGACCAATCGTGCCCAACATGTACAACTTATTTTCATTTATGGGTTGTTTTCATTTGTGGTGTCTAAAGAAAACATTAACATCGTCAGTGGGATTTACCCCGAAATCTTAAAAACTTGACAGTGGTTTTGAGACATCATCTTACATTGAAAAAAACTTTTTCTTTTTGCCGACGCGCATGGCTATGGCGACGCGCACGCATATTAGAAACCAGACTTTTTGGCCTTATGGGTAAAAATCTCTTTATTTAGTCAGAAGAAAAAAAAATGGTAGCCTATGCAGTGTATGTTGATTTTGTTTTTTGTTTTTGTTTTTGATTTTTTGTATTTTCAGTTCTCGGGCATCAACCATGGATGAAGACTCCAGTGATATCTCAGCAGCGCAGCTGGCTGCCATACAGAAAAAAGGTCAGTTCAACCGGTCCATTTCCCTCGCCCTGTCGGCAAAGAAGAGTGAGGATTCCAAGCCTCCACAAGATGATGGAACTCGGACTCCTGACATCTCGGCTACCACAAAATGTCCAGGACTGGAAGCTTGCATCAAATCAACGGTTAACTTCGAGCATAAAGCACAGACTGATGCAACAACATTGGGGGAAGACTTGGAAGACGTCCAGTCCTCTGATGATGTAACGACAGAAGAAAGCACATCTACCAGCAGTGATGATGACTACGGTGCGGTGCAAATCACACTTATCCCCCAGGCGACCTCTTCCCGTCGTAGGCGGAGAACCAAGCTTCAACGTCATAGGATGAGGCAATCTCAGAGGGAGTTTCTTGCACCATTGTTAGACGAGGATGACTTAGATGACGATATATCCTGTCTAGGTAAATTTGTACATCACTCCCAAAAGGATTGAAGAAGCCTTTCCGCATGCTGAATGCACCTTTTGGGTTCTAAAATATGTTTACACAAATAAAAATGATCAACAAATTACTTCGAAATTGCGCAAAAATTTTGACCAAGGATGTTGATTGCTTAACAAACTGAGCTGTCAGACTTTTCACTGATTTTTACTGCACAACCACCCTTTTTGAAGTTCTGTCCACAGATCACAAAAGCAGGTGCGCATTCTTTCAGCAAAATGAACACAATTCACACACATCCCCTTTGTGCTTTGTTTTTTGTTTTGCTGAAAGGACACGTACCTTTTTGTGGTCTGTGGACAGAACTTTAAAACAGTGGTTGTGTCTAAGATTCCGTAACTTGAAAATTACACATCTAAATTAATTAAATAACAGCGATTTGAAAGTGATTTTTGTACTAAAATAATGCTTATGAGTTGAGCTTTCATATCCTAGATTTTGAAAGTGCTACATGCAGAACTTCACTAAAGCAATGGTCCCGACATTTGGGTTTCATTTTTTTTTACTCACTCTGTATAATAATGTAATATTCTGCATTTCATATCTTAACATTAAATAGATCTTTCTTTGTTTTAAGCTAAAGTAATCAAGCAAGTACCTTGTGTACGTGTCAGTACCAGTTTTTGTTCCTTTTGACTGTTCAACTCTGGATATAGGCACAGTCGAGGCCGAAGACAGGCCACAGAGGGTCCCTACATTGATGGAACTGTGTATGCAGAAAGGTTTCTCCCGGTCCGGACCATTTCCCCCAGGGCTGAGGCCAGCGCTATCCCAGCATCACAACAAGGCGAGGCTGGCCGCCCTACAGATGCGCTGGCTGGGACGAAACCTGGCACTTCTTGAGAAGCAGATAAAGTGGAACCTTGTTGAGACCACAGGTCCGCACGGCTTGAAGGTGAGACCCTGAACACATGCTGCTGGCCTGCTGCAGTAGTCTGTTACTAATAGTTTTTAGTCTTTGTAGTATTAAAATAACAGTGAGAAGATTCTGGTCAGCATGGTCGAGGTTGTGCCGAAAAAGGATGTCGCGTTTTTTGAGTATGCAGTCTCCTTTCCACTGACCAGTTGACAGTTTAAGTTTTGAAAAAATGGACTTTTCTTGGTAAAATCATCTCATTTGAAGTTCATGATGTCACAGATGTCAAAACAGAGACATTTCCTGTTGGGTTATAATTTCAGCCGCTGTTCGAGTGCAGTGTAGAGCATGCGTGGATCCAGATGGGGGCACACCCGGCCCGTGCCCCCCCTTTTCGCAATTGTGGGTTTTTTTTTTTTTTTTTTTACCGAGTTGTCTTACATCCCTTTGAGAACATGGCTATCTTTTTCGTTTTTGAGGAGTCATTATGGCGGGCGGACGGGCGGTCATCAAATCAATCGCTTTGAACATAATTATCAACAAAAATATACAATGTATAAGTTTTGAAGGTCGCCTGTCAATCATTGTCTCAAAATTTCGTTCAAAGCAAGAACATATTTTTATAAGACACTTTTCTATTTCCCGGCTGGAATAAATAGGGGGCACATTTAATACAGCACTTGCATTTTAATGCTTCATGTCAAAATATATTCCAAAATATATTCTAGAGTAGAACATGTACCGGTACACAAAATAATGTAGGCCATGTTTTTTTTTTATAATAAATGAAGAATAAAATCGTCATCCCCTTTTTTTATTTTCCCGGCCTCAGAGAGAGATTTACATCTGGTTCTCTAAATATTTTTTTAAAAGCAAAATGATTAAAAAAACCTAGCCCGTTAAAGTTTGCACTCTAAAGTTAATTCTTTTGTAGATTCCAGGGGAAATTTAATACGAATTATGCTCGGTTTTTCTTATTTTTAAATGAATATGATCAGGATTAACAACATCCCTCAAATAATAGCGTCAAAATATATTCCAAAATATATTCTAGAGTAAAACATTTTCACAAAATAATGTAGGCCATGCGTTTTATTTTTTAAATACACGAAGAATTAATCATCATCCCTTTTATATTGTCCCGGCCTCAGATAGAGAGAGACATCAAATAAATAGGGGTTGTTTTAATACGATTTAGTATGTCTTGTTCTCTCGATTTATTTTTAAAGTAAAACGATTTCAAACACCCTAGCCCATTAAGTTCTGAACTCTCAGTTAATTGTTTTGTAGATTCCAGGGGAAATTTTAATACAAATTATGCTTAGTTTTTCCTAATTTTAAAAGGAATACGAATAAGATTATCAACAGCCTTTGACTTCAAACTTAATTTCAAAATGTATTCCGAAATAATTATAGTCTAGAGTAACATTTACAAAAATAATGTAGGCCATGCAGTTTTATTTTTTAAATAAGCGAAGAATAGAATCGTACTACGAAAAAAAAGACATCGGGAGCACTACATTTAATGAATTGTTTGGACTTGGAATATCATTCCCCAACTTATCTATGTGCATGTACACAACATGAAGGTGAAATTTCACGTTCAATTCAGTTTCCCACATTTTTCGCATAAAGTTTTCCCCTGTCTCTGAGAAAAAAAATGCCCAAATAAAATCTCAGCTCCCAAAAGCCTTTCCAGAGAATGATTGATAGCCGCATTGTTCAAATTGATACAATGCCACTCTTGTTCGTTTCAAAGCATATACATTTGGGTTCAGCTCTAGGCCACCGAACTTTAAAGGGAAAATACAACATTTGCAAACATCAAAAAATAAAACTACCAAATCATTTTGAAATACCTTGCTGGACTGTTAGTGAATGACAGTGTAAAGCATCCTGTAAAATCATGGCACCTGGTATACTGTCATTTTCAAGAAAAGTGGTATTTTTGTATCAATTTCCAACGCTGATCGGCCGATCAGCGTTGGAAACAACTGGCTTTTTTTTTCTCAAATACTGGCCCAAATTGACCATCGCACTTGTTTGCAATCGATTTCAAACCTATGAACGGGTACGAGCCAGCTAGACTGGTTCCCTGACCTTACAATTCCCCAATGTATGTAAACTGCTCTGTTTCTTCTTATATGGAGTCAGGGAACCAGACTACAGGAATATGATCGTTTTTCTTGGCTTTTATAGCACTTTCGAACCCAAAACCTCAAAAAAGTCAGTGTAACTATATTTGCTATATTTTTCCAACCCCCCAATTCCATCCATTTATGAAAATTACAGCAAAAGCAAATGATGTATATTCCCTTTAAGGCCTTTGAGAACTTGCCGCCAGTAATTGGAAGATTCTTAGATGATAAACAGTGATGATAGTATCTCAGCCAATGAAATGAGCCGGTTCCCGGCAAGTAAATATGCCATTGGTTGCTTTCATCACGGACCGTCTGCTTTCATGAATATGACTTCCTTCCACGAGCAACTGGAGTGATTAGCTATCTGAGCCACAGGTGCATGGCTGCATGCCCGTCACATTCCAACCTGGTTGCTTAGAAATACTGTTGCTAGGAGGCTCCCCTGTGATGCCTGGGACTGCCGGTTGCGTAGCCAGACATCTTGTATGTGACTATTTTGAAACCTTGTATGTGAAAGCGGCAGCTCAGGAATGCTGCCGCTTTCAGGAAATTTGCGCAGGCAAAGTTTTTCATATTTTGGAAATTGGATGCAGTTTGCATTTCCGTTAAATAAAAGGTTGTTTTTTTTGTTTTCTTTTTAAGAAAATCGGAGCCCCCCCCAAAAAAAATACAAATAAACGATTTTCCTCAGGCCTTGACATTTCTTCAGGCCTTGACCTTGATTCATTTCGTCTTAAATTATTTAGCCTGCAGACTTCAAAAGAACATGGAAAAAATGGTGGTTAAAGTGTATACAAGTGTATATACAAAGTAAGTATATATGTGACCGCAGTTACCACACATTATACTGGGACACAGGCGGCAGTCTTTTTGAAGTTTTGACTAAACGTTTAAACGCTACGGGGAAATTTTGTTAATATCAAATTTTTTATGACAATCGAGATGGTTTTGAAATCGGTAAGTTTTATTTCTTCTTTTTGTTTGTAAAGACTATTCGTAATGTAATACTCAGCAGGCTTACAAGTTATACAACATTTTTCAAAGGAATTGGGACAGAGAAATGTTCTGGGCCGGTTGAGTTGCTCAGCCGTGGGGGGGGGGGGGGGGGGGAGGGGGCTCGGGGAGACTCACCTGCTCAGCGGGGGGTGGGGGGTGGGCCTAACATGCCTTAGTGCTGTTTTTCCCACCAACTATGCTGCTGTTTCCCCTGTTCCCTTAGGCCATCAGCCTCGGTCCAAAATTTTGGCAACCGGTATCAAATGAAGGGAATAATCGTCGTAGCGATTTTTGGCAAGGTATATAGCTCCCGCATTGGAAAATATGTGATAGCATTGCAGCGGTGGCAGCTTTTTAGGTGTTATCACCCTTTTTTTTTCGTAATGTCCATCAAAATGCTTGTTACCACTCATTTTCTGAAGACTTCTGACCCATGGTAACATATTTGAATGAGATCTGCAGTTTGCACAATTGTTAGTCAAATGAATTGAGTGCAAGGGAGATTCTAATGATTTGTTGCCTGTACTGCATGGCCTAGGCTATAATCAGGCAGTGAATCGGGGCTTCGTGAGTTAAGCTCTGTCAGTCACTTTCCTAAATTCACCGAGGAGCTCAACAAGGAGCTCAGTTGTTGAATGAATGTATCACACCATATAAATCAAGCTCATGGAATAATATTATGGACAGCTGTTGGAGATCTGGTGTAATTCACCTCAAAAGTGAAGCCAATCACATCCGCGCGAGCTCGATTTACACCATAAACAAACCCACACACACACACACACGCAAACGGGATGATAATGGAGAAAATACGAATTGAACTAAAATCACCAATTATATTACATGGTAAAAGAAAGAAAACACCAGGAGAGGGACAAAACGAAAAGGATATTATTAATGATGATGGAAGCAAAAAAAAAAAAAAAATTAAACGACAATAACATCAACCAAAATGGGGTGGGGTTGGGGTAGGGGCTGCTTCAGGCAGGCTGTCCCCAAATGAAATTCAATTTATTTTATTTTATTTGTTTGCAAAGCAAATTTCTGGGTAGAAATGTATGTTTTAATAGTAAACATGATTTTTTTGGCTCGCTCGCTCTGCTCACTCGCAAAATAACACATGTTCATTTTTTTTTCACCCGGGGGCTGTCATCAGCACCTTCTAATTTTGGGGTTCAGTTTCAACTAACATCAACAGTGACTTTAAATTCTATATTTGATAGAAAAAATTAATGTTATTAAAATTAAAAAATAACCATTGTGAATTTTGCTCTTAAAATACTCATGATGTACGTGTAGGAGAGAACATCTAAAATCGTAGAGCTTCCAGTGCCCTCAACCCCGCCCTGCAAGGGATTTCGCGCTTCAGTCTCGTTATGTGTGCAACGCGCACAAAGTTTTTGTGCCCCCCCTTTTTGAAAATCCTGGATCCGCCCCTGGTGTAGAGCTTCATATGTATTTTTTTCTGAGTAATCGGCATACAGCATACCCATGTATTAATACGCATGTAATCAGTTAGATTTCCATTTGAAGCTTTTGAACTGAACAGTATGTCGCAAATAATGCATGTCTGAATTTGGCATGTTTCACTAGGGCTCAAATTTTACCACATGAACCCAGCATAGCTTCAGTAAGATTCAGTTACATGTACATTAAAAACAAATCCAAAGCTATCTCTTAAATAGCCTTAACCTCAAAACTATAACTCAGCTTTTACAACTTAATAAAATCAGGCTTCAATGACATATTTATTGTATTTTGTGATTTTGGACAAAGAGAAAATTTAGCATAATACCCATTCTTGTCTCACTACATCTAGTGTATGCAGTTGAGGCGTAATGTCAGATCTCTATGGAGGAGCGAGTGGTGGCCAAACGACAGGAAGCCACACCCACAGAGGGTACGATGGATTGTGCCTGTTGGCTGCCAGGCGTACGATGGAGCGAATTGGAAAATAGCAGGTACCTGTCCCAGTGTTATTATTATTAATCTTTTCTGGTAATGAAACAAAGGATTCCTCAAAAGCACCCTAGGTACTGTAGCTCGCAAGCCTGAAGAAAACTGTGGAGAGAAGACAATGAGACGAAATTACAGTTTTAGAGATGGGAGGAAAACCCCAGAAGAATATTCTGGGGAAAACCCACAGAATCGGGTAGGGACCGAAAGCCCAATCCACATATTGTTCCAGGTGGGATTCAAACCCATGTCACAGCGGTGGAAGGCGAGGAAAGTACCGCCACGCCAACTTTGTCCAGTCACAAGTCCTTTTCATAAGTCAAGTCACAAGTAATGGGATGAACAAGTGACAAAGGTATGCTTTTTGTTACAGTTTGAATAGCTTGTGATTTGGCTTGAGACTGATGGAGGACTTGTGATGGACTTGCGATGGACTCTACTACAATTCGGACCTGTTCAAGGGTCTGAAGACTTTTTGCACTACAAACAAAGAGAAATAGGCTACTCTGCAAAAACAAACTATGAAGCCATTTCGAGTTGGAACCACGCATGCTTGAATGATGCACTTTTTTTTAAATTTGAGAGGGGTGCGTATTTTGGTAATCCTATTGGTCAAAGGAGCATGGTGCTGGCATGACTTGCGCGCAACTGTGATTCCAGCTCGGTAATGGCTTTTATGTTGTTCCCTCAGCTGTGCGCAACCTTACGCGGAACATCAATGGTAGCGGTCTTTGAAATCGGGCGGGGAAGTGGGGGCGGCTGGATCGGGACGGATAACAATCCTAGGCTCTGAAAGCAATATATGGCCAGTTCAATTACTGAGTTTGTTCTTAGTTACTGTAGGCTTGCGTTGTGCCATTGACTTGGCTAACTATCGGCAGTCTTTCAAAGTTGGCTGGCAGTGGTAAACACACTGCTTAACTTGTGAATCGATTGAAATTGCTCACAACTCACCACATAATGACAGTCATTTAGTTATGTTCTCGACAATTTTGGGCATTTGTTTTCCTCCCATCACATCAGGCACAGGTGTAGGGTTGGGCAGGGCAAGGCAGGGCATGAGTATCAGCAGGGCAGGACATCCGCAGATGTCAGATCGAAGCTGGCAGGCTCCAAAGTTTGATCACCGTCAACGTGGCGTTTGTTGATCAGTGCACTCGTCAACGCGTAGCTTTATGTAGCGTGTCCATGTACATGGCCATGTCACTGGCCGGCTTTGCATGTGCACGGCATGATGCACAACCCCGTGCTAGAAAGGGCGAAATCCAATTGATGGAACGGCAGCATGGAAGTTACGTACGGCGTCTAGTTCACCGTCGTTGTGTTCACAACTCCGATCAAAATCTTAAAGTCTGCGGCATTTTCACTTCTCCTGCAGTTGTTATACGGTTTTAACTTTCCTCATCGCCAATTGTTATGTCTCAGCATCCATTCATGGCATTTATTCATCATCGTTTACGGAGCTTCAAGGCACAAACATCTGAGCTTTTAAAAGTGCAAGAGACGAACTCGTTTTTTAACGTACACTATTAAACCAATATCTAACACCGAACGACCCTATTTTAAGGCTGCGACCCTAAAAATTTAATCGGCAATTCCAAAAAAAAAAAAAAAATAATGATTGAATAAATCAAAATAAAAGCTTGTTGTCTTTTCTGTCTTCACAAAATACCTCTTAACGACCCATTTGCGTCAAAAAATGCTTGTATTTATTTGTTTTCTTACTTACATTCGCTTTTTTTTTTCGAAAGAAACCAAATTCACTTTGCGATCTGTCATCATACCTCGCAATTCGATGTCACAGTGACTATAGTATAATCACGTAAATCTTGCTCAATGCAGTGACGACTGGTTCTTGCCTCGCCGTGCAGGGGCCAATTTAGAAGACATGATGAAAATGCGGTAACCAGTCTGTCATGGCTATGCGATTGCTAGCGCTAGCATGGCTATATATGCATTAGACACGTGCACTGTCAGTGTCAACTGGTCAGATTCGACATCGTAAAAATGCCAAGAAAACACTGATGGAGAAAGAACATTTTTGCAAGTTAAATCACAGAATTGATCTATCATGTCTGTGTATGTATTTTCTGTGTTCATTTTGAGATTGCACTACTCATATTTGGAGTGATACATGCAGCGTGTTTCCCGAAATTTTCGACCGCAAAACGAGGTCTGTCGGCCACAGGCCACACATGCACAGTGCATCACACACTTGGGAGTTTTGGCCAGCTTCCCGTCTTGACCAGCGTTGTGCATATGATGCGAACGGCCTGAATTTTCCATTATTTTTAAAGAATTATCGAACGTAAATATATTGACAATAATTAAGGTAGGTTTTTTTTTCACTTTTTGTGGCCATTTTGTGTATAGCTTTCGTAGTGCAATGGAAATAGTTCAGGCTAAAACTTCGCATATAATTGAATACCCCATTCAATCTGCATAAAAAAATTGGCAAAAAAATAAAATGTTTGACCTACCAACCCTTTTTTTGAAAGACATGTAATCGGAAGCAGAACTATTTTTTTTTGGCCTTAGTATCGTCGTGTCCGTGCAACAAGGTCGTATCTCCTAAAATGGCATTTGACATCATGTACATGCAACGCGAGTTTTAAATGTCAATAGGTCATATCTCGCTTAAAATAACCTAGATGTACACATAAAGTCAATGGATGTCGCGATATGCGAGATACGACCTCGTTGCTCGGAGCATATTCGCACGAAATACAACTTTGTTGCAGAATCAAGTTACAACCTTGTTGCACTGACGTGACAACATCTTCAAATTCATATCCGGGACGAATTCCAGGAAAGTTGCGAGTGGAATCATTTACTTTGTCTAGAAGAAGCTCTGCCTTTGACCCGGACATGTTCTGGGGAAATTTTCATTAGCAAACTGCTTGACTCATCAAAACCGATAACATCATTGGGGGAAGATTGCAGGGAAGTTTTTCAGAATCCTTCAGCTTATACCCGATACAGTGTTAGCAACTTGTCTGGAACTAGTGTCCCAGATATGAATTGAGACGGGCTCTTAGTCTATTGTACATAACTAGAGTCTTAACTCCTTATCTCTCACAGAGAATACTAATTCAGACCCATCCTGAGTGCAAACATTTTGGATTCATCTAAGGGGACATTGAACTTTTATTGAGATTAAATGAAATACAATTTTTACATGGTGATCCTTAAAACACAATGAGAACAACTTTTCAGAACCACACAAACCCACAAAAAAAAAGAGTTCATGTCACATGTTGCATCCCTAACCTTACCTGTTTTTGGTAACGTCGCCATGCAAACTTTCAGATCTTATATGCTGTAATAATTGTAAATCCTGTAATCTTGGTGTGTGTGTGTTTTTAGCTTATATTTTTAAGGTCAGAGCTCAATTTTTTTATTTTAAATTCCTGTATTGAAAGCTAGTTGGCTAATGTGATCACCAATTAAACAAGCGCGAGTGCACAATAAGTTCTGGCCTGGTTCCGAAATGCCTCACTTCATATGCAAAATAGACGCGCATGCGCATCGATCGAGACAAAGGGGTGTGTTCTGAGCACTTTCACCAAGAATGCATTTACTGACGATGGCAATGCATTTGGTCAATTTTTGGTCAGTTGATAGTTATATTTTATGGAAAACTTAGGGGGCTCGTTTTTGGTAAATTTTCCGGGGACAGACCTAGCGACCGACCGACTGACCACGAAGTGACATGCAGAAGCTCCTGCCAGAGCTTAAAAATAAACGGAACACATATTGTTGGTTTATGAAAGTTGATTGCCATATTTGGAAGCCAGTATGTATTTTACTATGTATGTATGTATGTATCTTTTTGGCATCAGTTATTCACTCAGCACTGACACTTCCCCCCTAATATTTCCCAACAAGCCCTAGCACACTACATCAACTTGACTCTCCCACATCTAAGTAGTGACAGTGATGGGTCATCCCAGAAAGAACAGCAACAGCACTTCATGGATAGAGATGTCCAGCAGGTCAAGCGATGCCTGAGAAAAAGGTCAGTACCTTGCAGTAGCATAGGAAGTGGGAGTGGGGGGGGGGGGGGGGGGGGCGGAGGGCACGACAGGTATTCGTTACAGGTATGATGGTATTCATGCATCTCTAATAAGACAGCACTAGTATGGCCTACTGATTAGTGTGATGGCAAGTAGCATACTGGTTCATTCCAGTTTGTGTGGAGAAAACACGACCACCTCATCTGATTAAATTCGTAACATCTTTACAGAGGTATGCACCTAAGCGTGTGCGCATGCCACTTAGATACCCTTAACCCTATGCTAGGCCCTTTTTGCCAGGAACCATCCTCAATCCTGCAAAATAGTCCAATTGTCGACATGAAAAAATTGGACACAACTCAGCCCTACAAAAATCATCTGCTATTTCTTAATGTTGTTTCGTGGAGGGGTAATCATTCACTGCCGCAATCCTTCAAAAATCCTCCGACAATCAGTTAATACATGTACATTGAGGCAGTGCAAAACAATTTCCAGAAGCAGTGAAGATGGCCTCAATTTTGCATGGCTCATCATAAACAATGTTGGGTGCAGTCTAAGACTTTTGACTTGATGCATCCTCCAAAATCAACAGACATATTTTTACCATTCAGTCTCAATGCTCCAAAATAAGTCTCAATCCTTCAAAATCTTCCAAAACTACGTGGTTGAGGAGGGTTAGGGTTAATGTCATGGTACATTTTTCCTAGACACGGAAACAGACAGAGCTTTTGGTGCTTATTCTAGTTTGACTCTTGACTTTGAAGATCAACAGTGAGGCCATTCCCAAGTCATCTCTGATCAGGAAACAGCTGAGCACTCTCCAGCCATTAATTTGAGAATTTGCTTTCACAGATATCCCAAGCTGGTGAAGTATTGCTTTGATCATGCAATGGCCTACGTATGGTGGGCTAGGGGAAGATGCAACAGAGCACAGGATGCCTTCATCAAGACTGCCAAGCAGTATCCAACTGGTAAGAGCCCGTCTCAGTTCATATCCGGGACGAGTTCCAGACAAGTTTTGGATAGAATCGTTCACTTTGTCTGGAAGAAGCTCTGCATTTGTCACAGACATGTTCTGTGGAAATTTTCATCAGCAACTCCTTGTAGACTCGCCAAAACTGAGAACTTTGTTTCGGGAAGATTGTGGGGAAGTTGTTCAGAATCATGCAACCTATACCTGATACAATGTCCGCAACTTGTCCGGAACTCGTCCCGGATATAAATTGAGACAGGCCAGAATGAGTCCTTTTCTTGGGGACAGCTCTTTTAAACAAATATAATGAAGTAAGAACTTTTTTAAATCCTTAGTTGTCCATCCATAGCAAACAACAGTCCAGCATTTACATGGTCTGTGTAAACAACACATGCTATTCTATCATGCTCATTAAAAAAGGCCAGACAACTCCCGATGTATCTTTACTGTTTGTCAAGTTTGCGTGGGGTTAAATTTGTTTTCCGACTGCTATTTATTGTTTGGTAGCATGGCATATATAGAACACAGGAAAAGAACTGTGTTCCACTCGTGCGTGTGGAATAACCGCGTACACTCAAACCCTTTTGGAAATTAACATTTAATGATTGGATTCAAATATAGATGTACAATTCTGGAAGAGGCTTCTCACATTTGACCTCATTCACTTGTTTGAACAGACAAAATTTCCGAGACTGAGCGCAGCACGCTCTGGGCACGCCACCGATCCATGGTCCTGGTTGAAATTGGCCGTCTGCTGGTGACCTTTAACCTACCGGACTCGGCTGGGCAGTTCTACCGGGAGGCTGCAGACATGGCTGACAAATATCTTCATCCTGAAGAGGTTGCCAAGCTCAGCCTCCAATCCCTGGCACTAACAGCTTCGGCTTATGATCAAGGGTTTGTATAGTTTAGTAATGATTCTCTGCATAAAGAAAAGATAGCGCTTTGTCACCACTCGTCACCTTTAAAGGGAATATACAACAATTGCAAATATCAAAAAACAAAAAGTCCCATTCGCCCATGGGGAATGGGAAATACTATTCAACAGTTAGGATCATGCTTGTTCCATGACGATGTATTTGTGTGCAAATGCACGCTGGTGTTGCGCTCAGCGTTGTGCGTAGCGCGTATTGTTCCAAAGAGCCAGCGCTACAGAGTTATAGGTTCAAACATTTTCATGAAGGGAAGGATTGGAAGAGAGAAATACATTTCCACTAATTTTGTATGGAAATAAAAGTTCAAGTATATAAAATGACAAGGATCTATACATCGGTTATATAAAACAAATATTGAGTGGCTTTAAAGTGTGAAATGGGAGGACAATTATCGCTCGGTAAATCTAGACTTTTCCAGTTCATCGGCTTCGCCTCGTGAAGTGGAAAAGTCTAAACTTTACCTTGCTATGATATTCCTCACATTTCACTCTGAGCCACTCAATATTTGTATATTATATAACCGACATACAGCTCCTTGTTATTTGATTGGTGGAACTCACATCACGTGTCATTAGTTATTACTGCCATTCACACCGGGCTCAAAAAGTACTATTCGCCCATGGGGAATGGGAAGTACTGTTGAACAGTTAGGATCATTCTTGTTCCTTGACGCGGTATTTGTGTGCAAATGCATGCTGGTGTGTGCGTTCAGTGCTGCGCATAGCGCGTATTGTTCCAAAGAGCTAGCGCTACAGCGTTGGGTTCAAACATTTTCGTGAAGGGGAGGTTTGGAAGAGAGAAATACATTTTTCACCAATTTTGTATTGAAATAAAAGTTCAAATATATCAAACGACAAGGATCTATATGTCAGTTATATACATGTAAAACAAATATTGAGTGACTCTAAATTGTGAAATTCGCCGAGTGAACTGAAAAAAAACAGATTTTACCGAGCGATAATATTCCTCCCTTTCCACACTGATCCACTCAATATTTGTACACTATATATCATATCTTTTTCAGTGTCATGGATCGTCAATCAGCCGTCCAGGCTTCCAGTCTCTGGATGGTTGCTGCAAAGCAAGCTGTGGCTCTCAAGCCAGTACCGCCAACCAGCATGCAAGATTTTGAATGGGGAGAGCGAGGGGAACATCTGCAGGAACAGCCTGTCCACGAGGCAGTGCTGGCTGCGGTGGAATCACTGCTTCATTGTCACGCTGGACACCTTACCGGTATGGTCCTTGAAAGAAGGATGGCTATGTACTGTGGCCATAGGCTCAATTGTGCTGCTTATGATTTACGGTGAAAACGATGCTAACTACATAGATGGCAGAATAGTTGTGCTAACCTTTAAGATTTACTGTCAGTTCAGTGCAATTTGTCTTTTAGAAAAATGACAGCTTTTGATTTTTTTTTCTCTCAACCCATACTTTTGCATGAAAACATTCCCACTTTTAGGTATGGAATAAGTATTTTGCAAATTTTGTATTATTTGCATCCCATACAGCTCCTACAGAATGGACCAGTTAATACCCCCCCCCCCCCCCCAATGTAGGGAACCAGTCTTCTCGCAGGGCTGATTTGTTTGTGCACAAAACCATTCCCAACTAAAATCCTTTTTTTTCCGGAAGGGTTGCAGGGGACGAAAGTTAAAAAGTGGGTTTTTTCCCTTAATATTAAATATAGAACTTGAAAAAACAACTTGAAAACTCCTCAGAAGCTCCTTAGAAGAGTATAGAAGCATCACGCCGACTAGTTGTGCATCTCATGTGGGACTACGACTCTTGAAAACTCCTATTTAGCAGATTTTATCCTTTGAAATTTTGTGGATTACTTCCGTCAATGAGTTGAATGATCTCGAATGACCAAACCACAAGAAATTGAAAGCCATCAATTTTCGCTCATAATTTCATATCCAGACAGCCAAGGTTTCCGAGACTCTTGGCACCGGAATCGTGTCTGGCTGACCGGGGCCAGAGCCTATCTGGAGAAGCTTCAGAGCCAGCAGACCCCCTTTGTGGGGTTGTATCTCTCCTTTGTGCTGGCCATGCTCAACGAGGGAATCGCTGCAGAGAATGCATACCATTACTCCTTGTTGAGGTAATTGCGGCCATAACATACAACGCTTTAAGGCCGGTTCATACTTCATGCGAATGCCAATGCGATGCAAATTTAACGTCAGGAAGCTGTGAAATTCGCCAGAGGTGAAATTTGTTCAACTTTTGCGAATTCGCAGCCCGAAAACTTGCCCTGACCTCACAATTTGCAGTCGCGTTAGCCGAGTTTGAACCGGCCTTTATATGTATACGAATATTGACAGCTTTGCTTGGAGCATTTTGTTGTCTTGAGGGGAAAATCATAGTGCTAATATTAAATGACTAAAGCTCCTCATATCCTTGCATAAAATACTTTTGGACTCATCCTTGGCACAGACATTTTGATTGTCGAACATTTTGATAGTTCTCAGTTCCACCATACCGCTTGAAACCATGGGTTGAGATTTGTCGGGATTTTTCCTGATTAAGGATTTTTTTGTCAAGATTTTCCTGGTTTCAGGATTTCAAACTATTAGGGGTTAGGGTTAGGGTTCCTTTTGAAATCTGATATTCCTGAGGTTTTACCGTAAAGGTGCTTTTGCCTATAAATGTTCATTTAGAAGGAAAGAATGGGCATTTTAAACGGTACCTTAACCCTTTCAACTCAGCCCTGTGTAAAATCGATTGCCGGTGATCAAAAATTTCCGAGTACAGTCGGCTCCCGTTATAGCGAAAACGGCTAGAACCAAATTCCGGTTATTACAAACAAATATCTTCGGTCCCGGCAAAATTGTGCACATGTCTATGGGGAAAATTTCGCTTAAGACGAAAACGGACAATACGAAATTCCTGTTACAGCGAAAGGTTTTGGCGACCCCGTTGCGTAAAAATGCATTGTTAGCGACCCATTTATAACGAAAGGTAATCCTGGCTCACGGCTTTTTTGTTCAATTTGAAAGCAGTATTGGTCATCAGTAGGTGTCTCTTGTGTGAGTAGTTTCATGTTGCCGACGTAGATGCATTCAGATGGAGGTGCTAATCGGTTTGCCGGCGCATGGTCATTAATCTCGCACTGCAGTTAGGCTTGTCATCATAGTTTTGCAATGACGTGTACCAGTCACCCGCACCACTTGCACATCGCCATTGTGACATTAATCCAAGACGTACTTCGACCTTTGTGAATGGGCTTTCCCAATTTGTACCTAAAATTGAGAGCTGGTGCAGTTGAAGAAGAACCAGAAGATGAGGAGGAGCCGCCAACGGAGGAACAACGGCCAAGAAATGTCACCGACTGCCTGAGCATAATGCACCAGGTTCGGGACTATCTCTGCAGCCAGCCTGACATGGACGACGATGTCTATGATCACGCTGCTGCAATCCTGCAGTACCTCTCCAGTAGGCAGCAAGACAAGATGTCACAGCGGAAGATAACGGACTTCTTCAAGGTGTAACATCACCTTCCAGATAAATCAAACCAAACGGCTCTTTTCAGAGCCACCACATTTTCTAAAAAGAGATTTGAATCCCGACTCAAATAAAAATAATGAACTCCCACCTTATTACCCGGACAAAATAAAAATAATCCCCTTTCCCCAAATAGAACCCCTTATAAAAAATGGGAAATTAAATAAAACATCGTTTATCCCCTCTCCCACCCTGCACAAATTTTATTTATAAAAATGTAAGGTTAAACAAAAATTACAAAGCACCCCATTACAAATCCAAAATAAAATAAACAATCTTAGACTATCCCAAAATTCTCCAAAATGTAATTTCATTCAAAATTATTCACGACCCCTCCGTAAATTGCTCCCCTCTCTCCCCAAAAATGATTTATAATCAAAACTTTGCCAAAATTGTCCAAACTTATTCATTTGAGCACCAGCACAAATACGTTAAGCTATTTCGTAACTTTAAAAAGGAACCTGCTGGGACGATTAGAAACTGATCACCATCAACGCTGGACATTATGCATACATATGCAAAGTTATGGGTAAATGAACTGGTACACGCCAATGAGCTCGTCCGCTTGCATGACGTTAAAATTGTCAGACGTTAATATCCAATCACAATGTAAGATTATGAAATCATCACTCATTAGGACGCCGACTCATGAGGGCGCTCTGCCAATTTGTAAAATCTACTCGGATCACGGACGGACCGGAAAATCTGGAACGTAACTGACAAAGGTCTTTTGGCAATGTGCTTGAAAACGCTTATCACATTGTCACATTGAAATCTACAAGACGAAAGGACAATACAAATACAATTTAAATGTCTCTCCATGACACAATTTGTGCTGGAGAGATTACTTACTTTGAACATCGAAGTGATCCAGGTCATCCGCCGTTGACTTCTTCCTTATCGATGATCAAGCATTAAAACGTCAGATCTTCGTAATATATATTTTATTTTCGTTTCGTACATTTAACATTTTTTTGCACTTTACACAATGATACATTTTAAACATTATTTTTTATTTGACAAATCACATCATAGAGAGCATGTTCTTAATTGTTTTAAAGCAGAAAAAAGTCATTGGGTACATTATGTAGGTTCACAAGTGTGCACAATAGGGCCAATTCAAGGTGAACAATGGACGGGAAACATTGTATCGGATATTACCAAAATTCGGATACAATGAACATTTTGACCGGTCCCGTGGATTTCGCTATAACGGGAGCCGACTGTATTGTATTTTGTGTTTGCCGCCCTCTTTTGACTCGTATTTGATACCATTTTTCAGCTTTATAGACTGGCTACCCAATGGTGTCATTAGTTTTGTTTGTGAATGTTACGCTTTCACAGGTGAAGTGAAAAAGACGCCAGACCTCTGTCGTTTACCGCGCAGGTTTGTCATGACCGTACGCATTCGTCATGTACAGTGAATTCCAGTACTCTCTTTGTCACCTCTTTTGCACTAATTCCTGCCTAAATCTGCCTGTGGAAACTCCTAAAAAAAACTACAGATAACAAAGAACAACCCCAGAGGAACTTGACTGACAAAGGTGTTTTAACTCTTCTCGATTTTGGCTACGAAAATGACGAGAAAGGAGACCTTGACAGCAGAGCAGACATTCTAAATGACATGCATTCACAATTTTTGTGCCAAAAATCCACAAAAATGGATTAAAACAACCCAAAATTTTGGCTTTTAAAATTGCTGCCATTGAGGGGGGGGGGTCACGTTTTGATATTTTTCCAAATTGTTGATTGCCTAGCTCACAAGCTTTCAGTTGGTGTATAATTTACCTAGACAAAATAAAGAATACTAATGAAAATAGTCCCAGAATTTAACTTAGTAAAAAAAACCCCTCAATATTAGGGCTGAGTTTAAAGGGTTAAGGCCAATACAAACATAAGCAATGAACCCTACGTCCCTCTGGGGCCCTCGGCAACCCCAAACCCTTTGGAGATTATTTTGTGGAGTTTTTCATTTCCCCCCAACCTCACCCCTGTGAGACGTTAAGCACCATGCACAGCATGAGCATGTCGGACTCGTCCAGTGCCATTTTCCTTTGGACCACAAATCGTCTATGGTTGCAGTTCCAGCTGCTTACAGGATGTGGTTTGTAAAGTGAAAACTGGACTGAATAATACAGCCAGGACTTAATTTTCTGCCAGTACCGACATCACTGGTTGCATAAAACAGGTAAAGAAGAACAAAAAGACAAACTTGTGTGACACATTCATTGTTTTTCTAGCACTGCCTGGACAGGGCATCCAGGTGAGATTTCCAGAATGTTGACTGAGGACGACATCAGACCCCACCCCTGGTGGCTCTTCAGGGGGTGGATCACAGCGCGCACCGCAGCCATGGGGAAGGTGATCACAGAGCCCCTGCGAGTTCTGCCCTTGGTGTGGCGGAGGGGCCTGCAGCAACCATCATACAGATTTGATAGGTGAGCAAGAGAGGACATCATTCATAGTTGAGTCCTTCACAAGTCCTCACAACTCCCCAAAGTCCATACAAGTCTGTCGCAAGGTTATCCAGTCTCAAGCCGAGTCACAAGCTTTTCAAATAAACTGTGGCAAATGCCCTGTCACTTGAAACAAGACTTGTGTATTGCTTGTGGTCAGACTTGTTGTAGACTTGTGATGGGCTCAACTGCAACACTGTTGCTTTTTAATCAGAAGGGAGAAGCAAAGATGCTTCTTGTCTTACTCATCTGGTGAAAGGATTGACACCCGCTTTTGACTTGCTGTTCCAGAGTTGGGCTGCACCAAGTTATTCCGAAGACTTGAATTAAAGGGAATGTACAACATTTGCTTTTGCTGGAATTTTGCAAAAAAATAGATTTGGAGGATTGGTATGCTGTAGCAAATATTGTTAAACTGACTTGTTTCACATTTTGGGCTTGTAGATGCTGAAAAAAGCAAGAAAACCAATCATGTTCTTGTAGTCTGGTTCCCTGACCCCACTTAACTCTTTCAGTGCCAAACTCGTACATGTACGAGGTATATTTGTTAGTACGAAAGTGCCAACCTCGTACGTGTACAAGGTAATGTTCATGATTAAAATGCCACGCCTCATACATGTAGAAGGTAGAGTAACGATGTTATCAAAAGGGGGTGATCTCGCTCTTTCTAATGGTACCATTTTCATGCACGTACGACCTGTTTATATTTTTTATTCGAGTTCTTGAAAGAGGGGGCAGCACTGAAACTCGTAATTTCTGCAAAAAGTGCGGAATTTCCCTGTGTGCAGGACAGTGTTTCAGGGTGTATCACTATGTATTTGACTACTATTGACTTTCCAATATACCAAGGAAATACCAGAGACAACAAATTTAGTGAGTAAAACTTATCGACTTTTTTACAGAATTTTGAACAATTAACAAAAACGCTCGAAGTTGGGCACTTTAGGGTTAAACTTTTCAAATTTCGCGGACACTGAAAGATTTAAAATGAAACACAGCAATTTATAGACTTTTGGGGAATTATTAGGTCAAATTATCGGTCTATCAGGCTTGTACCCATTCACAGGTGTGTAATCAATTGCAAAGAAAATGCAGAGTAACTAAATTAGAAAATTTAGGAGAAGTTTTTGAAAAAAAGCCAGTTTTCTCCGACGCTGGTTCTTCCGACCAGCGTTAGAAAAATTAATTATAAGATGGAAAGTGCCAACCTCGTACGTGTACAAGGTAATGTTCATGATTAAATTTGATTTAGAAAAAAATAAGTTTTTCTTGAAAATGTCAGCACACCAGGAGCCATGATTTTAAGGCGAGGCATCATAAATAAATTAACCGTTCGAACGCGTGCGCACGCTAGGAACGGGGCCTTTTGTTACATCTACCTCCCGTTCGCACGCGTGCTCACGGCATCCCGTTCCGAACGCGTTCTTATACAACAAAAGGCCAGTCACGGTCTGTGCACACACGAAGAGCTCATCGGCACTAAAAGTATCCGACAAACTTTCTCGTCGCTACAGGCTAGCCCGTACAGTACAGGGGGGACGTATAAAAATACGGGCACCTTGAACGGGGAAAGCAGTCCTTTGCAATATTTTTTTAACCCTTCCAATATCCGCATTTTTAATATAACCTAGACCATACATATTTTTTCGCCCCGCCCAGCGGCAGACAACGATATTTAAGGATAAAAAGGCATAAATCTTATCAAACTCCTCATACCTGCTCGTGCTGTCTAAACTCTGAAATTTAAACTCTGATTTAAATTCCAAACCAAAACGGATTTTTTTTCTAAAATTAATGTGGCCTGACGTTGCGAACTTAGCAAGTTCTTCTTCAGAGGCTAAAACAGAAATGACAGAGATACATACATTAACATGGGGGTGCACACAAACATGCAGGGCTGAAAGAAGAAACACAAAAGGAGGATTAGGAGGGAAAGGTGTGGAAAGATGCAGGGGAGGGTGGATGAGAGAACAAAGAAACAAAGGGAGATGGCAAACCACAAGGGGTCTGGTGTAAACAGGGGAGGGACCAGAAAGGGGAAGGATCAAAGGTCAAAGGGAGTGGGAACGGACAAAAGAGTGTGAGAGTGAAAGGATGATGCGGGGGGGGGGGGGGGGGGAACAGTATTGAGGTGGAAGGGATGAAAGATGGCGGGAGATGTGTAAACACAAACAAGGAAGACCAGATGGATTATCTGTAACAGAGGACAATGGAGGAAGAAAAGGATTAATCATTTCCAAGTTGGATGTTGAGACCATGTGGTTGAATAGTTCGAAGACGATTCATCCACACCTTCTCTCTGCTGAGGCGAACTGACTCTTTGCGATGGCCAAGAGATTCAATGCCCTGCAAAATCATATCAGAAATGGAGTGGTTAGGCAGGTTGAAGTGATGACCAACAGGGGTGTCTAGTTTCTTGGTGTTGACCGTTGACCGATGGGCATAGAAACGCTTCTTGAGCGTATTCTTAGTCTCACCTACATACTGCACTCCACAGACCCTGCAAGAAATGAGATATATGACATTAGAGGTGTTACAAGTGATGTTACCAATGGTTCTGTGGGTGGTGACAGAAGAGTGGCCAGAAAAGGAGTCAGACTCCTGGATATGAATCTGGCAGACAACACATCTGGAACTGCACTTGAAAGTACCATGCTGGGTGGGAGGGGATGCATCTAAGGATGGGACTTCAGCTCGAACAATCAAGTCCCGTAGATTTCGAGGACGCCTGTAAGCCAATGTGGGGCCGTTGGGGATGGCGCGGGCAAGGCGATCTGAAGTATGGAGGATATGATGATTATCATTAGTGATTTTGCGGAGGGGAGGGAGATTGGGGTGAAACGTGGTAACCAAGGGAATCATGGGTTTGGCCATGGCATCAGGGGCCTTTCCCGTGAGAGCTTGATTTCTGGGGATAGATTTAGCTCTGGCAATGGCACGATGAACTTGGCGAGAGCTGTGACCCCTGGCCACCAAGTTGTTCTTCAGTATCTGTGTATGGCGGGAGAAATCGGAATCATTAGAACAAATTCTTCTGAGTCTGAGTGCCTGGCTAAACGCTATGCCAGTTTTGCAGTGCCTGGGGTGACAGCTGGAGGAGTGGAGGTACTGGTGGGTGTCTGTGGGTTTGGAATACAGGTCAGTGGTTAGTGAGTTGCCTTGCTTGCGGACGGTGACATCCAGAAAGTGGGTTTGGTGAGCCGAGAACTCCGATGTGAATTTGATGGTTCTGTGGAAGGAATTGATGTGGTTAGTGAAGGTCAAGAGACTGTCCTCATCACTGGTCCAGATGAAGAAAACATCATCAATATATCTCCACCAGATCCAAGGGCGACATGGGGCCGAGGCAAGAATGCGTTCTTCGAGGTCACCCATGAAGAGGCAAGCCATCGACGGGGCCATGCGAGTGCCCATTGCAGTGCCGTGTACCTGTAGATAGTGTTCACCAAGGAAGGAAAAATTGTTCTTCGTTAGTATAAGTCTCATGAGGGTGCCAACATCACTGATGGGAGGAGTCGTGTGTCCTGCCTTGGCCAGAGCCAAGGAGCAAGCACGAACTCCCTCCTCATGTGGGATGTTGGTGTACAGAGATGAGACGTCGAAAGTCCCAATGATGGCTGTGCTGGGAATCTGGTCCTTGATTCCTTCAAGCTTGCGTAGGAAGTCTGGGGTGTCGTGAATGTATGACGAAATCTGTGGGACAAGGGGTTTGAGAAAACTGTCAATGAACAGGGAGATGCGTTCCGTGGGTGAGCCATTACCGGAGATGATGGGTCTACCGGGGTTGCCAGCCTTGTGAATCTTGGGTAGAAGGTAAAATCTGGCAGTCCTACAATCACAGGGAGAAAGAAATTTGTGAGCTTTCTTCGACAACTGGTCACGTGATCGCATATCGTCAAGTACCTGTTGTATATCTTGACAGAAAGTGCCTGTGGGGTCAGAGTCAAGGCGGGTATAGTTAGTGCGATTATCCAACTGGCGGTGGGCCTCATCAATGTACTGTTGACGATCCATGATGACCACAGCTGAACCTTTATCTGCTGGCTTGATGATGATGTCGGTGCGAGAGCGCAAGGAGTTGAAAGCCAGGCGCTCCTCTCTGGGGAGATTATCATGAGTCCTGTGGGGGAAGTTGTCCGGGTTAGTGACTTGGGAATTGATAACTTGAACGTATGTCTCTATGGCTGGCACACGATTCTTGGGGGGTACCCATGAACTCTTGACTCGAAAAGGCTCTGGCTCACACAGTTCACTGTCCAGGAAAAACTCACGCAGGCGGATTCTACGGTAGTATTCCGTGAGATCTTGGCTGAGCTGAACCTGGTTCACAGAACGGGGAGCGGGACAAAAATTGAGACCCTTGGAGAGAAGTTTGTGCTCTGCGCCAGATATTGATGAGGAAGAAAGATTAACTACAGTGTTGACAGGGGGTTCTGGCGGTGGCGTGGTAGATGGGGACCTAGGACGTCTGAAACGTCTGTGTCTGCGTTGCTGTTGCTTGGCAAGCAAGCCACCAATCTTCTTGTTTCTCCTGTTGAGTAGGACAGAGTCAAGGTTAGACAAACCCCTTTCAATCTCATCATGGAAATTCCTGTACGTGGAGTCTGAACAACTCGATTTGAGTTGGGAGTCAAGGTGGGAAATATTCTGATGGAGGTCCTCACGTGTAAATTGACACTGCTGAGAGAGAATATTGATGAGTTTAATAGAGGCACCATGTAGAACTTGATTCCATCTCCTTTGAAGGTGTGGTGGGAGGTTTCCTAAGCAGGGAGTGTGAGACAGTTGCAAACCTTTGGGGATAAATCGAGAGAGGGAGTAAAAACTGTAGTTATCCTGATGGTAGGAAAAGCGTAAGGCCTTTTCCTTTGCCTTTCTGAGCAGTTGGAAAGTGCAAATGGTGTCACTCATATCTGTAGAAAGGGAGAGAATAAATGGTTAATACAATAAATCAGTGGAGGAACACGAAGACAAAAAGTACAAGTCAAATGGAGTTGCTCATGCCTTTTGAAGGGACAGAGCAAAACAAAATTGTAGGTACCTGTAGTGTGGAGAGAACAGTTTGATTAGTACATGATATAAAACGATCAAAAGAAGGAACAAAACAAAACACAATGAAACTTACATTTTTTTTCTGTACAAGTATATACACATGGTTGTTCATCGCATCTTTGTTGTGCTGCTCCCGTTCTCGCACCCAAAGGAACGGTTGATTAACATAACAATACCCCCTCAGTGAAGCTTGCCCAAGCACGATCTACGGAACGCGTTCTAAAAGCCGTTCGGCACGGGAAGGAACGGGGGCCGTTCAGAACGGGAAGGAACGCGTGCGAACGGTTAATTTATTTATGACGCCTTGCTAAAGGATGCTTTATTCTGTCATTTCCTAATAATTCAGTAAGGTATTTTGTGGTTATTTGATCATTTCGTTTGTTGATGTTTGCAAAAGTTGTATCTTCCCTTTAAAATCATACAGTGGGTACTGCATAAACTATTATAAGATGGAATTTTGCATGGGGTGATATATATCAAATTAGGTTTTGCCTTTCACTGACGTTTAAACACTGTATACTCAGTGTGTTACCTCCTGAGTGAAAGTTGGAAAAAAATGTGGTACCCGCTGCTATGTACATCAAATTCGAACCAGCCAACCGATCCCGTTAGCTCGGTGATCAAGTGGTAAGACATCTGCACTAGAAAGCAGGAGGTCGTGGGTTTGAGTCCCACCCGAATGATATTTTTTTCAACTTTTAGCTGGTAACCTGCTTTTATAAGCCAGACTGTTTTTGTGCTAGGCCAATTTTTGTGCTTAGCAGCTCCGTGAAATTGGCCCCAGCTGGTCTGAAACCGAATTCTGTTTGGGTTGACTGGTTCGGCACTCCTGCACGCCAGTCTAAAATGGTTGTTAGTCTCCAATTTATACCTCAACAAACAACAAAGTTTTTAAAAATGCTTAAAACTGTGGCCTGCTTTTGTCAAACACCAGTCACTCTAGAATTTCATCCAGCTCCCTGTCTCTCTTCCCCCCAAAAAGTAGTTTGATTGTTCAATAAAACATGTATCAAGAACTCTTTAATACGTTTTGTTGATCTTATAAAAATTCCCAATTTTTTCCCTCAAATTTCTGATGATCATTTGATTCTTTTTCACGATTCTTTTTCCGTTCCTGTGAACACAGGTTCGTCCCCTTTTTTTTTTACTTTTCAAATGCCCCCACACTTTCCATAAATCAAATTCCTTATTTTTTTTTCTTTGTTGTCCTACAAAAAACTTTGGACTTAATAATTATGCCTGATTCAACTTATGAATCTAACACTTCAAATTTTAATTTGTAGGTACACTGTACTCTACACGAAGCTCACAATATCTGTTGTGTAGTTTGTGTTTTTTTTCTGTGTCAGTAATGTCATTTCATTTTGTTGCTTTTTAAAGGAGCCCCATTGGTGTTGTATGCAAGCAAGTTGCTGATATTCAAGGATTGACCCCTGACCTGCATGTGACCCCTAAAGGTCACTTGACTGGTGCCATGGTTCAGAATCTCCCACCAATGACGAAGGTCTGCTTTGATGCGTACAACGGGTAAACAATCAATCATGCCATTTTTATTAGCTGTTCCCAATTTCAATTGGGAACAGCTCTTGTTTTCGTTAATTTTTTGTTTCCTTTTTTTTGGCTTTTTCGCAATTTTGTGATAAAGCCTTTGTTTTTGTTCTGATTTTTTATTTGTCTTCTTTTTGTTTCACACAAAACGCCATAGACTTTGTACACGATTTTTCTACACGCCACCTTTGGCATTCAGCTTTTGCATACATCATTGAAAGTAATCACATGCATATGTCATATGCAGACCCCAATATCATATCTCATGAATTATTTATCTGATTGGGTTGAAACTTCACATTAATACAAAGCTATATTGACAGATTATTATATTGCATTATTATTACTGTGCGCTTAATTATTGTTATGTTATGACGTCATGAATATTTAATGAGGCAATCTTTGCAATCTATTTATAGATGAAAATTGGTATGTCAAGGTCATGTGACCCCCACTTCCAGTGTTACCGGAAGTGTTAATTTTAGACCCTAATTAGCACAACTAATGAATTATAAATTTGATTGGGTTGACACCTTATATTAGCATTAAGCAACATTGAAGGATAAATATGTTGCATTCTTATTAATGGACAGATTAATGTATTCATGTTATGACGTCATGAATATTTAATGAGGCAATATTTATTTATTCTTTTAACTTTAACCCTAACTCCCTAGGGGGTGTGCAAAATCATATTAATTTTGGAGGTTTCAGGACTGTTAAGGCTATAACTATTTGACCGATTGATCTCAAACTTGGTAAATATATAGACAGGGAAGTGTTATAAATGAAAATGTGTATGTTAAGGTCATGTGACCCTTACTTCTGGTTTTACCGGAAGTGCAATTATGTAAAATTAGAATTTCAATTTTAAAAGTCTCAAACTTGGTATGAATATAGTCAGGGAAGTGTTGTAGAAGAAAATTGTTAAGGTCACGAGGCCTTTACTTCCGGTTTTACCGGATGTTGTAATTTTAGACGCCTATATCGTATCTCATGAATTATTAATCTGATTGGGTTGAAACTTCACATTTATATAAAGCTATATGGACAGATAATTATGTTGCATTGTTATTACTGTGCACTTAATTTTTGTCATGTTATGACATAATGAATATTTAATGAGGCAATCTTTACAGTCTTTTAACTATAAAACTATTTGACCGATTGATCTCAAACCGGTAGGTATGTAGACAGGTAAATATTCTAGGCGAAAATTAGTATGTCAGGGTCATGTGACCCTTCTTTTGGGTTGTACCGGAAGTGCAATTTTTAAAAGTAATAATTTCAAGTTTATTAATTTCAATCAACGTCAATATCAACATCAACAATCGACTATTATCATCAACATGAACATCAACAATCAACATCAACAATCAATAATCAACAATGCGAAAAAGCCAAACCTCTAGCCCAACACCGTGTGTTTGTCCTCAAACTCTAGTTTTATATTGTGTTAGTTTGCAAAGCAGTTGTAACAATTATTCACTGTATATTTGCAAAGCTGACTTTCTTATTTGCTGACTTGTCTCTCTTGCTAACTTTTGCTCTAGTTTGAAGATTTTTTCCTAATGAATTTCCAATTTCATTGGTGAATTTGATGAGAGTTTTAAATTAGTACTGTACGTAGAGTGCGTTCGATTACTTCCCCCAGCTTACTCACGCCTAGCTCCTCATGTAATGACAGACATACGCAGTGGAGCTAAATAAACGAACGGTTTTGGGTAAAGCTACGTGCAAGAGCTGGAAACATGGGCGTCGCCAGGATTTTTTCTAGAGGGGGGCAAAACATTTTTTCCAAAAGAAATCCTGTTTTTCTCAACATATTCTTGATTTATCAGTTTTAGAGGGGGGTAGGGACATTTGCCCCCCCCCATTAAATTTACACCAATATGACTTCTCGCCTCTTTTCTTTTCTTTTTCTCTCTCTTTTTTCCTTCCTTTTTTTGTTGCTTTTCAGGGGAAGGGAATGTTGCAACTTGACGCCACTTTTTTCTTCATTATCATCTCAATGAAGGTCATTCATTGCAAAAATGATGATAAGACATGAATCTGGGACTGAGAAATATTTCCAATTTTGTTAGGAAATTTGTTTCTTTACACTCCATAGACTTTGTACACAATTGAGGAAGTGGCGGCAGGTTGCAACATTTTTCCCAGGCTACATCCGAATCAATTAACTGTCTAGAGCATGTCCACGCCCAGTGAAAATATGCGGGGTCACACTGACAATAATTCGTAGCCGTAGCTCCATGCATAGAGCTACATTGGGTTTGTAGCTCTATGCTTCGTGGAAGCCCATTTCAGACACGGCCTGATGAGGCGCCCGCTGGACGTTGCATGGCCTTATGGGATGCTTACCCAAGGAACCGGCTCAGCGAGTCGGTTACTTGGGCCAGGCTCGAGTAAGTGCGAGAAGTCATGTGAGAGGTAAATAACACGCTGTTGTTGCACTTGCAGGAGTAAGCGCGGGGGATGTAATTGAACGCACTACTTTTTTTTTTTTTTATAATAGAAGTATTGTACATTAGAACAGTATCACAAGATAATAACTGTCATGCACCACTTTTGCGTAGTAGTAAGATTGGGTTGTAATGTAATAAGTGCGAGTGCACAATAAGGTATGGCGAAACATGCGACGCCGATGGCACATATGGAACTCCATCTTTTTGATATTCAATATTTTTGAAATACATCAGTGGCAGATCCAGAGAGGTTCGTGCCGGGGGGGGGGGGGGGGGGGAGCGCAACGGCTCATTCGAGTGAAAATGGCCTTATTTTACAAAAATTTGGTAATTGCCGGGGGGGCACATGCCCCCGTAGCACCCCCCTGGATCCGCTAATGTACATCAATAAGTTAAAGATATCTGGTACATAGCAAAATAACGAATTCACTAAATATGTCACCAAAAAATGTAATAAAAGTAAACTGCGCTATTAACAAGTGTTAAATTAAGTTTGGTTTATGTACAGGAGAATATAGGAGTATGGGGTTGTTAGAGTAAGCCGAGGATTGTAAGAAACAGCCTTTATAGACAACAAAACTATAACGAGACACAGACAATACAGACAAGACAAAAGTGACACGGCTTAAGCTGACATAATATGAAAGTACAAAATGAGTAAATAATTGGAAAAGCAATGATTTTGAACTAGCTACAATAAACATGATGAAAATAATAAAAACGATGAAAATGCATAGAAATCAGGTTGGGAGCCTGTGCTACATGACATGTAGAAGCTCCTGCCAGAGCTTAAAAATGGCACCCCGCCCACCTTTTGAGGACATTTCCTCCTTCTGGATACCGTCCAACCACTACACAAAATGGTATCCACCTTGTTCCTGGAAGATGTAGAGCACAAGTGCGAGTGCACAATAAGCTCTGGCTGTGTTGCACAAAGTCTTACATGAAAGTCTTGCTATGAAATCAATCAAAATGATCCCTGCCGCAGCTTAAAGTGCGACGCTGAAAAATGCGACACCGATGGCACATATGGAACACCCTACTTTTCGGGACAGACAGACTGAGCAGCAAGTGACATGTAGAAGCTCCTAGCAGAGCTAAACAAACCTTAATTTTCCAAATGTTATTTGATAAGGAAATCATCAATTCTTTTTTCCAACAGTCAAGTTCATCTCGGTGACTCTTGCTGTGAGGACCTCCATCGATGGGACAACTACGGTGAAGCCGATCGGATCCGTGAACAATGTAAATATAATACTTTTCTAACATTCTACCAGAAAAAAAATGATTGCAGAAGTGATTTACTAATGCTACAGTCCTATTTACATAAATAAAAGGGTTAGTAGATGTAATGATCAAATAGAGCCCTTTTATGATGTTTGATAATCTTGTCAGATAGAGAAAAAAAATCACATTTATCAGTGCATATGTACATATAATATTTATATGTACATGTATGTATGTGGTATTTTGGTTAAAGTTTGGTAAAAGTGGTCTCATTTCAAAAGTGTAGAGGTCCAATTGGAACCAAACTTGAATCATAGGTGCAACATGGGAACCTTCATATGATAATGATGTCAAAGGTCACATACCAAGGTCAAAGGTCATCTGAGGTCAAGTTGTAAAATAGGCTGAACATGTAAAATTGGTCTCAAAAGTTAAAGTCCAATGGGAACCAAAGTTTGGTCATAGGGAACGTACTTCACATGATAATGATGTCAAAGGTAACACACCAAGGTCAAAGGTCACTCTTTAAAGATAATTGCAAAAGAATCAACTTGTTGATGAACTGTTAAAATTAATTATTGTTCCGTGGTTACTAGATTAATATGGCAGCAGGTTCCGAAATTACGGTAAAAGCACACCTCTACATGCACATGTGAATGGTTATATGATGTAGGGGATGGGGCTGGGGCCGCAGCTTATATAGACCTATCAGATTAGCCCCCCTGGTTTTACTCACTAACTTGGACAAGGAGAATAGTCTTGCAAAATGGAGTTGTCTGGCCAAATAAAGAGTGAAAGCAAGGAACAAAAATTGAATGAAAAGAGGGAAAGACGTTAAAAGATTAAATGACCCTGGTTAGAATCGTAACTGATGAAGTTTTCATTCTTCACCTAAAGATATATTCCCTGTGCTACTGTCAAGTTTCACGTGGCAACCACCCCAACGCCATCAAAATCCATCCCCCCATTTTTTTGTCGGATTTTGGGTGACTTGGTCCAGAAGGCCTGGCGTGACTAAATATTGATGGAGTACGATGGACTTGGGCCTAATGGCCTGAAGCAGTGCTAGGGGTATCCGATTGATTTTGCCTAGCTTCCTGTACTGCAATTGTGATAAAAGCCATGTGTAGCAAGTCCATGAATGTCAACCAGTGCGTCAGTGGTGGATTCCATTATGTCATGTACAGTTTTGTATTGGATGCACAGTGATTGATGGATTTTGACGGACTTGGTCCAGTTCCTAGTAAGAGTCATTAGGGAGTTAGGGTTAATCATATTTTATTGTCCGTAAATTGAACTCTGAAAGTGAAACACAACCAATGTGTCACCATTTAAACATAGTAATCAAGCTGTCTTCCATTGATTTCCACCCCTACAGCTCACTTTGACTGTAACAGTTCCCTCCCGCAACCAAACGTTATTTACAACGACCCTCTGACGTCGACCACAGTTAGCGTTATGATTACAAGCATGAGCAAATACTACGAATTGGAAGCCAACCGACATCCCATTACCGTCGATTTCAAGAGATATTCACAGCAAACTGCGGAAAACTTGAAGTTGATCCAGAGGGAATCTCAGCCGGCTATCTCTGTTGTCTACCGGAGAAGAGGGACCAAGGTCACGGTCAACATTGTTGATGCTGTCTTGCAGGAACAAAAGAAGGTACAGACGAGTCTTTTTGGACACCGATTCTGGCTAAAAATTAATGAAATATAAGCTGGTACATTATGCAAATAATGAATGTTTGTGAGTGCAGTGGTAGGAATAATTTCATGAGGTGACGGATGAAATGTTCCATTCCACGAGGCGAAGCTGAATGGAATGGAACATTCCATCTGTTACCGAATGAAATTATTCTTTCCATTGCATGAACGTGAAACATTCATTATTTGTTTTATATAACACCTGAATAAATCCTCCCCATCTGATTGGTCAGAATTGCCAAAAAGTGTGACTGTGCAATGGAAGTTCTATTTACTGTGGAATAAAACTTCTATTTTCGCAGTGCGGCCACGCCGTACATTGTGACGAATAATTTAATGACATGTGATCAACGACCTACCAATCAGATGACGGGGATTTATTCAGGCATCCTATAATAGGTGGTTAATCTCACAGAGAGTGGTCAGGGACTCGCAGTAAGTGTTGGGCAAAAGGTATGCTGTTGGCTAAGAATTTGAAAATTGACTTAGATTCGGACCTAATACTTGTTCATCTCTAGTCAGTGTTGTAGTCAAGTACTTTTTTCTGAGTACCGAGTACTGCCGAGTACTTAATTTGCCGAGTACAGGTTCTTGTGCTCCAGAGTACAAGAATAGGTCTCCGAGTACGAGTACTTGAATGTCCCAGTGCGAGTACTTGTACTTCCGAGTACGAGTACGAGTACTTGTATTCCAAGTACGAGTATGAGTACTTGTATTTCCGAATATGGCACAGGGTATATTGTGCTTGAAGCCTAACATTATGTGTACTGTTAATCACTTGTGATAGGGTTCATCTTTGTAAGCTTTTTCAATTACGTGAAGTTAATTTGTTTTTTAAATCGGCAACATCAGTCTCAAATCAATGTAAATGTATTTTCCAAGGAAACGCTACACAGCTGAGATACAGACATGAAAGTTTAGGTCAACTGTTATTCAATAAAATTAATCTATACAGTGTTGTGCATTTAATTTGTATTAGTATCATTGATGTATTTTTCAGGTCCTTGGATTCCTCAGACTAAAAAAACAAAACAAGTACAACAAGTATTCAAATGGCCGAGAAAACAATTCTTTGTTTCTACTTAGTTTCAACCACTGTTCTTAGTGTTCTTACAAAAGCAGGGTATTTCTTCCGCTTAAGCTAGATGAAGTTCCGCATAATGCTTGATGAAGTTCGAAGATGAAGTTCAAAGTTGTCCCATATGTTTCTGATATGCGAACAGCACAAAACATGCACGCTGCACTGTGGCGTTTCACCCCATTTTGGACAAAATTCCCTGTGATCCTTGAACCCAAACTTCACAACAGTGGACACAGATGACATGACACATGTATTTTGGGGTTCTTTGCACGAACAACACATACAATTTGTGTACAAAAAGTGACTGAAGTGCCACACAGGCAAGCGTAAGTGAATGTCGACGGTACTCGTGCACGTACAAAAGTACATGCAACGTGCATGCAAAATAACGGCAGATTCACGTTTTCTTGCAGGTGTCTCAGTATGCATTTAGTGTGCTTCCCATTCGTAGGCCTCTGTTGAAGGCTAGGCCACTGTGGACCTGATGCCGTAACCAGATTAAGGGGCTATTTTTTCAAAGCTCGGCTTGGCTGTGTCTCTTTCTCCATTCATGCACATTGGCAATGGGGCTTGACCTGTATTATTGGACTGAAACCGGGGCTCAGAAAACGGCTTTGCTCCAATCACCCAAGTTAATTGTACGCCCATTTTGAGGGAAAGATTCCCATATCTGGTCATCAGTAATTTTTCCCTTAACCCTAAAGGGGCCGGGTTATTTTGACCATCTCTCAGCCGGGGGGGGGGGGGGGGGGGGGGGCGGATTCCGCCCCCCCCCCTAAGATCTCGGCCATCGAGTGACGAAAATTTTTGAAACTCACTACATGCATAGAGCAACTCTTCCTCAACATGCCCAAGAAATTTCATGACTATAGGTCAAAGGGTTTCGGAATTATGGCTAATTAATTATTCATATGTATGAATGCCAATTCTGCTCGGTGTACACGACGTATATGCGAAAATTCAGTTTTCACGGCGAAAATTTTTCGCTACGTGCAAACCCGTGGTCCGATTTTTATGTTTTTGGTATCAAAAGATGCGCAAAGCTCGAGGCTAAAAAGTCATAAAAGCTCGGGTCGCGAAAAAATTTTTTTTAGAAGCTATCGCGGAAAATGTTGAGGGGGGGGCGGATTCCGCCCCCCCCCCGGCCCTTTTAGGGTTAAATGACCTATCGGCCATCACATCAGAAAGTGATAAAATGTCCTAAAAAATCAATATTAACAGGGACAATTTTTTATATTTTAACTGAGAAAACGCTTAGAAATGTTCAGCCCAGTCCCATAGAGTTTGTGCACAGGGTGACAAGTGATGGCCAGATATGGGAATCTTTCTATTTTGAGGAACACCTCGGCGTACAATGATCGCCCATTGTGCCCACATACGGCAAATGGTTCATTGTGGGTAATTGGCCCAGGCCCAGTCAGACCTATATACAGACCCAGTTAATTGTGTTTGTACGACGTGCTTAGAGTAGAGAGCATTTTGATTTTTCCGCAATCGATCATTTGAAACTCAAAGTATCGATAAAGGCCGTGGTAACGTAAGTGCTATACCATTTTTTTTTTATCAAGTACCACTATTCGAGTACGAGTATTTTGTTTTATCGAGTACTGTTATTCAAGTACGAGTACTTTGACATTCGAGTACAAGTAGGAGTACGACTACTCCAAAAAAAGTACTCGAGTAGTACTCGAGTACGAGTACCGAGTACGAATACCACAACACTGTCTTTAGTACACACTAGATCACCCAATATTCTGTATGTTCCATTCATCCGCACATTAAATTCCCTGAAACACATTACATTTCTACAGGCCTCGTTTGTGGAATGGACTTGATCAGTCTATGGGCTCCGTGCACAAGTACCCCATCAACGGCCAGAAAAGGAGAGTTGGGGGAGACCTAGACTGGTTTCCAATCCATCCACTGCATATTTTGAATGTATCCAAAGTGATTTGAGGCAGGGATTGGTCTCGGAGACTATCACAAGCTTAATTTGAATGTATTTGCGCACCAACGGTGCCTGACGCTCACTTGAAAACACGTTGGCTATGACTTTTCCACATTCAGAAAGTCATGTGTACTTTGCGCACGAACCAGCACAGTACCGTACGCGCACCCTGTGTGTCCCTTCCATAGAGCTCACAAAAGAGGTAAAAATGTGCCCTCTTTTCTTGGCGCACGAAACCCATAAAACCTCGGTCTTCTGCAGGCCAATTTAACATAAATGCCTAATTCCCATTGGTCGAGAGCCCATCACGTGGCCGGTCTTAAATAAACGGATGATAAAGACATGGCTGGCTGGTCTTCAATGCTTTTCCAGTGTCACATGAAATTTGGGCTCCTGTGAAATCCAGTGCCTTTTACCGTTTTGTTGGTTGAACGTTCACAATCCCCACATAGGCATGCACAATACTACCAGTGAGTCAGTACATGTATTTCATAGTCCTAAATTCACAACCCACTCCCCACAGCTGCATCTGCGCATCATCGCGCAGTACGCACGTCAATCTCCATTTTTTGACTGAAAAGGTATGTGCTTGGTTGGTATTTAACACCATGTTTAAGACTGGTTGGAGTCTGGATGCTGATAATTACCCTCGACTTCCCCTCGGGTAATTATCAGTACTCCAGACTCCAACCAGCCTATAACCTAGTGTTTAACACCTCCCAAGCACATGTTTATTCCCTTATTGAAATTGAATCTCAGGTGGTGAATTTACTGTGCATTACTGGATTTGTTTCAGCAAATACTTGAAGCTTTTTCTAGTCAGCTTGAGAAGAATCCAAAGTGTGATGCTCAGGCTGCCCGCATGAAAGAGGCTGAAGGCTTCATTGATTTCTGCATTAACAGGTCTTGTGACTGCACTCTAGATGTAAGTTAATACCAGACTTGTCACATTAGCTGTTGAAACCAAATTTGTAGGCTTTGCTAGATAATGTTCTGCTTGATTTTATTTATTCACAAAGTTGGGTTGCCGTTTGCTCAGAATAACATTTTCAGCATAACTGCTACAAAGTAAGGCCCCCTCCCTACAAAAATATAGAATACTGCTTCCGGTTTCCCTACCTACCCTATTCTGACAACCCCTACCTTAATTTTTTTCTGGAAAAAACAAGGGGAAAAACACCAAAATACATCAATTTTTCCCTCTTTCATAAACCCTTGACTACATGCATACGTCTCTATATCACCGTACACAAACAAAATTCCCTACCTATCTATCTTATTTTTGAATGCCATGGAGTTGGAAGCAGAACTATTTTTTTTGACTAACCACAACCAACATAAAAATGGATTTTATTACATTCTCGTTCATTAGGTTAAGCACGTTTTTATAGAAACCTAGTTTTTCACAAATGCATTCTTTTTAGAATAAAAATCTGCTTTCTTGTAATTTCCATCATGTTTGTGATGCCGCTTTCATTGTATTTTCATCAACAGCTATTGCAGAGCTTTATGGAAACCAGAATCAACGGAAGTTCCTCGCAACCAGCGCCCCAACATACCCCATCCACCAATAGGGACTTTGCCAAATTTGTTTACGGGAAAAAGAATTTGCACAGGTTCAAGACTGTAGAGATGCGCTTGAAAAGTGTTCTGTATGTTGGCAAGGCAACGGTGGTGCTGCTGCTTCAGATGCGCAGATATGACGTATTATTGGTGAGTATGTTCTGATGTGAGTTCAAACCCTATTCCAGTCTCCATCTCCCTCTCCATCGGTGAAGTCGGCAAAATATCCTGTCGGATACATCAACGCTAACGTGCGCACTGCGTGTGGAAATAGACTACAATCCTTGCCAAATCTCGCTGGGCCCCCAATCCCCCGGCCCCCGCTCAATGTTGTCTCTCATTGTGCGGTGTGTGCTCCATCAGCTGGAGAGAACAACATTGAGCGGGGGAGTGGATGACCGTGGGAGGCTCAAAAAGTGTTTTTCTTTTTGCAAAAATTTTTTTGGGGGGACAGTTTATTTTGATGGTGGTGGTGCCATTTACACCCCTATTATACTACTCCAGTATAGGCCACATATACATATCACCATGGTCAAATCGTGGGACTTAAAAAAAATTGTCAACCTCTTGGGGGGAGGGGGGCTCAAGCCCCCCAGAGGCCCCCAGCCTTGGGTGCGTCACTGCAATCTTGAGATTGCAGGCTCAAGTCCGCTTCATGAAATTTCTTTGTTCAACTTAACAACTAATTTCTGACTGAATTTTCGGACTGACTGTTTAAACTTTTCCTGTAGTTTTGCAAAATTGACGTGCAACTTTACAGCCCATTGATGGTGGACTGTCACATTTAAGGATATGACATAATTTCTGTTTAGTTTTGTAAATGCTTAACAAATATTTTAAGAATCGTTAGTCATTTTACAAAGGCTGACGTGTGTCCATTATGCCTGCAGACCGATGTGATTGACATGATAAATCAACAGTGATTGACATAATAAATAGCGGGTACTTCATAAAACAAAGTTAAGTCAAAATTAACCATGTACACCTCGAATGTTATCAAGTAACTGCGGTGCAGGCTTCTTAGTTTTTGTAAATTAAATAGGTTTGAAAACATCTTGAATTATTTGTGCTATGTATGTTTAACTCTAATGATGATCGCATAGGTCCCTTCATTAGTTATCTTGTTGCACAAATATATACACTATAATATTAGTCATCCCGCGAGTGCGAGTGGAACACGGAAAAATGTTATGACGACTGATAATGGGTACTTGATACATGTAAAATCACTCTCTTGCTGTGAATTCACTCTGTTGCTTTGAAGGCACGTCATAGGTTTCAATGGTTTCATAACAGTTCCTAGACTGCTCTTCTGCAGCAAGTTTCAGTCGCCCCATCTTAAGAAAAAGTCAAGAGAAACGTACAACCTACTTGTATGGAGCAGGCAAGCCTAGCTGGGTAGTACCAAGTAAATGCCATTGCTGGAATGCTCCAAACCCGACAGCAGGTCTGCTCTTTACATTCACTGATAGTCGTGATGAACGAGATGACAGTCTAACACACTTTAAGTAAGTCAATCCTCCATTTAACCACAAAACTGAGTTGACTTATTTTTTTAACTAATTTTCAGCAAAATTAACCCATTAACCCTAACCTCCTAGCATAATTTACTAGGACCCATACCCAACTTGGCAAATTCGAACACCATATGGGAAACTGCACACACACATTTTTATGCCCCGCGGCGAAGCCAAAGGGGCATACTGTTTCCGCCTTGTCCTTCCGTGGGTGGGTGGGTGTGTTCCTGTATTGTATTACGCTCGAGGACAACAAAAGGAGCACAAAGGGGCCATTCATCCTCGAACGACGGTGCCTATTGTCCTCGAACCCCGGTTTGTGCACTAAGTCTATGGGAAAGGTTTAGATCAGGGAACAAAGGAAAACACAAAGCCAATCCTCGGAAGCATAGCAAACAAGTCAGGTGTGTTTACAAACACAAATGCCCCGCAACCGTGACTGTTCCCATGACATATAACACCACTCTTTTAACATCAACTTGCATGTACCTTGGTCACATGGAACGTTCATTGACAGCATTAGTGTTTTCTGTAGGTTTATATGAATTAATCCCTATGACGATGATCTCAGAATACATACAAGATTCCTATTGTTTTAGCCACTGTGACCTTGAACCTTGAACTTGCGACCCCCAATGCAATAGGCTTCTTCGGATTACCAAGAACAATTCACAAACCAAATTTGAAGTTCACATGTAAAGTATTTCTCAAGTTATCACACTGACAAAATTTCTTTTGTTTTAGCCACTGTGACCTTGACCCTTGACCTTGCGGCTCCAAATGCAATAGGCTTCTTAGGATTGCCAAGGACGATCCACAAACCAAATTGAAGTTCACATGTAAAGTATTTCTCAAGTTATCACGCTGACAAAATTTCTATTGTTTTAGCCACTGTGACCTTGACCCTGGACCTTTCGGCCCCAAATGCAATAGGCTTCTTAGGATTGCCAAGGACAATACCCAAACCAAATTTGAAATTCATATGTAAAGTATTTCTCCAGTTATCGCGCTGACAAAATTTCTTTTGTTTTAGCCTCTGTGACCTTGACCCTTGACCTTTTGGCCCCAAATGCAATAGGCTTCTTAGGATTACCAAGAACAATCCACAAACCAAATTTGAAGTTCATATGTTAAGTATTTCTTAAGTTATCGCGCTGACACGATTTATCCGGACACACACACACCCACCCATACTTGTTTCACATGACTAGTGTGGACTTTCCATTGCTTTCGTGTAGTTAAGAAAAACCAGTGAGAAAACTCATTTTTCTCAAACTGTGAAAACTCTTTCAACCCAATTTTTTTTCTATGATTCCCTTTAGTGTTTCTCTTCATTCTGCTACAGATAAACCTAACCCAAAAATGCCTCTAAACTGTTTTCCAGAAATGGGGAAACACTGTGTGGACGTGGGGTAAGTCCACACAACGTCGGTGCTACCTACATTATGTGGACGTCTTTTGTTCGGAAGTCCACACTGCGTATGTAAGACAAGCTCACCCACCCACACTTGTTTCACATGACTAGTGTGGACTTTCCATTGCTTTCGTGTAGTTAAGAAAAACCAGTGAAAAAACTCATTTTTCTCAAACTGTGAAAACTCTTTCAACCCAATTTTTTTTCTATGATTCCCTTTAGTGTTTCTCTTCATTCTGCTACAGATAAACCTAACCCAAAAATGCCTCTAAACCTGTTTTCCAGAAATGGGGAAACACTGTGTGGACGTGGGCAAGTCCACACAACGTCGGTGCTACCTACATTATGTGGACGTCTTTTGTTCGGAAGTCCACACTGCGTATGTAAGACAAACTCACCCACCCACACAGTCGTTTTTATGCCCCGCGGCGAAGCCGAAAGGGCATACTGTTTCCGCCTTGTCCTTCCGTGGGTGTGGTGGGTGGGTGTGTGTGTGGGTGGGGGTGTGTGTGTACAGGGGTGCTGGAATTTACTACCTTACGGAGACATGAACACAATAGGGAACAAAAGATTGTATACGTCTCCAGAAGAACATTTCTATAGATGAATACGTCTCCACAAGAATTTCACGAAATAGATATATGGATTTTACTCAAAAACTAGGAATTTCCAAGGTAGGTTGATCCGTCGCAAATGGAAGAGTTTTAGAAAAGGGATATTTAGTCCAAATTTCAGCCCAGGAAATTAATTCTGGTTAAAATAAGAGCATTTTGAAACTTCAATTTCACACTCGAAAACTTTACTACACGAGAACAAAGAAATGTCTCCACAGGAATACAAATTCCAGAATGTGTGTGTGTGTGTGTGTGGGTGGGCTCTTGTAGGAGCACAAAGTGGCCTTTGATCCTCGGACGACGGTGCCTATTGTTAAAACCGGTCCTCTATCGTACGGTTATGTGCTTAGTCTATGGGAAAGTGTTATATTAGAGGGACAAAGGGAAACACAATAGGTTGTCCTCAGGCGTATAGTAAAACACGACTGTGGGTGGGTGTGAGTTTGTCTTACATTCTCTATGTGGACTTGTGAACAAGAGATGTCCACATAATGCAGGTTGTGTTAACGTTGTGTGGACTAAGCCGTGTCCACATAAGGTTTTGCCCTTTCTGGAAAACAGGTTTAGAGGCATTTTTGGGTTAGGTTTATCTGTAGCAGAATGAAGAGAAACACTATAGGGAATCATAGAAAAAAAATTGGGTTAAAAGAGTTTTCACAGTTTAAGTAAAGTTATTTTTTGTACCGAGTTTTCTTAACTACACGAAAACAAAGGAATGTCCACACAAGGTATGTAACGTAAACGTGGGTGGGTGTGTGTGTGTGTCCGGATAAATCGTGTCAGCGCGATAACTTGAGAAATACTTAACATATGAACTTCAAATTTGGTTTGTGGATTGTTCTTGGTAATCCTAAGAAGCCTATTGCATTTGGGGCCAAAAGGTCAAGGATCAAGTTCACAGTGGCTAAAACAATAGAAATCTTGTCAGTGCGATAACTTGAGAAATACTTTACATGTGAACTTCAAATTTGGTTTGTGGATTGTTCTTGGTAATTCTAAGAAGCCTATTGCATTTGGGGCCAAAAGGTCAAGGGTCAAGTTCACAGTGGCTAAAACAATAGAAATCTTGTCAGCGCGATAACTTGAGAAATACTTAACATATGAACTTCAAATTTGGTTTGTGGATTGTTTTTGGTAATCCTAAGAAGCCTATTGCATTGGGGCCAAAAGGTCAAGGGTCAAGTTCACAGTGGCTAAAACATTAGAAATCTTGTCAGAGCGATAACTTGAGAAATACTTTACATGTGAACTTCAAATTTGGTTTGTGGATTGTTTTTGGTAATCCTAAGAAGCCTATTGCATTGGGGCCAAAAGGTCAAGGGTCAAGTTCACAGTGGCTAAAACATTAGAAATCTTGTCAGAGCGATAACTTGAGAAATACTTTACATGTGAACTTCAAATTTGGTTTGCGGATTGTTCTTGGTAATCCTAAGAAGCCTATTGCATTGAAGGCCGAAAGGTCAAGGGTCAAGGTCACAGTGGATTAAACAAAAGAAATTTTCTTAGCGCAATAACTTAAAAACTACTTTACATGTGAACTTCAATTTGGTTTGTGGATTGTTCTTGGTAATCCTAAGAAGCCTATTGCATTGGGAACCAAAAGGTCAAGGGTCAAGGTCACAGTGGCTAAAACAAAAGAATTTTTGTCAGCGCGATAACTTGAGAAATACTTTATATGTGAACTTTCAAATTTGGTTTGTGGATTGTTCTTGGTAATCCTAAGAAGCCTATTGCATTGGGGCCCGAAATGTCGAGGGTCAAGGTCACAGTGTCTAAAACAATAGAAATCTTGTATTTATTTTGAGATCATAGGGATTAATTCATATAAAACCTACAGAAAACACTAATGATGTCAATGAACGTTCCATGTGACCCAAGTACATGTAAGTTGACGTTAAAAGAGTGGCGCTATGTCATGGGAGCAGTCACGGTTGCGGGGCATTTGTGTTTGTAAACACACCTGACTTGTTTACTTTGATTCTGGAGATGTGCCAAACCCAATGTACACGACTGTCGGTTTAGGGGTACTGTACCCATCCTGACAGATTCCAATAAAAGATGCCGTTGGGCTTTGATGGGTTGGGCTTTGATACTTCATGGAGGTTATAGGGTTAAGGGCCCTGTACGTGCCCTGAAGTACCCTGCCTGTTACTTCTTTTAAGTAGGTAAATGATACTTCACGCGGATGTGATTCACATTTGACAACATGAAACATTTGCTGCCAATTTAACCGGGGTAAATGGGTTAACTTACATTAGCGTTGCAGATTCGTGCTTGCCCAATTCGCTCGGTATCCATCAGCCATTTTGTTGCCCCCAAACTGTCCCTACACTCTTCTGATTTTACGGATTCGTCGATGAGTGTAATCCAGGGGCAAGTGGACTAAAGGTAATATACAACATTTGCAAACATAACAAAATATATATATATATATATAAAAATTATTATGAAATACCTTACTTGGTGTAAGTGAATAACATCCTGTTAAATCATGGCACCCAGTGTGCTGTCATTTTCAAGAAAAGTGGAATTTTGCATCAGTGTCCAACGATGTTTGGCAATCCAGCTAGTCTCATGGTTCCCTGAACTGACAATTCCCAGACTTCGGTAAATTGCTCTGTTTTGTCTGAAGTAGGGTCAGGGAACCAGACTACGAGAACAGCTTTTCTTTCTTGGTTTTTCCAGCATCTATGAACACAAAACTTGAAACAGGTCGGTGTAACAATATTTCCTATAAATTAATTACCCCCCTATCCGTCCAGTTCTGAAAAATTACAGCAATAGCAAATGTTGAACATGTACCTTTAACAGAAAAAGTGACTTAGCATTATTCAAACCTGTGACCAATGCAATACTTTATCAGCTCCGACTACAATATGAAACGATTCAATGACCATTTTATTCCTTATCTTTTTAAGGATGCATGTATTCGATGAGAGCGGTGATGTCATCAGCTTCAAGACTTTTGAGAAAAGAAAGGAGCAAGATGTCAGCAAGGCGCGATATTTTACATCATGTGAAGGACCCAAAATTATTGGCACTAACAAAATCAGAACAAAGTAAGAACTTATTAATTCTTGTTATTCTTTACGCCAAATTCCTTATTTGTGTTCCTTAAGATTAATAAAATCCTAAATGTAGTGCTCGGTGTAAACCAAGCCATCCAACTGTTCTTACATGTATGAAGCTAAATTGGCCTCAAGATATATCAATATCCAAAATCTTCTGAATTATTTTCAAACTCTCTGAAGTGACATCAGGGGTCAAGTTTCAGGCTCTATAGACACGGTTTACATGTATGAACATTGTTGTTTATGGGACACACCATGCGGGCTAGTGAAATTAACTGCAGGCTAGTGAAGAGTCTGTTTTAGTAGCCCTGCTGGCTAGTCAGCAAAAAAGTTATGGTCAAACCCTGGATAAATATTATATTTTCTTTAGGGTCACAGTGTGTGACTATGAGACACAGGAAGAGAAGTGGTCAGCCGAGTTTGCCAGAATAGAGAAAGTGGCAGTGGCCCAGAGCACCGTCTACATCTCAACAATAGAGGGCGTTTACGCTCTGGCTATCAACTCGCTGGAGCCTCTCGTGATCGTTCACCTCAATTCCAGTGATTTTGTCGCACCTTCCAATGACAACGGACTGCTCTTGTATCTGCCTATTGCAAGTGCAAGTGAGTCAATACCGTAAAGGCCGGAATATTTATGTTGCTAAAAAATGTATTGTGGGGAGTGTGGTTTCATGGTTAAGGTTCATGACTCAAGTACGTAGTTTGTAATTTGTCATGGCTAGAGAGTGTGTTTGGGGGATGGGGGGGGGGGAATGTGGCCAACCACATACTTCTAGTGACTCATGATCAGAAGGTCAGGGGTTCAAATCCAGCCGCTGGCCATATGGCATGTTCTTGGGTAAGCGACATCACCCCCACTTGCCTCTCTCAACCCAGAAGTGTAAATGGGTAACGGCATTAGCTGGGGAGTAACCTGCGATGGAAGAGCATCCAATCCAGGGGGAGTAGAAATATTCTTAGATGTTTCCTGTCACTGAAACCGGAGATAAACCCCAGCCTGATGGTCCACATTGGCTCAGGACAGACTTTATTACTTTACTCAGAAATGTATTCTCAAGTATTCCTTTCCCACTCCCGCTCTTGAAAGCCATTATCAAGGTAAAAAAAAACAACCAGAAGTACTTTTGGCTAAAAAAAAGTCTCTGGTTTCTGGTCTGTGTGCGCATCACCGTAGCCATGCGCGTCGGCAAAATTATAATTTTTTTTTTAATGTAAGATGACGTCTCAAAACCGCCAAACTCACTGATTTGACTAAAATCTTGCTGCTGCGCAATTTTAACGTGTTTTTAGAGGGGGTATGATCGAGTATAAGCTATATGTGGCCTCTCTGGGCTCCCATATATTTTGCATTCATTTAGTTGGCACCATTTGCAGACGGTGTTGCAATTATGTAATTGTGCATCTGGAAGCGAGACTGAGGGAGCAATGATTGTGTATCTGGAATGTGTAAACACTTTTTAATTAGTGCAATATGTAAGGGAGCAGACTAATGACTGGCCTGGCAGCACATGCATGATGTTGATGTCGTCGTATGATCTGACATTACCGTTTTCTCTGATTTTTGTCTTGACCATCCAAATTTCCCGAAGAATGATGTGTTGGTCCAGATAGTAAGTGGGTGCAGAATTCTCAAGCCTTATGGCCTTACTGAAGTCACCTCAAGCCCCACCCTGAAGGATATTTTTGAGAGTCGGCCGACATTTGAAGAAAAAAAAAGTAGGGGAAAAAAAATGCGTCGCCGCACCACTTTTTGGGCAAGATCCATACCAGAAACCGAAGACTTTGGGGGGGGGGGGCCCTTAGACTCATTTTGTGAGATGCTAGCTTTCTCTATTTTCCTGAGTATGTTAAATTCCAGTTTGGGATAGGATATTTACGCATTTGATTTTTCATATTTTTTTGCCTTTTTAGAGTCTCTGAAGGTGTTGGGCACAAACGAGGTAATAGCAAAGAGCGACGGAACTGAGCAGTACAGGGGAACTTTCCTTGGCATGGAGAACCATGTACTTCTTGTGCGACGTCGCAAAATGGAGTATGTTAGAAAACTACTTGTCTCTTGTTGCGCAAATGTATAAACTATAATATTAGTTATCCCGCGAGCGCAAGTGGAACATGGAATATTGTAGCCCATCTGTGTCCCACTTCGGCCCGGGTGGTACACATACGCACAAGCGCGAGCGTACTAAGGAATTTATCTTCATGCAAAAAACACTCAAACATGCACACAATTTTTTTCAGCCGTTATCCTATTACGCGTGGGTGTTTCTATGGAATGTGCAGTATGGACCGTAGCTGTGCTACAGTGTATGTAGCACGGCATGTTGCCATTGATCAACCAATCAGGATCGAGGATTCAAGTTTCATCATCCTTCGGCCGCAGCCGAGATGCTTTTGACAATGTCGTGCCAAGTGTCTCTGTCTGCCATGGCGTTACTTAGGTCTTCAAACAGTAGTCCTGTATCCCTTGCAATCACATCTGGAAAAGTCTTTCGTCGTCTGCCCCTGCGTGCATTTGGTAGACGCCAGATAATAAGGTCGGAAATGATTTGTTCCTTTGCACGGTGGCAGTGGCCAGCGAAGCGTGCTCTTTTCATTGCAATGATTGAGGAGAAGATAGGTGGAATGTTTCCATAGATCTGTTCCTTTGTGGGGTGATCCTTCCAGCTCAGATATTGAACTCTCATTAGAAGTCTGGTGTAGGTGCCATCTAGGCGCTTTTCAAGGTCTGTCTTCATCCGAACCATAAAGCAGGATGATTTCAATGCATGCATGAAAGAGAGTTTTGTATTTGTAAGGGTCAAGCATTCCCCTTACGTGCTAGGAAGTCCTTCTAGCTATCTGCTACAAGCGACCCAAGGTATTTGAAGTTATTGACTTCTTAGAGTGAAGACCCGTTTGAGGTAGTAATATGCTGGTGGTTGTCTGGTTCATAGAATGTCATTTACTCTGTTTTCTTGGCGTTAAGTGTTAGGCCAACCTTAAATGCGGCAGACTTGAGGGATGTTAACAGATCTTGTGCATTTGCAATGAGGTCCGCAGTGATGGCCAAGTCGTCGGCATAATCACGGTCCGTGCCTGCTTGGATGGCGCCTGGAGGATTGAGACTAGATGGTCAGGCCCTTGAAGTTAAGGAGGTCAAGCGATTGTTTCAGTACTAATCTACTGCCATTGCGAACAAAAATGGTGCAAGAGTATCTCCTTGAAGGATTCCTATGTTGGTCTCAAAGTCCTGGGTTGGCCCATCAGGTGTGAGAGCAAAGCAGGAGGGATGATCATACATGGTGGCGATAACATTGACAAATGGATCTGGGATGCCATATGGAGATAGTATGTGCAGCATCACGCTTCCTTAATGTTATCGAAGACCTTGGAGAAGTTGATAAATACAATGGTTGCCCTTCTCTCTGCTATTCTTATTTCCTCGATGATTCTCCTCAAAGCCAGTTGTAAGAATACGACTGCCAAAAGATGGGGCTGTAGTTTTCAATTTCTTTTCTTTCTACAAATTTATTTTATTTACAATGTCTCATACAAGCATAAAACTTTCAAGTGAAATAATCATTTAAGTTTTAACACCAACCATAAGACCATAGGCATAAAAACTAATAAGAAAAAGTAATCAATCTTGTTATCAAAATTATCAGGCTTCTTGCCAATCAAAATGTATGATGCTTTCGACTAATTAACAAATCGGAAAGTTCTATAAAACTGATGTGGTACGTCCCTCAATGTTGTCCGGCTCCCAATGTTTGAGTTGGTCACTTGAGTCAGATGTCCCCCAGCTTGGTTGCAGGTTTTAGGATGGACCGACTTTCTCTGCTGCTTGTGACCATCAACAGGTAGGAGATGAGGGTAGCAAGATTATCTTTGCGGCATTTATGGTGGCCATCTATTAAAGAAAGATCCAAAACCTTACAAGTACTGGATCCTCTGTTCTTTTAAATTATAGCAGGTAATATGGTACGTTAAGTCCTAAATTTTTAAAGTATTCACTTCTAAAACATTTTTTTTACACTCTTCAAATCCTTTAAAGTAAACAGGCGAGCCCTTCAAAGTTGAGGTGCCTTTTAAGTCATTAAATTCAAAACTATAAATTGATAACTTGTTCTTAACTTTCATATAAAGAGATCTTGAACAGCATCTTGCCTAAGTTCATTAATTATACAGACTTTCAATCAACAATACTTAAAGTATAAACATTTACGAATCTCTTCTAGACGTAATGCTTGGACTTGGGTTGAGTTCTGCTCCACTCCCAGCCTATCTTGACAAACAAACCTCTGTACTCGGGCAACTTCTCAGTCTTCTCAGCCCTGCTTTGACTAAGACTACATGTATGTACATTTGCTCATACTCTTTTTTGACACCTGATATTGTGTCAACTGTGGCAAAAGTGCCTTTTGGTTTGGGTCTTTGGCCAATAAAGTTGAAGTTTTGGTGGAGCTCACTATAACCTGTTTTCTGGACGGAAGCATCTGGCTTTCTGCTCTCACACTAGCACTGTTACTTTACACATCACTTTTCTTTTCACACTTCACTCTAACATGCTAAAATTAACTTTAAACAAGAGTGGGAGTTTTCTACCATACCTACAAACAAAAGAAAAGACTCGAACACAGGTTCATCTTCCATTCTGGTTTATTATTAAACAAATCTGGGGTGACTGTTATCCAAGGGAAGGTGAGACAAACTTTTCCCCAGACTCCCAACTCTTACCTAACTGTACACAATAGTTCCTTACATTTGAAAAGACACCCTGATATTAACAATAGACCTATTTAGCGAAACTTGGGGCAATGTTCAATGGAAAATCAGTAAAGAAGATTCATGGACTGATCAACTTATCTGTAGGGGATAACTACACAAACTTTTTACTGTGAGGGATAGGATCATTACATAAAAAGGGGGTGGGGGGGGGGGGTTAAAACAATAATAAAAAAACAAACTTCTTCTTACACCAGTATTTGCGATAGAGTTGATCTTCCTTTACGGAAGCCATTTTGATTAGGTAGGAGGATTGGCTCTTTTTGCTTCGTGAGTCGGTTCAGGAGGAGTGAGTTGTATATCGTTGAAGCAATCACAGTAAGTGTGATGCCTCTATAGTTTTCAGCCTTGTGAAGGTCTCCTTTCTCCGGGATAGGAACAATGAATGATTTAGAGAAGCTTTGAGGCTTGTTCCCCTTGAGTGTTTCGTTGCAGAAATATAGGAGTTCTTCACGGAATCTTGGGTGTTTACAGATAATTGCTGAAATGAAGTCTAGTCCTGGTATTTTGAGGCAGTCGACTTTAGCAAGGCATTCTCTAAGTTCGTGTTGAGTAAACGGGCTGGAGCTGATAGGGAGCGTTTTTGAGACTTTCTGATTGAAGAATGGGTCGGTCAAATTGACTTCCTCTGGTTCAGGACTACTAAGAAGGGTGTTGAAATGCTCGTACCAAGATTGGAGCCATTCAGCATTGCTTTCACCCTTAAGACGCATAGTGGAGTTGCTTTCTTGTTGGTGATTTCTCGAAGCACATCCCAAGCTTCAGCATGCCTGTTTTCAGCGTGTGCATCCTGGATCTCTGTGCATTTTTTCAAGCATTTCTGTGTATGCCTTGTCCAGTTGTCTACATGTATTTCTCGTGGAGCGAGAGCGGTTTGCTTCAGCAGCCTTTTGGAGGTCCTTTCTGGCCTTGATAATGTTATCTGTGTTGCCCAGTTTGAAACTCCTTCTCTTGCGTTTTGGGAGGATTTTCAGAGCAATCTCCCTGTTGGCAACTGTGAGAGTGTCATAAGAGGTGTTTGCGTTGATTTCGTCTTCTGGGAGTTCATCCATTAGAGAAGAATAATGGTTATGACTGTAACTGCATAATTTTTCCTGAATTTTTCATCTGCAGATACCTTCTTCCAGTCAATATTCCTCATTGGGTCCTTAGTTGGGCGTTTACTCTGCTGATTTGGCATTCGCAGGAAACACTGTGATCAGAACCAACACTTTCAAAGGAGTTAAAAGCAGTGCAATCTTTAATACTGTTTCTCCACTTTCCCCTTGTAAGGATATAGTCAAGTTGACCACGTGTTCCATTTGGACACGTGAAGGTCCATAACCTGTTGTGACGTTTCTGGAAACGTGTGTTTGTTGCAAAAATGCTGAAGTTATCCATAAAGTCAATCATGAGCTGACCGTTTCCGTTGGTTTTAGAGCTATAGGTGAAGAGAGCTTCATCCGGACCAACTTTTGCATTGAAGTCACCTGCGATAAAGAGCATGTGATGAGCAGGGATGGCAGAGGTGGGGAGGAGAGGATCCGATAGAAGTGATTGATGTCTTCTTCAGGAGATACGTTAGTTGGGCTGTAGCAACAGATTATGGTGGTACGTGGATTCCCTTCCAGTGTTATCACGGTGATGCGGTCATCAATCTCTTCTATATTGATGCAGGAGCTTAGGGCTCTGGGGGAGACAGGATACGACTCCGCCCATGGCTGCATTTTGTCTATTCTTTGTGGCAGATGCTGTCACGAGGGAATGACTGCCAATAAATTCAGTTATCAGTTGCTCATTGTGGAGGATTCTGTGTTCTTGTATCAATGTGGTGCTGTTCTGCACAGAGGGCAAGTTCACCTTTCCTGGAGGCAGGGATCGCTTCTCAAAAGTGAGGGGGACATACCTGGATCAGAACTAATGAGTGTGAAGCCCTTACAGTTTTTTTTCTTACTATTCTTTTAATGCTTTTATTTCTTATCACATGACCGTAATGTAAAACAGCCTTTGAGCTGGTTACTTTTCTGTCTTTCATACAGAGAGGGCGAAGAGACACCCAATGTCTTGGAAGTAAAGGATGTCATGGTGCCAGGAAAGCCAGTGGAACTGTGCTATCTTAGCGAAACGGGTAAATATGAAAAGCCTATGGTATTTTCTGTGGAAAGCTTATAAATTGTCTGGTCAGGGTTTTTTTAAGATCCATAACTTCATGTTTAGAAATCAAGACCACTCAACTACTCAACGAGAGTGTCATATAAGTTGAAAGATTGCGGGCAGCACCATGTGGAAAGTAATATCTTCTTGGAAGAAGTGTGGTTCTAAAAAGAACCAGTTGGTTGACTGTTGGACAGTGTGCTCTGTCCATCCTCGGGAGGGTGAGTGGTTGGCTGTGGATGATGCTGGAAGCCTTAAGGCTGTGGGTGTGCAGTGGGGTGTGACTGCTGGATGCTTGTGCGCTGGGGTGTGTGGGATGCAGGATGCCGGATCATCCGCAGACCATCACTCACCTTCCTAAGAACTGACAGAGCTCGCTGTTGGAAAGTCAAGTTCTACACTCAACCTACTGTTGTCTTTTTCAGAACCACACTTCTTCCAAGACAAGGTTGCTTTCCACATGGTGTTAACCCCCTGCAATCTTTCTACTTTACGTCATTTACTATGCAAAACATCAAGTCATATGTACAGAGTGTCATTAATCAAGACGCCTGAAAGAGAGATCATGCTTTTGAATCGTCCCCTTTAAGTGTAATCTGTACCGAAAAAACCTGTGGTGCTTGTGCACTGACTCGATTGGTACACCCTAAAATAACTTTGTTCACTGTCTAGGCCTGGCGGCTCTGTCGTCAGGTCTGGTGGATTGAGATATCTGAACTATAGTAAGCATAAGGTTGCGGGTTTCGAGTCCCCTCCAACTGAGCCGAATATAAAGTGTTTATAAAATTACATCAGTGATGGGCAAACCAAATGGTACGCAAGGTTCGTGTCCTCTGGTAAAAATATCTTTTAAGTCATTGATTTTGGTTTCTGTTTGGTTTCTTTCTTTTTTAAAATCTGTATGCATCCTTTACATTCACAGCTGGCTTCGTAGTTTCTGCTACTATCTTCAGTGACGAGACCCAGGCTTACTACAGAGAGAATCTCTACTGGTTTGACATGGCCGGCAACATCATCGCCACCCATCCATTCATCGGTCGGGGTCGTCACGAATTCCTACCGGTCTACCTCCGAGGCCCAAAGGATGATGGGAAGGCCGATAACAAAGACAAGGATTTGTACTTGTATTTCGCAGATGGCCTCGGAGCGCTGTGTTGCATCAAGTTAGATATTCATGAGTATCGCTGAAAGCTTCCGGATTCACGGAGATTCATTTTCTTGATTTCGGAGAACTTTACTATGAATTTTTGTGTTGGAAATGAGAGTAAATTCAATACGGTGCTGAAGTTTTAAAGTCACTCAGAGTTCAACTGTTACCATAACCATGTGCACGGGTTCATGAACACTGTGTAAACACAACATTTCCCTATGGGGGTAGTAAATATTTTTTAACAATATTTCTAAAACCTGTGTATGATCAGCTGTCTAGAAGGGTCTATTTTTAAGCTCTGGCAACAGAGCTTCTACAAGTCAGTCGGGTGTGGGTCGGTCGGTTGGTCCCCCCCAAAAAAAATTTGACCAAAAACAAACCCCCCTAACTCACCCATAAAACTGTAAGTACCAAATGGTAACTGTCAAAAAAAAGCAAACAAAATACATTAAATACTTGACAAAAATTGTTTGCAACAATTTGTGACATTATAAGATGGAATTTTTGCGTCGGGGTGATATAAATCAAATTAGGTTTTGCCCTTCACCGACGTTTTTTAAACACTGTATACTCAGTGTGTTACCTCCCGAGTGAAAGTTGGAAAAAATCACTCGGGTGGGACTCGAACCCACGACCTCCTGCTTTCTAGTGCAGATGTCTTACCACTCGACCACCGAGCTAACGGGATCGGTAGGCCGGTTCGAATCTGATGAACATAGCAGCGGGTACCGCAAAAATTCCATCTTATAATAGTTTATGCGGTACCCGCTGCTATGTTCATCAGATTCGAACCGGCCTACCGATCCCGTTAGCTCGGTGGTCGAGTGGTAAGACATCTGCACTAGAAAGCAGGAGGTCGTGGGTTCGAGTCCCACCCGAGTGATTTTTTCCAACTTTCACTCGGGAGGTAACACACTGAGTATACAGTGTTTAAAAAACGTCGGTGAAGGGCAAAACCTAATTTGATTTATATCACCCCGACGCAAAAATTCCATCTTATAATAGTTTATGCGGTACCCGCTGCTATGTTCATCAGATTCGAACCGGCCTACCGATCCCGTTAGCTCGGTGGTCGAGTGGTAAGACATCTGCACTAGAAAGTAGGAGGTCGTGGGTTCGAGTCCCACCCGAGTGATTTTTTCCAACTTTCACTCGGGAGGTAACACACTGAGTATACAGTGTTTAAAAAACGTCAGTGAAGGGCAAAACCTAATTTAATTTGTGACATTGTTTATGAACGATTTTTGATAAGAGGAAAGATAATGTGTGGTATTTTTTTGCGCTACGAACTTAGGAAGTCAGGGGGCTTCTACACACCTGTGACTATACATCACCCCTGCCTCTGGCCCTGTGTCAGTTTAATGAGTCTTCAGGGCCTAAGAGTGAGTATACAGTTGCATTATGAAGGTCACTTTTATTTTGCATTGTGACTTTCAATAAAATGGGAAACTCTTATTTCAATTGACAATCATGACCAAGTGAATAATTGTATCATATCATGCAAGACTTTCATGCAAGACGGCCAGAGCTTATTGTGCAGTCGCACTTGTTTTGACAAAACGCATGACAGATTTGCCGGCTGTGGAAAGGCTTGTGGCCAAAATGAACATCACAGCGTTATTTGAAATAGTGTTATCCAAGCATTGTGCCTTAATTCAAATTTATAAATGCAGCAGAGAGCCCTTAGCTCTCGGCAAATATTTTGGGCTAGTAGTATCACAGGGCAAAATTATGTAAATGAAAAAAAAATCAGATTTTACAAGACATTATATTCTTGTGTAATAATTGCGCATTGTAAAATCACAGAAAATCTTTAGTGTGATGTTGAATATTACTTTTTGCATATACAACAACAAATAAATAACGTTTATAACAGCAGTTATCTTTTCTGTAAAACCCATTCTCCTCTTTTTACAAAGATATATTACTTTAAATGAATACTTTTGTAGGGAGACCAAGTGCGCCCTCAGTTGTTCGTCCAAAAGTTTAGCAAGGTGATTTGCATATTGTGACCTTTGTGCTTCCCGCGCAAAGGCAACTTGTAACAAGTTTTCTTCTGTGGGACTCGACTTGAACAGAGAAGACCACAACAAATTTGGGGCATATATTCTCTCTATTTTGTAGGGAGCATGGCTCCGGCCATGCTCCAAATTTATATCATTTTGGAAGGTTAGTATTATAGATTCGTCCCTGTAAGTACTTTAGTGTATAATGTGATCTTTTTGTGAGATTATTGTGTTCATTTTGAGGCCGGATGATTCACGTCTGTAATTTGTATAACATATGTAGCCAGCCATGTGTTGACATTTGACCTTTATCGCTGTTCTATTTTATTGTGCCTTACATTTATCATGGATTATTGTGTAAATAATATCATCTTGACTCTTGTGTAGAAATAATGTAAATACAAGTTCGGTAAGCTCATCTCATTGTCGTCGTAATGACATAGGTTCATAGTTTTACTGGCATGTATTTTTAGTGGAACACTTGTCCTCTTTAAATAGAGGGCCGGCCTCCCGTTGCCCTCCTGCTACAATTTTTATTCTGGTATATTTGAATATATATTTTGCAAGTTTTTCTAGATGTACATGTATACTGAGATATCACACTTTTATGATGAAGCTATTCATATAAGAACATTTCTGCAATATTTATCAGTATTAATTTTGACATTCTATGAAATAATTGTGAAATTGGAAATGATTGAATGGAGTCACCTTTTGGTACTGTAGCCTATGCAACTCGGCTTTTATAAACGACCTAATGCAGGTAGGTTCAATTGGAGACGAAAATCTTATTATCAAGTAGTGCAGGGATAGAATTTGGTAAAATTATATTCTTGAAACATTTGGGGCCTTTGGTAGGAACGGCAAGTACTTTCGCATCAGTATACAAATATAACATGGTTTGAGGATGGACAGTCGATATTCGCTCCCCGAGTGATCATATTTCCAGACATTATTAGAGGTAATTCAGGAAAAAAAACTATTTGTAAAATACTTTCGTATACTTATCAGGATGAAGACATTTTTTTTGAAACCCTTTTGGATACCAGTAACATCTTTATTAATTAATTTATTTATCATTCACATCCAACAGCAGAAAACCGCCCATTACAGGACTGGGTTAAAACTATTGGCCAATCAGAAATCAGAACTACAAGCTCTCGCAACATCAACAAACCAGTGTTGGAGCAAAGGCTTTCACCCTCAAGGCCAAGGCCAAGGCCAAGGCTTTGACCCTCAAGGCCAAGGCCAAGGCTTTGACCCTCAAGCCTCGAGGCCAAGGCCAAGGCTTAACCCTCAAGGCCAAGGCCAAGGCCAAGGCCCTGTTTTATGAAATGACCACTGATATAGAACTAATTACATGTATAGTCAAATGAGTGACACATCATCACGAAAGGGCGGATCCAGAACACAATTTGGGGGGGGGGGAGGGGCAAAGAAATTTTGGTCCCCCCAAAAAAAGTGGGTCAAAAAATTACGGCTTGGGCTTCGGGGCCCGCTTAAGGGCCCCGAAAAAAAAAATTGGATTCGAGATGCTCTGTGGTGCGATTTGAGGCAATTTCTGACCATTTTAACCGATGTTTTTTTAGGAAAAGATGGTGGTGTACTCATTGCCTGCCTTTATTACGACGTCACATTAAAAAAAATGGTTTCAGGGTTTTTTTAGGGGGGGGGGCATGACCCCTTTTGGCCCCCCTGGGTCCACCCTTATCATCACGAATTGCTCGTTATGAAGAACAACATTTCTTTAATTGCAATCAACATGCTCGCATAGGCCTACACCGTTTTATGACTGCACTGTATCTATTAAAGTATAAGTTCAGGTCTTCAATATGGTTTAACTAAACAAAATAATGATTTACTTCTATATTGACACACAATTCTCCCAAGTGTAACAAAAGGGGGATCCAAGAAACTGATTTGGGAAATTTTTATTTGCTGGCCCAACATGGTCAGAAATATCAGCATTATCTAAAACAGATACATGCAAATCTTTAGCACTTATCAGGGAGACATATACAACCAATCAGATCTATTCCATAGTTATATGCAATTAAAGTGATCATCTCATTAGCCCCACAAGTGTACGGAATATTTTTGCAGCAAATCTACTACAATGGTAACAAAATGTGATGCTACAAAAGTGGAAGTGTGCCCAACACACAAATCTATAGGGTGCTTCCCTCCTCCATGGTAATACGATTAAAATGGTAACAGCAAAATTTCGAACAGATTTATCTGGAATATGCAAAAATCTATGGGCCTTGAAGAGCCTTGACTCAAAATTGCAAGGCCCTGAACTCTCAAGGCCAAGGCCAAGGCTTTTGCCCTCAAGCCTCGAGGCCAAGGCCAAGGCCCTAAAATCCAGCCTTAAGGCAGCCTTAAGGCCAAGGCCCAGCATCAAGGCACTACATCACTGCAACAAACACTGACCGATCACATTAATTCTTCTGTGCCTGCTGACTCAGTCTGGTACCTTTGACAAGATGTCCAAAGAATTCCTCCTTTCCTAAAGCTTTGAAATTGGATTTGTTTGCAGATTGTATTTTTCTCTATGTATTAATATGAGAAATAAATTAGTTTGGTAATAGTAGAGAAAAAAAGGTTCATTGGTTTACTGCCTTAATGACTGTCTATTGTATGCTTTGCTTGTTATCCCAGTAATTTCAAAATATAATGCGAACGTACATCAATTGTTCATTTATCTATAAACTCCCACCAGGGCTTTCGCCTGGACAACGGGTGGAGGAGTTCCTAAACAAAACTTGAACATATGATTTTGGGAGACCTAATTTTCAAAAAATATTGGACGAAATAAATTAGGAAAATTTGAGAATTTGGATGATAAATTGTGAAAACCACAACATTATTCTCATACTTTGCTTGAATACTTGGAAATTTCTTCAACTTTAGGCAGAAAGATGCCATCCTGTATCAGATGATCCAGTATGTCGCTTGGTGTGATGTTATCAACCAAGACCTCACGGTACTTTCTTAATTGGTACTTGTCTGCCTCCATAATGTTGTCAGCCTAGTAAGAGCCAACTTGCAGGTTCTTAATCTGTGCAAATATGGAAATCATAAAACAAATCAACAATTGAATGTTCAGTTCCACACCAGGATCGAGGCTTGTCATTTTTCCATTTTTATGCGACGCAAACCAATACCCGCTGCGTAAAGTATATGATTATAAACTTGTCCTTTTCTGGGGTTTTCCAAATACCACAACTAGACCCGTGAACGTGGCTATAGGCCTATACATGTTGTTTACAACGCCACTTTCAATGGTCTTTAATGGAGATCAGTGGTCTTTACCACTCACTCATCTCTACTCTCTAGTATAGGCCCCTATACTCAATATAGAGATCTGTGACGTGACGTACCTGACTTGTGGTGACGTAAGCATAAATTATCATTAGTGGTACTGCTGGAGTTGTGATACTGGGGCTATATATATATCAACCTCATCCCCGTCGAATAGTAGGCTTACGCTACAAAATTACTGCTATACTTCTGAAAGTGAAACCGACGTTGAAATCTACGGTGGCTGATTTCTACGGTGGCTGATTTCCGCCACCAAAGAAAATTATTTTATTACAGCGTTATAACGCCCTGTTACGGCGTTATAACGCCCTAATTTTACGGCGTTATAACGCCCTAATTTTACGGCGTTATAACGCCATAGCTTTACGGCGTTATAACGACCTATTAATACGGCGTTATAACGCCCTATTACGGCGTTATAACGCACTAATTTTCGACTGTCCTTTTATTCGTTACTTTCTACCTGTTCATAATGCATGCAATTATGCGCACATTTGTAGTGTCATTTTCATCAAAGTGATTGCCTCGTTAGAATTCATAAAAGAAACCGTATATTTTGCAAAACGCCATCACCTCGTTCTTTTGAATGCTCACTGCAATTATCGCCACCGCATCGCCATGGTATGAAGCCCGGGAAGGGACAGGGTAGAATTTTTTGGGGGGATTTGCTAATTCGTTCGCACGAATTGCTAATTCGTTCGCACGAATTACTAATTCGTTCCCACGAATTACCAACTCGTTCCCACGAATTACTAACGAACGAAATAGCAATTCGTGCGAACGAGTTAGCAATTCGTGCGAACGAATTAGGAATTCGTGGGAACGAATTAGGAATTCGTGCGAACGAAATAGGAATTCGTGCGAACGAATTAGGAATTCGTGCGAACAAATTAGCAAATTCCCAAAACAAAATTCCACCCTGTCCCTTCCCATCCTCATCCTCATAGAATGGTTAGTATTTTAACACTTTAGGAGGAACCTAACCGTGAACAAGTTGTTCCAATTTCGTTGGTGGAACTGGCATTCACTTTGTAGTTGAAGATGGATGACATGGATGAACTGATTAAGACATTTTTAAAACTTGGATATACTCATGTGGAAACTGCGGCAAACGTCCCATTGTAACATTAACCTGAGTGTTCGTCATCGTCAGCTGTACAACGAGAACTGCAGCGCCTGGATATGGCCCAAGTAAGAAGCTTTATCGAAAGACAACTGCAAGCATCGGGCGAATTACATGGCTATCGTTGGATGCATCACAAGTTATTATAAGCAGGCATGGTTGCCAGTAGAGAAACTGTGAGAAGGATGTTGTTGGAGCTTGACCTAGATGGGGTAGAGCCTGGAAAGAGGCGGCGGCGATTAGTACGTCGTCGATATTCTGGTCGCGGACCTAATTTCGTGTGGCATTTTGGACTCAATGGACAAACTGAAACCGTTCGGTATTGGGATCAGTGGCTGTATGGACGGTTTTTGCAGGAAAGTTTTTGCAGGAAAGTTATTTGGTTAGAGGCAAACAGCACAACCAACGACCCGGAGTACATCGAGGGCTTCTTTTTGAAGGCAGTGGAAAGGCTTGGAGGGTGTCCTACCCTCGTCCGGAGTGATTATGGGAACAGAAATGGACATGTGAGAGTACTCCAGAGGTTTCTAAGACATCACGACGATGCACTTGGTGGCGATAAGAGCTACTTAACTGGTCGAAGTACGGCGAATCAGCGAATAGAGTCCTGGTGGGGGCAGCTCAGAATTAAGCAATGCACGGAATTTTGAATGACTGTTTTCTGGTGCCTGCTAGATGAAGGCTTTTTTTTTCACTGGAGATGTGCTGGGCAAAGAACTTATCAGATTTGTCTTCATGAATTGTATCCAGGTGAGAAATATCACCGTTCAGACCGTTCTGTTCACATTTTTATCATGTAAAAGTCCACTATAGGTCTTTCACCCTCTGTGGGTGTGCCAGACACCTTAGTTCCTGCGCCTGGCATTTTACACTTACACCGACACTAATTAGTTTGATGAGCAATTATCAGGCTTAAGCCTCTCCGATTCCATGCCATTTTTCTTTCCAAAACTTGTCCACCTGCGTCTTGAAGTGGTTTGTGGTCTTAGCTTCTATGACGCTTGCTAGAAGACTATTTCCACAGTTTGATCACTCGGACTGAAAAGAAAAATGTTCTACAGTTCAGCTCCTTTTTCAGAGCTGGCTTATACAGCTTGTAGCTGTGTCCTCTGCCTCTGTCAGTGTGTGGATCGGTTGAGAAGAGCTTGAACTTCTCTATACCTTCCAATCCGTTCATACTTTTTCATGTTATTGTATTGTAGGCGATTTTCATGAACCTGGATCCGCCCTTGTATTTACCAAATGGGCGTACATGGAACAATATTTAGATTAGCTTTTGTGTATGTTGTCGTACATTTAGAACGGAGATTTATCGTCGTTTATGGTGGAACTAATAAACAATGTCTTACGCATTAGTATGTGCTTCTTTTGCAGAATGATCTTGATGCAGTTGCAGAGGTGTGGGAAAGACACTTGTTCAGGAAATCTAAGCAAATGTGACCCACGGACGACCGCTGCCAATGTTCCAGCTACCTAAGGTCTATGGAACCACAGGATCTCAAACGCGTGGAACAAGAAAGAATTAACTTCAGCAATGGTCGATTTCCATGTGATCGGGAGTTATTTTAATACTGTTGTCAATCAATCATTAACAACGGATAGGAGGATCCTAGAAATCGTGAAGCTGCGATGAACTTGCACATTGACCTCAGAGAGCATGTTAGAATAGAAATTGGAGTTTAAAGGGCTCGTGAAACGGAGTTGAAAGGGCTTGTGAGACAGCAAAGTAAAGGCGACGCACATGCTTGTATACGTGCTGCCTCATGTACACAAACAACTTGAGCCCATTGATTATCTATAATTGCAAAATCAAGAAATATATCAACATCCTCGTATAATTATTACATTTTATCTTGTGTTCAAACGCACAAAGTGGGTTTGCTTTGGGATAACCTCTGGTCATGCAGATATGACACTGCGAGGTTCTAGGCCAAAATACGACTTTTAATATCTCCACGGTGTCGGCTGAGAGCTATAGAGGTTTTAAGGAAATTTGTAACAAATTTGATAAAAATCCGTCGTACAAGCTTTGAATCTCTCAGAAAATAGGTTTCCAGGATTACAGATTATTTACAAAGTGTTTTAAGGATAAATATATTCGTGTATTTTAATAATCCAGTTTATTTTTCGATTTTTTTTTGTAGTTATTTGTATACATCGACAATTTTGTGATATGAGGGCGCCTTGTTTATTACTGAAATTGGAATATCACTATGGACCATGCTATAGCTCTGAGCCGACGTAATATGCACATACAGTGTAGACCACGTTTCTGTGGACAGTCTCTGTTAACTTGAGTGCTACCCCTCGGCTGTTTGTCGATTTTGTTATTGTAAACGTGTTATCCACAACTTTTCATATATTACCAAAAACTCCTCCCTCCGTCGTTAGCAGTTTTCAAGTCCCTTTTCAAGCTGTGCCGGATGAAGCTAACACTGAGCACGAATATTTACTATTATTTGGTGGAAATAGCAAAATTCAGTGAAGACAAGGTCCGATGAGCTGAAATGTCTCTAGCGCTGTTGTATTCTTTATCTTGACCATGTAAGATATCAGCGTCAGATATGGGTCTTATCTTTTTTTTCTTCAAAACAATACAATCAACTTGAAACTCTCATAAAGAAAACAGAAAACACTTAAACTCGAGTATAACCTATAACGTACATATGCTATGTCTATCCTATCAGATAGGGTAAGATATGGTCATTCCAACAGTAATGGTCACCAAGATAATATCTCTGGGCCAAATTGACCTTTGCCTCAGTATTATTGCACCTGATAGACCCATGTACAGATGACGTAATCGTGTTGCATTTTGGGAGCAATAGGGGGTCATTTTTTACTTGAATACTTTACCAGTCTTTATTGAATTATACTTTAGTGACAAAACAAACTATTGTAGTTTTGGGTATACCCGTTCTGGTCAAAAACCGTACAGATTGTTATCACTGAAAAGATTTGGAATTTGTCGTTTGCTTCATTGTGCGTGGTCTGCTTCAAATACTGTACGTTTTTGCTGAAATTACTCCCTATTGCTCCCATCATGCACTACGATAAACCATTTCGGGGTACATTTTGTAATTTGGATACGCACCCCCCCCCCCAACCCACCCCCCCCCCCCCCCCCCCCCAAAAAAAGTTCCCGTATACGAGCCTGGCACATAAAGGGAATTTTGTACACATAACACAAAGAGTCGCTTACCGGTCTAACCCATCGCACACTTTTGGGGCTGTTACTTCGGTAAACCGGTTTTAACGAAAGTATAACATAAAATGCTTAGTAGGGTGTCGGAAACATTTTAAATCAGCTAAAATAGTCACAACACTACCAATAGTAATTCACATACATAACATGGCCCCTTATAATTTCAGTAAAAGCTGTAAATGTAAAAAAAAAAATGTGTCCCAACCCCAACCCCAACCTCACGGAGTGACTTGGTGCCGGTGGACCTATAATTTATCAAAATAGTTTAGTTACTTCTTGTAAGTTTGTATGCTGAGAGAGAATCAAAGCATCAGCTCGAAGTTATCTCGGTCACGATTTTAGAGTTCATTACCGTGTGGCACGGCCTATTATCGGCTGGATGTAAAACTGCCCACGTGAGGCATACAATGACTATCAGACAACCAGGCCACTAGATTCACACGACGTCGTGTGCCATACACAATATAACCCAGATCTTCGCATCCAGGACTGCATTAAACTCCGATCGAAACTCGGTATAGTCCTTGAAGATTGGTGCTAACTCCAGCAGGTATCCACACGTGTGGGCCACGGGGCGTCTCTCAAAGTCTGTCTGTTGCACGAACCTGACTGTGATCTTCCGTCCCAGCATGAGGTTGGCTCCTGTAATGGTTATCAATGAAAAGTACAGTATAGTTTTGATTGAAGGCTGCCTTCACCTATAATTGTAAAATGCCAGACTATTTCAAAAGTACCTAAAAAGAATTATGACTAATTTTGAGCAAGTCAAAAATAGAAACCATGGTAAACATGCAAGAACACTTAACTCTCCTACCTGTGGTATATCTCAGGAAGGCTGCCAGCTTCTCAGATGAAAGGCTTCTGACGTATTTCAGTAGAAGTTTACCAGTGTTTCTTTCGGCTTCGGTAGCTGGGTTGGGCAGGATGATGGTGTCGGTTGGAAGTGCCTGCTTGCACACATCTGCCAAGTTGGCTCTCAAGACGGGTCTGAGCTCGTTGATGACGAACAATGCATGCCAACATCTGCAGATGTAAGAGCTAGCTTCAATGATGGTTCTGTGTGCTGCATCCTCCAATATGTGCTTGATGTTGTCGTTCCTGACATGTTTCTGGACTTTGTAGATTTCCAGTATGTCAAGCAGTTCATCTTTGTCGACCTCATTGAAGTTTTGCATAGCATCTTCGAGCAGCTCCCTTTCAGAGTCACGCACGTACTCCAAAAAGGTATAGGGAGAAGCGAGCGGTGCTCGTTGTCGTCGCAATAGTGAACAACAGGAAAGGTTGTGCCAGCTTTTATGGAAAGTATCCCTCCTGCTTGTATGCCATTACCAGCACTTTCGCACAGGCTTGCCAATCTTCCTTCTTCATCATGTCCCGAAAAAAACGGCACTTTCACGTTCCCACCGGTTGTGTTCATCAGATAAAAGTCCTCCCAGTACTCCGACAAAGCGTCCCTCAGTACACCTCCACAATCCTCTGCCGCTTCTTGTTGATCATCTGGACTTCCATAGTTGCGCTAACATCATTTTCCTTATAGAACTCCGTGAGTTCTTTCAGCACATGCCCTCGATGCAGTTTGACTTTCTCTACCGGAGCATTGGCGTCACCCCATGGTTCATCATTAAATTTTACTGCAGTAGCAACCGAGGCGACAGGGTGACCCTGTTCATCAACATAATTTAACAGGTCCTTTACAATGGGAAGAGGCTCCTAACCAGACAAGTCATCTGGCTTATTGTACCCTGGTAGTACAGCACCCCCCCAAAACAGCCCGTGCCTGCACTGTTGGAGTGCCGAGATCAACCAAATTTGGCGAGCAGGCCTCTGTGCTGGCAGTAGAGCTCACGGGATATTCAGACTTTGCGAAGAGATTCTCGATCTCAGGATTTAGAGTCTCGGCTGCAGACTCAACCATGAACTCATAGGAGTGAGGGTCCTTTAGAAAGTCTTGCACTCTGATGCCTGGTGACAGTTTGAACACAGTCGCTGGACTCCCAGCAGCACATGTACTTGCATCACGCAGTCCGGTAGACACATCTTCTGTGGTGACCATTACAGGCATGACGGAGGAACCAGCAAGCCTGCTTGGAGACGCAGCTGCCGTGGTCTCTGTGTGGGGCTTTGCTTGTGGAGCCAGCCTGTGACTTAAGTGTAGCCTGTGAAGCTTTTGGTGCTGAACCAACCAGATTGTCAATGTTGGTCAATGGGTCGTCATCTTTTTTCGGCGGCCGGCAGAGATAGAACCGCAGTAGAGGCGACCCAGTTGACTCATACATGTCACCTACGGTCGGCCATCAATCTTCTTTTCTTCAAAATTCTCAATGATGAAGGTGAAATTCTCAACTGGACCGAATCTGTTACCTTCGGGAAAGAAAAACCCTTTGGCCCTTTCGATGATGGCAGCTCTGCCAAGCAGTGGCGTAGCCAGGAATTACGGCGTGGGGTTCGGGGCGCGCTTAAGGGCCCCGGAAAAATTTTGATTCTAGATGTTCTGTGGTGTGATCTGTAGCAATTTCTTACCACTTTCCTACATGCTTTAACTAATATTTTCTTAGCAAAAGATAATTATTTGAACATCGTTTTCGAGGTTGGAGTCATTGAATCAGCTATCGGTATTCTGAGCTATAGGCGTGGGGTTCGGGTCCCGCTTACGGGCCCCGAAAAAAATTGGATTCTCGATGCTCTGTGGTGTGATCTGAGGCAATTTCTTACCACTTTAACCAATAATTATCTTAGCACAAAAGATAATAATTAAAACATAATTTTCGAGGTTTTCTCAGCTAAAGGCAAAAGAAATTTTTTTGAACATTGTTTTCGAGGTTGGAGTCATTGAATCAGCTACCAGAATTCTGAGCTTTAGGCGTGGGGTTCGGGGCCCGCTTAAGGGCCCCGAACAATTTTGGATTCTAAATGCTCTGTGGTGCTATCTGAGGCAATTTCTGACCACTTTAATCAATATTTTCTAAGCAAAAGATACATTGTAGTACATAATAGGGCCCTGTAAATGAGACACGAGTTCAAAAATCTGGGGGGGGGGGGGACATTTGATATTGTGTCCCCCACCCTTCAAAAAGTGGGGGGGGGGGGGGGGACATGTCCCCTGTCCCCCCCAGGATTGATGCCCATGGCGTCATGTATATCAATGATAATTTTTTTAGAAACTCAAAATCTCAGTGGGGGGCGACTGGGGGGGGGGGGGGCGACAAGGTTTCATGGGGTGGGGGGGGGGGCGGTCGGCCCCCCCCCCACGGCCCCCCCCCCCGGTGACTACGCCACTGACAGTCGGAAACTAGGGACTAGACGTTTTACAGTGAAATTTCTTCAATCGTAAAGATCGAGGTTTCACTCCAGCTTCAACCGAAGTGGTTCATTTTTCAGACTATGTCAATCATGGGCGTCAAGAGGGGGGGGGGGGGGGGCAAGGGGGGCGCTTACCCCCCCCCCCCTGGAAAAGCCAAAAAAAAAAGGAAGAAAAAAAAGAAAAGAAAAAGAGGCGCGAAGTCATAGTGGTGTAAATTTAATGAGTTGGGGGGGGGGGCAAAATGTCCCTGCCCCCCTCTAAAACTGAGAAATCGAGAATATGTTGAGAAATACAGGATTTTTGGGGGAAACAAAAATGTTTTGCCCCCCTCTAGAAAAAAATCCTGGCGACGCCCATGATGTCAATCGAAAATGAGAGAGATTTTGACTGTAAAACGTCTAGTCCCTAATTTCACTCTTTGGAATTTAGAGAGTTATATGTGGACTTGCTGGTATGTTAATTTTCTTGAGTCACTAGTTTACATTTTTGTATTTAGATTGAAGACAGATAAAAGATACATGTATCTTGAACATGAAGAGACAAGAATGAAACCTATAACAAACGCACATGTGAAAAGTGAAAAATGAAAGTCTCGCATTTGCCTTCGTTTCCAATTATTTTGAATGCAGAAAGTAGAGTCCCGGCCAAGTTAGCAGATTTGGCGGCCAAACATGCCAAATCAGCGACCATTTTCGCACGAATTTGAATGCGCGTTGAGATCAACATTCAATTGGCTAAAAACACCAATCAATTTCACATTAGAAGCATGCTATTCATATTTTATCACGCAATTTTAACAACCGGGCATTCAAATTAAAATTGCACAAACGAGCATCCAAATTCGCCGGAGCTTCCAGCTGTGTAAGTTTCAGGGGCGTCAATCGCTTCTCAAAAGTGGGGGGACATGCCTTGATCAGAACTGATGCGAGCGCGAAGCCCTTACGGCGTGGGGTTGGGGCCCGCTTAAGGGCCCGGAAAAAATTGGATTCTAGATGCTCTGTGGTGTGATCTGAGGCAATTTCTTACCACTTTTCTCCATGCTTTAACTAATATTTTCGTAGCAAAAGATTATTATTTGAACAGCGTTTTCGAGGTTGGAGTCATTGAATTGGCTACCAGAATTCTGAGCTACAGGCGTGGGGTTCGGGGCCCGCTTAAGATTCCCCCTAAGATCTCGGCCATTGAGTGACGAAAAATTAAACTCGGTACATTCATAGAGCAACTCATCATGAACATACCGAAGAAATTTCATGACTATAGGTAAAAGGGTTTTGTATGAAGCCCGGGAAGGGACGAATTAGCAAATGCCAAAAAAAAATCCACCCTGTCCCTTCCCGGGCTTCATAGTTTTGGAATTTTGGCTAACTAATTATTCATTTGTACAAATGGTAATTCTACTCTATGTACATACTGATGGCAAAAGGAACATTGTTGGTATCAAAATGAGGCTCGAGGCTAAAAAGTCATAACAGCTCGGGTCGCGAAAAAAAAATCAAGGCTATCACGGAAAAAAAATGAGGGGGGGGGGGATGCGGATGCCGCCCCGGCCCTTTTAGGGTTAAAACGAATTTGAACGCCTACGAACCACTATGACCGCTGGGCGCTACTTTGCTTCAAATTGGCCACTATATCAAGATGAATTCGAAAGCCATTTTTGCGAAATTGGCTGGGAAAACTTATACTAAATACAATGCGTGGAGATGAAAACGAAAATATTATTTTTTACGCAAATAACCCTTAACCAAACAGACTGCTAAATTTAACGATCGGTTAAGCCGATAACTTCAATTTAGGATGTTAAACATGACAATGTCAAGTCCGACTGAGACGAACTTGAACGTCTAGAACCTAATACGAACCATTGTAGGGAGCTGATTCGCTTCAAATCGGCCACTATCAAGATGAATTTCAATTTTATTTCTGCGAAATTGGCCTATCCCCGAGGTAATTCAATTATATTCCTCTTTAGAAAGCCTATGTTGCACCGTGGGGTGGCTTCAAACCTGGAACCTTTTAAAAAAGGAGAACATTAGGGTCACATTGTCTGTCGTTTTTCCATAAGCTACACCATTAACCGGCTGCAGTGGGATGTGGATAAAAAAAAATGAATTGTTCGAACTCTACAGAGTTACAGTACGGTGATTTTTTTAGGTCACAATGCCCACAACGGTCTTTGTGCTGACGTTACAGCCCCTGGATTAATTGCCCAATGTCATTGCTCCAACATTTCCAGGGAACGGCCTCGATTGGCAGCTGATTCGTGGACTGGTTGAAGTCCCGACCTCTAATCAGGTGACCGAGTTCGAACCCATTGAGCATTTTTCAGTCTTCTCATTTCACCTTAAGTGAGGAAGGAACATTTCTCACAATTAAGACAAAAAAACCTATCTTGGGTTTGTGTTGTGGAGAACAATGCAGAAGATATACATGTACATACAATGGACCTATCAGATGGGAAACGGATGTCGTTAGAGAAAAAATATTGGCGGGCGGAGAGGGGGGGGGGGGGGTGAGGTGAGGCATTAAAAGAGAAAAAAGAAACTCATTTGGCGTGTTATATGATTTTAGCATCATACATATATTTTACTTATGTTTCAAAAACTGAAACCAACAATCTATTTCAATAAACCCAAAAATATTCTATTATGTCTGCAGTGCAGTACTGTCTGGGCAAAACACGTTTCCCGCACGATAGCTGGAAAGATCATTAAACAGTAGAATGTAGAAGTGTGTGCATCTCTACCTTGAACATTTGTTGTTTTAATGTAATTATCACGAGAAGGAATTTTGGGGTACATTTGGCTATTAAGAGTCCAGTCATTGTTGTGCTGGTCTTATTTCATATTACAATGTTTCTTTTTCGAAAAATGTAGTTCAAACACAATTTCCCTTCTTTTATTTTGTAGTGTTAATTTTGAAGCTGTATTTGCTTTTTGAAATACAATGTACATGTACCAGGCAAAAAGTGGTTGTCAGGTCAGATAAAAACAAACAAGGATTTTTTATAATAATTTTTCCTTATAACATTTGTATGACATAACATGTAATGTGTATTTCCTGAAACCAAGACATCTGAAATATGGTTAGTTTACCTCCAGATGAAGAATACCTACATTGACTAGTATGTTCCGTGCGGTTAGTTGCAATTTTTGAAAACAACCGAGTTACTGAGAACTAAGCATGCACTGAAGTACATTGTATACTCCTTTGAAAAGACACGAGAACACGTAGCTTTAGGAATGCCTGTAATAATGACTAGTTTGCATTGTGTTTGCATTTCTAAAAGATTTTGAACTTACTATGAATGCATAACAAACAATAACATAACACATTAAGCTTGATAGACATACAGCTATTGAAGTTATTTAGACATAAGTTATTCACACACAAAAGGCACACAAACATAATTGCATTTAGGTGCAGTATAACATGAATCACAATTTTCGGATGAATCCTGCATGAGACATGAAAGTGACTGGTTTTAAGAAAACTAAAAAATGCATAATTATAATCTGTAAAAAATTTAAAATTTTGTGTCTACATGTATCTGTTTTAAGTCTATTCAAGTCACATGCATTGTACTTACATGTATCAGCAAACTGTTGTTTATACAGTGACTAAGTAAAATGACACAATAGAATGAACTTTGCACTATTATCTAGCACACAGTAGGTAAATATGAGTGATTGTGCGGGATTTACTTTTCCATTTGCAATAAAGAATGCGATAATTATGATATGACAAGGACACGTACACCTGTTATTAAATCAGACACAGTGCTATTTTTATACAATGACCTTGAGCAATACATTGTGAAATATCGACATGGAATTAACCAATGCTAAATGCATGTATAGCTGAGCCAATACAGATGAAGAAATACACTGGCATATTATAATATTAATTATTTATTTTACATATTAAAATTGCTCATTTGTATATACTTTTATAATTATTAAAATAAATTTCTATGGTAAAGTATTTGATACTCTTTGTCTATATATTTGATGTATGGTTGTACACATTGCCTACACGAATAATGTACTCAAATTCAAGTTGTCTGCAACTTGTACTCCAGTAACAGAAAGACAAGTTTGTGATCCATTACAAGTATTTTACCCTAACTACATACAACACTGATTCAGTGACTTGTTCAAACACTGCTTGGATGGCATTATGTTTGGTCATAAATATCTCAGACAGTTTACCCATTCCTATTGGTCGAGAGCCCGTCACATGGGTGGTTTTAAAACCACTGATAAAACACTGCTGCATTCTGCACTACATCGTGCAGCACGCAGTACTGGCCCGCCATTCTCAATACCCATTCTCAATACACATATGGAGATATTTAACACCACACAGTTCGCTCACGAGGCACATAGTACCATAGACATGGGAAGAGGGGTGTTCCAAAAACATGATGTAAAATTGTTGAAATCGTTGAAAAATGGTTGAAATTGGTGAATCTTTGACTTGTTTTGACTTTAAAACACAAATGGTATTTATGAATGGGAATGCAAGACCCCCGCCTTTGGCTCGGGCCATTATTCGCGTCCAGGCCCCTAGCTGGTATTAAACGTACTTGTTTAATACCGGCCAAGCACATATTGCCCTTACCATAGAAGTATAACCTCACTTAAAGCTACAAAACACTACATGTACATGTAGTAAACTGTAGTATGCAGTACTCAGAGATGCCAACTTTACAGACTACAAAAGGGCAATGATTGTTCCTGCAAAGAGTAATGCTAATGTAAATACATAGGACAACAGTCAAGTTTAAGAGTAACCACAGTACTTTTCAGAGTAACCACAATGTTGGCGTATACATGTAGGACAGCTGGAATTTTCAAGAGTAGTACCATGCCTCAAAATCCTAACAATTACTCCAAAAGAGTAATGGTTGGCATCTCTGAGTACTTCAGCAAGTGGGCACAGCACTCAGCATTTTTAAACACTTGGTACCTGCATACATAATTTCTGCATGTGGTATGTGGTACTTTATTAGAAATGAACTATAGGGGGTTATAGGTTAATGAAACGATAGGGCAGGCATAGTGTTCACTCACCTCATCAAACCAAGCTACATGTATGTACATTGTACATTGACTGTACAAACAGTGAAAAACAATGAATGCAAACAAACCTCACGTATTTTTTACAACAATAAAATCTCAACAATTTGAAGTTATTATAGTATGATAGTATCGATCTAAAAAGTATCCACTAACCACCTATAAAACCATAAAACAATGATAAATAGTAAAACGATACAATCAACATTACACAGTGTATTACATTGTCTGCTTCTTTGGCATACATTCAAAGACTCCAAGCAAAATGTATATTTGCCCAACCTACTACAGTTGATTTCACTGTAACTGTGCGTCTATATAAAATAATGACATCCTAAAACTCTTGTATTTTGCATGATGCACAAACTGCCCGATGTGAAATTTGGCAAAAAAATTGCTCAAAGTTGAACAAGACGGTCAATTTTGAGCAGTCATATACATTCTGAATGCAATCAAAGTATGATCTTTGATTATACTGGTCTGTATATATGTCTGATGTCCAAATGAACCGTCTGTCCTCTGAACTGTACTATCAGTGTGTAGCCTCCTATTGATTCCTATACTATGGCCAATTTAAACTGGAGGAGGTGAGACGGACAAGACATAATGCTTGGATTACATGTAATCTACTGTATTCCAATAAACTCTGTAATTGGAGGAAGATTGACCATCAGAGCTTGGTACTCCTTGACAAAGTGCTGAAGTCGATTGAAGTATCCTCTCTCATGGTAGGGCAACTTGTGATCCTGCAGATACTTCTTCACAATTGGCTGGATCTTCAGGCACATGTTGTCAGACAGCTTTGGGAAAAGGTGGTGCTCGACGTGGCAACCAATCAGTGAGTGCCCAAAATTCCAGGACAGCAGAGGATTGTGGGATAGGTTGAGGACACCAGAGGACATCATGTACAGACGAGGTGGGCGATTCTCAGGAAGGTACATAGGGAGGCCAATGTGCTGGAAGATGTTGATATGGATGTAAGGTAGCTCCATGACAGCACGGTATGACAGCAGGCTCAGCACAGCAGACTTCAAGGATAGGCCAGAGACGTACACTAGGAGGGAGATGTTGGCAATCAGGCCCAGCGTGACCACCACAGCACACTGCAGAGCCCTGTTGAGCTTATTATCCCGGACAAGGAAACCAACAGCCAGAAAAGGAATAAAAGCAGGGAGGAGAAGGGGAGCCACAAACATGTAGATGAGACAGGGCAGGAAAGGGGCTCGCCAGGTACTGGAGTCGCCCAAACCGATGATGTTGGTGTGAGGATGGTGAACTTTGATATGAGACGTCTTGGCGAACTCCACAGAAAATGAGCCCAGAAACTCCACAAAGAAAACTTCCCAGAATCGACTTGCAATCTTGGAGTGGCAGAGAGCTGAATGAACAGCAAGGTGAGACATCTTGGTCTTCAACATGCCATAAAAGAGCCCCAGCAGCAGGATACCAGCTATAAAGGCTGGCCAGGTAGGGTAGCCAATAAGCAGCAGACCCGGGGGTACCAGGGCAAACCCGGATGCAATGATGCACCAGTCAACTCCGTACATTTCCCACCAGGATGACTTGCTCTGAACTTTCTGGACAGCATTACTCAGCTCACTCATGCTAGCTCCATTCAGAGCATCACACACAATGTTCCCATTTGTTTCCTTCATTGACTTGCGCTCCATTCTGCTGACTTCAATTCTGGCAGATGCAATCAATCTCTGAAATTGCATAAAAGGTACAAGATAAAATTAAAGAATTAGAACTTTTTAGGCACGCAATATCAAGGTGCATTTCACTGCATATGCAGATAAGCACTGTATTGTGTGACAATAAAACAGTACTACAGTACTAGTAGTAGTAATAATGTTATCCCTATTCTTACAACCATGACAGTTTACACTGGTACTTCACAAATTACACTGGCACTTCACATAAACATACAGACTTACATTAAAAATACACATGTGAACAATTAATAGATGCATTACAAGTAGTAGCAGTTGAAAATCGCGTTACAAATGCCATAACTTATGATAATCGCATAAAGTTATGCGATTAACCTTAGCTGCGATGCATCCTACAAACTATTTTACCAACCTCATCGTAACAGCGATGCATCACAATTCTCAAAGCTATTTTTAGCATATTACGGTGACTGTTTCATGTCAGTGGTAGCTGAACAGGAAACAGTCGTCCAGTAACCACCAAAGAGTTGTAGGATTTCTCAAAAAAAAAGTTTCCTAGTGCAAAACAGAATGGCGGTCGACAATAATTGATCTGCGGACAAAACAATGCTCGAAACAAACAGTTGTTTGACTGGAATTTTCTACTTAAATGTCAAGGTAAGTCACATATACGTAAACAGTAATTTAAAAAGATAATTTAACGAACATTATCACATTATGTTGGTCTGCTTTTTTCACTTGTCATGCCGTAAAACTGGGTTTGAAAAGACACTTCATAACTTAGGATGACCCACAGACAAGTCTTAACTTACGATGTGTTCCACGCTGTTGTCAAGGTACTTAAGTTTCGTGAAATTGATTTTAAGAAGCATCGTAAGTTGAAATGGGTTAGGCCAAGTAAAAAAAAAAAAAGTTAAACGTCTTGCTTTTTGAAAAAAGAAAGGAGGAGGCCCTTTTTTTTTTCCTTCCAAAATGGCCGCCCGACCGGGCTATTTTTTTTCAAGATGGCCGCCAGCTTTTTTTTAAAAAATGGCCGCCGCTTGGACTCAGGAATGACATACCAGCTTTATATGTGCTAGATGTAACAGACAAAGAGGCCAGAATGATGTCACTGCTTAAAATTATCATTATTTTTGTGCTTAAAAAAAAAAAGCCTACAGGGGCGCATAAGGCAGTTTGAAGACCATTTTTGGGGTGAAATCTGAAGATTTTGATTGGGGGTACGAGTGAAAATGGTAAAAAAAACATTATTAGTAACGCAATATGGCTATGTACCTACATGTAGGACTCTACTATCGCCCTACCGGATGTCTATTTTTATAGTATCCTCGATCCCCCTATTTCTGCGCAGATAAGGCTTCGCAACCAAGTAGCTGAAAAAATAGCAAAGCAACCACTCTTTTCCTCAACAAAACTTATAGTGTTGGCTTACGATCACCCACCGTACCGATTAACAAAGCGAAATCTCTTTATTTGTGGCAGCAAGCGGGGAATTCCGAAGCGTGCAGTTTGGCGTTGTAGAAAAGAATCCTGCCTAATTCTGCGCAGGGGACCCTTCATGAAAAATATGTGTTGTCCGGTCCATGTATTAAACTCAATATAAACTTTTTTTTAATAACTTAGACTTGTTGGCTTTAGGAAAATATATTTCCTGAGCTTTTCAAACAGATTTTCTTTCTTTTTCCTTTTCAATGCCAATACACTTTTCGTAATTTCAAGATTATTTTCAATATCCTATTTTCGAGATTTATACAAAGGCCTATATTTACATAAATACATTTTATATATATTTACCTATTATGTAGCCCAGTGGACTCCTCCGTTGTGTACAACGCGTCAGTCGCAATGCAATGTAGACGACGTCCAACCTGGGCTACCTATTAAGTAAATGTAGATCCCAATGATATTGTTATTCTGATCATCCCAATCAACACTCAACAGAGACAGTTTTTAAGATGTCGGATTTTAAAACTTATGACCAAAAAATTCGAAACAAATATAAGACATGAATATATGAATGTGTCGTTTTAGTTGCACTGTAAGTTGTACACCCTCCCCTGCAAATTCTTATCAATTGACATCTTTACTATACGTTACTGACGATATTGGGGACCAAGAAAGGTCACCTTTTGGTCATATTTTTGACTTTTGCAAGCCTGCAAGCATCTGCCTGCATTTGTACTTAGTAATTAGCTGTGAAAAAGCCTATGTTTTTCATATTTTGCCTGATATTTTGCCTGATAAAGCCTTCAATTTCCACATTTTTTCGGCTGCTGGTTAAAGTTGGTGCATCAAAGCATACGATCCCAGTGAAAGTTTGTCATTTTTTAGGATGCATGCCTTGCAATAAAGGCGAGTGCGAAGAAATAGGAGCGCGTACATATATAGCTTTAAATTTAGGTCTGACCTACAATATGTACATGTAATATTATGAGTATTATGACACTTGACAAAATAACAGATTTTAACTAAGATACTTTAATCAAGATAGCCTTATTCATGGATAAAGAACGAAGGAAGGAAAACACTCCGTGGATAAACTTACCAATGTGAAATTCAAAGTTTGGCAGATAGATTTCTAGATTTTCGTCAGGATTTCAGCTTGTGCGATTGTCACTGACAAAAGTGACATAGACCCCTACCCTGGAAATTTACGGGACTAGACTATGGCATAGCGCCCTCTCTAAAATACAAGATCCTTTTGAAATGTAATTTAGAGAGGGCGCTATACCAGTCTCCCATATTTTTTTTTCTGTCCTTGACTGTTGATCTCAGCTCGCGCGTTCTGCGCGATGTTGCATGCATGCAGGCCTGATTCAAGATGGCGGCGCCCAGGATGATCCTCCTATTTGGGACAATCCACATGGTTTTTGTCCATTTTTATCCATTTGTCGTCTGTCAGGATAATCCAGCGGATTATTTCAAACGTGAACATTCTTTAATGCGGCCATACACAGGTAAGTTACTTGCAAAGACGGAGGTAAATCGTCTATTATTTTGCCACGTCATTCATGCATTTGTAACGGCAGCCGTAAGTTACGCAATTTTTAAGCGCTAGTAAAACACGCCATTGCGAATCTATCGGCGATCGTGAAGTGTAGGGCCCGGTTCCTATAAGGGAACAAAATCCACTTTAAAATTATTGGACTTACCAAAAATACCAAACCAGTTGGCGACATTCTCAATAGCGCCAGTATCACAACTCCAGCATTACCACTTATGATAATTTATGCTTACTTCACCGCAAGTCAGGTACGTCACGTCACAGGACTTAAAATATGCAGTATCGATGACGATCAGTGGCGGAGCTCCGGAGAGCGGGAGGCCGGTTTTCGCATCCAATGATCGGTCAACTTTCGGAATGTACATGATGTAACTTGTGTTTGAGCAGAGGCAGCTGTGAAATGTCGTCCTTCCCATCCCAAACTAACTAGTGCAAACAATTACAATAGCATTCGGTTGTACCACGGAGGTAGAATTACTTGTACTTAGGCTAACTGAGGCCAAGTTCGGGCAAGGACCATTAGTCGACTAGTGGTTGATTTGTGACGTACCTTACGCCTGCGCACTAGTAGCAGAGTGCGAACGTCTCTAGTCGAACGCTGGTCAAAATGTCATCGCAAAACGTCTGGATCCTGGCTCCCTGCTGTACGTTATGTACGCGCGCGGCTATGGTTACCAGCGAAGCAACCAACCCCAGTAGGTTGTTTCCAAATAGTCGACTAGCGTAGTTAACCATCGTCGACTAGATAGAGTTCGCGCAAGCGTTAGTCGACCAATGGTTAACTATAGTCCTTGCGCGAACTTGCCCTGATCTGTAATTCGTCAACGGTTAGCGTGCCTATTATCTGTACAAAACGAAAACGGATTGTGCTCGGTGGATACTATTTTACACAGTGTCGGCATGTTAGTCGATCAACGTGCGCTTAAAAATTATACGAATAGATAAGGGGAGCCTTCGTTTTTGAATTGACCAATGTTAGATTAACCGGCTTGGGCAGATGATTCGGGTCTATGCATATTCTTCCATGATTTATTATTACATTTAGCATTCAAAAAGTAGGTGGGAATACTTTTTCGTGAACGCTTGCATTAATTGGTATTTAGTTTGTTTATTTTTACTCTTTTCCTTTTTAAAACCATACAACTTACCATGTTTACAAAAACCTTGTTAATATTTTTACTAAAAGCTATTGAATAAACAATTTATTTTGAATTAATGGATTTATATCTGTAATTTCAAAATCTTATTTCTGTCGTTGAATTGAAAAAAAAAGTCCCCTTTTTAATACGAAAAATCTCCAAGATGCTAATGGTTTATCCTTTTACCCTAAGGTATGGGATGGTTGACCTAGCTTGTCTCAATATTTTTCACAGGGAACAATAGATTAACTGTGAAGCTGGCACTTTCCCTGCATGCAGAAAAAGTTTGTGTAATGATTTTTGTGCCAAAGAGGGCTGGTGGTTTTATTCCTCCATGGTTTTACCAAGAAAATTACCATACTTTTTTTTAATCGAGGAAAACGTATGGGCCCACCATGCAAGCTTAAACGGTGCATTAGGAGAAGCGCATATGGTCGCAAACAACATGGCGAATCTCCCAAATTTTGTTGTTTGCATTAGGCCCAATTTTGGGTATGTATACAACCTCCAAGCGGCATTAGATCTCAAGCAACACCATGAGCTGACGAGTGGATCAAGTTTTATCGTTCTTCCTAATTTTTTGAGTACATGTACATGTATATTATTTTGTCTTACAAAATTTCAAATTGGGTTTTGTGCTTTAACGGAAAAAATATTGGGCCTGTTTTGTTGTTGCTTTTGCCAGTGCCTCCCTTTTTTTTTTTGACTTGTCAACATCACCGAACAAATTTTGATTTGATTTAATTAATTCGAAATTTCCTACAATGATGATAAAGATAACCGGGCATAGTTCTCGTTTAACTTGCTCTGTGTTTTAACCATTGATCTCCATTACATTGATCTCCATTAAGACTTTACAAATGGAGATCAATGGTTTTAACCCATGCAGCTATAAAACAAGTAACAGATCATGGGGGGATAGATACAGTACCGCACCGATTGGAGGAGGAGGGGGTATCGAAGATCGCGTGTACGGCAATTATGGCCAAGTCGTAATATTGTACATGTACACGACGATCACACGCGGACCGACGATGTACATAATTCATAAGTTTGATGACGCTGTACTGTTCACGGCATAAATTATGATTAGTGGTACTGCAGGAGTTGTGATACTGGAACTACCGTATGTCATAGATAGAGCTTTAGAGGGCAGGTAGTCCCATAAATGTGACTGAAATACTGGACTACTTCCGTATTATCAGTCACAAAGCCACGTACGGCCTGTGAGCGGAGTGTCCCGTTGCTAGGGGAGCCGAAAATTAATTAAAGATCGAAATTATTTTGTCAGCAGAAAATCATCCCAGCTATAGTATGACTGCTAAATCAATAAATTCGGTACCTTCAGAGGTCTAGTTATCCAAAAATCATGGTAATTCGTCAAAGAATGCAGACGGTTTTGAACAAGCATGGCGTCGCTGATATGTTTCCCGGCCACCCTAATAATAGTCAAGAGGCCAAAGGGGTCAGGAACCAGACAAGAGCTTTAATCATCTCCTGAGCGTGCATCAACTTTGGCAAAGCGCACCGCGGCTGTTGCCTGTCATTCCAAAATCTTTGAAGCCCTCCGCAGTGAAGCACACCCTCTTGTGTGCGCTGTTCATCCGCGGTCGCGTAATGCATCCGGGCACTTCACAGAGCGCCAAAGATTTTGGAATGACAGGCAACAGCCGCGGAGGTAGTCCAAAAATAAACTACATGTACAAACTAAGCCTAAGGTGAAAATCAAAATTTGACAAAGTTCTACATGTTTTTGTACATGTTCCAAGTGTGGCCTTTATTTACTGAGGTACATGTAGTCCAGTAAATTGGCCACATTTATTGGGCTAGGATGTCCTAGGTCCGATGATCATCATTGACGAAGCATTGGATTATTGTTTCTACAGCTTTACAGGTGAATTGTGATCCGTTGTCGGATAGTAATTTCTTGGGGGCTCCATACCTGCTAAATAGTTGCCTGACAAGTACATGTACATGTAGACACAAGATCATCTTCCCAGTTGCCCTTTTTAGGGGGAACACCTCGATCCACTTAGAATAGTGATCAACAGCGGTAGGGGCCCCATCAGGTCAACACCTACAATCTCCCATGGTGCTTCAGAATGAGTGGACAGCATAAGACCTTGTGGCTTCTGAAAGACTGGTTTCGTCTCTCTGCACTTCTGACAGGCCCTGCTGTAGTCGCGAACAACTTCATTCCTTTCCACCACCAGTGAAGACCATCAAGGCGTTGTAGTGTCTTTGTTTGGCCAAGATGTCCAGCGGTTGGTCTCGAGTGGCAAGCTTGCACTACAACTCGCTGGAGCATTTTTGGGATGACCATCTTCCATTTGGCATTGTGGTAGTAGAACCAGATATCATCCTTATAGCGGTAGCCTACATACAAGTTGTCTGTCTTGCAATGTGACAATTCTGGGTCACTACTTTGCTCTTTCTTGAGCTGGTCCATGTCTGGTGGTGCTATTATTTGTTCGTCAGATGGGGAGCCGGTGGTAGCTTGCCACTCTATCTTCCGATTCTCCTGGAGTTTCTTGCAACAAGGCGGGCAGCGATACTTTGGCATCTTCTCTGCTTGTCGTTTCTTAATACATGGACCAGGACACACAGTTGGTGGTACCACTTATCGCAGTCGTCGCACTGGATCATTGTACGGGGTTGGTCGAAGGGTGAATGCATGCTGCGGCAGCACATATTTCGTTGTCAGCATGCGTTGACGATTCATCGTCAATTTCTGTGAGGACCTCAAGACCATCAGCTTTGTTTTGCAAGGTCTGGTCATCGCCGTCCTTTGCTGGAACTGGTACCCTGTCAACCGTGTCCTGCCTGGTGTAGACGGACTTGGCTTGAACACCTTCTTCAATGCGATGTGCATCTGGCACATACATGTAGTGTGTGATGCCTGGCCGGTACTTGACATCGTATGAGAAATCTTGTAGTCGCAAAACCCACCGTGCCAGCTTGCCAGTCAGCTTCGCTTTCTTGAAAAGCCAGCAAAGGGCTTGATGATCAGTCACCACTTTGCAGCGCTTCCTATCAAGGTAGACTCTCTATTTTTCCAGGGCCCACACCACAGCGAGAAATTCCTTCTTGGTTGTGCTGTAGTTGCGCTCAGTTGGGTTCAAGGATCGACTGGCATAGGCGATGGTCTGCAGAACTCCATCGCGCTCTTGCTGAACTGCCCCCAGACCGACATTGCTGGCATCTGTGTGAACAGAAAATGGCTAGTCAATTGAGGTCGGGATACATCAGTATTGGCTCTTCGGTGAGGGCAGATTTCAGCCGGTTGAAAGCTGTCATGCACTCATCTGTCAAATTCCACAACTCTTTCTTCCTTTTAGCTGGTTCAGCAGCTCTGTGGTAGTGGAAAAGTCTGGTATGAACTGTGAGTACCACTAGACCATGCCAATGAATCTCTTGGACTGCTTCATGTTTCTTGGGACAGGGAAGTTGAAGATAGACTCAATCTTCTCAGGGTCCATCTTCAGGCCATCAGCGCTGATGATATGACCCAAGTACTTCATCTCACTGTGGGCAAAACAACACTTGTCGATGTTGACTGTCAGACCAGCTTCTTGCAGTGTCTGCAACATCAGCCTCAAGCCATGTACATTGTACATGTTGAGTGATGTTTTCGGAGAAACATACAATGTCGTCCATATTAGCAGACCTTTCCGATGAGACTGCCGAGGACCTTCTCCATCAAGCGTTTGAAGCTTGCGGGGCCATTTACGACACCAAAAGGTAGTACAGTGGACTGAAAGAAACCCTCTTTGCAGACAAATGCTGTCTTTTCTCCGTCGTTCGGAACAACCATCATTTGGTGGTAGCCTCTCTTAAGATAGAGGGAGCTGAATACCGTCGCCCCATGAAGTGATTTGAGGATAGACTCAATAGTTGGTATGGGATACGCATCTATCTTAGTGACGGGATTTAGTTTGCGGTAGTCGATGCATAAGCTGTACTCGTTGCCTTTCTTGGGTACTGTGAGAACAGGGAAGGCCCATGGCGAAGATGAGAGTTCAATTCTGCCATCTGCCAACATCTCGTCAAGTTGTTCCCTCAACGATGCGCGTCTATCTGCAGATAGGCGGTAAACTGGACTTCGCACTGGGGAGGAGTCTCCTGTGTTAATGTAGTGCTGGGATACATCCGTCCGTCCAGGTTTTCCGGTTAGGACCTCGGGCAAAATCATCTAGTAGTTTTGTGATGAGCGGATCATCTTCGGCTAGTGACTGTCTTGCTAGGTGACAAGATTCTCTTGTAAGGATTTTGTCTTTCAGCTGACACTGATGTGGCTGTGATTGGGAAGTGTCACCCGTCCCATTATCCAGCATGCCCAAAAGCCGCCACTTGATGCGATGGTTACTGAGACATGCACTATCTATTATTTTCGTTTTGCGTTTTGTCGTTGTCGTCGTCATTTTACCCCCAAATTTCCCTGAATAATTAAAAACCCTGCCCTTTATGTATTACATACCTGTATGTTCTTAATGATGCCAACTAGTTTGGTAGTCGGAGTAACTTGGACCTAACTTATCGCCTTTTTAACATTCGGACATGGTCTGGCGATAGTAGGGTCCAAGCAAAAGCGCTGCCATCGTGCGAAACAATTCTGCCGTTAACCCAAAAACCCAACATTGCCAAAAAAAAAGAAAAAAGATTTCACCCTCCAAACGGCCTTCAAATAACTAGATACCCCACCTGAGGTACAAGTAGAGATTGATGATTCAGATCGAGGTACTAAAGTTTACTTACGATCCAGATGAAAAGTGAAATTCCCATTCTATTCTGAGAGCTCCTCTCGCGATAGTGAACATGATAAATTTCCGACTCATGTTTGAACAATGCGATGTGGTCGTGCCCAGCATTCATTCAATGGTCCCTGTACATCCCGAGTGCGATTCCGTTACCAAGCGCGATGCATCGATTGTGATAATGAGTAGACTAGATCTCGTTTGTAAACACAAGTGCATTTCAAAAGATGATAGGGAGTCGGGAAGTAGGCCAGCTTTTATGAGCGGAAACCAGTTCAAGCTAGTTTCCGACTCCCTATCATCGTTTGAAATAAGTTTGTGTTTGCAAACGAGATCCAGTCTACTCATTATCATAACCGATGCATGGCGCTCAGTAATGCAATCGCGCCCGGGATACTGGGACTATCAAATGAACGCTGGGCATGACCACATCCTGTTGTTCAAGCGAGTTGGAAATCGGACACGTTCACTATCGCGAGGGGAGATCTCAGAATTGAACGGGAAATTTCACTTCATTTCATCTGGATCGTAAGTAAATTTCAGTACCTTCGTCTTAATCGTTGATGACTGCCCCTCCTTAGCCTTCGGCGTAGGCGGCAGAACTTGCCTTCACCATTTGCTGCTTGTTACATTTTATGCCCCCCGTTTGTAAAGTCCTGGATTCACCCCTGACAATCTGATGTCATCAGCATTAGTATTAATACATGTAGGTTAGCGCTGAGCTGTCCCCAAGCTAGTTAAGGGGCCTACATGTATGAGTATGAATACATATTGGCTATCCCCATGGCAGCCATAACGTGATTTTCAACTGCTATCGTTACGGCATTGCAAAACATCATTGCGAATCTGTAGCATATTACTACCAGGCATGAACCTGGGAATTTTGAAAAAACGAGGACATTCAAAACCACACAAGGCTGTTTTGTACAGTGTTTTTTTCAATTTGTTCAAAATTTCATGAGAAGTAAAAAAAACGAGGAAATCAGTGGATCTGATGAAAAGTTGCATGCCTGAACAACATCTACCCGTTCAACCAGAGAACTTCAGTAGCTCAATTGGTTAAAATGTTCGACTACTAATCACTAAAGAGGTAATTTATTTGAAATTTTTTGTAGATAATGTGCTTGGAATTCCTCAGTTTGTTCATTTTCTGTTTTAATTCACCGTTTATCAGGATCTGGTGCAAGTCTTCCAATGTGGGACATGCAAGGCCACACAATGATCACCAATAATTACGTCCGACTCACTCCAGATAGGCAGAGTCGTCAAGGAGCCATCTGGAACAAAGTGGTAGGCTCTCTCACAACAATTGATTAAGTCTGCTGTTCTTTATACTAATTGGAGCTAGGTAGGGGGCTTTGCTGTCTTGCCCGCTTTGCAGGCGAATGCCAGCTTCGAAGGCAGACACCCACTTTGCAGGCGAATGCTCGCTTCACAGGCAGACGCCTGCTTCAAGGGGTAGGTGGCTTTTAACCTCGCCCACTGCGTAAGAAGGCCCTAAACATGTACCCAATACAAGGGCGTAAGGCAGTGTACATGTATGAAGTAATTGATGCAAGACAATTTATATGCAACACAGTGTTTATGAGATACTTTATATGCAACACAGTGTACATATAAAATATGGCTTTTATAGACTGGAGACATGGCCATTGAAATGAAATTACAATTGTTGTCCTTGACAGATTTTCTAGATTGAATGATAAACTGTTTCTTCCTTCAAATCTACATGTAGCCAAACCGAAGCCCGAACTGGGAAATCCATATAGAGTTCAATGTGCATGGACAAGGCAAAACACTATTTGGAGATGGCTTTGCAGTCTGGTACACCAAAGACAGAATGCAAATGGGTAAGTTTGATGTCAGTTTGAGGTTGGATACCAGATCAATTAATTCTTAAATATACCACAAATTAATTTTGAGTCTTCAATTAATTCTGATATTTATGTATGACGTGATACATTTCTCCAGCCTGTCAGTGCCGTTGATATGTAACTGAGAAACACAATACAAATCTTGTGTGACGTTGCATTACTGTGAGATCACATTCAAATTGATCAAATTGTCACTAAAGTGTACATTTATTTTAGCTGAACTTGGTGAGCTGACAACATTTACACTACCTATAAATAATATCAGCACATAGGCTTTCAAGTGACTGAATTAGTCAATAACTTCCAAATGAAGACGACTGTTCCTGTTCATTGTACATGTAATTGACTTTAAACAGCACATTTTCTAATGGCCGGTAGGGTAACATCTATTTCACACCAGTGGCATTCCAGAGTTGCACCAAACCAAAATGTATAGGGATATATTGCACACAAATAAAAAAGTTTTTAAGAGAGGCAAACAAACGACTGCAACAGTCCATATATGCATGTAGTCGCTTCTAACTGCCTCAAAATCCAACTTAATTTAAATCGTTTTTACTTATATTTGGTTTGGCTTGACTCTGGAACGCTATTGAGAATCAAATGTAAGGCACCCAATAACCTCATCTTTGCCATTATTCTTGCCATTTATTCTCCATGACAGGCCCTGTTTTTGGCAGCAAAGACTATCACACTGGACTTGGAATTTACTTTGACACATATAGCAACCACAATGGCCCGCATAATGTAAGTTACAATTCTCTTAGCATGTTCTACCTTATCCCCAAATTTTCAGATGTGAGGACAATAAGACGAAGAGAGAACAACAGACAGATTTAGTGTTGTCCTTGAACGGAGATCATTTGTTGAGAACAGTCCTTGCACTTACAATTTTACAAACATGTATGTCTGTGTGCTCTATTCGATGGGAGAGCATTATTTATATTATAGTAAGCCTGTTCGATATTCATTTATTTTATATATCGTGAAAAAAATATCGGATATCGCGATATTATTGTGATGACGTCAGTTTTCCACTCATGGAACAATGAAATAACAAAAAACACGACCGAAGTCACCATCCACTGCCGTGAAAAATTACCCGATATGTCCAGAACAAAATCGTCAATTTTATTTGACTACTAGTCTCATTTACTTTGCCAATTAAGTAGAAAACAAATTCCACATTCAAATATCGAAAAAATTTACTTTGAAATGTTTGATAAAAATGTGCAAATAGAAATATCTCACGAGGAAAGAACGAAGCACTAGCACGCAATGCACGCCGCACTGATGCCACGTGCACTCATAGTAAGACCGTGTACAGCCCACACCATTTGTGGTCAAGAGTGTGCTTCCTTGAAAACAATTCACCAGTATATCCACCTTTTCAAGATTACAAATAATATTTTTTTATGGCGTCCAAAATATTTCCTTGTTCAGAACAAATTCTTCATCGTTACAAACTCACAAAATATTTTTTTCTAAAGAATTTATTCAAAAAACGATGTTAACTCCAAAAACAGGGTGAAGCACCTCTTTGGAAAATTAATGAATCCGTCCAGAGATTTTTCAAGTGATGAATTTTTTGATCGAAAGTCACGATTGAACAGTTGGTTTCTGACGTTTTTGTTGTTGTTGAAAATATGAACTGATTTCATAAGTTTGGCACAGTTTTGGCACTAAGCAAGTATTAAGCGCCCGGGCACAACCAACATGACCAACGAAGAGAAGGAACAAGTCAGGAAAATACGTGCAGGAAAATTTGATCTAGTTCGAGTCGGCCCGGCATATACGCATATGGCGTTTTGGACTCTACTTTTCTAAAAACATAAGAAGAAAATCTAAAATATATATATATGAAATTCGGACTTTGTTTCCCTTTTTTAGAAAAAACCTCTGAAGCATTAGGTTAGAAAAAAAAAAAATGTGGGTGCAAAACTGTGATTCGAACCCGCAACCTTGCGGTGCAAAATCACAATTCTGTATCGACTGAGCTGTCGCACTGCTCGCTCCATCGTAGGGAAACAAATAATTATATAGTTGCGTAGGTATCATAAAAGTATCGTAGAGGGCACTTAACAATCATGTATGCGGATGTCGTTTGGTAAAAGAAAATTTGCGGGCCCGTTGAGGGCTCCCTTGGCCGCGCCCCGAAACGAAAGTAGTATTTCCAATGTTCACTTCTCAACGTCATTATCTACAATTATTTGCAGTGTTTTGTCTGTACAACAAAAATGAACTTCTTGTTCAACTATTTGTTTCAGAGACTAGTACCTGTGGGGTATCCACAGAGAAATGCCTCTGTTCTGCCTTGCTGAACTTACGTACTTCTTTATGGAAAAACATGTCTAAAAAATCACCCCAATCGAATCGTTTGAAGAATAAGCAGTGTTCTGTATGAAACATTTTCGTCAAAACAAAACAGGCAACGTATTTTCTATGTGAAATGTCAGAGATTTTGTTTCCCTTCCGTTAACTTAGACGCACATAATTACGTTTTCACCTGGTATGTGGGGCGAAATTGAGAACAATCTGGTTAAAAAGATGGTCTGGATTGTGTTGTTTGTACTGCCACGTGGAAGACGCAAAATGTACCCGTGACGTATGTTAGTCAGTTGGTTCCGCCCCTTAATAGGTAAGACCTTGCGGTACAATGCGGTAAGAGTGAATTTGTTGTTTGCGTTTTTTCATGGAAGCGCTTGGTTACAAAAGCGGTACCTCAAAAGAATATCGCGATATTTTTCGGCATATCGAATTCCACGATGTGCCGATATTTTTTTAAAGAGATTGATACGATTTCCGATATGAAAATTAAATCGAAATATCGTGAAATATCGTCAGATCGAACAGGCAAATACATGTATTATAGGAACAAAAGGCGTAATGGTATACAAATATTGAGTGGCTCAGAGTGAAATGGGAGGAATATTATCGCAAGGTGAAATGGAAAAGTCCAGATTTTACTGAGCGATAATATTCCTCCCATTTCACAATTTAAAGCCACTCAATATTTGTTTTATATAACTGACATATAGATCCTTGTCATTTGATATATTTGAACTTTTATTTCACTACAACATTGATGGGAAATGTATTTCTCTCTTCCAAACCACCCCTTCACGAAAATGTTTGAACCCCACTCTGTAGCGCAGGCTCTTTGGAACAATATGCGCTACGGGCAACGCTGAACGCGCACACCAGCATGCCTTTGCACACAAATACCGCATATTGGAACGAGAATAATCTTAACTGTTCAATAGTATTTCCCATTCCCCATGGGCAGATAGTACTTTTTGAGACCCGGCATGAATGGGAGTATTAAGGAATGTCACGTGATGTGAGTCCACCAGTCAAATGACAAGGATATGTATGTCGGTTATATAATAGAGTTTGTACACAGTAGCTCTCATGAGTACATGTACATGAACATGTAGTTGGGATATGCAATGTACTGTTGATGTATGGAGTCCATAGTGATGTTAACTGTTTATGAACAAAGTGTTCAACCTGATGTATAGTGCGTTGTTTAATGCATTGTCTAATTATTTTAGTGGTGCTGTACAGTGGCGAAATAATCAGTGCAACAATACCAAGTGTCCTCCAAAAAGGTAACCCACAAACAAAGGGATCATTTGACCAAGCTATGAACTTAATGAACATTATTATGGTGTTATCATAAACTAGGGGCAGTAAGCTTTCCATTGATATCTTGATTGCATTCCTCTGGTCATTGATAAGCTTGAGTCTCTTGAAAATGGTGCGTGGAAACCTTCTTAGGCCAGTGTGGGCTAAAACCTGAGCACATCCTGACATAAGACTGGTAGGTTCCAGGGACATTTAACTTATGAAAACATGAACAAAACAGGATTTCTATCAAATGATGATCAATAATCATTCAGGATTCAATACCTTAGCCAGATATATCACCGTCCACATGTCCATCTGCCCTTTTAATGCAATGTTCACAGCGGCGGTGTGTATCTTCCATGGCCTGTCTCACCATTGCAGGTTGGTCACGTAAATTGTCCACCATCTTGTGATGAATGCAGGCCTGCAGATCCTGAAGGTTATGAGATGGACTTCTGACAACCTTGTTCTCTAACGAGTATCAAATCTACGAGTATCAAATCTGGTGACCTGCTAGGCCATTCCAAAGGATGATTCATGTGATTACTCTGTCTCCCAAAAGTTCCCAGAAGCAATTTCTGACAGCAGTGTGTCTGTGGGCTAACCTTTTCTTGACTTTCAATATGAAACACGAGCTGCAGCACAAGATCATCAATTGACAGAAATCCCAGTTTGTTCATGTTTTCACAAGTTAAATGTGTCTTGGACCTGCTTGTCCTACATGCACATACAGTATGTATGTGTGGATATGCTCATAAAGATTTACTGTCCCATGAGGGTTTTCACATACCAGTTTCAAGACAATGGAGCTTATTGATGCATGACCAGATGAATACAATCAACATATCAATGGAAAGTGTACTACCCCTAGTTTTATGATAAAACCATAATAATGGTCAATGAGTTCATAAATGTTTCATATTATATCTTGTTTGTGGGTTACCTTTTTTTGGGGGGGGGGGGGAGGGGGAACCTTGTATACCAGGTATCCTCCCTTAACTCCATTACTGGACAGCAATGAAATAAAACAGAACTCACAATTATACATGTAGGGAAATCTTTTTAATCTCCTCAAGAAACGATGCACAAGTGTGTTTCAACTTTGTTTACTGTACTGATGTCTTTAACTTAACGGTGTGATTTCTTGATTGTGCACATTCTCGTCCCATCTTTACCTTATAGTTGGATGATCATGACATTGTAAACATTTGATCTTAAAAGGGACATCAAGTTCCATGTTAAAGTGATAGTGGCTGGCACTGATACCCTTCAAATTGTCCAAAATAAACCTATTGGTGGATTTCGAAAGATCTGAATCTAGCATTGAATCCAGAGTGAGGTTTGAGGTTGAGCTTTGTGCCAGCATTACACTTGCGCTATGCAGACAGCAACTTTTACGGTTAGGCACATTGTGAATCACAAACTTGCAAAAACCGGGGAAAAAATATTAAAAAATCACCATGTCATATTGTCTTTGGTGTGTCTCCAAAAAGAGGTGTTGGAATATGTCATATATGTATTAGAAACTCAACAAGTGTATATTTCTTTATTATTGCAGCACCCCCATCCCTACATATCAGCACAGATCAACAATGGCACAATGCACTATGATCATGATCGAGATGGAACACATACAGAGATTGCTGGCTGCCACTCACCCTTCAGGAACAGAGATCATGAAACACATGTTGCTATTAGATACTTGGGTGGGAGGCTTGCTGTAAGTAATGAGGCCATTTTTGGCTAGGACCATTAATCGACTAGTGGTTGTGACGTAACTGACACCTGTGCACTAAACATACTAACTCCTCAAGTGAAATGCTGGTCAAAATGTCATCATGAATCTTCTCAATTTGGCTTGCCGATGCGCGTGGCAATTGGTAACCAGAGGTGCAACTATGCCTGGTGCTCCAGTTCCAAATAGTCACCAAGAGCAGTCCTACCATCCTCCGAGTGAAGTTAGTCGAACTATGGTTAACTATAGTCCATGCCTGAACTTGCCCTTTGTTCCCTTTGGCTGTTGAGGGTAGTGTATATTTCAAAGAGGGGCAAATTTGGTCAAGAACTATAGTTAATGGTAGTTTATGTACACATAACTTTCATCAAATAGAAACTTGATGGTGATATTTGTAATAGTTTAGTCAAGTAAGTGCAGCTGCAATTTCATGGCTGTTCTTACATGTACCATGGAATTGTTGCACTTAAATTACCATTCTGTATAGACAGCGCTAGCACAGAAATTCTATACCAACCCTGTAACTGTACACACAAAGAATCCTTATTTCTGTGCCGTTCCTTGGTAAATGTGATTACTTGAATTGTCTGCGATAGTTAGGGATTCTTGACTGCGCGGTAAGCAGAGCCATGAACTTAAGCCTAGCCCACCGAGGTTGCTTGCATCACCGGTGAACCCTAAATGTTTGCACAGCAGGGAGCCAGGATCATCAAGAGTCATGATGACATTTGATCATAATTTGACTAGAAACATTTGTACTCCTGCCTCAATGAGGGTGCAGGCATAACATACATGTACGTCCTGAATCAACCACCAGTCAACTAATTATCCTTGATTGGACTTGCTCATTGATAGCGAAGTGGATGGAGTAATGGGCACACCTACATGTATAAAATGGTTGTGACTCACTACATGAAAAGAGCAAGAAATCACAACACTGACTAAAACAATAACAGTGTGAAAATGGGACAACAATATCTTTGAAATGATAACTTTAGATTGCTTTTAAAAATGTTTTGAGAGACAGAGTAGATCTGGAAAACATATTTTCCATCATTAGATTTGCTGGTGAAAACCCTGTTAATAATGTACCTGCTGTGTAGATTGTTACAAATGATTAAAATTACTGTGTGTGAAACCCTGAACAGATAATGACTGACATTGATGGGAAAGCTGAATGGAAGACCTGTATAGATGTTGATGGTATCAAACTTCCCACTGGCTATTACTTCGGGATCTCAGCAACTACCGGCCAGTTAGCAGGTATGAGGTGTTCTTATCTGCATTCTTTCCCCTCCAACCTTTGGTCACATGACATTGGGGAATCGTAATCACCCGCAGGCAATTTCAGGTAATTTCTGAGTACACAAATTGGCTGAATACAGATAATATTTCCATAGCAAACATCGGTTACCAGCCAACATGTAGTGCATTGATACTGTGTGACTGGTTCCAAGCTGACTTTTGCTTAGCATGTAAATTTGCCGAGCAAGAATTCCTGCTTACCAGCTTTATGGAATTGGGTCCAGATGTTTACTTAGGGAATAAATATGTTCTTGACCAGTCTTAAACAAGTACGTTTAAAACACACTAGAGGCCTGGATGCTGATACTTTCGGCTCAAGCCATATATCTGCAACCAGGTACATTTGTACCTAGCCGGTTTTAAACGTTCTTGTTTAATACCAGCCAAGCACACATTTATTCCTATTCATGAATCCCTTTCGGTTAAAAAAGTAAAAACAATTCAAAAATTCACCATTTGCCAACAATTTTGTTCAACAATTTTACCTCAAGTTTTGTGAAACACCCTCTTGCCATGACTATGATATCTGCCTCACGTATAGTGCTAAAACTCTCCTTTAATGGAGATTGGCATGCATGCGAAGCTTACTATGCAATGTGTGCACAGAACGCAGCGGTGCAGGATTGAAACCAGTTGATGTCTTATGAACCGTTTAAAACCACCCACTTGACAGGCTCTTGACCAATTGGAATGGGTAAACTGTCTTAGGTATTTATGAATTGAATTTAAGTCTGTGTCCAAGTGGTTTTTAAAAAAAAAATGTTTTATATTTATTTCACTCTTTCACTGCTTGATTATCATGATCAGCATCTGTTTTGTGTGGTCAGTATACAAACCTGAGGAGGGAGAGATATTACATGTACATGTATGCTCCACTCCCTTTGTTTGTAATGTAAATGGTTCTGTTTTTACAATGTACATGTGCGGTGGCATTTTCTCTAAACCCACCCCAATGGTCAGACGGCTGAGCGCAGAGCATGCAAGCGTTATGTGGTCCATTTAGAGAAAATATACATGTATCTCAGTTTATGGTCAGAACAGTGGCTGAACACTAACCCGCGGAATAATGTACAAAATAAAGTTGAAACTGATAAAAGAAATAAAGTAAACAAGATGTATTCATTTAATCAACAACCGGAACAAAATAATCTCTATAGGAAGTCTACACAAAGACACCCTCTTGCAAATTGAGTCGACCTGCTACAATGTGCAGCGCATTGTAAACCCACTGCGTCTAACATTCTAACAGAAGTATGGTTGTACTCACTTAGCTGTGGTGCAGTCTGGCCCTTGGGTCACTATCAGTATAAGGGCTGTATGCGCACCTCATGTACACTCTCAGACAGATGGCTCAACGCATCTGCAAGCTTTTTGCTCAACTGCCGACTGCCAGGTTATTCCAGCCCCCCGTGAGTGGTTGTGGGGCGCTCATTTAATCATTTGCCTGATGTAGCTGCATCGCAACAGTGTGATGGGTATCCGCATGTCTTAGCATAGCCATTTGCCCTTCACATGTTAAACAAGTTTGTAAACCAAGTTTTGTCATTGTTCATGATAGTATAGAGGTCTTCTTTGTCATAACTTTATCTTCTTCTCTGAAACTGAAAACCAGAATGCCAATAGTTCAGTGAAAGAATTGCATATCTTGCCTTTTCAGATAACCATGATATAATTTCTGTGAAAACATACGAGTTAGAGGGAGCAGACAAATCAGTGGACTACGCAAGTCTAAATCCATCTGCAGATTTCTTTTCTCCACCCAGAGGTGAGATAGATATATCATTTGTTGATGACATCATATGGCTTCTGGCCTATTGTACAGATGCATAATGGCGTCAAATTGATTTTGTGATGTCATTTTGATTGACATTTAGCCCACGCTTGCACTCTAAATTAATGCATATGTGACCTGTCATCACAAAATGAGCTTAACCCTAACTCCCTAGGGGGTGTGCTAAATGATATTAAAATTGGAGGATTCAGGACTGTTCGGGGAAACAGGCAAAAGTTTTGCGGTATTCGGAACGGATGACAGATAAACACCTGGGGAGCGATGCTGGAAATGTCTGTCGGCGCCCGGCTCGCAGCAAGTGAGACCGGAAATATGAGTGTGCTGCCTGAGGGTGATGGCGTCAACCCGCCTAGCTTGCGGTCGAGTGAAAATAAATCCCAGGCCTCGTTCCATTCTTGTCAAAATAATCCCGGCGTGAACTGGTTAAAGTCAGACTTTTCAAGAATTGAGATATTTATATACCAGTATGTGGATTCTGCAGAATGAGAGCTTTCCAATGGTATACAACATTAATGGGTACCGAGTTCAGTAACGGAAGTGTAGACCACCAACTTACTTGAGGTTGTAAAACCGATTATTAATTAAGAAAATGGCATTTAAACATTGTGCAGTTGTGTTACAGAGAATGAACAGTCAACTACTAAAACAGGATGAAAATAGGTTTCGTTTGACAAAAAAAATAAGAAAGGTATAACAGGAGAAGCTGCAATTGGAAAGTTATTGTGTGTGCTGTGCTTACCAAAATACCAAGCTGTAACCCTCCTATGGAAACATGCATTGTCAGCCTGGTTATTACTTGGGTCAATATTGGTCAAGACCCCCATTGGTTTGTACACAGTATGCCAGGAGGCTGGCTGTTTGACTGTTTGTGACCTCTTAAATTGTAGGAGGGTTAATAGCTGTAATGAGTAGGCCACACAGCATTGTCTGCGATTCCTAAAAACTAGACCAGTATCTTTGGATTGCTCTTTCAGATCATATTGATGATCCTGGTGGTGCCTTCCGTGGTGGCTGGACCATGAGTCTTAAGAACATGTTCCTGCTCATCTTCTGTTGTGTGCTGGGTTTCTTCGTCTGTCTGATTGTTGGCGTTCTCATCTTCCAAAAGAGGCAGGAGTACAATCGCAAGAGGTTTTATTGATGACAACGTCTATGTGCTTCAAATAAATTCCACAATTCAGGCTAGTTTTCAGATAGTTGTAATGAACACAGAATATCACAGATAAATCCAACACGAGCCCATTTGTCGAAGAATTTCACAGACTTTCACACCTGAAAAATAGAACAGATACATGTACATGTGTAATATCCATTGCTACAGGTAAGTAGCACTAATGGGGCAACATCCCTCATTTTCTTTTAAAATTCCAGTGAAATTGAAGGGCCTGTAAAAGATTTTTTTCCACTTAAATTTGTGATAGCGACTGTGTGTTAAAATTGCTAATCCCATTCAACCTTGTGTAGAGCTCCCTTTCAACCTTTTGTACTGCTATTCTAAAAATGTTTGTGACTTTTTTGCAATCTCCTACAAAATTTCAAAAGCACAGCAGTGCTATATCACGTCGGGCCAAAGCTTAGTTGCATAGCAAATTCATTTTTATGGAATTTTTGGGTTTTATTTACGTTATGTCAATTCTCTGAATTTTGTACAAGAACATAGTATAGTACCATAGTAACAAGTACATTTGGTACAAGAACATAGTATATCCGGCATCCATTTTGGAGTGGCATTCTACAGTTTCCCTAAATTAAATTATTCCGAGGATTGTATGAAGTACATTAAAAGTGCAATTACATGTAGTCGTTTGGAACGACATTACATTTTCACTTGAGACATTGTTCTGACATTGTTCTTCGATCCGACCAAAGTCTTCAGTCAAGTCTCATCAATACTCATTTGTTTGGCGTGACCCTGGAACACCAGTCTAAAAAGCCAGGTGACGTCATTTTCTGTGCTGAAATTATGTATCTGTACAGTGACATCACATCAACAATTCAGCCAGTTGAAGATAGCGACGTGGATGGGATTAGGGCATCCGATGAAAGCATCTATTGCTCATTGGCACACCAGTTTTCAATGGTTACTATGTGATACCATTCCGCACTCCAGACTCAAGAACCATCAACTTTAAAGAACATAGGTCTGGGAGCTAGATAAGCCAATGTAAAGAGATTCTGAGATGTCCACACCCACCTATAGGGTTAAGATTGGAAACTGTTAACCCACTGTTAATGGGTTTTGCATTAAATGTATCTTAACCCATTTACACCGGCTAACGGTTCTAGACGCAGCTCGATAAAAGCCGATAAGCCGGGGACTGCTATTGCAGCATTCCTGCTGCATAGCACATCCATTCATAGACAACGGCTGAATGCCTGCATGTACACATTCCACCCAATGTGCAGCTGTCCGTGGCCGAACAATACCAGTGTCAACTTGGTTAATGTGAAATGTATTTCAATGGCCCTGTATACACTGCTAGTATGCATGTAGAATAGAATTACAAAGCGAGTAAGACTTACTTGTCAAGTTTGCCCATGCATCTGGGTTGCAGCATCTCCATGTATAATTGTGACTAATGATGTTTGTTTTCCCAGTGGTATGTATTCTGCTAAGCAAAGTATCAAATGTGTCTTCCAAATTGTTTTTCATCGTAGACTGTACAGTATGATTTCAACACTTAACACTTAACACGTACATGTACATGCTTGCCCATAGTGACCCCCTGTGGAGTTTTGTAGACACAGGGGTGCATTCCACACGGATGTTAACATTAATGTTAGCATGGCCCGTCACAAATATGCCAACACAAAGCTGGACATACGTTGAAAATTTTTTTTAAATAGTAAGTTTTAAATTCTGAAAAAAAAAGAAAGAAATTGTTATTTGAGGTGAAAGTTTGCCAGCTACATGTACATGTATATGAAATAGCTGGGGAACTTGGGTGAAGATTATGGAAAATTTCTGCTCCAACAAATGTCAGTCATTTTGGAAAAGATTAGAGCATGACTCGCTGTCAACTTGAAAAGTGTGTGAAATTCGGGCATAACTTTTATTTCTTAAAAATGCTCAGTTGAATAATCAGTGTGTTCTTGGCTTCAATATTGGAAAGAACCTCTATTTGTGTAATAATTTGTGCATCTTCTATTTGTGTTCTTTGTGACTATATGAAACTAAGCCTCGCAGCTCCTTAATGCCAGTGCATCTTCCATAATCCAATAATAACATGATCAAATTGATATTTCATCATTAAACTTGCCAAAAACTAATTATGTATAAGACTTTGGAATTAGAGGGATATTGAATGTCCTTCAATTTCATAAAAACTCAATCAACTCATTACTCACGTCCATGGCACTCATCCTCATTAGAGTCATCCTTTAGCCTTAAAGAGAAAGATATCTGAAGAACAGAATGTTTTGCTGTACACTCAATGACTGTAAAATTATACAGATTTATAAGTCGATTGGCCAAAAAGTAAGCAAGTTATTTGTTACAGTGGGAACATAACTGCATGCTGACAAATGCAGTTTTCACAAGCATGTTGAGCACAGATAATAATAATACCGGAGTCTTATGTAGCGCACATATCTTCCAACAATTAGGTACTCAAGGTGCTGGTAATTATGTCTATTTTTAAAGACAGGTAAATGAAATTTATGAGAAATAGACCCTTTATGTAGCACCTTTATAAAGATAAAAACACATACAGTATATATATTCACGGCCAGAAATGGTTTGACTACACTAATGAACCTAGATTTGTCATGCAGTACCTACAGGCATGACAGGGAAGGGGGAACTAACAAGGTTTCATCAGTAGAAAATGATGTGCCGAGTAGTGCTGTGAAGTTTAAATACTGCTGCAGTTTATTTCTTTCTTATCAGTATTGTCACAAGCTACTGTTGGGACTTGAGTGACCAGAGATTAAGTTGATGCTCTAAACACCCCCTCCCCCTATAAAAAAAAATACCCGAAATTCTAAACAGCATAATGAATCTATTTTCAATTTCCATGTCCATGTAATATGTTTCATATACAGCATGCTGTTAAGCACCATAGAGTTATGTAAAGACAGCTGTTTTTTCTGTATTTTGGAAATGCAGAATTCTTAAAGTGTTCATTTTTGGTCAGTATGTAATTTTTATAGATCTTAACAAAACCCAGAAATCTTTGTGCCAAGCACAAATTGAAAACATGTTAGAACAACAAATTTAGTTGTGATTATGTCAAGCGGAGCATTATTTTTCTTGAGCAAAGCATGACATACAAACTACCTTTCGCAGAATGTATAGTTCATTTGGCCCAATGTCTATAGCCAACAGCCATGGCAGTGGACTGTTTTGTTTCTCTCTTTAACTTTAATGAATCCCTATTTTCCCTCTCCCACCCAATTTGAAATACATCGGCTTCCATGATTTTGATGCTCTTGTCCATGCACAGGTGGCAAGGATTTATTTTACTGCCTTTTAAATGTATTTCTACTTTCTCTTTGTCAGACCTACATGAAGATCATCTATTAAAAAAATTATTCCACATAAAAAATTCGCTCTGTTTCATTGTCCTAATTTTCAGTTTGATTTCATATACATGTAGATTTGAGCAAACAGTGGTTAATTTGAGTAAAAACAATTCAATGCGAGTTTGTTTTTGAAGCTTTACATATAAAAGAATAATTTTTTATTTGGAGAAACTAACAGTACTAAAATGCTGATAAAACTGAATAACAAAAAAATGAACAAGTCTTTGCTATTTCATTTCTTTTAATGTAGTTATGTCAAGTGTATGACACTCTACTGTATACATGGTATAAAACCAATGTTGTGCTGAATGCTTGTTTCTGTACTGGCAGATTACACACTGGTTTTGCCCTACATTTAGAGGTACTGCAGAGTTTGTCATTTAGTTTAATTGTTTTTGTTCTTAATGCAGTTGCTCCTCATCCACAATTTAGAAACAATTAGAATACAATTTGTTTGGTTACTTTCTTGTCATTCTATTTTTTACAATTGTTATAAATGTAAAATAAACAAACTCCTCTAAGGTAACTTTTTTAATGAAATAAAAAGTGGAAGTGAAATTTCTGCAAATAAAACACAAACTATAATTTGTCCATTTGCATTTTGTGTTTATTGTCCTCTGGCCTTGATGTTCTATCTAAGTTACTTTGTGATTTGTTCTGCTTTGTATTGCACCCTGAACATCACATTCTGATGGATACTGGTGCATTATAATATTGGTTATTTATAATATATTTCTTATTACCTTTAACAATGTTATTAGCATAAAGGTGGAACTTTCAGTATTAGAAATAAGCACATATTTACTGCACACAAGATTCTAGTGGTATCTAACTCACATAGAGGCCATTTCTGCCTTCACATGCTAGATGAATGTCTGAGACTCGACATCTAAAAGCAATTTTCTGATTTGAAGTCCTCTGGAGCACTGCCCATTTAATGATGGTGTTTTAGCCATGTTGATGTCATGTCTTTACATTGTCAATGTGAGGGCGGCCAATCAGTGCTGGCAACTATTGAAATCACAGGTGTGACTAAGAACCAGGATCAGACTTATTCCAATGGAAGATTACACATTTTTGGTTCATCATCTACTTGAATTTACTTCAAGTTTTTCCTTTGAGTTGCAGTGTTGTTGGGAACAAAAGCCAGAGATTAGCTACAATACACTTGTACAACCAAACGTTCAACATGCATAAATTGGCTTCCAGTTTTGCCAAAATTTAGACTTTTAAGATGTTAACAATATGGGCTCCATGCACAAGTATCCCCTCAACGGTCCAAAGAGAGAGTAGGGGGAGACGAATGGGAGGGACATTTGAACGCATTGCCGATGATGCCTGGCGGTCACGCGGAGCTCACTATGGCTTTTGTGCACATTCAGAATGAAATAAGTTGTGTGTACTATGCACCGTAAATGTGCGGAAACAGGTACGCGCAAGAGGTTTGTGCAAGCTACTGTCCGTGGACAGAGTCCATAAGAAACAATTCCTGTGTCATTGGCAGGATAACAGTCACAAATTAAAGAAAGCCACACTTTGGTTTAAAGCTTTGCCGGTTATTGTGGCAACACAGCTTATCCAAGAAGAGCACACTACACCCAGCTCCTGATGCACACAGCTCATGGCATTCCTGGCTGAAATCTTCCCATGGTGAGTCCGTGGATGTAATAACCACAGATCTGTGCAAATTGTGCATCACCTCTGGAGTGTTTGCAGTTGATCCTGTAGCGTATCCATGACCTCCAAGCTGTGGGGGCAAAGAACAAATGCCATAATCAGTTTTTTGAACACAGGTCATTGACATTTAAACTTTAATAGAACGTTTAACTACAATTTCCACTGTGTGGGACATGAACATATTATTTTAGTTTGAAAATCAAAGTTGAATATCGTTTAATAATAAATTTCATGAACATGCTACTGAAAAATGGCACAACACTCAATACAAATTGGTAAGTCAGTTGATGGTTGAATCAAAGGTAAGAGCCTTGCTGGGGAGTGGTAGAAAATGACTCAAACGAAGAAAATGGCTGATTTACCTTCTTTCAATTGCTTCAGCCCTGCAAGGAGAAAGAATAAATGTCACAATAACTACGTCTTCCAAAATAGGTACAGAAGGTTAAGTTAAAATGATTACAAATGCCAAATTTTCAGCCCCCAAACAATTCCATGACTTAAAGCTACAGTCCATCATTTGCAGCTATCCAAAAAGCAACTGACGTAATTAGCCCCCCCCCCCCCCCAAAAAAGTTCTACTTTCGATTACATGGCATTTGAAAATAGGGTAGGTAGGTAAGGAATTTTTTTTTGCCAATTTTTTTGTGTACGATCATATGGAGGCGTCTGCGTGTAGTCAAGGGTTAAAGGTAGAAATTGATGGTTTTGGGTGTTTTTTCTCATTTTTCCAATAAAAAAATCAGGTTGGGGGCTGTCAGAATAGGGTAGGTAGGGAAACCGGAGCAGAACACATTTTTTTTGACCTTATCGTTGGAAAACATACTTGGTTGAAAGATAGTAAGGGAACTTAACTCCCTGTGAAATTATTCTTTCTGGCATGCCAACATTTTGAAGAAATCAATGAAAGAAGGCCTTTGTTGGAAATTTCCGTTAGTAGTTTTTTTTTTTCGGCGAAGCATGTGCAAGCGTTGACACGACGCATACGCGCGCTGTTGCTATAATTTGTCGGATCAGTGCGCGACATCAGGTAGCTGCAATCGGCTCAGCGCGAACGTGTCTCGAACGCTGAATTCAGGCCCAATTCAAAACGTGATTCAGCAACTTTTGATTTGAAATCGAGATCCTGGAATGTTGTTTTACTTGAAATTTTACAGCTGAAGCTGACCTAAAACTTCATCAGGTTTAGTTGTTCAGCACCCTTCTTTAGATTTTAAGCATTTTTGTTGCTTAAAATGAACAAAACGCACAAATTACAAATGATGGACTGCACCTTTCAGTCATTCAATGATGGAAACATTGCTCCAAGTGAAGACAGGACTGACATCAAATATCCTGTGAAATTCTTCTGCCTACAATGGTATCGTTTGGAAGAACTAACACTGAAGGTGGTTTCACACGGCAAGTCACCTTGCCTAATCTATTTTGTTACAAAGGTTTGTCACAATATTTCAACCACTTGTTAGACAGAAGTACTTACATATACTCAATACCCAAATGAAAAAAAAGGACATTACTAACTGGATTTCTTCCATGGCAAACTTCATGGCTCTGACAATTCAGTGTAAAAAAAGGACAGTGTAAAGAATACTCACTGAAATTGAAGCTGTGATACCATCAGACTCATCTTTTTTAAATTCTGTAAAAAAACAAAGAAGAAAATCACACCGTTTTAAATTCACTCAGAAATACGGTGACCAAGGCCAAAAATAAATCATTCCTGTAAATGTGACAACAGTAAATGTGACTACATTGAAAATGGGAAAAATGAAGACTTTATTGGTGTAATCAGATAACCTAAACTTTCATGAATACCTGTCAATAAATAAACACTATGAACATGTGCAAAGAAATTTCTTGCACAAATCCAATGCGGCAAAAATCAATTGGACTACTCTGTTTGTCAAAATACCCGCACACTTGTAATGATCATATTCATTCTAGCATGTAACATGTCATGACATGCAATGTGTTATGCTCAACTACCTTTACAGAACTTTTATACGCTTAGGTGTTGGACGTTAGTAGGAGTTATTTCCAGAATTCTTGCACTTACATGAGCTGAATTGTCAACGTTTGCTTCATGAGTAGCCAGATTCCGTGCTGCTTGCATCAAGTGCTGTAATCGAGGGGGAAAAAAGATCCAGGACATCAGTTTTCTTGTTAGAAAGTTGTATAAAAAGACAAAAAGCAACAATGTAGTTTTTAAAGCAATATTATTGTCATACCTGTATATCTGAGCTAGAAGGACTGGCTATCACATATATTTACTTCACACACATTCATGACATTGCAATCATAATATGTACATAGTTTCTGCTTGTTTGTTACTCCTCACTTATTGTTTTGCTGTTGTGTCTTCTGGAATCGAAATGTACAGGCCCTCCCAAATGTTGCACTTAAATGCAGCAGCTTTTTTTCTCACATTTTCTAATAAAAGTCTTAACGTTTCTCTGTCAGGAAACTTTTGTTTACGTGTCTGGACTGATCGCGCTTGTCTTTTAAACATCGTATTAAACCGTCTTCAATTGAAAAACAAGTTGCGCTTACTCAATGACTGTTTCATGTAGTCATTTACATATGTGCCCCACGCCATCTGACAGTGTGGGTTTTTGGCGCAGGACACATATCAGTACATGAAACAGTCATTGATTAAACGCAACTTGTTTTTCTTCAATAGTGATGTCACACACGCGCGCGATGAATTATGCATCAGTCATGTCAGTGAAATGGACTGTACAACTCGGCAGACACATTTAATTGTGAGTGGTAAGTTCAGACTATTTTGTTGTCTTTTCAAAATTACCGGTTGTTTGGAACAATTTAAGGGGTCTTATGGAACGTCATGAATGTGTGGATCTAGCCTACGTTGTAAATGCCATGAATGTCAACCAGTTCAAGAATAGATTTGACAGTTACTTGAAAGAATCTGGATATGGGGTCTTAAAAGGCTTAAGCCTATATAGTCGTGTTCCCTAACGTGGTGCACTTCGAAGCTTACCCAACTTTCCTCGTGTAGTGTTGCCAAACCTCTTTGTTGATAAACCTCAAATTCATGCAGTGAAATACTGGTACTTTTACCTTTTTAATGCTTGCTATTTAACCTCTGTGAACATTTTCGGTTTCATAAAATTTAATCCGAAATTGGGCACAAATTGGCGGAGTGTTCCCTAACGTGGCGCACTTGAATAAATCTCAGAAAATTCCAAATTAACATTTAAGAATTTCTGTAAACTTGATAAATTCTGATAAATCATTATTATCTTTACTTACAAACCCAGCCAGATGTTTGTCAGAAAATTATTTTCTTATTTTTCGGGGCATTTTCAAAGGGTTCACTTTGCACTTGAAAATAAAATCGGAAAATCACGCCAAAATAATTTTTTCTTTTAACTTTGTAACGGGTGAATAAACTCGCAATTTATGAACGGGAGTGTTTAGAACTTGATGAAATTTCACTTTCTGTGAAATTTCAGTTAAAACTTTTGCTCTAGCTAGGCGCTACAGGCGAAAAATCAAAGTGCGCCACGTACGTTAGGGGCCGCGCCACGTTAGGGTACATCAACAATAATTGATAATCCCATCAAATCTTAAGTGTAAGTGTATTCATAATCCAGGGTTATACTGTCTTTCTCATATAATTTGTATTCTCTTTACCAGTTTTTTGGGGGCCTTTTGTCCTCGCGAGGGCATGCACAAAATGCATACCGTGTACACATGGTACATGTCACCAAAGTATGCCAAATCGGTGGAGCGTTTGTACGGAGGGTACCGTAGAACGCTCCACTCAGTAGAGCTAGTTCAATGGATACTTCAAATACGTCTAAAAATTTATCATTGCAAAGTGATCGAGCACGTGGTCTAGTGGTTAGAAGTGTTGTCTTTCAAGCAAGAGTCCGAGGTTCGAATCTAGATGAAGTATTTAAAGTGACTGATTATCTCGTCAGACCCCCAAAAGCTACACGGTCCTTTTTCTACGCACTCACATTCACTTTGTGTGTGATTTCGCGCGCGCGTTGCATAAATGCAAGCGTTTAATACCTGCGCAGATAATGGAGGGTCGAGGAATGAGGATAAAGGAATTGGAGAGGGTGAGAGTAGAGAAGGGAAAGTAGAGGAAATAACCATAAAGGATGCAACTTTTTGGCGCTTGAAAAAAAGTGGTGTCCCACTCCCAGTACGGAAATCTTTCCCATTTGCACAAAATGTTTTCTCTTCCCACCCCCTCCTCCTGCCCCAAACAGTCCCGCCCCTTCATGACCTCTGACCTCGTTAGATTTAGATCCGCGAAGAATCTGCTTGGCTAGCCCTCCAAGATCAGCGACGTTTTCCTGTAGTTTTATCGGCAATCTCGGGTCCATATCTAGCGGCTGTTGCTGCGCAGCTTGAGACGGCCTACTTGAGGTGAGCATGAAGTGTCGTAACACTGGATCGTAACTCATTTTCCATCACAAAAGGAAAATCATTGACACGGTAGGATCGGAGTAAGTAGGACAGTACAGGACGTGATTTCGTGTTTAGTGTGTTCTCACTGGTGTTACGCGTCATCATTGTCACGTCAGTGAACATTGCGTGTATGTGTACGTGTACCAGCGAATCTGAGAAAACTGCGCGATGTACGGACGGTATTTTATATACGGGACACCGGTATGCATGCACATGATAATATATGTTCGCATGATAATGAATTGGGAAGGGGGGGGGGGGGGGGGGGGGGGGGAGCGGGGGGGGGGGGCTGCAGGGGTCAATGTCACACAATTCACAACACATTTTTTTGAGGTAGAGAAGACAGTCGCCGACCTCAACAACCATTCTGGGCCAGTTCACAATTCACAATACAGTGCCGTAAATAGGTCGCTTACAAAAAATAGGATTTTCATTGAACATAAACAGAAAAACTGTGCTTTTCTCTAGCTCTGGTCATGCTGGTTGCAGTGCTAGAATTTTCTTTTCCCAAACTACACCCACTTATCATCAGACCCCCTAAAGCTACGTGGTTCTTTTTCTACGCCTTTACCTTCAATTTGTGTGTGTCAACGCGCGCGCGTATGCAAGCGTTATCTGCACAGATAATGGAGGGTCGAGGATACATGTACATGTTACATGGTTGTTAAGCGCCGAGGGTCAAGGATTCATGTTACATGGTTGTTTACGATACTTTTGTGATACGTACGTACATATGATGCTCATTGCAGCAATAGTTTTTGATGATAATTTTCTGTCTCTTCAAAACTACTTCAATAAATTAGTACGGTATAACTTAATCATATAACGTTATTACTAACAACAGCGTACAAACTATTAGTTTGGCAACACTACGTTCATGACTATCTTGCAGACATTGGCACCACTTTCATGACTTTTACTTTTATAGTTTTGTTATGATTATAGTATTTTGATGACTAATCTTACTATTGATGGCCATATCAAAACCTTCCATTTTTCCGTTACCATATAGGCTATACACATGCGATAAAAATCGGTTGTATCAACCTTTACAATGTTTTGACAGCTCTTCAAACTACCTACCGGTAGGCAACACCACTGATTATAAGGAGAGTTAACAACAGAAGCATCAAGATCCTGTTTGAAATCAGCACACAGTTGTCTCCAGACATCATGAGGCTTGCCGATGTATATGTTTCGTGTATCCCATTGATGATGTTGGTAGTGTCTATTTCAGCTTGGAAGTACAATTTCCTTGTTGAGGTAGATAAGACAGTGGCCGACCTCAACAACTTTTGGGCCAGTACAGGTTTCTGGTAGGTTCATAATTGCATAGTTGCATCTTTTATCATGTTTATGACTCATTTTTGGTGGGGGGGGGGGGGCAGAGCCTAGTGCCTATGGCCATCTGTGTGCCTATTCCATTTGCAAAATAGTGATAATAGAAATATCCCTTTTAAAGTCGTAATTTGAACACTTTCTGGTTTCTCAGTACAAGCATTTTTTCAAGCTATTGTTCTACAGCAAACGTGAATATTAGTTCACTATCGAAAGACCAATATTCTTTTTGCCTTATCGTATACCGATTTATTTTGTGAAAACGCTTTTTAAACACTACGTTTTCATTAAAATTAAAAAAATCAATTGAAGAAAAGTCCCTAATGTGGCTAACATAGTATTGTGACTGTGTTTGGATGACTGCATTATTAGATTCTTATGGCAGTAACAACTAATGCTCAAAACAATGATAAATAAAACTAACAGTGCACAATATGAACCTCTATATTAAACCTGTTTCTTGAATTGTAAATTGTAGAGGAACATCGTTGCATACAAAATATTGAACATGCATGATAATGCTTTCTATCTACATGTACTTGTACATGAAGATAAATCTAACCTCTTCACAAATGAATGTGTTTTTTTAACAGCCCTCCCCTTCCACATCAGAAGTCATCTGAGTATTTTTTGAGTGAATCTGAAGTACAGAATTTGATTTTGCTTGGCTCTGTGCCTCATGGAGGCATTCAGCAGGTCCGTATACACTGGCTGCTAGATCTCATCCAACTCAGGTAGTGTACTCTGTCAGTGGTGTGTCCTGGTTTTCAAAGCGTTCAGAAGCAAAAGTATTCTACTATAGTCATACTCATAGCAACTTATTTTTTTCAATGTGCTCAAGGTTTTTCAAAATACCAGTAAATTTGTACTCAACAAATGCAGAATATCAAGCAGTTGTTGCCAAGTTTAGATCACAGTATGTCCGACAAATAGCACATATTTGTTTTTCTTTTTTCAATGACCAGTTAAATAATGGATTCTTATAAGCAAAACTACATGCACAAAAAATATCAACAAAGTTTATGGAAACCTTTTTGCTTAAAATAGCTTTTTTCTGCGGTTCTCTGTACGCTATCCAGTCTTAGTACAGTGGAGGGAATAAATGCATTGAAACTTTACGGTGTGCACCACACAAGAACTGTAACGATTGGTGCTACATGTACTTTGACAATCAGTTGTTTTTAAAATTTTCTGCACAGTGTTGACAATTCGACAGGTCAGATCAGCTTCAACTTTGACCTGCTAGATCAGCTGATTGACCGACTATGGAGCAATGGATTGCGGCCAGGCTTTGAGCTCATGGGGAACCCATCTAACTGGTACACTGACTTTGAAGATGCCCATCAGGTCTACATGTGGAAAGACATGGTCACAGTGTTAGCCAAGAGATATATAGGTACATGTAGAACCACTGATGAGCTGTTTTACACTGGTTTCAGAGTGGCATATATTCCAGAATTGTGCTGAGTATAAATGTATGAACTGTGTAAACAAGTACCCCCTTAACGGTTAGAGGAGACAACTAGGAGGGACATTGTAATATATAGGGCTCGTTCAATCACGGCCATTTCTGTAGGAGAAGTGCAACTGCGTATTTTACGCAATGAAGCACGCATTGCGCAGTGTTGAAAATGTTCCAAACACGCGCGCTTGTAATTGCTAGGAATGTGTTCGAAATACGATGCAGCTGATGTTCGTTTTGCAAGTTGTCGCTCAAAATGCCGATGCATGTGGATGGTCTGTAGGAAATGACGTCATTTGAACGAGACCTACGTGTATTACTGGATGCGTATGATGCTCACATGAAGGCGCCTAGGGTTGTGCACATTCAGAATCAAATAAGTTGTGCGTACTTGACACGTACAGTACAGTACATGCGCAAACCGGTACATGCTGAAACCAGTACATGCGCAATCTACTGTTGGTGCACGGAATCCATAATGAGTGTCTCTGGTCAACCCAAATAGATTTGGATTCAGACAGGCAAACTTTGTTGTTAATAATTCTGTCGACTATAGACTCTGGAGTCTACTTCAAAACTGATTTCTTGTAATGTCTTGTTTTTTCAGATAGATATGGTCTGGATTACGTGGCAGAGTGGAATTTTGAATCTTGGAATGAACCAGACAATAAGGATTTTGATAATCTGAACTTCACAGTAAAAGGTAAATTGAAGAAGGCTTTGAACATTGCAGTTTTAAGAAATAAATACTTAAGACGGTTTAACCATTCCTAGAGAGCCCGTCACGTGGGTGGTTGTAAAAGGTTGATAAAACACTGACTGGTTTGAACAATTTTTTCCCCAGTACCGTGTGCAGTACACGCCATGCGCGCACCATTCTCCATATACATGTAAGGAGATTTTTAGTACTTCTCGCATGTAATTCTCGCACATACCATAGACATAGCTAGAGGGGTGTTTCACAAAACATGAAGTAATATTGTTAAACAAAATCGTTGGAAGGTTATAATTTTTGACTTGTTTTGACCTTTTGACCGAAGGTATTTATGAATGGGAATAAATATGTGCTTGGCAGGTATTAAACGAGTACGTTTAAAACCGGCTAGGGGCATGGTCACTGTATAATTAAGGCGTATAAAACATTTTCAAAATGTTAAATACCTTAGAACTAACACAGTGCCACCTTTAAACAGCTGTGATTTCATGTTGTTCGCATAACAGTTGTCGGATTTTCTCTGTCAGTGACTTTGAAAATAGTTGGCACAATTTCTTATCAAAAGATATCTCTCATAGTTTTTCATGTATAAATCAGTTAAAAAAAAGGGTAAGAACTTCTCTACTTTAAATGATTTCTAATGAACACTAACACTATTTCAGAGATTATTTGTTATTTTTTCCCCAGGATTCCTGAATTACTATGATGCTTGCTCTGAAGGTCTGAGAGCAGCGAGTCCCAAGCTGCGTTTTGGTGGACCAGCAGGAGGTTGCCATGATCCCTCACACTCAGTCATATGCTGGGCATTGTTACAACACTGTGAGAATGGAACTAATTACTTCACTGGGGAGAACGGTGTACGCATTGACTTCATCTCCTTCCATCATAAGGTAGAAATCTTGGAAAACATTTATGTTTAATCCATTCAAAGTGCCTTTACCATCCCAAATTTTCCTGCGTGCAGAAATACACAACAGACAATAAGAAACAAAAAAGTATTATCATTATCAGATTTTAAAGGAAAAACCCCAGCCTAAATATGTGACTGTATGTTTACGGGAAACGTTGCAATGCACATCCTTCTGCACATTTAAAAAAAGGGTGTTCGCAGGCGCACATTTTTAAAACCGCATTCAGTGATTTTTTTTTCCAACTATACTATTTTGGGTGCAATAATCTCACACAGAATTTGAAACCATTCATTTCTTCACTTTGAGCAAGATTTGTCTCTTTAAAATTGGTAGGTTTGTTACTGCATGCCTTAAAACTTGGACTCTGAAGTGAAATTCAATCGTCACAGTCGGTTAAACATCGACAAATAATGTGACAGAGGTTCAGTAAGTGTATAACATCCTCCTTTTTCGCTTTCTGTCTTTAATAGAAAATTTGGTGGTTTCACTTGTTTCAGCCTACTCTTATTTTGAATACACACATCAAACACTTTCTAAAAGGAGTTATCCAAGACCCTGTTCCCACTAGATCCACCAATTGGGGGATCTGATCCACCTTTTGCCAAATTGCCGGATCAGATCCCCAATTGGTGGATCAGATCTGGCAATTGTGTGTAGTGGGAACGCTAACCGTTATAAGGTGGATCAGGATCAGATCCACCTTTTTTGATCCACCTCTGGACCAGGATACAGATCCCCCAATTGGTTAGAATTCTGATAGCGCTGTTTGAAAACTGACCCATCCTAGCATGCAACACTGGCACTCCCACGGAGCGCACGTAATTCCGAACTCAGTGACCTTTCGGACTTGACATTTCCGTTCAAAAAGGTGGATCAAGCATAAGTGGGAACGCGACTTGCGGTTTCATTGCGGTAAGATAACGATCACACCAAAATGCCGGATCTTGATCCACCTTTTCCCAAATCAAGTGGGAACGTGGTGCAAATGTCACTGAAACATTTTCATGATTTGCATTGTACGTATCTGTCTGAATTGTTTTGCCATTGTTTAAAGACAGCTTTTCCATTTTTTTCACAGGGTAAAGGTCATTCCATGTACATTTTAGACAAAGAGATTCAAACCATTGAATACATACAGAGAAACTATCCACGTTTGTCCGGCGTTCCAATATTCAATGAGTAAGTACAGATATCTGTCCAAGTGAATAGCAGTTTACTTATATGATTATTTCCTCTGAACTGGATTGCTGTTCTTACCCTATTTTTTCCATCCCCAGAAACATGAAGACAGGTTTCCTTACTTACAACCCTTTTCATTGGTTTTGCCTTGTATTTCATTAGGCTTGTATTACACTGTCACAAGGTGTTTTTTTTCTGTTTAAAGTCTCAGTTTAATTTCCAGAAATTAATTTTTTCTTAAAAAAAAAAATATTTTGTCAAAGTTGAAGAAATTGACTGGAGCTTGGCTTGCACCTGCGACCTCTGGATTACCATTCCGGTGCTCTACCAACTGAGCTATCCGGCCCTATATTGGCGGTTCTCCAATTTGTCAATACCCTTGTTCAATTGTCAATATCCTCATATAGTGGGCTTTTGCTCTTTGTAGTCTGTGGGACGAGAGGCCGAAAACGCTTTAGTTTTCGAGATACGCGATCTGGTCCTTAGAACTTTATAAACCTTTCCAGACATGTATATTATGATGTACCATATCTAAAAAACATTGTTCCCTGATCCACAGTTTGCTTTGGGAAGGAGAAAATCTGGGATGAAAACGCCGAAAATTTTGCATGAGAAAAAACATAAGAAACAGCGCCCTCTATTGACACAGTCAGAAACCTTTTCGCACGCAATGAGCGCTTGCCAGATACTACTTCTTTCAAGTTCCATTAGAAGATCATTACAGATCAAATTCCTCTAAGATGTTGCCGAATGACAGCATTCAGAAATCGAATTTGTTGTATATAAATCAATTAGACGAATTTAATTTCTTGACTAACAAGGTTTGGCGTAGACTAGATGATACGATCAATTCTCCGGTACGGAAATGTGTACTTGTTGTTTGAATTGCTTGAACTGAATTTTAAATTGTCACACAAAAGATGAAATGAAACGTTGGAAGTGCACTTAAGTGATGGTGATGGACAAATATGAATATTAGAAACGGTGATTCGAATGATAAACGTTAAAAAAATGTATTAATCCTTCAGTTTTTGTTTTGTTTTTTGGGGAGGGGGGATTTAAATCTCATTTGTTACCCACACAAGAAGAATGGTATTTAGATTACTATAGGTTTGTTCAATCTGTACTGAATGAGCATTACTTGTTGATTTTTAACTAAAACGAGATTATGAGCACATGTACACATTACAGGCCGATTAGATAATTGTTGTATAACATATAAGTCTCATCAAATTGAAGGACCCACTTTTTTGTTTACAAACTTTTTTAAGAAGAGAAAATTAATGTATATTCCCCTATTCGGAAGCTGTGAGTGGCAGCATTACAACTGCAATTTGTTACAGCTCAAACCGTTTCACCGATTTTATTATTTTGAATATTGTTTTAAAGGAAAGACAAAACATTTGCAAATGTAAAAGAACAAAATGATCAAATTATCACGAAATACCTTACTGGATTGTTAGGGAATGACAGTCTAAAGCATCCTGTAAAATCGTGGCTTCTGGTGTGCTGACATTTTAAAGAAAAACTGTATTTTTCCAACACTGGTCGGCCGACTAGCATTGGAGAAAACTTTTTTATCAAAAACTACTCCTAATTTTTCATATTCGCATTTTCTCTGTGGTTACACACCTGTGAAGGGTTACAAGCCTGCTAGACTGATTATCTGACCTTACAATTCCCCAAAGTCTATAAATTGCTCGTTTCATCTTAAGTGGGGTCAGGGAACCAGACTACAAGAACATGATTGGTTTTCTTGGTTTTTCCAGCATCTACTACTCAAGGGTGGATCCAGAACACAATTTTGGGGGGGCCCAAAATTTTTTGGACCCCCCAAAAAGTGGGTCAAAAAAATTACGGCGTGGGGTTCGGGGCCCGCTTAAGGGCCCCGAATTTTTTTTGGATTCTAGATGCTCTGTGGTGCGATCTGAGGCAATTTCTGACCACTTTAACCAATGTTTTTTTGAGGAAAAGATGGTGGTGTACTCATTGCCTGCCTTTATTGCGATGTCACATCAAAAAAAAAAAAAATTGGTCTCGTTTTGGGGGGGGGGGGGCCATGGCCCCCTTTAGCCCCCCCCCTGGATCCGCCCTTGCTACTACTAGCCCAAAACGTGAAACAAGTTAGTGTTACAATATTTGCTATAACATACTTATCCCCAAAATCCATTTATTTCTAAAAATTGCAGCAAAAGCAAATGTTGTACATTCCCTTTAAGAACCAGTTCGATATTTTGTTGTTGCTCTGTCCATTTCTTGAAACCACACATGAACCCACCGGCCCACCCGCTTCCTTTTTTGAGGCTGCATCAAATTTGTATTACTTTTTAAAATTTTAGGCATAACATTTTTAAAGATGTTTCAGAAGTTCAGTTGCTCCATCAGATGCCACACACATATTATTTTTGAAAACATGTTACCCTGAGATAAGAGTTCACAAAATTATTCTGATCTGTGGTTTAAAGAGGTTGTGGAATGCTCGAAGACATTTCCGTCATTTTTCGGGTATATGTAGCCTAAGGTGTGATGAAATAAAAACGACTTGTTTCTGTCATAAAATGAGTACAAAAGGTACTTTTGAGAGCTGCTTTTCAAGTCCTGTCATGCCTGTTTCGACCCGAACGTGCAATTTGTGTAAAAGTCGTCATTGCAGGCAGCAAACAAAACACAGTAAATCGTGACGTAATTAACAGGACTCCCGATGCAGAGTAGCATAAACGAGTCCTGTTTATTATGTCACGATTTACTGTGTTTTGTTTGCTGCCCGCAACGACGACTTTTACACAAACTGCACGTTCGGGTCGAAACAGGACCTGAAAAATAGCTCTCAAACGTTCCCTTTGTACTCATTTCATGACAGAAACAATAGTCGTTTTTATTTCATCACACCTTAGGCTACATATACCCAAAAAATGACGGAAATGTCTTCGAGCATTCCACAACCTCTTTAACCATACCAATCGATGTTCAGCTAATACATAACAATGTTAACATTCAATCTTAAATTTAAATTGCGATCATTTCATGTTGGACAAAACTGTAACGAAAATACTTTGGTATCCCGATGAGAAATAACAAAAATCTAGAATATAATATGAAAGAAGTGTCATCTAGCAAGCACTCATTGGCCGAGTTTGGGCGGGTCTTGTTCTTGACACGGGTTTATCATTATTGCAAACAACAACGAATAGGTGCATGGTGTGTGATCCTGTTCCGAGTGCAGTGTTCGTGGGTCATGTTCCCGCCGTTAGAGCGCGAGAACAATAATAAATACTCATGTCATCTTGAGAACAGACCGCTCAAACGGACAGCCAGTCGGACAGCCATTGCGTGAGAAAAGGTTTCTGACTGTGTCAATAGGGGGCGCTGTTTCTTTTGTTTTTTTCTCATGTAGAATTTTTGGCGTTTTTATCCCAGATTTTGTCATTCCCAAACAAACTGTGGACCGGGGAACAAAGTTTTTTTTCGATATGGTACACCATAATCTACATGTCTGTGAAGTTGTATAAAATTCGGCGAACCAGACCGCGTGGCGAGCATAAAAAAGGCCTCGTACCACGGACTATTGTTGACGTATTTCATACGCACTGTTTATTCAGTATTGTGTAAGTGCATCCAAGAAAAATTCACAAGCTTACTCGGGTAGGACTCCAACCTTTTTGATGCTGGAGCAGCTGTAATACTAAAGCTAATGCATACAATGACATCACAGTTTTGCTCGTGAATATGGAAATTTGCGTGAGTAGCAAAACCAAAGAGGCATCAAAACACCTTTTCAATTGCAATATGAAGACTGAATAAAGACAATGAGACATAATGGTGCTGTACATTCAAAGACTTGCATTAACATTTTTGGCCCTTTATTTAGAAGTAAAATTTGATAATTTTATAGTGCAAGTTTGATTATTTTGATTGGGCAAATAAAAATATATGGCACAAAAAATTGTGTATCCGAGTATCCAAACTGAACAATTCAGTTGGTTCGGTTAGGTTCGGTTTAGAAGTTGTTCACCTATGTTCAGTGAAGTTTGGCTGCAATTTTGCACTTAATATGTCTACCATACATTGCACTGCCTGGATTATAAGTAAGTTAGAATGCTGATAAAGAGTACTGTAGAAGATGCAATGTTTAGTCATTTGTATTTGCTTTGCAGTGAGGCTGATCCATTGGTTGGATGGAGCAAGCCAGAGCAATGGAGAGCTGATGCTACATACGCTGCAGTGGTGGTCAAGGTATGTTGGATTACATGTGGGCATTGTGGAACAATGTCAGGATAAGTATCCAACTTCAAAGCTACACAGTGGATTTGTGCACAAGTACCACTTCAATGGTTACAAAGGGCAGGAATGTTATTTCTCCGTTTTTTTCCCCGGAAATCCGTTTTTTTTGGGCCTGAAAAATCCACCAACGTTAATCATGTGAATCCATTGAAAAAATAGGGGGGTAGAATGTGCTAATTAATTATTCATAATGAGTTTTGCTTGCCGACCCCACGCCGTAATGGCTTCGCGCTCGCCGGCGTTTGCACTTTATGCATAAAATGTTCAGGTTTTTTTTGTCCCAGGCCAATCACATCCCTGAAAGGGAAAGTTGGGGGAGACCCACTAGGCGTGTCAATTGAATGCACTACCGATGGTGCTTGATGTTCACATGAAGACCCTTGTTTGTGCTCACTTCATGCCCTATGTGTGGGAACCAGTACGTGAATGCAGTGTGTCCCACTCACTCACTCACTCACTCACTCTACCGCAAAGACATCTGGGGTCCGTTGCGCTGATCTCCTGTGTCCACGGTTTGTAGCCTGGTTCCAGAGCCTGTCAACCTTGCTGGAAGGTCCCAATTGCTCGACCCAGGATGTCCTTGGTCGGCCTCTGGGTCTTGACCAGCCAGGTGCCGGGGGAATTCTGCCTCTGCCATTAATGGCGATGTTAAGTCCCTTCTTTGCTGGGGTATTGTCGGCGAGGCGGGCAGTGTGATTGAAGAGAGCTTCTCTGCTGTGATGGACAAGATGTCCAATGGTGGGTTGTTCGCTTCTTTGGGGGACCTCTGCATTGGTGATATGGTCATACCAATGGATTCCGAGGATGATCCTTTGGCATCGTTGGTGGAAAGCCTCGAGTCTTCTCAGATCGGTCTGGAGGAGTGTCCATGTGTCAGACCCGTAGAGAAGAACTGGGATGACACAAGTCCTGTATATTGCTATTTTGGTAGCGAGTTTGAGCCTCCTCAACTTCCACACTCTGTGCAGGCTGTTCATGGCTGTTGAGGCGAGACCTAGTCTCCTTAGAGTGTCAGGCTCACTACGTCCTGTGTTAGAGATCTTGCTGCCAAGGTAGATGAAGTCGTTGACAGCTTCAATGGATTGTCCGCGCAGGACTATGTTTGCAGGTATGTTTTCCCTGGGTATGTCTTGGAGTTTGGTTTTCTGCCAGGAGATCTTGAGGCCAAGGTAGGATGCCTCTTGCCGAAACAGATCGAGCGTGTTCCTGACGGAGTTTGTTGTATGGCCGATTAGGGCAACGTCATCTGCATAGGTGAGGTCAGAAAAGTTGAACTGACCGATGGGATTCCCGCATTTGCCGTTGCTCACTCAAGGATCCAATCCATGGCACAGCAGAAGAGGGATGGAGCCAAGATATATCCCTGTCTTACTCCTGATCTTGTGTGGAAACTTGGAGAGGTGCTACTTCCTTGGCGGACCTTCGCAGTGGTGTTAGTATGGAGATCTTTAATGAGGTTTAGAAGATGCTTAGGAATTCCGTTGCCTTGAAGAGCTTTCCAGAGGGCATTTCTGTCAACCGAGTCAAATGCTGCCTTCAGATCGACGTAAGCCACATGCAGGGGTTGATTGAATTCCCGATGCACTTCACATAACAAACGAAGGGCAAGAATGGCGTCGACCATCGAGCGCACGACAGTGAAACCGGACTGCTCAGGTCGTCTGTGTTTTGTGAGTAGATAACGTGCCAGTAATACATGAGCGAAGTCTTTCCTGGGGACAGAGAGAAGTGTGATAGGTCTGTAGCTGCTACATTCGGTGCCGGGGCCTTTCCTTTATACAAGGTGATGATGATGCCTTCTTTCCATTCTGCTGGGACTCTGCCAGACTGCCACACATGAGTGAAGAGCTTCTGGAGGGCTGAGCTGATAGAGTCGATGGCGCATTTTAGGAGCTCCGGGGGAATGTGGTCTGGTCCATCTGCTTTTCCATTCCTTAGCCTATTGATGGCTGCCTTGACCTCTTCCACGGTGGGTGCATCCGGAGAAACGTCGGGGTCAGGAGGGGTGTTTACAAGTTGATCCAGCCCCTGACAGTGTGGAGCTTCTGGGTGGTTTAGGGCAGCCTCGTAGTGCTCTTTCCACCTGTCCAGAGTCTTTTGCTCGGTTAAACAGGGTGAACCATCGATTTTGTTGACAGTTGTACTCACGCTGTTATTAGATTTAGGGCGGAGTTCTTGAATGATTTTGTAAGCAGACTTGAGGCTGTTATGGGTGAAGTCGTCAATCCTATGAGAGAGAATTTCAAGGTAATCTTCCCTGTCCTGTTTTGCTTTGGCCCTAAAGACTCTTTGCAGACGTCTGTATTCTGTGTGGTTGTTGTTCATCCTTGCTGCTGATTTATCTTTGAGGACTTTGAGTGTTTCCTCCCACTGGGGCTTTCTAAAGTGGTCACACATAGCGCCATCTACTATTCGTGCTCAGAGTCCATTAGACTTGATCACATTATTGTCTCGCTTACCTGAATTGTAATCAACATAGGTCCACCATAAATGGCACCAGGTTCCTTGAACATGCATAAGTAATACCATCCACACGTAACGGTAACTGGGTTTTAGATGGGTCTGCTGAGATGGAAATATCAGCCAATTTGCTCTGAAAGTTCTAATTTGTGAGGAGGTTTTAAAATGACAACCATATCAGATTGTGGTTTTATTGTTAAAAATGTACTACTCAAGTGGCATGCATTCTGTAGTTTGGGAAATATTTTTTGGAGATTTGCATTGCATTGATTGTCCTAAAAACAGTTGTTTTTAATCGAGATCAAGAATTTGGCTGTTGAAAGTCCTTCTTCCCAATTAACATGACTTATTCTATTTGACATGAATAATGAAATAATGATTTGGGTTGATGATTATACCAGTGTTCCTTATATGTTTAATATAAACATTTTAATTTTCTTTGTTTTTAATGTTCTTATCAATGGAATAAACAGCCAATTAAAGTGCCACCTGTCCTTGCTCCAGGTCATTGCTCAGCACCAGAATCTTCTGATCAGACAACGGCCTGACATGAACTACACGCTGCTTAGTAATGACAATGGCTTCCTGGATTTCAACCCTCACTTCTTCACTCAGCGGACATTAGTGGCTCGGTTTCAGATGAATAAGACCCATCCACCTAGCATACAAACTGTCAAGAAGCCTGTGCTGAGTGTGATGGGCCTCCTGGCGTTACTTGGAGAGATGCAAGTGCAAGTCATACCAGGTCAGATACAAGGCCTTGCCTCTGTGCACCTTGGATTTCCTAAGAATCAATTTTTGGGCCAACTATTGATTTTTATGCCTCGCGGCGAAGCCGAAGGGGCATACTGTTTCCGCCTTGTCCTTCCATACAAATTTGAGAGCATAACATAATCGAAAAGGATATAATTAGTCTTTTGTGTTAGAAACACAGAGGTGAGATTTGATTCTGAGACTTGTTGATATTACTGCATTGTGAGTCATTCAACTTGAGTCATGATTCCGGTTTCAAATTAAGTCCTTAGTAGCAGGCCAGCATCTAGAGTGTTTACTGCTGTTTACTCTGTTGACTGCTGTCAAGTGTTTAGTGGCATATTTTTACACAAGTAATAGTATAAATATAAAGGTATTAGTTTATGTCAATGACTATAATGATATTTAAGTCATGCAGACACTGGCAGAGATGTAAATAATGACAGTGACGTCGGCATCTTAGCATCAGTGCACCACCCATCCAGAGCCAATGGATCATATGACAGGTAAAGATGAACTTTATGAAGAAATAAGAACATAACCTTCCTTATTGTCCGAGGGTAAATATAACTGATTGACCAGTCAGTAATGTACAGTATGCAGGTACAACATTAGCAATATAGACTGGTCTCCGGCTGTACTGCCTACAGTTTACTTGGTATGAAAATGTATCGTCAAACTTAGTCACTGTTTGAATAAAGGCTGGTGAATGTACAAGCTTGCAAACATAACCTAGGACCAGTAGCATGGTTCTTACTTGCCAACATGTAGGTGAAGATCTCTGGATCACAATTGGGGCATTCAGTCGGCAGATAATGTTCATTCTTTTTCATAGAAAACACCGGTAGTTGTTGATTAAGGGAAAAACAGCTTCTCAAGGGTAGTCTTAAGGCGAAGTTGAGTTTACTTTGAAATTGTTTTGAAATTTATCTTTTTAAGTATGTAAACAGTTCTTCTTCCAGACTTGTACTTCTTGACTAAAACAATTCAAGTGGAAGCAAAACTGATCATTGGACATATTAATGGATGAAAATAAAGGAATGCTACATGACAAAGTTACATGCCACAGTAACCAACTTTCCTGATTGCTACAGTTGGCAGGGGAGCATTATCATCTACAACAGCAATGACACCAGCAATCTGGCAGGCATGGACAGTGTCAAACTCACTATCAAAGGAGTGCCAACAACAACCCAAAGTAAGAAAACGTCTCATCATACCATCTCAAATCTTCCCCATGAACACAAAATTTGCTCCCAACTAGATCTGAGTAAGCTAGCTTGCATCTGCATAAACAAATGCTCCAATTTGAGAGCCAATGATGTTGCCCTTGATGAATATAGACATTTCTAACAGGAAAAAAAAAAAATTGCTCAGAATTTAAAACAGGCGTTGTTCCTAGTAGAATATTCAAACTTTTTTTCATTTTGAGCAGTAAACGTAGGGTGACAGATTCATTTTCTGAAGTCAAAGCATGTTGCTTGTTTTGTTGTAGGTTTTTGGCTAAATTTCCACATTGCAGAAAACAAAAATAGTTCAGGCATTTGGTACAGTGTATCATTTGCAACTATTCAAAAAGTAACTGACAAAATTATTGTTGAAAAGATAGTAATGGGACTAAACTCCCTGTGAAACTATTCTTTTGGCAAACTGTCATTTTGATAAAAACAATGAATTTCCAACCATGCGTCTAAACACGCAATTTTGGAGATTTCCGTCAGTAGTTTTTTTTTTTATTCTGTGAAGCCATGAATGAGTATGCGCGAGCGTTGACACAATGCACAAGCGTGTGCGTTTGCTATAATTTGTCCATTCAGTGTGTGACATTGCGTAGCTGAACTTGGGCGCAATTCAAAACATGACTCAGCAACTTTTGATTTGAAATCGAGATCCTAGAATATTGTTTTCTCGAAATATACAGCATTCACTGAGCTGAAACTTCATCAGCTTAGTTGTTAGGCCAAAAAAAAAAAAAGGGTTCCGGTTTCTTGTCTGCGCGTACGTCGCCGTAGCCATGCGCGTCGGCGAAATTAAAAAGTTTTTGTTTTGAATGTAAGATGATGTCTCAAAACCGCCAAACTCACTGGTTTGACTGGAATCCTGCTGCTGCACAATTTTAACGTGTTTTTAGATAGGGTTATGATCGAGTATAAGCTTTATGTGGCCTCTCTGGGCTCCCATACATTTTGCACTAAATTTAGACATTTGGGGCAAGCTCCATACCAGAAACCGGAGACTTTTTTGGGGGGCCTTAAGTGCCCTTCTTTAGATTTGAGCACTTCTGTTGCTTTAAACGAATATCATGCTCAAATTACAAATGATGTACTTTACCTTTAAAATGGTGCTTTTCATCCCAAGATTTTTAAAAGCTTTTTTGTTAGACAGGAAAATTGTAGGGTAACTTTCTGCAGTTCTGGCCCCTAGGCCGTATTAACCTGAATGCAACATTTGTGGACCAGTGCAGTGGTTGAGTTTAAAACAGCTCAGGCTGAACACCTTTTCTAGTTGGAAAGTTGATGTATTAGAACAAATTTCGCAGTTTTCACATTTTTTAAACAAATACCATCAAAACTAATTTCCGATCAAGTATCATAAACAAAGAGTTGATATATCAGTGCAAACTAATTTGTCCCTGTTTCTCTCTTCTTAGATGTGGTGTATGTTGTTTATCTTGTCAATAACACACATGGCAACCCCTACAGACTGTGGAAGATGTTTGGCAAACCTGTCTATCCAACTAGAAAGCAATTCCTAGAAATCAGAAAACATCAGGTAAAAAGGGAAATAACAGCAGCCAATGTGGCACTTATTTTCTGTCAGTACTATCACTCTTAAATAATAAGGCATATATCAACAAACTTTTGCCTTTGTAGACTACATTCAAAACGCTGCAGGTTTTTTTCTTTGTTGCTTTGCATGCAAGTACCCTGAGAAAATGGTATGGACTGTGTGAATTAACTGGTACTATGTGGATACTACCACACACTAATGTTTATACCACATGCCTATAGCACACAGTTTTATAAATTGCAACCAGGGCCCAATTTCACAACCCTGCTTATCAGTTAGCAGAAAAGTTGTGCTTATTATAGCAGAAAAATCATGCTGCTGCTTAAGAACTATTTCATGGCGTGTACATTTGATTGTGTGTGCTAGGAAATTTATATTGTTTCGTCAATAATTAGGCAACTTTTTCCTCTGGGGTTTTGTAGCGTGCTTTTGCTGTGCTTACTGTGTATGGTCTGTATGAAATAGACGGAGGCTCTGTTAGTACAACATTGGCTGTTAAGCAGCTCTATGAAATTGGGTCGAGTTTTCAACTGAATGTGCAAAAGCCTGTAGCATTTTTGTGTGTGCGAGATTAACATACCTGTAGCTGTTTGTTGGTACCACTATAGATTTGCCTGTACTTGGGGTCAATAAAAACATCCATGGCAACAACAGTGTGATATCCCATGTACCAAGGTCTATATCGGACTCTGCATATCGCCCACCATATGCTGACTGCATGCACGTGTAAAAGGATAACTTACAGCCAGTGTGTGCATTTCATCTTTTCTTTGCATCAAGTTTGCTTGTAGATGAATTTATCATTAACTCACTCATGCTCATGGAACACAGAAATCTAGTGCGTCTGTCTTCCATATTCGGCCTCGTGGCATGTGGGACACAGACACACTACATTATTCTGTTCTCCACTAGGACTAGTGGGATAACAAATGTAATAATGATAATATGGATTTATAAAGCATTCGTATTCCCCAAATAGGTGTTCATGGCACTGAACGTCACAGTTAATATAACCCTAGTCATTGGGCTATTGAAAACATTCCAAAGACCATCTCAGCTGCCTGCGGAGTATACAGCTCAATGCTGCCATATACATGTCGGTGCAAATGGCTGATCAAACACAAACTAAGTGTATCTGTGTCCATTTACTCCTGGATGGAAAGAAGCAATGAGTGACACAGTGTCTTTCCCATGGGCATACACACCACAACACTCAGCTAGTCTCAAACCCATAAACTGGGAAATAAACCACCTGATCTTGAATTAAATTTGACGGACCATAAGGCCAAGGCACTCCTCTACAAGTTCTGTTTGTGATGTGAAGTATCTGAATTTTCATTATAGAATTCTTTCTGTACTTTGCTGTTGCAGGATCCTGTGAGAATCGAAGGACCGGCTCTTTTCACAGCCCCACAGATGATATTTACTTTCAACTTGAGCAAACCAGGGGTCATGCTGTTCCATGTCTGCACCAAACCCACTGGCAGTCCACCTCAGGTGAGGAATACATGTTGGCAAGGATGCATGTAATATCAAAACATAGAACTCGCCCATGCAATAGGCCTTTTCAATTATTCCCACTGCATTCTTGGTATGGATGACAAACAATGCAAACTATGCAATTTGTACATAAACCTATGAGGATTACAGTTGACTCTCTTTTATACAAACTGCTGTTGTTACAAATTGTTGTTATAATGAACAATAAACCCTCAATCCCGTCTGTTCGTAAATACATATCCTTCATAATTCGCTCTGAATATCCCTGGGGCTATAAGCTGTGTGCAGAATCTTTAGGCGAACTATGTGTAAAACATTTATTGAGGGTGTCTGCACATGATTAGCTACATTTGATAGTGTGTGCAGTAAGCATCAATATTAATCAGACAGTAGTCACAATATGGATTTCATCTGCAAATACCTCCTCATGGGGGGGGGGGGGACATTTTCCCAGAACATGTCGGGAACAAGTGTAGAGCCTTTCTGGACAAAGTGAATGATTCTACTCGCAACTTGTCTGGAACTCGCCCTGGATATGAAGTGAGACAGGCCCTAAGCTCACAAGGAGAATAAGCTATAAACATGTACGTAATGTGGCTGGCAGTGTTCCTACTGTTATAAAAACGATTTTATTTTCTGTGCTATGCAATTTTGTGTGTGCTTTAACTGCTCAATGAAATTGACTCCGGCTGAATGAAGTGTTACTATGAGCAGTGTTAAATACATGTTATAACATATATTGAGGGTAGGAGACAGTGTACGGTAGTCCATCACATTCAAAAGTCCATCGGGATTTCTCCAGTTTTAACTCTCAACTCATGTTGACTGTGACAAAAGCACTCCATTGTTGGTGTCTGTACCCTGGTAATAAGCCTATGTACTAATGACGTCACACATTGTATGATGTCACCTATGCTGACTTCACTTTTACTAGTCGTGACAGGACTTGCGAGGACTTGTGATGGACTCCACAACAATATTGACTCCTACCCTCAAGAGAATTGCCCCTGATACGTGTTGTAATATTGACCAAATTATTGGCGTGTTGATTTTCAGGTCCAGGCCCTCAAACTCCATGCTGTCACACAGAGTGACGTTCTGCTACACTGGGATGACGTTCCTTCACGTTGCCTCTTAACATATCAGGTGGAATTATCTGCTACAGAGCAAGGGCAGTATCTGCAAATCAGTGATGTTGATTTCATATTTACATCGTATCTCTACTCCATTGATACGGGAAATCAGAGTAAGTATCTGTGTTGTAACTCTACATTGTTCTTGGTTCCCACTTACTGTAAAACGGTTGGTTAATGATAACAAAGTCTTCTGATTCTTTGTATGCTTGGAATATACATGTATTTCAGTAATACCGCAAAGTGACAATATTTTTTTTGCTACTGAACATACTGATTGATGTCAAAATACCGAAGACCTCCATATGGACTTTTATTACCGCAATTTTCCCTCTTAAATGCGGCCTGTGTGCCAATTTAAGCCCTTAAAAAGTGATAAAATTAACTTGGCCAGTTCTGCACCACAATTCCTTGCATATGGCAGTATTTTCGTTGGTTGACAACTTATCAATGGAAGGTGATTTGAGATCCGAGTTGTAATTGCGTCAATCACAAGTCTATCACAACTCATCCAGTTCATAGTCAAGTCACAAGCTATTCAAATTAACTGTAACAAAGGCATTCCCTTGTCATTGTTCATGTTATTACTTTTGACCTGACATGTATATTGACTTGAGATGTGGCTTGACTCAATTGAAACTCTGCTCAAAATTCATTTCATGATTTGTTTGATTGCAGCAAAAAGCAAATTTCTTATTATTCTCAGCCTTTCATTTTTAAGTGAACGTCTTGAAAGGTTTTCAGAAATTAGCCCTCACAAATTTCACAGTCATTCATGGTTCCTGAATTTCAGCTGTTCATGTTTGTCAACTCATTTTGGAAGTTCAAGCTGTCTGGAGTAAATGTTGTATCAGGGAGCCTATAGGCAATTTTGTTTGTTTGTTTTTACTGTTATAGTGTCGTCCAATGTCTCCACCAAAGGCTGGTACCGTGTGAGGGCAGTTGACTATTGGAATCAGCCTGGTGACTATTCAACACCCGTTGAGTTGAAATGAGACACACGTCAACTGTGTTTACATTGAGCAGCGTTGATCACGACTTCCAGATCTGTGAGTGTCTCATGTTGTAAACAGCAATCCCACCTGCACGCTGTGACATTTTTTGGCAAGTTTTAGGTGTAGCATAGTCAAGTGAAAACAAGGGAAAATGTGCAGTCTAAGCATACAATTCAGTTTTCTTTTAAATTTGTGTACATAATTATTCCTTACATTACTACACAACAAAACAGTTTCACATCCAAGACTAGAATATAAGTCAAGTGTGCAATGGATTGTATTGTGTATCACTGGAAGTGAACTTTAGTACTGAGTGGTTTATTTTATGAATGCTTTTTACATTGTAGCTCAGCAGAACTGAATGATGAACCTGTATAAATATTTTTAAAGGTAGAGTACATAATTTGCAGCTATCCAAAAAGTAACTGACGGAGTTTTTGGTGAAAAGCGTATTTGGTTTAAAAAAAGTAATAGTACTACACTCCCTGTGAAATTATTCTTTCTTGCATGCTGTCATGTTGAAGAAAACAATAAAAGGTCATTTCCAAAGATGCACCTAAAGATGCATTTTTTGAAATTTCCGTTTGTAGTTCGTTTTTAATTCGGCAAAGCCATGAATGAGTGAGTGCAAGCGTTGACACAACGCACCCTTCTTGTTGCTTCAAACGAAAACAATGCACAAATGACAAATGATGTACTCTACATTCAATTCAGGGAATACTGGATCTGATAAAAGACGCACACTACTAAGTCCCTAAAATGTGCCAGGCAGCAATTTTTTTCCTCATTTCATTCAGCTTTCCCAACTTGTGATTGGTCCATTTATGCACATGCCTTGTTGTCGGCAACATGAACGCAGCATAAGCTATACATTGTATGCAGGTATGAAGATTCCTTCCTCATTGATGTTATTCAAAGGAAAAGTAAAATGAGAAGTATGCCAACATGTATAAACAAGGAATCGAACTCAGATCAACTGATCAGAACAAATTTTGGTTTGCATCCACCCAGTCCAAGAATCTGCTGTTGTTCCAGTGATTTCAAGAGCTTTATTACTGTTTGTAATTATAAACAGATGCATGGATATAGGAGGGCGCCCTCTGTTCATTTTTCCCATGTGGTTGATACACTTTTTGGCAGCCATACATGAATCTTTCTCTAAACCCATATTTTTTTACGGGACATTTATCAAACCACTTTTTGCATTATCAGTGGAAGTCTTACTCTCAAGTATGAAATACAAAGCTGTGGTGCAATAGTGTCCATTTTGAAACACTGGCGGGTTCGTGCGACACTCGCTAGATGGGTGAAGTCGTCTATATAATATACTATATTTTAACTTTTAACTTTTTCTAATCATTTTATTGTACATTAAACTGCAATTCGACTTCTAGTCGCGGGTGTTTGATAATAAATAATAATAAAAATAATACTAATAACAATATTTTGTATCGCCAATAACTTGCTATTTATCTATTACCGAAATGAATTAAATTAATGTACTGCCATGTAACATTTTTATTACTGCACTGTACTTTGCGAGTCTTAACATTTGTTCTAATGTATTACTTCGATCCAATTTGCATGTTCACCCCAAGTGGGCATGGTAAGTTTTGGTGAAGCAATTTCGCGACTTTTTTATCATTAACGTTGTTTTGCGTAATAGGACGTCACAGGCAAATGCCCTCAATTCAATTACAAAATCCTGCTGCAGTAGCCGTCTTGACGAGAATGGTAGAAATGTACTTTGCTTTGATGGACATGGTTACATGTACATTGTACGTAAATGCATGAATTTATGATGTGACAAAAAGAAAATCACTTTTTTTGTATTTTTATGTAAATTTTTTGTATTCTTATGTGTGCCTTTGTTGAAGGTTAATAGATATTAACATGTAGTCAGAAATGAGCGAGAGATTTGACAATTTTAGGTTATTGAATAAAGCGTGAACATGTATTTGTAAAAAAAAAGGATGATTTCTGATTTGTCATTTTTTTTTTTTTCAGATTTTGGTGAAGTCTGTCAAGTTGGATTTAAAATTCCCAATACCTAGTCTTTCTTGAGAACCTCACTTTCATTTGACAGGTATTTACAAATACCTGAGACAGGTTAACTATTCCTATTGGTCCAGAGCCCATCACATGGGTGGTTTTAAACTAGTCCAAAAACTTAGGTCTCTCAATACTGTATAAGAGAGTCCCAAAACATGGTATTGAAAACATACACACAAAAAAATAGACTGGCATTTGAAATAACCAGTCCAACAACTCTTCAGTACTGCATCAATCAACTGTCAGCCGACTGTGCCAAAAGAAATATCTAGGATGTCAGGTACAAGGTCACTATTTCTACACCTTCTCCATAGTCAGGCACCAGACTAATGAGAATGAAGAAGTCAGGCTTGTTAAACAGTTGGACCATGGAGGGACATTGGTGAAATACCGAGGACCTTTTCTTTGTCCACTGAAAGTTTTGGAGAAATATGGTGGCTAAAGAATGAGTAAAGTTGGCCTGATCTTCTTTTGCATCGTTTTGAGCACTTGAGGTTCCAGTCTAGTTTTAAACCACTGTATAAAAGCTGCATGTTGTAAATGGACAGTCAATGAACAGGGTTTCAAGGATGAAACAGAGATCCATCTAAACTAGTACACCACAACTGATATCTTGGGAAGGAATAATTCTGCACACAGCTGAAGATAAATCAGTTTTCAATACCTTACTTTACACTGTTATGTGCTTGCATCTGTCTTGCTTATATTATGTTATTGATGTGCCTAATTGTTTATTCTAATGACGTCCCGTTTTTATTTGTTTTTACTTTACTTCTTTGAATTGTGGGACATTCTGCTTTTTGTTTTGTTTTCCAGTGAACGTGTCTTATCATTTATTCATGTACATGTAAATTATGTTCATGTTGTCGTAATATTTTGTATTATTTTTTAATGCATATAAGTTATTAATTTAACATGCTGTTATCATTTGCATTGCTTTTTATTACTTTATATATTTGCTTAAACAATTGACATTAATTTATGTTTATATTTAAATAACTGTAATTTTTTTATTGTATTTTAAATATTACTTAATTAATTTGTTTATAGTTTTAATCTTTATTTTTTTATTTTTGTACAGGGCCCTCAAGGAAAGCAATTTTTTTTAACTGAGGCCACCCTGTTTAAATAAGACTGCAAATAATAAATTAAAAAAAAAAAAAAAAATCTTACACAAAGAGCACTAAAAAACTCAACCTCAAATTAACATTTTGTTATAACACATCCCCTTTTTTTATTCAATCCAAACTTTAAACAATGTGAGCAGTTATTACAGGATAGAGACTAAGAAAATTAAAAAGTGGTGCTGGTACATAATGCATTGACCAACTGCATTTCAATTACTTTGAGTCTTCTTGACAAATATCATGGTTTATCATTCTAATGACATAATGTAGTTAGCTGTGTATGCTATTATGTTGAAACTTCAAATGAAAAATGTCATGAATCCACACCCCCCTGATAACCCCGAAGGCTGAAGGTTTTGACAAACACATCGGTATAAAATGCTTAAGAAAAGAATTAGAATCAAGGTTTCCAAAAAAACAACAAATGTTCCACTCGGTACACTGATTTAAGGCTCAATATGCCAGCAAAAAAAAAACTATTACAGAAACCACCCACTTCGTAAATTAGTACATGTATATCAATTAATGTATCCTGCTTTATACTATTTTGACCTCACGTGATTGATTAATCATGTCATGACACCTCCAAATATGGATTGACACAGTTCCCGTCCAGATCGCTTGTTATAAACTGACATCAACACAAACTCGTCTACATGTACTACAACTACCGTCCTTACCTACTGGACTTTGGCTGCCCCTTTATAGGCTGTGTGTCACAGGCCCCAACCAGTCTTCACTCAAACAAAAACATCTACCATTCAAGATGCACTGAATGGAAATCCTCTGGGGATCATGTAGGCTGTCTACTCTGAGAAAATTCTCAACAATTCGTTCTCATATGTATAAAACAGTTGCCATGTTTTTGTTGCCTAAAAAAAACTTCCACCAAAGTCCACATGAACATGTAATGTGCTCTCCTACTTCCAAACAAGCTCCTGAACAATGACCCCGTAGATCAAGAATCATGAATATTCAGTGTGTAGAGACACATTATGAAAATTATGCAGACCCATCTGATTGGCCGACGATGAGTTTCAAAATACATGTAGTAAACTCAGTTTGTCAGGGCAGTCTTACAACGTACTGAGTAGACTGCCCTGGCTAGTGAGGATGGCAGGATACAGAATGGATCCCAGTACAAATAGATCAGGGAATCATAGGACAAATGAAGTCACTTAGAAATGTGTGGGTTTAACGTTTAAGGTTCATGCACGAAGTACATAACTTATTCTGAATGTGCACAAAGCCATAGCATCTTTGTGTAAGCATCAAGGCATTGTCAGCAATGCGTTCCATTGTATCTCCCAGCAATCTCCCCCAACTCTCCTAGTCTTGCCGTTGAGGGGGTACTTTTGCATGGAGCCCATTGGAAGTGGATCCGACTGTCTCCATAAAGTATATGTGTTATCATTTGCTAGCCAAAGCTAAGTAATTCAGATGCAGCCTTACACTTCGCCCTGTGTTGGGTGCAATAGTGTCTATGCAGAAACATACTCTGCATGATTCTTCCAAGTTCTGCAGGCATCTATTGCTTTGGTCGTGCTTAGACTCGTATCGGTGAAATTAGATAGTTTTGTCCAAACTTGTTCAACAAGCCTTTTATTTTGGCCTAACAAAAACAAATCAATTTCAACAGATTTTGCATTTATAGAAAATGTGAAGCACTGATGGTTTAAAATACACAAAGCTTTAATTTTTGTTTATACAACCTACTGCAATGACTTTAATTGTCAACAGCAATTACAAAAACACCCATAAAAGTGATTATAGCAAAACTACAGCAATACAAAAATGCACATGGAAGGTTAGTGGAAAAATTAATGAAAAAAAAAAAAAGGTAGTGGCTTTCAACATAACACAATGCAAATGTTTGCATTTGGACACCCAAGGGTGCACAACCTTTTCAATTTACAGGGTCATTAGGATCAAGATGAATTAAAGTACAAAAATGATGAATACATACACAGACTGTGAAATTGGTTTGCCTAATGTCATTATTTTACTTTCACTTCTTGAGGTGAACTCTACACAGCACAAATTTAAAAAATAAGCATGGTACATGGCAACAAATGCACACAACTCTAATGTATGTCTGTCTTCGTTTAAAAAAAACCCAGGAAACCAAACCTATCTAGCATGTACATGTCTTTCACAAAAGTGCCCTTATAGCAAATGGCCTCTCAGCGACTTCGGCTTCTGAAACAAACAAAGAATAAAAACGCATATATAAGATTCGAAACTTTGCATGGGCGGTAGTGTAAACTGAGGGTTTGCTATAACACCATGTGAAGAATCTCTTTTGAGAAGATGTGTGGTTCTGAAAAGAACTGGTTATGACCGTCAATGGCTCTTTGCAGACTATGGACTCAATAGTGTGAACAGACAGCTTTTTGACCACTTTGGAGAGGTCCAGTGGGATGGACACACGGCCTGTATGTACCAGTTCACGCATGCCCACGTATAGAACAAATTAACGCACAATTTATTTATCCTAAACTGCACAGTTCCATCGTGTCTTTGCTTTGAGTGTCAGAAATGTGTTTGAATGTCCCTCGGTGGCCTTCCTCAAGGCTCCAATCATATCCATTCTGGGGGTTCACGCATGCCCACGTATAGAACAAATTAACGCACAATTTATTTATCCTAAACTGCACAGTTCCATCGTGTCTTTGCTTTGAGTGTCAGAAATGTGTTTGAATGTCCCTCGGTGGCCTTCCTCAAGGCTCCAATCATATCCATTCTGGGGGTACTTGTGCACCCGCTGCACCGAGTCCCCAACACATTGACATAGCACTAGTCACGTTTGTAGTCAAGTATCACATTAAGAGTACAAGAAGTATTTGGCTTTTTTTCACAAGTCAACCATATTGAATCAACAGCTAGGCAAACCCTGCAAATATTGTTATTGACTAAAGATGATGCAATAAAGACAAGATGATGATTATGTCCATTGAGCTCTGATAACCAAATCTAAATACTGGAAAGTCACATCACATTTTGAACACAATGCTAAATTGTTGAAAGCAATCATACAATAGTCTGGACCCGTCCTAATCAAAATATACAAAAATTTAAATTGATCCAGGGAGCACGATCTTTAATGGCTTTCTTGAGAAAAAGGATTACATCTAGGGAAAAGGTTTCATGCACAACTGAGGCAGTTGTGTAGTCACAAAGTCAATAAAATTTGCGGGCAAACTTATGAATATAGTTTCTCTTCTTGTGCACCTACTATCTTTTGAAGTGTAAAGTATTATGCAGTGTTGAGTTCTCACACTTTCAAACCACAAACATGACCAAGAAACCACTCGTAACAAACTATTGTACGCTAAACTAGAGACACGTCAAACATGTGTACACAACACTGCATCATCATATCTCGTCAGCAAGAGATGTTCCTTCTTTGATTGAAGCAAATTTCACCATTTAAATTTGTTTTCTTCGAATCTCACCTTGAGTGTGAGCGGGAACGGGATCTACTGAAGGATCTTCGTCGGCGTCTTCTGCAAAACAAAGAACAAAAATGGATAACCACTTTAAGTGAAATGTCAGAGTTTAGAAATTAGCAGTCTTTGCTCAGACTCCAACTCTTTCACAGAAATGAATAGAATCAATATCCAATACTTGATTTACTGAGGTTCCATTTTGTTGAGGAACTGACTCTCTGTAGTCCATATGCTGTGTGGTTACTTCTACATCCCTGTGAGTTTATTCCAGGCAGAACCCGAGAGTAACAAAACACTGACTCTATCATGGGTTGCATATCATATCTATTGCCGAGATGGTTCCACACTTGAGTACAATTTGTAGTTTTATACACACACTTAATGAACTGCAATCAATAGGGTGTTTACAACTTGCAAATTGCATGCGCAGCTCAAACATGTCACATTAAAAAAAGTTATGTGACATGTGCGCGAGTGTGTTACCATCTGCAAAGTTCTGGTCACTAGGCTACTCTACAGATGTACATGTATGCAAGTTTAGAATGGACTTCGACTGAGTACACAAATGCCAAATTATTATTACCGTAATTTTCGGAATATAAGCCGCGCGGCGTATAAGCCGCAGCACACAAAAATCTGCAAATTAAGATTTGAAGTCGGCGTATAAGCCGCACCGGCGTATAAGCCGCACCGACCGCAGTGGTTTCAATTTTGTAAGGCCTCCAAATTCTAGCCAAAATGCTCTGAACCAGTTCCATTTACACTACAGAAGCTATAAAAAGGGCCACAGAAGTTGTATCAAATCATTTACAATCGATACTTTCACAAACAAATGTGGAAATTGATGATGAGAAATAATCACCGGGAATTGCTGCCGGCTGCCCCGTCCGGTCCCCGGCCGGCCGTAAAAGTTAATACATCGCCCGGCGCGGCAGCCTGCGCCGCGCCGGCCTAGGACAATATTTTCCTGCAGCACGTGAGACAGTATTCAACCCACCGTGATTTTCCCCCATTGCGTGTGTTGTCTGACCGGAGCGCTAAGTCTACAAATCTTGCTTTGAGGCAACAGATTTGTTTTGTCCTAAAATATACAGGTCCGTTTATATCTCAAAACTTATCAAATTTTTGTGATTACTAATGAGCAGTACTCAAGTTTCGATCGTAACTTTCTTCGAAAATAGTCAATACGATGCTGCCATTTTCATGGACGAATCCATTAATTTTGTAAGGGGTGATGTAGTCTCTGTTTTGAGGTTTACATCGTTTCTTGAATACATTTCAAGTACAAAAATTATATTGTGACGTTGAACAACTGATTATTGAATAAAGAAATGTTTCGGACACCATAAAAAGTATTAGTCGTCTTTTTTTTTTTTTTTTAACAGCGGAAATGTTGTTTCCAAGATAGTACACCCCTATATTACCTCAAATGGTGTGGTCCGCTGGGGAAAGCATGCTGCATGCAGCTAGCAGCACAAGAATCACGTACGGCTTGTTGCAAGCGTCGACGCGATCGTAGACAGCTTTCACCGTACTTTTTACCGCTCGGCACCTTTACGTGGCACGTGGTTTCGGTTCGTTAATGACTTTCTTAATTGATAATTCATTTCAGCAACATATCTCTTCTTATACCAGTACATTAAATACACATGTGAATTTCATTTTTATTCTTCAAGGCTCGGCGTATAAGCCGCCCTGTGTATAAGCCGCAGTAAACATTTTCATGGGCAAAATCAACGTATAAGCTGCGGCTTATATTCCGAAAATTACGGTATTATTATTATTTTAAATACTCATTCACAGCCTTGGTCTTCACAGGGTGAAATCAGTTTACATATTCACCTTCTGTTCTTGTCCTGTGAGTAACTACGGGAGCGTGTCCGACTACGAGAACGACGACTGCGGTATGGACTCCTGCTCCTAGAGCGTCGGTATGGACTCCTGCTCCTGGAGCGTCGGGATGGGCTACGACTACGAGATCGCCTGTCATAGTCAGGACTGCGACTGTACGTACGCCGCCTACGTTTGTAGGTGTCACGGCTTCTCATCTGGTTTGGAGCTAGGAACATGAAGTTGTATGGTATTATTTAGTCTTCAAAAATCCATCTTACTTACAAGCAATGAAATGTACACCATTTTTTTGTTTTACAAAATACCTCGGCACTTAAAGGTACGTGTACATCGGATTATTTTTTTGGGAACATTTTGTTTGTTTGAACAAAAGTGCTCAAAATCATTAAGTGGGTGCATAACCCATTGACGATTTAGCTCAGTGGCTACTATACATTTTGAGAAAACACAGGAAACATACATGTTTTGGGTCTTCTAATGGATTCAATTGCTAATCCACTAAAAGGAAAAAAAATGTGCTTGCAGACGCCCTATTTCAAAACCACTGCCTTCTATTCATCCAGGTAATTCAATATAATTCCATATTTGAAATGCACCATCTACATGTACTCACTTTTTCTGTCCCCCTCAGCAAACTGAATATCCAGCTCTCGTCCAAGGAAGCGATTGCGATCCAACCCATACATGGCTTCCTCTGCGTCCCGTACATACTCAAATGTGCTAGCAGGTTGGGTTAAGGGAACAACAATGAAGAGGAGCAGACACGAAACAAGACAAGATACACCAATGCACAGAAGAGATGAATGGAAATAAGGATACATACATTCATACCGACGAGAGTGACCGGATGGCAAGCTAGAAGGCAATATGCAAGCATGCTTGTAAGGCATCAGTTTGGCTTACATGTACACAAAGGGAACCCAACCAATATTACAAATGTACCACTGCATTTGGTAAACCCAGTGGCTATTAAGGTGCTAGCTGATAACAACTTTTTGTAAAGTTGTTAATTCAAAAAAGTGCACCATAATATGGCAACTAATAATTCTGTATATGACTTAATCTGAGTTGTTGTTGAATCAAGTCCCTCACATGTCAATCATAAGTTAAGTTGCTAATAAAAGGGGAGGAACAATGACAAAGGAATGCCTTTTTTCACAGTTCATTGGAAGAGCTTGTGATGACTTGTCATGTTTGGTTCACGACCTAATTACAACTCTGGAATGTGAGGAGTCTTTTTACCTTCCAATTTTGGCATAGTGACAGGAACACTAGTGTTTACATAATTGCCTGGGTCAATACTGTTTAGTAGAATTAACTGATATGTAAAAAAATAATCTGCGAGAGCCAAAGATGTCAATGGCAATTCTGGTTGGGACAACCCTCTGCTGTACATGCAATTATCTGACAGACAAGTCAGTGACTAAAGAAAGTAAAGAAGAAAGATCGTTGTGCAAAGATACTTGAAGGAGGATGAACAAACAAACAGGACATTAACAACCACGATATATAAATGTAACAAAACTAAAACTAGACAGAAAAGAAATTTTAAATGAAAAAATGATTTTAACACACAGACAGATATGACATCCAGCATTGCCAACACATGACAGCCAAAAAAAGTCAAGCCCAAGGGGGGGAAAATATGGAATAATTGGATGTCCTGAAAGACAGGCTTCAGAACAAATTCAATTGAGGTGAAGATTTGTGGTTTTTTGGTGCAACTTCTCTCAACATTTCAGAGGTAAACAATGCAATGAATTCCAACAGAATGTTCCTGAGAAAATGGTTTTGGCGGTACCGTGTATGTGCACATACAGTTTGGGAATTTGTACTGATACTTTGAAGCTTAAAAAAGCAGTCACTTCCGATCCCATTATTTATTTTTTAAAATTAGATGGGTGATTTTTACAAAGTAGGTTAACCAAATTTGCCTATTTATTAATATACCAAAACACCAAGTAACCAGATTAACCTTTGATGAAATGGAAATAAGTCTGCCACAACACCATGCACAGGAAATACCCGAAATAAGTGGCTACCATACCTTGGTCTTGACTTGGCTTGGGCCCAAGAGAAAGCATGTTGGCTGTACCGGTTCTCTTTAAATTCTTGGTTTTGACTTGGCTTGCCACCAGATTTTAAGCATCTTTTGAAAGTTGGCTTGCTTGGAAGCTGGGCAACTTAGTGGGGAAAGTGCCAATGGAGATGATTTTGCCATCTTACAGCTTGACTTGGTCCAACCGACTGATTTCTATTGAGAAATTTGGTCCAGTACAGGGATCCGTCTACACGATGGGCGTACCGTTTTACACTTGATCACACTATCACACTTGACTCTACATGTAGCTGGCAATTTCTCGTCACATTGAAAAAAAAAAAACATGCTTGAAATTCTTGAACTGGAAATTCTCTGGTCTTGAAATGATTCTTGTGCAAAACTTGCTTGAATCTTGAAATCTTGTCTTGACCCATGCCACCGTCTGGACTTGAGTACCCTTGAGAACCTTGCTTGGAAATTCTTGATTTGAAAAAGAATCCCTCTTGCTTGGGTCGTCTTGTTTCAAGGCACAAATCTTGCTTGATTCTTGAAAGCTTGAACCGACCCACTGCCAGTTATCTTGACTTGAAAGCCTTGCTTCTCTCCTCAGCCAAACTTGTCCTTTCAGCATGAAATGTGGAGTGTAAATGCAAGTCGGGCACTTTTTCATTAGTGAAATGACATTCTACTAAATTGTAAATTGTACTTCTTGTTAGTCTTCTTTGAAGTCTGTTGACTTTACCATAGAAAGTTTGGCCAAAATGTTTTTATTTTCAAGAAGTTTTAGAGCAAAAATGGTTTGAAGTCCACATAGTTATTAAAAAAAAAAGATGTCGAAATAAATTTTGGCCACTTGATTTTCTTGAAAGAAAACCATTCTAAATTTTATGTTCATTTTTGTTTTTAAATCTGCCAAACACATCAGAGAATCTCAAAAAATATCACCAGTTGTACTAGCAAAAAGCCCTTAATTCTTGCCTACGCCACTCCACACATTTCATGCCATTTTTTAAGCCATCGTTGAACGTGTGCTGCAGTATGCCTGGTAGCCCAGCACATATATCGAAACTTGCGTACACGTAGTGAGGGTCATGTGACTTGACTACTTGTACCCAGGATCCCTTGTCTTTGGGCTTGTGCTCTATAAGTGTATGAGCGAGACAAATAAAATAACATGTGTTAGCATGAATAGACAGAAAAAATACTTCGCTACTGTTGGATGGAATATTTGGCTTCTACATGTATAATTTCCAAAATGTACCAGCATTTGTATTGTTACTTCACAGCAGGCCTTATTACACTAATGGTGATGCAGTCAAAGACTGCATTAATATGTGACCAATTAAAAATCCCTGAACACTTGTTTTCAATCTTCAAGGAATTGTCATGGCTCTGCTTACACTAAGAGAAGGATCGGTGCTTACATGTACAGACAGTCGTGGTTCACTATACCATAGGAAGACCCCTTTATTGTTTCCTTCTTTTGTTCCTATTGTTTGGACTTCAACATTTTCTTGACATAAGGTTTGTACACGAAAACCTCCCAAGGACTATGCTCAACTTCTCTATGAGAAAATGCTCACTGAATTCCTTATTTGTGTACTTGATATGCTTACTATCGAAACAAAACACAAGAAATACGATCACTATACACATTGTGTAAGCACAAAAATGTTTCTAAGTCCAAGGTTTTGAGAACTCCCAAGTTCTCTTGCGAGCAGAGCCACAACATGGTCCTTAGAATACACACAGCAAGGTGGGTTGAAAAGGGAGGCATGCACAAGGATATTGTACGTAACAAAAGCCCCTCGGCTCTCGAGTGTAGTGGTCCAATGGTATGTACACATCCATTATAGGGCCGTACTTTGCAAAGGCCTGGCGGATATCATCTGGCCTGTGAAAGAGGTATATACACCAAAGTTTAAGAGGTTAAGAGTTTTATAACAATATCCATTTGATTAGGCCATCATACCTATCAATATTGTGCACTTACCATTTCACTTGTACTATTCTACAACTGCTTATTATTAGCAACACAACATTAAATTCCGTACCTTCAGAGGTCTAGTTATCCTGTAATTTTGGACAGTATTCTGACTGCTTTCAGTCACAATAAAAAAGCATGGCGTCACTGAAAAGGCATGAGCGGCAATCTACAATCGACTAGTCCCATAAATGTGACGGAAATACTGGACTACCTCCGTATTTAACATCACACATCCCACATGTGGTATAAGCACGGAGGGTCCTGTTGCTAGGGGAGCCGAAAATTAATTAAAGATCGAAATTATTTTGTCAGCAGAAAATCAACCCAGCTATAGTATGACTGCTAAATAGCACAAAATTGTTAAATTCGGTACCTTCAGAGGTCTAGTTATCCAAAAATCATGGTAATTCGTCAAAGAATGCAGACGGTTTTGAAAAAGCATGGCGTCTCTGATATTTACCAGACTGTTTCCCGGCCACCCTAATTATAGTCAAAAGGCCAATTGGGTCAGGAACCAGACAAGAGCTTTAATCATCTACTGAGCGTGCGTCAACTTTGGCAAAGCGCACCGCGGCTGTTGCCTGTCACACCAAAATCTTTGAAGCCCTCCGCAGTGAAGCGCGCCCTCTTGTGTGCGCTCTTCATCAGCGGCCGCCTATTGCATCTGGGTACTTCACAGAGCTCCAAAGACTTTGGAATGACAGGCAACAGCAGCGGTGCGATTTGCCAAAGGGAAAAAATTCCGTACTCGGACGTCACTATTTTCAATTAATTTTCTAGCGCCAAAAGTTACATCTTTTTATGGTTAATCCTCCACTTTCCCTCCTCTACTCTCACCCTCTCCTTTCCTTAATTTCTATTTATTAATCAGTCAGTTACTTCATCGGGATTCGAACCTCTGACGCTTGCTTGATACACGAGACTCTTAACCGCTAGGCCGCGCACGATCGCTGTTGCAATAATCAATCTTTGGACGTATTTGAAGTAGGCCCTATCCATTGAAATAAACTAAATATTCATGAGAAAATAAATATTCATAATGACGTATTGCACTATCATTGGCAGGCTCATGCGACGTCATGGTTGTTGATGTCACGTGTATAACGTACCGCTGTCTTTCAGCCACTACAATCAGTTTTGACCGGCTGCTTCAAGTTAGTTCTGCACGACGTATGCATCCAAAATGTGCTCTAAAAACACATTTTGAGTAATTTTTTTTCACCTATACACAGCTTCCTGGATTTCTCTTGGTTCAAATGACAAGGTGAGGTGACAATTAATATGTTTGGCAGCAGATAAATTGACGTCCGAGTATGGAACTTTTCCCCAAATTTTTGCTACCACACTCTAACGAATAGGTTGTCTCCAGCGCTACATGTGAATGAATTCCTTGCTCTAGTATGATATGAGCATCAAGTTACTAAAGCTACACCGGCGGCTGTTGCCCGTCACCTGGTCACACAGTAATCTTTTGAGCTCTCTGAACATGCTGAAGTACACTTCGCATGTAGTACACTTCGTCAGGAAAATAATTACTGGAGACCAATCTAAAAGAGGTAGATCCGGAACTAGGAAAAATCCGGAACTAGGAAAACGACTGTATTGCAAGGACAGGTTAACCGTGTATTTCCGACAGTTAAACTAAAACCTCATTTCTATCGCTTAAATAAGAAGCAACATCTATGATTATTTTTCCTTTCTTGTGTACAGTCTATTACATTCAATACTCACCGTGCTTGGTCAGGTATATTTCGCACATAAAGCGAAGTATTTGGTGGTCTACTCCCACGTCTCGACATTCTCTTTCAGATTTTTTTGTCACGAAAAACAATCGCGGACGGGTTATCGGTGCGCATAGCATAAATATACGCGTTGAGCTAGCAAGCTGGTTCCCGGTCAGCCTTACAGTTTGCCGATTCAAAACAAAACAGCACAAAGCGTCGAAGCTTGTGTGGAGCCAGCGAAACTTAAACGCGTGCTTTTTTTTGGCGGTTTTTTGTTGTTGGATCATGTTGGTCCACTTTCACCGTAATGCATGCAAATGTGGGTCCAATGAAATTGTACAGTGGTCCAAACATTTGTTTTTTTTCCTCTCAATTGGTCAAGGATTTCTCGCTGTGTTTCTAATTCTTGAGAGAAGCCTCAAAAATCGTCCTATAAATATCCAGCATTTTTTTTAATGCTTTATAACAAATAAAAGGTCTCTGCGCGCGCAATACTGTGTCCGTATTTCACTCTACACCTGCGTGCCCGCGCCGAGGGTTTCTTAAATGTCGTCTTCGTTCCGACTGCGGCTAGTTATACCAAGTCTCCCGGTTGGGAAAATCTGGCTTGATATGGGCCACTGATCTCTATATAAAGACTGGATAGCGGATATGCATACAACATTCACACAGTAGACTTTGCATATTGACCAATTCGCCCCCGGTCTCACGAAGATGGCCGCGTATAATACGAACGTTCTACGCGTAAATACGCGCGCGTTGTATCAACAGTTGACGCGCATTTTGGTCACGTACACATATTATGATGTTCTAAAAGGAACACATTTCCGTAGTGATTATTATTTCAAAAACGCCGAAAAAGTGATTTGCGGCATTATAAAAGTAACCACTACGTTAGAAAAATTGTTGTAAACCATGGTCAGTTGGTCAGTGGTGGTGGCCAAAATATAAGTCAAGTGAGCCGCGACGTTACAAAAGAAATCAAGCTGTCTAAAAAAGACGGCAACTTGTCCTTTGTAGATCACCAGCCGGTCTCACCAATATGGCGTCAAATTCGTACATTGTGCGGCTCTTTATTAGCTATCCAGTCTTTATATAGAGATCAGTGATATGGGCCCACATGCTAGAAATACGGTTCACCAATATCCTTTATTACGAGGCCGGTAATACGAGTATCCAATTGTGACTTCAACATCAAAGGTTTTCTAAATTATTCTTGGTGGACACCTAAACCCGAAACTAGAGGCAAAGTATTTGCTATTTGCAAGCTTTACAGTCTTGCCCATTTTGTGGTCAAACATTTTATTTTTTTGGCATAAATTCTCATTTAAACTAAGTTCAAATACTTTACATCATATCACATAACTGAATAAGCAAATATTCAATGGGTGCTGAAGCTATTATTTTTAATGGGGATGGTAATTGTATAGATTATCTTCCCATTTTGATTTTGGATCTATTATATCAGAATGGTGACAACACTTTCCATTAAAGGTAAAACTTCACAACTGCATAATGTGCATTGATATTAACACTCACAAGAACAGAAATTCAAGTTTCACTTTCAACAGCCAACATTTATTTTAAAGTGGTCAAAGTGGAATCCACAAACCAAACCTTTTTTATGACAATGCTTTAAAAAAACGAGTCAGCTTTTTGTGGTCGAATTTTGTCACGAGCTTAAAAGCAGCACGATGTTCTCAAACATTTCGTTGCAAATTCCAGCCAACTTAGTTTTGTTTTACATATGTGACTTGTCATCACAAAACGAGCTTTAGGTCACAAAATGCCAGTTGCAGGTAGTGGGACAAAGCCAACATTTGAATGGGTAGTCTTTTTCTTGTTTTCAGGTGAACCCTCAATCTGTAAGTCAACCTCTAACTTTCCCACTTTTTTTCTTGCTTCCATTAAACATCTATGAACCTATTTTTGACCCATTCTAATGGTTGCCTTTCTCCCGTCCAACACAAACACACATCGTTGTGTCCATACAACAAGGTTGAATCTCCTGAAATGGGTCGTATGTGAAACATGAGTTTCAGAATGTCAAAAGGTGGTATCTCACTTAAAATAACCCGGATGTACACACAAAGTCAATGGACGTTGAGATATGACCTTGTTGCACAGGGCATATTCGTGCGAGATACGACTTTGTTGCAGAATGGAGTTACGACCTTGTTGCACTGACGCGACGACATGAAGCCTGAGATTTACCACTGTAATAAAGTTAACAGTGTGTAGTTCCGTTACTAAACCCGACAGCCCCAAATGTTACATACCATTGGAAAGCTCTTGTTCTGCAGAATCATTACACAAAAATCTCAATTCTTCAATTAAAAAAAACACCACCTTAAGCTCATTTTGTTGTGATGGGTCACATATTTTTATTTTTTTTATTTTTTTTTGAAATCAAATGGTTCCTGCAAAACAAAATAGTTCTATTAATTTCTTGAAGAATCCTTTCCTTACTGTTTTGATGAGAATTTTTGAGTCTATAATATTACTCATAACATAACTTTCAAAATAAAAATAATTATCCAGACTAAAGAGTGAGACAGTTTCCAAAGAATATTATTAAATTCCAAAAAGTCGTCTTGGGTTAGGGTTTGATAAGCACACCTATATCGTCTGATCATATTACACCATGATAATGATTTGGAACCCAACATTATTGGTCACGTTTTTCCCATGCAGCAGATAGAGTTGGCTATGATAGGTGATATACATGTATAGCACAGAGGTCTATCGGAAATACATGCAGCCACAAGTCCTTCCATCAGTTCAACTGCAGTGAAAGTTCAAAACTTTGTTGAACACATCCATTTTTGTTCAGAGAATTAGGGTCAAGTGTTGGAAAATGTCTGTCCTATCATCTGACTGCAATCTGTCACCCCCTCCTCCCAATCCCAGACCTAGTACTCATCAGCCCGTGTTCGTCTCTTCTTCCCCGAGGTGTCCGTGTCAGTAGAACTCCGCCGGGAACGATCCTCTTCCTAGTACAAGAACAGTATGAAAATAAAAAAATGTATAGCAAATGAAGACTTTATCACAGGAATTCTTTGTCACACAATTTTTTGGACACACAATCATTAACCTGGTTCATTCTTTCTGCCTCAGTTTGCCTTTAAAGGGAAAATACAACATTTGCAAACATTGAAAAATAAAACGACCAAGTTTTTACGAAATACCTTACACGATGTTGGTAAATGACAGTCTAAAAGCATCCTGTAAAATTATGGCACCTGGTGTGAAGTCATTATCAAGAAAATTGCATTTTTGTATACATTTCCAACGGTGGTCGGCCGACCACCGTAGGAAAAACCTAACTATTTTTCACTACTGCTCCAAATTTACCATTTTCTTCAGTCCAAATTTTGTTTGCTATTGGTTTCATGTTCATGAATGGGTGCAGGCCAGCTAGACTGGTTCCCTAATACCATACTCTTTTCTGGCATCTGTAAATTGATCCAATTCATCTTCAGTGGAGTCAGGGAACCAGACTACTTGAACATTTTTGTTTTTCTTGGTTTTTCCAGCATTTTCGAAAACAAAACTTCAAACATGTCAGTGTAACAATAATTTGAGTATGATACTAACCCCTCAAATAGTTCATTTCTGAAAATTAAAGCAAAAGCCAATGATATACATTCCCTTTAAGGAGATATGTCCCGATGAAATGTTATTAACATATCGGTGCTGCAGTTTGCATCTCATCTGAGATGCTCTCTGCATCTCTAACTCACCCCCTGTCCCTGCTTTCCTCTACCCCTCAGCATTTTGGTAGAGTCTGGTTGCTGTACTAACAACTGGGTGGACACAAATTCCTAAGAAATTAAGACAAAGCAAATTTAGGAAATAAGCAGCTGGATATTTTCAGAGCTAACAGAAACAAAATCGTACTTTTGAAAAGTCATCTTGTCTCATGTAAAGTCCCTAGTTATTCACAGAAACTGTGATAAAGGCATTCCTTGAATTTGTTAGTGTTCATTCTCTACAGGGTGAGTAAAAAAAAAAAGGAAACCCAAATGGTGCCCCCTATTTTTTTTTTTAAGTTCTACACATAGCGCTTTTCAGATCTAGGATATGAAAGCCCAATTAATAAGCTTTCTTTTAGTGAAAGAATCATTCAAAACGCTCATGAACTTTTCCAGTTATGAAATTTCGAACACAAACACCGTTTTTTAACCTTGTCCACGAATCACAATAAAGGTAAGTGATATTTCAGCGAAACAAAAACGATTCACATACCAAAAAACACATAAGAACACTCTGAAAACCATGATAACTGGCACTTATCATAAGATCTTTTTAAAAAGCTGCTGCTTCCAATATTAAATTAACATGTTTTACACTGTCAAGAGTTTATTGTCTTCTACTTGGCTACCCCGGAGACTTGTGGGATTATTCTGATATCATTTTCATTATAGGACATGGTTTCATTTTTATTGAAATATCACATACCTTGATCCGTGGACAAGGCTAAAAAAAACAGTGTTTGTGTACAAAATTCCTAAACTGGAAAGGAAAAAGGTAGCGATTTGAATGATTCTTTCACTAAAAGAAAGCATATTAATTGGGCTTTATAATAATAATAATAATAATAATAATAATAATAATAATAATAATAATAATAATAGCAGGCATTTTCATAGCGCTTTTACGCCGCAACAGGGTATCAATGCGCTTTACAAGTATTATTAGTTGGATTTCGCTTTCATATCCTGGATCTGGAAAGCGCTTCATGTAGAAATTCATAAAAGAATCGGGGGCACCGTTTGGATTTCTGGGTTTTTTACTCACCCTGTATTACTGGTGACTAGACATATGAATGGACTTGTTATGATTTTGGAGCCTTTCCAAAAAAGTTTCAAGAAATATGACTTTACCTCTATCTGCTTGACCACATCAGCCTGCATGATGGTGGCTATCTGATGGACATGCTGGTCTGCATTGTTATACATGATAGCATTCTGAAACATGAGCATCATATCACGGTGAAACTGCTCTGTGGTCCGTATCACTCCATTCTCAATGTTCTTCTTTATGGTGATCAAGTCCATGGGACGCAGGACAATGCTCTTATAACCTGGGGCTATGTCCTCTGTTACCGGATGTAGAAACACATTGGCATACCTGGATGATCGAGTGGAAACAAACTCATTGGTTAAAAAACAAATCAGGCCCTTACATTGTAAATACACCTTCTTGTTTTATTACACACTGCCTGCAGTAAAATATTCATGTACCCTTCAATGCTTTGTTTTTTTACATATTCAGTTAGAAGGGCAAGACGATGTTTCTGTTGGGTTATTTACTCCTAGCATAAGTACACCTTGGCAATAACAATACAAAGCATAACTGTTTACTGAATGGTATGACTGGCAGTGTTGCTTTGCAGCTACCCTCAAGTGCATGTGTTTCTCACTGGTGTTTAACTTATTTTAGTAAACGTTGTGTCATACATTTGTCAAATTATGCAGGATCTAAGTGTGTGTTAATATACTTATATATATTTTCATTGTTTAGAAATAGTTCTATATAGTTAATAGTTTTAATTGTTGGTTCTTCCGCTCTTGCTTAGTAACAACGTGAGTGGGTGAACTGAAGACACTGATACAATAGTTCACTGCATCAAGAAATGGAAACAATTTGTACTTACTTGTGGCTTGCGATAGCTCTCCAGACAAGCATGATTGCCTTACGCCATATCTTATAAGCATGGTCCTCCTCACTGAAATATACAATCAAGTCAAGAAGGGACACTATGATGGTGTGTGTTGGACACCGTACAGTTAAAGTGGTCGAGAACAATCATGTGTTAATTTTACAGAAATAAAAGTGACATCGTTTACTGCAATTGCAAGCATTGCAATGCTCTCTAACTTCAAGTTTGACAGTTGCCCCCCCCAAAAAAATTTGAAACACAAAACTATTTTCAAAATGGTAGGCCAAAATAATTTACAAAATCTGTGATTGTCCTTATCCAATACTGAAATCGTTACACAGCTTCGTCAAGTTTCGTGAAGTAACAAAATTGTGGCTGTGCAAAATGTTTTTGGCATAAATCCTATGCATGCTGAAAGTCATGCACTGTTCAGCAAAATTGGCTGCTTTCCCACAACCAAGCATTTCATATTGAAAGAAAAAAACTTACAGTAATCAAAGGTTACAATGCAATAATTCAATTCATGTCTTGAAGCATAATTCACAACTTTTACTTTTGACTGTTTGGCATGAAACAACAAAACAGTTGTTGCTTAAGTTGCAAAATCAACCAACACCTTTGGGCATGTGATTTCCCTTTACTTTATACTTGTATTTTAATATACCTCTGAGCAACCGATGCTGGACTATTTGGCAGCGAGTCTAGGAAGTATGATGGCTGAAGACCTCCAGCCGACGTTGACAAATCGTCACTCTCTGAGGGCTTGTCGGTCACGTCTGAGTCCCCGGCCTCACTGTGTGTATCCTTGCTGTCCTCGTCAATCAGTGACACAAGACTACTGGCTGTGCCATCCTTGCCAGCTGATCTCCTTCCAGAGGGGGTATCCAGCTGGTTTTGGTCATCCTCCTCCTCCTGTGGTGGGAAGAGCAAAAGTAGGCTTCATTGAAACTCTCTTTTTAAAAGAAAAAGTATGAAAACTACATGCACTACCTTTCTAATCCTTCTTTCCAAAATCGATTTGCCAGTGACTGATATCAAACTTTTAACTAAGCCCTACACGTCACCTGACCTGGGCCCATTTGACCACATATTTCTGCACCAATTCTTAAAATTGAACTCAAAACCTAAATAGAAAACAAGCTGTTATCTAAAATAAAACACACAATCTCTTGGTTGGACAGCTGTAATGTGCACACTATTCAAAACTTTTAAACTCATAAATAAACTCAGTCAGTGATTCCTCATGTGCCACTTCAAGACCAACCCCAACAAGAGAAGGAATACACTTTATAACCTACTCTATCACGTTTTACTGTCATTTATAAAAATTCACTGTATGATATACGTGTGATAACGTACAGATATTTTAATCCAAACTTGTGGCCTGAGGTAATTATTCTAATTCATAATTGATCACATGTTTGTCTAATATGGTGGCATATTGTCCAGAACATGTTTGTGACAATTACAGAGGGCAGTCAAGTATTCCGCTCTGGCCATTGTAGAAAGTTTTTGAAAATCAGAGCTGCCTGATTTCTCCTAATTACTTATAATGGTATTTAACAGTATTCCATATTTTCCATTCATCTTTGGAGTGGTTTTTGTATAAATGGGATAGACAGGAAACCAGAATAATTGGCCAATACCGCTGCTGCATGTGTCCTTATCCGTGAGCTCTTGCGTTGGCTGCCCGGCGGTCTGCCTCTTGTCCCCTTCCGCTTGACCTTCAAGTCACTGTCCTCCCGTGACGAACTGTCCCCTGGGGAGGGGGGCGCAATATGATGGTAGTCATCCTCCCCTGCGTCTGCTCTGGGTTTTGTCACCGGTGTTGCATCTGCATGTCTGTCAGCATGCTAAGTAATTTAAAAAACAATATATATAAATGTATATATCAATTTCTATAAAAAAAAAATCTTTTTCTTCAATGGATTTAAATTTTGCCCTTTACAGGATTTTGAATCTGAACATAGCCAGTTCAGTAATCCAACTGCACAGTTGCGCATCAAGATTTAACCATTTTAATTTGGGATATGTGTACACAAGTCTATAGGAGATTGTAACTGAATCTGCAATCTGAAACTTTTCTAGCTGTCAAAAAAGTATCAAAATTGTTTGGACGTTTGCGCCTACTTCAGAACAAGAGTTTTTCATTACATTTTCTTTATACCCCCCATGATTCTGCAAGCATCTGATTGTTTTTACTGAATTGAAAACTGTAAAATCTTGTTTCTTGATGCGTAGTTGGAATACCGAACTGACTTACATGTACTTATTGTCTATTACTTTCACAAAGTTGCCAAATCATGCATGATGCCTGGACTATAGCAGTCCAAGCTGGAACTTTGGTAATGATAAAATTGTCTTTCACAGAAATATAGAAACTCAATGGGCACTGTAGCATACATGGAGTTCTAGCTGTCAATGTGAAATAAACAATGGCCTTGTACTTTTACTGGTTATAATGCATGCATATTTTATTACTAATCAATTACGGAGTCCTTCGATCAGCGTATGAATCTCATGAATCTCATTCTGTGACTGCTCAATGAAGAACATGCATCTCCCCTCCCCATTAGGATAACACAGCATTGTACTTAGTCATGAGCACACCCACTTGCATGCACTACCAATACCATAGGCTACCATGGGCTACGGTAAATGCAGACTGGCCTTTGTAAAGAGTAACAGACTTTGACAAAGCGTTTGTTTCCTGTCAACAGTATACATTATTTGTAACGGTTTACAACAATTTTGATTCGGGAAATATTTCCACAGTTTTTGTTTGCTGTTTTAAAAGAAAACATGACAATAAGGGTGCCTCAGAAAGAAAAATGTCAACAACTTTGAGGCAAATGTTAATGTTTGCCAGCATTAACTGAATTAGTAGTACTGAATGGTAAAGAACATGAACATCAAATAAAGCGACAAATCACCAATGATTAATTGAACAAATTATAAGGGGAATGCCAATTGACAAACGTGCAAAATTTAAGGTTTCCCATTCAAAGGTTAATATCGATGATCATTAATATAGGTATATATGGAAAGATGTCTGTGAATGTCATTGTAATGTATGGATAACTGGATAGCACATATTAGAGTTACACTCAAGTCAATAACAAGTCAAATAAAAAGTCAAGTCAAAGTAAAATGCAATGAACAATGATACAGGAATGTCTAGTTCACAGCTTGTTACTTGGCCAAAGACTGAATGATGTGTGATTGACTTGGGATGACTTGGTTTAAACCATGGCACTTTATTAAAACATCAAGTGTGTGAAGAAGATATTTCATGAACTTTTAACCCTCATGGAACTTCCAAAAGGTTCAGCCAAGTCACTGTTGAACATGTAAGTACAGAGATTGTGCCATTCTGGTTCCTGTACAATGCAGACTTTTGGAGGAAAGGTATTTTGCAAAAAAATCCTCTGGGGTCAGGGTTAATGAGGCCTCTTACCAAAAGATCTTTGGAGAAGTAATAGTTAGTGAATGATGTTGAAATTTCCAACAAAAAAGGATTAACAGCTACATGAATGCCCTGCAATGTTAAGGCACTTAACATGAATTTTAACATGAAACGTGTTGTTAGTAACTGACAGGCATTATTGGGAGAAATTATAAGATATTCCATGAGGTGATAAAATTAAAGTCAGAATCAATAAATGGTTTTTTTGGTCATAAGTTAAACAAACCAATAAAAGGTGTGTGGACACCCTAAATGGAAAAAAAATGACAAATATTGAAGAACCTGTGACTGTGTCTTCTATGGTGTTATCAAAGAGGTTGTTGATTGCTGGAAGAAATCTGTGTCACTATTTAGTTATATATAGTTTAGGGCATATCAAACAATAAAGGGAGATATTTCTGGCTGAAAAATACTTTTAAAAGTTACTTCTGAGAGCATTTTAAAAGTGAGGTCTAGAGCCTGTTTGTTTCCTTTGTCTAAGAGTTGTTGCTGAGAGCAGCAAACAACCTGGGGAGGAGTCAGGTTTGCGCAGTGGTTCTTTCCTTGCCTTCCACCATTGTGACCCAGGTTCGATTCCTGCCCTGGTCCTCGTGTGGATTGGGTTTTCAGTCCATACCTGATTCTGTGGATTTTCCCCAGAATATTCTTCTGCAGTTTTCCTTCTACCCTAAAACTGTAATTTCTTCTCATTGTCTTCTCTCTACAGGTTTTTTTCAGGCTTGCGAGCTACAGTGCCTAGGGTGCTTTTGAGGAATCCTTGGTATCAATAATAATAACAATAATAAGTATTACCCTGGATTGGACAATTGGGAGACATCCCCATAGACTTGTGCACAAACTTTTTCAAACTTCAATGTGCCCTAACCCAATGTTCCCTTGTCCTTTTTCCACGAATTTCGGTATGTTTACTAATTAGACCACAAGCAACAAAAATAACCTAATTGCGACAAAAACAATTTGCCTCTAAAGGGGGGCTGTGCCATTAGGGAGACATGAAAATGTCTCACTAATGACCGGTGTCTCCCACCGTTTGAAGAAATTACGATACCATGTCTCCTTAATGGTACATTTACACGTATAATACTACTACTAAATGATTCAACAGGGAGGTGTTCTGGGTCACTTGTTGTTGCTTTAGTACTGCACGTTTGCTATAACAGCATTGTTTAACCTCACTTCGTACTTGTGATGTCAAATATCTTTTGATTTCCAATGTCAGCTTGAAGAAAACAGTGACCACTTTGTCATTGTTTTATTACATAAACATGTATCTGCTCTGAAATTTAAATACCCTTTCATAAAAATATCAGTTAGCAATCAGCAACCTCTTTAAAATCCTGGGAAAATGTCAACACTGTGGACAAATAAAGGTAAAGAAATATGGTGAACAACTTGAACTCTGAACCCTCTGATGAGTGACTTAGTAGAACAGGTGTAACGTGAAAAAAAAAACACCACAAAACGTCAATGGTAACTGCTCCTAAAAAGCTGTGTACCTTAGCCACACTGTCACTCTTAGATGTGGCTTTTCTTGGGCTCTTTATTCTGGCTGGTATTACAACTGATTGGGCCCTGCCTTGGTCATAATTGCCTGCATTAGACTTTGCAGTGTCTTCTGCATTACGAGTGTAATCTGGCTCTTCCGTCGCCATTTTCTCTTTGCTGACTTCTGGTTTTGGCTGGCTGATGTTTCCACTGATTTGGCCAAAGTCTTCAGTTCCCTGTTTCATCTCCATTCCTCTATTTGATTTAAGAGCACTTGCCACATCATCTTTTGGTAGCAGATTTTTCGCTTCGTCCTTCTTCTCTTGGATACTGCTTTCTTGATCTTCTTGAGACTGAGCTTTTCCATCTGTAACTGGAGCTTTGAGCTGGATTTTCTTTCTGTCTTTGACGGAGCGCAGCCATCTCATAGGGGATGGGTCACGGATATAGCTTTCCTCTTTGGGTTCGTACAGAGCCTCGTCCAGCCTCTGGGTAATCAACTTCTGCTCTTCAGGACTCATACTCTTCCTGGTTGGGGATCGCAAATTTGGTTTTGGTGTTGCCTGCTTTGATGATTGTGGCTCTGTATTTGGCTCATCCTTGGTAATCAGTTTCAATAGTGTTGGTGGGTTTGCGATACTAGCTGACAATGATTCTGTTGTTTTGACAACATCTGATGTGTAGCGATCAATTGCAGAGCAAGTATCAACGCGATGATCAGTTGTACTGGAAGACGTGACTGACTTGATCTGTGTACTATCGGCAACATCTGCGTTGCCAGCACTACCCTGGTTTGAGGGCCAAAATTATCTCAGTAGTAGTTTCCACGACAAAATCAAAACATATTTTCACAAAAATTCAAGATGCAGGATTAACACTTTCATATCAGCCTAAAAGAAAAAAGTTGACCTAGTTATTAAGGAAGTACAACTGTTAATGCCAAGCAATAGGAGAAATAAGAAATAAATGATGTCCAATAAGACATTTCTTGTTACAAGATATTGGACAATCAAGAGGCATGAGGCAAATGTGGTTTTTTATGAAGTTAGAAAGTTCTAAATTGTTAGAGCTAAACACACCATGATAGTGGCAAATTAACTGCATCTAAACAAAGTCATGAGTCAATCTAGAGTTTTAGTAGAAGGTACCAATCTATAATGCAAAATACATTCCTTAACTTAAATGGATGAGAGATAATTTATGTAAGTTTCTAAGACTGACATCATAATTAAATAATGTCTGTTTGCACAAGACAATTTTTGGTTGGTTTTCCTGCTTTGAAAGAAAGTATTATATAGCACACTTGCATGACTTGTTTCTATGGGCCCAACCAATCTTTTTTTTTTTGTAGAAGACAATGACAATTGTGATGAATGGCAAATGAATTGTTCTTGCTTGATTGTCTACACTTCTCAAGTCACCTTATCACACTTTTTCCAGTGGCAAGCATAATCAAAATTGTATTATGACAAATGAATTTATGAATATGTGGAATGAAGGTTTGTGAAATAGCCACTGAGTGGTAAATTGGTACAGCTAGCATGAGTCAGTGTTGTGGTCAGAGATTTGTGAGAGTAAACTAAACTACCTCAGGATTTGGCGCTTGATTGTCGCTCTCTGGGTCATCCACGTTTACCATCTCGGTTTCGTTGCATTCCTCGGTCTTGGACACTTTTGTTTCTACTTTGGGCTTTTACATGATATTCAAGACAACACATTCAGATAAAATATCTAAAAATGGATTGGAACGTGTCACTAGCTGGGTTTGCAATAAAATTACGGGGTTGGGTGAGTTATACAAACACAATTCCAACGTAACAGATTTTGTCTCTTAGACTTACACATTGTTCACGTTTTGTGGCTGCCAACATCTGGTTTTACAAATGACCAAGTCATTTTATCGATTGAAGATAATTTTAGACTTTAAGAGATATATTGTACTGCACACATGGATGTTTGAGCCCAATTCAAATGTGGTGATTGAAATGAAGATCCCGCCTGACAAGTTCTTTGAACTTGAACGAGTAAAAATTATAAATGAATTCTTGAGATCTTTAATTAATACTCGAGCGGTACTGCTCGGAGAGATAGGACACATAGAATGCATCTTATATTGGATGACATCAATCCTTGGATGGGTCATCATGACTTCAAGACAAGATATTACTCTTTCTTTGATACATGTACATCTTAGCATTTCATAAAATCCATCATCAACAGTTTACCACACTATATACTGGACACTCACCTCTCTGGTTTTAACGACACCTTTCTCAATCTTCAGGATGAGTGGTTCTTTGACCCTTGGGACCGGTGTACCATGGTCTGAGGCTGGCAATGAGCTCTCATCAATGCTCTGTGAGGATGGTGAGTCCTCTGGGTAGGGGCTCAATAGTGCAACCAGATCACTGGCAGTGGCTACAGAGAAATGCACAGCAAAGCAGTAGAGTCAAGTTTGGCATTACTAGGTATAATGCTCCTAAATTTCTTGAATAACAGTAACAGTATAGTCACACATGAGTTTGTACGTACACCTATAATCTTTATGTCCGTGTCATTTCCTGTAAAATCGGCAGCCGTAGGTCACATGATGATAACTTTCTTGTGGTCAAAAGAGGGCACTTTACGTAAATCAAAACGTGGTTCAATCAAGAGCTATGGGTAACTATAGTTAAAAAGCTCGTGGAACTTGGAGCATTGAAAACGGTTGGGATCGTCTGGTTTACTATTTTGTAACAGCTTAAAATATATACGAATATAATAATCAAACAAAACAACTCTTTTGGCACAGAATACGAATGTTTCTCTCTGCCTTAAAAACAGAAACTCAAAATAACAATTGCATTTTGCATGTGAAATCACGATGCAAAAATGACTACCAAAAATTCATATTAACAATCCTTCCCCCTGAAAAAGAAAGGTTTTGAAAGAATAGAATACTCTTGACCATATTCCTTCTCACAGGCACATCACTCAAATGAAAGATCTAGTCCTCTTTAATATTACACCACATGAGATTATGATGTTTTATAATTCTGAATATTTCATAGATTTTGCACTTTTCAACCACGTCCACAATTCAGTGGAATTGTCCTAATTCTAATATTGTTGAGAATACTTGGAGTTTTTCAGCATACCTTTGTTGTTCAAACACTCAGATTCCTAGCCATAATTAGGCTGCCAATTACTGTCTACTTTCTCAGGTTTGATTCCCAGCATATCACTTGTCAGACTCATAGAAAGACTTGTGTAAAACACTGGAGGGGGTTCTTTGCATATTTACCTCCAAGCAATTGGTCCACTGTCTCCTCATTGTCAATATCTGCAGAAAGCTCCTCTTCTGGATTCTGAACAGAAAGACAGTGAGCAGAGTGTGAGAGGCTTCTTGCAATCTGTACACATACATGTACTTTGGCAGCCATATTCACTGTTAAAACGCATGCATCTAGGACCCCTCTAAAAGTCTGTTACCAAGCTGCTCAATATACATTTGATAGGTTTACAAAACTTACAGTGGATCAGCAACATTTAAATTTGTTTAAACATCTAAGAGGATTAAAACAGTTTTATGACGGCTGTGTGTGACAGGTTACATATTGTCACAAAACAGTTTTCGTGGGTTGAGAGCTAGAAGGTCATTACAGCAGTCAATACATCTCTGATATACGCTGTTGGCTCAAATTTTAAGTGTAAAATAATTATTATACATTAAAACAACTTTCACACGAATGCAACCTGTAAAATATATTTTCCGTAACAAATTACTTAGGTCTTAGGGCTCCATTTGACAATTAAACCAAATGTTGTCATTAAGGACCTTTTGTCTGAATTGTTCTGTATGGACCTTATAGCTGTGAGACAAGTTTTGATTAAGCTGTGCCTGCAATTTTGAAAATACTTTTGTCTGATCTTTCTTTGGAATCAGTATAAAGCAACTCTGAAATACTGTCATCGGTAATACAGAAAGTCATCTACTTCAAAGCAATATAGCAGATCAACCTCGTTATACATTGTGTATGACCTTCTCTATAACGCAATCAGGATTAGTCAATTAAATCATCCATTTTCCAGTTGTATGCCGTGATTAATGCTACCAAGAGTGACTGTTTAAGATATATAACATAATAATTAGTCACATATTTTATAGGGTCATGACATAAATATGGCACTGAAACATATTTTGTGCATATATCCACTCCTTTGAGCTATATGAAAATAATTAGGGAACCTTTTTGGTTATTTTTTGTTTAGTGCACTTTTGCTGTGATGCCACTTTCAAGAGAATTATATGACGACTCTTTATCTGTTGACTAGTTATTGCTCACAAAGTCACTGCATGAAATTCAAATCCCAAATATAAAACAAAAGTATGCCGTGTCTTACTGTTATGGTATCCGTTTCCTTTTGTAATTCTGTTGCAACCAATGATGTCAGGTAGGGAGAGGCTGAATTCTCTCTTTGTTTTGTTGTTGCATCATCTGGACCTGAGCCTAAATCTTCAGTAACCTGCAAGGGAAAAAAAGCATGTGGCAGATTTTGAAAAGTGGTGCGACTTGTTAGGATAATGGGATATTAATACAACCCCATGCTCCAGACCACGAGGCCACATTTATATACAGCTGATCAACCAAGTTATAGACAAGCAGATCTTTGTTTCATTTTATGGGGGCAGGATCCCCCATTTGTTGCTCTTGTTGCCAAAATCACCAAAAGAGGCCATCAGGAACAATTGTAACTACTGTCAGATGGTACGTGTAACTACTGTCACATTGTAACTACTGTCAGATGGTATTCAACCCCATTCATCCCGAACAGCACCCCCTGGAGTCACATCATGTCCAGCCTCCCCCCCCCCCACATCCCATGATACAAATTATCACAAACGTAAGTTAGTATCTTGCCTTGATGTCAGAAGTTAGAGGGTTGTCATCGACCTCCACATTATCCCCAACTGATGACGTCTCTGACTGGGTGCGGGGTCCTACGCGAGGAGGTCTGATGGGAGGACGACGCTTGCTGGGAGACTGGAAACCTGGCTTGCTGGCCACTTTGACTGGATAAAGAAACATAGCATTATAAGTACTGGTCCATTCACTTCTGATCATGACATTCCTCAATAACCTGTGGGGAGAGAGACTGAAATCCCAATCCACATGTCAGTCTGGGTGGGAGTGAACCAAGGTCACAGAGGAGGGAGACGAGGAAAGTACCACTTTGCTAGTCTGACTCTCTGCATTTCAATCAAATTCTGCTATAAAAGGACGCAGTTTTCCATGATTACTGCTTATGTTCAATGTGAAATGGAGGACACCTTCAAAGGCAGATAATTAACCTATGCAGTAGAACTGCGTCAAAGCAGCTTGTGAAATACTGTTCAATTACATGATTTACAAATGGACGTGGAATGCCAAAAATCTGAGACAAACAGAACTTACAAATTAACATACAAAAATCCATAGGGTTATCTTAGGGGACGTGGCTAACTCGCATATAGCCATAGATCAATTGTTTTCATAGCAGCACTATGAAGGTAAACCTGGTGCTCCTTCATATGTCTTTTTACTACAACTCTATGAGCAAGACCAATTACCCACTTATTGTCTATGGCCTCAATACTATCCAATCAATGTTTTCATAGTAAAGTCAGTTTTGTATTCCTACTGCATGTGTGCCCATCAAGATCTGAAGATTTCCCTGAGGATCCACAGATCTACATGCAAAATCATTGACATTAACGACAAAATTGAAGAAACACCCTTATTTTGAGGTAAGTACAAAAATAAAACAAATTTGGACTACACAATTTTCTACAGTAATTTTGTGCTCCTCATAATGTCTGAACAATATTTCCATCTCATGTTTCATCTTCATGAGAAATTGCACATCAGATTCACTGACCTCTTCCCCAAAGCTTTTGCACATCTGCTGCATTTTCCTGATTTGAAATTGTCTCATCTTGATGAAAACATGTACAGTTGATATACTGAACTGGCCTGTTAAAGAACTCTGACAAAACTAAGCTTAACTGAAGATGACAACCTAATTTTTTTTCAGCATGCATCCTCATACAATAATATTTCTGGGCCTTACACAAGAATGCTAAAAGATGTGGCCTGCCTACCTGCAGCTGCTGCCTTGGCTGCCTCTGCTGCTGCTCGCTGCGCCTCCTCTGCTTCTTTGGCCGCCCGTTTTTGTCTGATTTATCCATAAAATATCAATATGTTTATAATCAATAAATGCAAGATAAACATTTTGCTGGAATAAAGTATTTGTTTGCTCTTCTGTGGCATTTTAAGGTGACACAAGGCTTTTGTAGTTTTTTTTTTAATTCCTAAATATTTTACCACATATCAACAAGTAATTTCATGAGACAAACTATATCCCAACCTCCTTTCTTTTCCCATTTTCAGTTGCATCAAGATATTTTCATGAAGATACTTTCTTTGCAAGAAGTACAAAGGGCAAATGGTGTCAAATCTGCATGCTTTTGTTTTTGATATTTTGCCAGTATTTTCATTGTCCACAAAGATCTAAATTTTTCTCAACATGGTAAAAATTTTCCAATTGCAGATCAATGCAATGTTTTTATGTATGTTTTTTTATGCTCCAAATTAATGGTGGACTAACCTCCGTGTTAAGTGGGAGAAACCAGGATAAAACATAGTTCAGCTGGGAATATTTTTTTCCTAAAATATCTTCCTTTGTGGATGGGCAGGTGGCAATGTTGGCCATTACCCTAGACTAAACACGCATGTATTTTAAGTTTTGACACACTGTATCCACTTTGCATTTGGTATGTTACCAATCAATCACTGAGAAACAAATCATCACAATCAAATTTTCTCTAAGATTAAGTGAAAATTGTAAACAAAAATGGAGATTGTGACTAACTCTTGAATTTCATCCCACGTTGACTGTAACCTATCGTCCGCCTGGCCACTACGGATCTGTTCTATCTCTTGTTGCAGCTGACGATATCGGGCTTTATCCTCCTCAAGCTGGGCCTTGAGCTCAGTGATGCGTTCCTTGGTCATCTTACGTACGATGAGGTCGCCGGGCGTGTCCACGACTTCACCCCGCTCACTCCGTTTCCGTCTGAGGATTAGAAAAATGTGAGAACCATTCTGATAAGTAGATAAGAATTGAAGCTTTTTCAACATAAAGTATTTTCTTTATTATTATTATTATTTATTCGGCCAAATTACAAGGTACAACAAGCAATCCACAAAAGTAAACAAAACTAAACAAAAATAATCCAATCAAAGCTGGCCAGGATTGACAAAAGTATAATAAAAGACAAAAGTATAATAAAACACTGTGACTCGAAAGCCTGTCAATCCTAACTTGAATGGTACATGTAACATACAAAATATATTTAAAAATGGGTATAAAATTCAATGAAAAATAAGACCGCCTTAAAAATAATACTTAAAAGATAATTAGATTCTAAAGATTAACAGTTACAACCCTGACCACAGTTTTCTCAAAGGCAAGAATAGCTGGCGTAAAAACCTAATAACTGCATATTATACAAGACTAGGGAAAAACAGACAAACAAACCAAAACAAAACTAACAAACAAACAACAAAAAACCCAAAACCCCCCAAAAACAAACACCCCAACACCCCAACAAACAAACAAACAAACAAAACAAGACAGGATAAGACTAAACAAAATGAAACAAAACAATACATGTATGTGACACATCACCCTCCAAAAAAATAGAATATAAGTAAATAGATAAATACAATTGAAAGAACCCTTACTTTGGTGTTTCTACTGTTTCAAGCAGGGCCGAGTACTGACAGGCACAATTCTGCAAGAAAAAAAGTTTGGTACAAACTTGGGTTATGGACCAACCAATTCAATGAGACTTTGTAATCTTACGTGAGCATGTATATGTGAGTTTCCCCCATATTATTGCAAGGAGCCATGCAAAATATGTTTTAAAAAATCCCTTGGCTGCTGGTACTCCAACAAAATTGGGACATCAAACCAACACAGAGTAGTAGTTTACCATACTAATTCCATTAAAAATCTACATGTAGCCAAATCAAGTGTTAAATTGTGGCAGATTTGGTTTGGAAATATTGAAAAAAGGTATGCAACTCATATTACATGTATGCAAATTTCCTTATTTTTTAGAAACTGCGTTTAAAATTGCTAAACCTCTTGTCACTATTGTTGTTAATATACATGTAGGAACAGTGTTTCTAAGGAAAGTCATTAAATTCCAATAATTACTGTCAGAAATTAAGCAGCGATTGCCACTGGGCGCAATCCATACTGTTCATCTACATCAGTGGTCCCATCTTTGAGTGTTCGAGAAACAGTGCAGCGTGCACTATATACATGTATGTAATATGCTTAACATTTTATGGCGACTGATTGGTGACCTAGGAAAGCCTCAGAGGAACAAAGTGAAACTCCCCAGTTCGAAATAGTCATAGCTCACTAGTGGCTTGAACTGAGACTAGTTCTTACCTTTTGTGAGAACCAGTCTGGTGGCCTGCCTGCTTCACCAAATGGTTTGATGGCTCTGCTGACTGACACCCTGAAGTGATATCAACACAGAAATCATGTCAACAGTGGCAAGAAATATGAGCCACCATAATTATGTAACACCTATCAGATCTGACTCCTCCATTGTATCTGCTCCCTATAGATGTAATTCAGTCAGTATCTCAAGTATCTCTGAATGCTTGGAATGTTTTTATACCAGACTACATTTCGTTCAAACAGTCAAAACAAGTCAAAATAATATATTACCTACAATATTGTTCAACAAGCTAACTTCATGCTTTTTTAAACACCCCTATAGCAATGTTATGGTCTGTGCCTCTCGCGAGTAGTCGTAAACAAATCCTGATATGGAGATTGGCACACGTATTGCACGTAATTGCGCGTACTGTGCAATGTGACGCAGAACACAGCTGTGCAAGTGTAGTATGAATTTAGGACTATGAAATACTGACATATGTGACACTTGAAAAGTATTTAAGACCAGCTGGCCGGTGTTTTATCAACCATTTAAGACCGGCTACGTGACAGGATCTCCACCAATAGGAATGGGTAAACTGTCTTAAGTATTTATGAATGACTGATGTTCATCTGAATGTGCCAAAAACTGCGGTACCATTGCTAGGTTCAGTGCAGTGGGAATAGCATTCATGTGTCCATTATTATACGAATAAAACATGGCAGTCACTGAAGAACATCAAAATCAGCCAACATCAATTTCTGCACCTCTTTCCTGAAGTATTTGTCTTATTACAACTCATACATATTGGCATTCATTACCAAAAATTTGGCAAAATTCCTTGCGAGATCTCTCCTATGGAATGCACATAATAATAATTTTTGTGTCTTGAGGGTTTTAGTACAGTGCTACCGGCAATCTCATTTCAATCACTAGTGTTGCATAGTCTAACAGGTTTTCTTTGGGCACTTTCCTGGTACTATATGTACCAACCCGTCGCTCACGCATGCTCCTTTTACTTCTCTGGCGTGTTGGAACACTGTGCTTTTGGCATGTAAAACAAGTGCATTTGGCTCAAAAATTTGTCATACATGTATAAGGCAGTGTTCTCCAACATGTAGAACAAACCTGGCGCCCCGCCATGTTTTCTGCGGCGCCCGCCATGTTTAAGAAGTCCCCGCCAAGCTTTAAAATCCTGCTGCCAGGTTTAATTTTTTTGACTCTACAGTGTACACTTACAACTAAAATAATTGATTTTAGTTGTTTTTCCACACAATAACAATGTATTTCGATGTCATCCCAGCCCGATCGGGGTTGTCTTAAAATCTCGCTGAATCAATCACACGCACGGCCGGCCGTGCAAACACCAGCGGTTCCCCATGCACTGTACGTACTATACTATTAGGTACGCGCGATGTACACACACTGCACTGACAACTGAATCCCCAGTTCCGGAGTGTGCCGATACTTCAAGTAGCGACAACCCCGCCGCAAAAAAATATATCTGTATTAGTACACACACACACCAGCAGGAGTACGTATGGCAGATCTTGCGTGCAGCCAACCGATTTTCTTTTTCTCAGTGCTTGCACGCGTGGTACACAATATAATACGCATTGATGTTTTTGTACGAGGCAAACGAGCTCGAGGCCAAAACACGCGTGCACATGGTGTTCCGATCATGCCGATTGTCAAAAGTTATAAATGGCGACCGTGTATGGGCCCGGTTCCCTAAGAGAACAAAATCCACTTTTAATTTATTTGACTTACCAAACTAGTTGGCGACATTTAAGAACATACAGGTAGGTCATAAATAGAGGGAAATTTGGGGGGAAAATGACGATGACAACGACAAAACGCAACATGAAAATAAAGATGACGATCGCACGGCACCGGCACCACCCATAAAATTGCGTAAAAAAAAAACGTAATTTGTATCCCATTTTGTTTTTCAAAATTACAAAAAGGTGTCATTTGATCTGAGAGAAGTCTGCTTTAGGTTGAAAAGGAAATTTTTGAATACTAAAAAAATCGGGGGAACTGGCCTGGAGAATCGCCTCAGATTGCACCACAGAGCATCTAGAATCCAAAAAAATCGGGGGAACTGGCCTGGAGAATCGCCTCAGATTGCACCACAGAGCATCAGATTGCACCACAGAGCATCTAGAATCCCACGCCGTAAGGGCTTCGCTCTCCGCGCTCACAGAGTCCCCGCCGACCCCGGCCCCAGCACCAACCTTTAATTTTCAAAGTTGGAGAACACTGTAAGGTGTAATAAATCTCTCTGTAACAGTTGGGGGAGCTAGTACAAGGCTCCCATATCCCCAACCATATTCAATCAGAAGGGCAGCAATTATCCCTTACCAATTTTGGTCCCCACTTCTGATGACGGATGAAGCAAGGCAGAGTTTCTCACGGACACTCCACTGGTCTGTTGACACGATGCCAGCCATGATCAAGAAGTATCTGATCGACAAGGTAAGAAACAAAATAATTAAATGACAGGTGATCAACAACCCGCCTATCAGATGATGGGAATTTATTCAGGCGTTGTATATTACTATACCTCATACATATTCATGACCAAAAGTCGAACTGTCACTGGTCCATTCACCATCACGTGTCAGATGCTATTTTTGCTGTTTACCAAATGCGCACGCGAGTATTCACGCACAGGCTAAATGCGCATGCATACTAGACTGTCGCACAGGTTACCTGTGCGACAGTCTACTACGCATGCGCTTTACAAAGCAATCGTGGAACTGCCGCACGGGTGAAGTACGCACACGTGAACATCCCCCAACAGCTACACATGAAAAGATGGTTGCACAAGAATATGATAATTAGTGTTTTCCCGAGCTCAATGATGCCGAATTTGAGAATATTGTGGACAATAAAGATGCCTCCTGTACTAAAAAAAAGTTGTCCACAAACAATTGTTTTTACAACCGTAGTTAATTTATCACAAACTAACTGAACTTTTTGGAGGTTGAGCAATATTATTCTTCTGGTGAGCTGGACAAGTTTCTCCGAAATGTTTTGCCCGTGAGGTGCATACATTGTACTGCAAAAAAATTTGGCAACTGAATATGTATGAGGTATAGTAAAACAAATATATCATGGTTTATTTCGGGTGGACAGTCGATATTAGCTCCCTTCGGTATTGGAAGTTGACAAACTAGTTCCCGAGATTTTGCCTCGGGAACTTTTCGGAGGTCCACCCTCAAACCATGTTATATTTGTATAATGTTAAATAGTCACCTTTGAGAGGAATTCAGGGAACACACAAGACAAACGTTTAGCAGAGATCGGCAGAGATTTGTAAGCTTTCTTCAGGAACGGAAAAACTGTTGAAAAATGAAACAAAGTACACAATGTACATTTAAGTACATGTATGCCTATATGTCGTATTCTCAAGAACATAGGACACATGATGCGGGCGCTTATTGCAAACTAATTCACACCGGTCTGCAGGTGCACAAACCTGTTATATAGCGTCTTTGTGTGGGTGCTAGGCATACACAGCTGCCGCGACATTCAATGTCAGTCTTATCTCTACATGTATGTCACCGTTGAGAAGGTACAGGTACCAGTACATGAATTTATACCTGTATACTTTCTTGCACACTCTTTTTGACTGAGCACATCTGCTTTTGTCAATTTGTTTGGACAAATATAGTGAACACAAAATGTCTGATATTTCAACTACAATTTCAACCTCTTGGCAAATTTATCACAGCTTTTTTATTGATCATCCATTGTAAGGCCACATCCAAATCATTTGGATATGGCTTGTAATTATACATGATACAGCCACTTCTCATAGACGAATCCGGGCACACGATCACTGCACACTCAAAAGGCCCCCTTCAATGGAGAAACCATTGTGCATGGTGTTGTATATGTACAAGCAACCAGTCCCTTAACAGATTATCTGAACAATAGCCACATGCTGAACACTAGTTTTGCCATTAAATGGGGCCTTCATGATAGAATTGATAGCATGCCCGAATTGGTTTATATAGGTACACCGTGTGTTAACTGCATGCAGCCATAGACAAGCCATTTGAACATACATGTAGCCTCCTATATGGGTGATCATGTATCTATGGGCCCAGTTCCTACATGTATCAGGGAACAAAATCCACTTTCAAATTATTTGACCAAACTAGTTGGTGACAAGAACATGCAGGTATGTCATAGATAAGGGGCAGGGTCATGAATTTTTGAGGGAAATTTGGGGGTAAAAACATGGTACACTTGACTCTAACTTGATCTAAACTTAACAGGAGCCCTACACTACACGATCGCCCCAACATGTACAGTCGAACCCTGATAAGAAGAGCAGTGTCATGTACAACGTCGTGCATATACATGTAACATGTATAACAAGCAAAATTTCAGGTCCCAAGTCTTTGTTTTTCTTTGTTTTCCAATACTGTTAATACAAGGTGCCTGTTATAACAAGGTAGTTTGTAAAGTCCTAAGGACCTTGTTATAATCTGTTAATCATTTTACAACAATCATAATTAACCATCGTACATAATCAAACAGTTTACATATCAAAATTTAAAGTTACCTGCAAAATCTTCTACACCTACATGTATGTGTACTGTAATTGTTGTTCCTTATTTCATTTTACTCAGCACATTTCTTTTCACTGTAGATCATGTACTCTTGATCTAATTCACAGAGTGCTGAAAATAACAAAGCTCTTTAACTTAACCCTATCCACCACAACGGCTTCCAAATTCTCCACAGAGTCGATCTGTTTTAGTAATTCTGCAGTAAGCATTGTGGCTACAACCTCGCTCTCATGGAACTCACGCAGTATGCTACCACTACATGAACATGAACATGTAGCTGCTCTCATGCCCTGGTATTGGATTACTTGTGAAGGAATGTTGTCACAAATGATTTTTCGGAACAAAAGATTTGTGTAATTTGAATATATTTTGCCGAGTCAACGTTGAAAAAAATCACTTGGGTGGGACTCGAACCCATGACCTCCTGCTTTCTAGTGCAGCCTCTTACCACTCGAAGGGCGAAACCTAATAATGATTTACATCGCTCCGATGCAAAATCATTAATGATTGATTAAAATGTTTGTGAGGAAAAATGTTTTATGAGGATAAATGTTTTATGAAAAATGTTTTATGTGAAAACATGTAATACGCATCGGGACTTTAAATCACAATTATACAAATCCATTGCTTTTAATAAAGGGTACCATACATATTCAAAATATGGGAAGCCAGTTACTCTCTCAGGGTCTACTGTTAAAGATAACACAGGGAATGAGGTTGGTGTTACTTGCTCATCTACAATGTACATGTACACTCTTCTCAATATAAACATGGAGGATAAGAACGAATGGAAATGTACACTACATATGTCAGCAAAAAACAAGGGAGGTCTGTGACTCTGTGTGCAGAGACTAAAGTCCATATTGCTCAGTTGATATTTCAAACAGTGAATTTCACAATACATGTACACAAGGCGTGTACAACACGGGTGCAAAGGCCACTAATCCATGGACTGCATTTAGCACACAAAGCTAATAGTCTGCCACTATTTCGAAGTGTAGGTTTAAGACACGCCTGCCGACAAGCGACCATCATTTTGGGATTGAGTTTTGTTAAATTAGAATGTTATATTCCCATATTTAACTTGATGATTACATTTATCATAAGATCAGTGAATGGGCAGCTACATGTAGGCAGCATACAGCACTGATGTAGCAAGAACGACTGGCGATTGAATGGAGTGAACAGGCTACAGTATTTAAAGGCTTCTGCATGGTTAGTTGCAACATGGTTGGAAAAGTGTATGATCTTGCAGCTACGTAATTCTCTTCTATATCACTGTGCATGTACGTTTAAGTCAAATATAATATTTTGTACAGAGGTGTGCCAGAGGAGAACTGATCAGCGATTGTCCCTGTTACATGCTGCACTTTATAACAACCGCCACGAGCAAGACTCTGTCTCATGCAGGTCTCATAGATAACTGTACAGCTTCATGCAGAACCAGATTCAGTGAACACTACTGACACATAGCTTCAATTGAATGGAAAACACCCTATACGTCAAAGTCAAAGAAGTTTGAGATTGGCCACTGTACATGTACAGAGGAAGTTGACTTTTGAAAACAGTTTAAAAACCAATATAAAACCCCGAGATATCATGGCCTCCAAACGCAGTAGAATTCCTCTAGCACTGGTCTTCATCTTCTCATTGGCGGCGGTTGGTGCGCTAGTTGCAGCTGCTGCTACAGCCCATTGGGTTGGGGCTGTTGCACTACGGCAAAATCTGATTCTGAATGGCAGTGAGCCTCCACAAGTGCCTGATGAAAATGGCCAAATCCCTGAGTACACGGGCTACATCCAGTTTGGACTGTTCAATGGACAGAAGACATTCAACCCGGGCTTGGGACAGCGTGATACTGTATACTTCGCAGGTAAGTTCATATTAGAGTACATGTACTAAGTTTAGGGCTCAAATTGATAACAATAACACAATGCTTCATGAGAGTGATATAGCCAGCTGTCACGTGCAAAGCATAGTGATTAGGCCAAACACAAAAAATGGTGTGTTTACGGTAACCCGACCGACCTGGAATTTTTTCAGCCAAATTGCCGAAAACTTTTTATTGCCATTTTGAAGGTTGATAATTGACAAATTTCAAACATTTCAAGTACTTTTAATTATTTGCCACGAACAAAAAACATTTTCCACACTTGAATCTGACCATGATTTGACACAAACATACCTGTGTTAAACGTGCGAAAATCGCGACGATCTCAAAACTTGAATTCTCAAACTACAAAAAAAACAATTTCAACAGATTCACTAATTGCTAACCAACGGAAAGAATTAGCCCATCACCTAATGAACAATTCATAACCAACCTCTCAAGCTAGGCTCTCCCCTACCGAGTAAAAAGCTTTGTAAACTAAGAGATCCAACTTTGTTCCCAACCCGGCTATAGCAACCCGTCTCCCACTTATCTGAGAACGACAATACCTTTGACATCCTAATTTCACTGTTGGAGGAACCAATCTCATCTAAATGAAGTTGTAAGTGCCCCATATCAGACAAATTTTGACGGAACATTTTCCTCACGGATTCTTTTGAATCCAGCGGCTGATGATTTTATTCACAAGCCAATAGGAGAGGCGTCACTGAATGGGATAGAGCCATCATTTCTCTCATCTGTGTCTCGAGCACCTCATCAAAGAGTTTGTTTTTTTCCTAAGTTTCTAGAATTGGGAGCATTTATTATCTGGGGTCTTTGGCAGTTTATTTGGTCTGCACCCCTTTTTCATACTACATGGGGCGAAGTGGGGATGGGGCGAAGTGGGGATGGGGCGAAGCGGGGATGGGGCGAAGTGGTTGGGGGCGAAGTGACATGGGGCGACGTGGAAAAGGGGCGAAGCGTCCGACACCCATTTGTACACAGTAACAATAGGAAGCCAAGATGGCGGCACCCATTTGACATTGCTATTGTAGGTTTTTTTTGCTTTAGAAGCATTCTCACCCTCTATATAGGCTAATCAGAAAGTGCTGCCTTTTTCAGATGTCCATTTTTCATGAAATTTCCAGATACATTTGCACACTTTTGCGTATCAAAATTTCAACATGAAATTTCACAAAAATTAGACATCGGAAAAAGGCAGCACTTTCTGATTAGCCTATATAGAGGGTGAGAATGCTTCTAAAGCAAAAAAACCTACAAAGTAAGCCTAAATGTGAAAATCAAAATTTGGCAAAGTCGACACGTTTTTGTACATGTGGATGTGTGGCCTATGTTTACGTAGTCCGAGTAACTTGGACCCAACTTATCGCCTTTTGGCGATAGTGGGGTCCAAGCTAATACCGCGACCTGGACAACATCATCCTGTCAGTCCCAAAAACCAACATTTTCCAACAAAAAACATCAGATTTCACCTTCAAAACGGCCTCCAAATGACTAGATATGCCACCTGAGGTACAAGTAGACATCGATAATTAAGATGGTGGTACTGAAGTTTACTTACGATCCGGAAAAAAAGTGAAATTTTCCGTTCATTTCGGAAAGCTCCCCTCGCGATCTTGAACACGTTAATTTTCCGATCGTGTTTAATGTTTGAACGACGCGATTTCTTCTACATGCCCAGCGTACATTTGATGGTCCCCGTATCCCGAGTGCGATTCCGTTACCGAGCGCGCGCGATGCATCGATTATGATAATGAGTCACGTTTGTAAACACATACATGTGCATTTCGAACTGTAAAAGGGAATCGGGAACCAGCTTGAACTGGTACCCGCCATAAAAGCTGCGCTAGTTCCCGACTCCCCTATTATCGTTTGAAATGCACATGTGTTTACAGACGTGATCCAGTCTACTCATTATCATAATCGATGCATCGCGCGCGCTCGGTAACGGAATCGCACTCGGGATACGGGGACCATCAAATGTACGCTGGGCATGTAGAAGAAATCACGTCGTTCAAACATTAAACACGATCGGAAATTTAACGTGTTCAAGATCGCGAGGGGAGCTCTCCGAAATGAACGGAAAATTTCACTTTTTTTCCGGATCGTAAGTAAACTTCAGTACAACCATCTTAATTATCGATGTCTACTTGTACCTTAGCCCCATAAATGTGGCCTATTTACTGGACTGCCTCCGTAAACATAGGCCACACATCCACATGTACAAAAATCGTGTTGACGGAGCCAAATTTTGATTTTCACATTTAGGCTTAGTTTGTAGGTTTTTTTTGCTTTAGAAGCATACTCACCCTCTTTACAGGCTAATCAGAAAGTGCTGCCTTTTTCAGATGTCTAATTTTTGTGAAATTTCATGTTGAAATTTTGATAGCAAACGTGTAAAAATGAATCTTGAAATTTCACGAAAAATATACATCTGAAAAAGGCAGCACTTTCTGATTAGCCTGTAAAGAGGGTGAGTATGCTTCTAAAGCAAAAAAACCCTACAAACTAAGCCTAAATGTGAAAATCAAAATTTGGCTCCGTCGACACGATTTTTGTACATGTGGATGTGTGGCCTATGTTTACGGAGGCAGTCCAGTAAATAGGCCACATTTATGGGGCTACTTGTACCTCAGGTGGCATATCTAGTCATTTGGAGGCCGTTTTGAAGGTGAAATCTGATGTTATTTTGTTGGAAAATTTTGGTTTTTGGGACTGACAGGATGATGTTGTCCAGGTCGCGGTATTAGCTTGGACCCCACTATCGCCAGACCATGTCCAAATGTTAAAAAAGGCGATAAGTTGGGTCCAAGTTACTCGGACTAATGTTTACGGAGGCAGTCCAGTAAATAGGCCACATTTATGGGGCTATTTCTGATTAGCCTATAAAGATGGTGAGTAGGCCCCTAATGCTTCTAAGTTCTAAAGCAAAAATAAACTACAATTACAAAAGTACACGAGGGTTTGAAGGTTAACTTACTTGAACTGCTAAAAAACACAAGTTCTTTGGCACAAATATTCCTTCATGTACTGCGCAATAGTCGTAGCCTTGTTGCCATTTCGTGATTGGTCAATTAACGACATTGAAGTACATGTACGCAAGTACGTACGGTACCATGTACACGTACGGGCGCCGCATGTACATGTACATGTTCATCGTACAAGGCCAGATTCTGCTTAGTGCAGGTTTTTTGTGACACATTTCGTTCACATAATGATACAGAAAGGGGAAAAGAAAAATCATTTTGTAGCGTGGAAAAATGACTCACTAAGAAAAAAACCTGGTTCCAATGATTATGTCGCGATTTAGCTTTTTAAACTGGGACAAAAAAAAGAAAAAGAAAAGGAATCAAGGAAACAAAAATAGACTTCTCCAAAAATTTAATCTAGTCTCGTAACAATCTTCAAACAAACAAAAAACCACTTCTATCCTAAAATAAGAAAAACACTTTTTCTCAAATACTTAAAAAAAAACTCAATTTGGATCAAAATCCAAGAACAAAAAGAGTTAAAAACCAAAAGGAAAAAAACCCAAAATTGAAATCAAAATGAAAATATATAAATGAAATGAAAGTTTATGAAACCCACACAGCACTAAAGGAAATGACTCTAAAAGCACAGGAATGAACTAAAAACCTGCAACAAGAAAATAAGAAAGAAACAAATGGCAATTTAAAAACAGTTCTTATAAAACAAAACTCCTATGAAACTACAGTCCATGTACTAAAGTATCCTCTAAGCAACATAAGGGTCCAAATGCAAGTTTGCCACTGTGTGCACAAGGGATTAACGCACTATGGACTGCAAGATACTGCACAGTTCAATGGGCCTCATAATGAAATGCAAATCCTCTGGACTGTCTCAATAAACTATTACTTTCTAAGAAGGAGGGAACAAAGGATTAAGGCATGGTCTAGGCTAAATGAATACAGGTCTATGTACATGAAGTCAAAAAGAACAACAACAAAAACCTAGAATAATATGAAAATCAACTCAAAATGCAAGAAAAAGGAACTTAAACTCTGAGGATATTATACACATGAAACTTAAATGCAGGTAACCCTAGACTCAAGCAATTAAAACTTGGGCAAACTTATATTACAAAACTTATTAGAAAATCACACAACTTCAATACTTTCAAAGAATGGACACCTCAAAATGTTTAGAAATGAGCCAAAAGAATAATCAAGTTTGAATAAAAACTTATAACAGTAATCAAAAGTTTCAAAGTTTCTAAACAAAATGGCTAGTTAAAACAACTTCTATAAGAAAAGAGCGGAGACACAAACGATTTCATGTATAGGAAAAAAAACTCAATCTTAAAAGGAGCTAAAATGATACTGAACTGGATAATATGAGTATCATAAAGGCAAATATAAAACTGGAATTATACAATAATAAGAAAAGTAATGAAAACTCACCAATGACTGGACTAGCAGACAAAAGAACCAGCTAGGAAGACACTCTCCAGGTAGGAGGAAATATATGACTACATGTATATGATGTTAAGTAATGTCTCACTGCTGGTCTGCTGGGTAATAATCCCTCTGGCATGACAATGCGGCAGCTTTTATATGGGGGAACTTGTGGGCTAAAATAAACAAACAGGGGGTCACACTACCAGGAAAAGGGGGGGGGGGACATCTAAACTTCACCTAAAATGATTTTCTTTTCTAAGGGGAGCTACTCCTATTTAATACACTATGAAAATACACAAGGAAAACTTGGCCCTGCCACAATTTCACAAAACCCTACTGTGTTTATATCTCGATATTTAAATGAACATTGCAAGCTATCTGCAATGATTCGTTGGACATTAATTTTGTGCATAAACTTTGGGAATGGAAGAATTACTTAAGTTCTCTCTTTAAAAATAAACTTATATTATTCATCTATATTCATGCTTTCTTTAAAAAATTATTTTAAAAATGTACATTTATTAATTTTATGTACATATTATGCGTATTAAATTGATCCCTGTTTTTCTCTTCAATCATAATTGTTTTAATTTTAAAAAAATACCTCCCTAATATCTAAAAAGGACTGATATGAATGCGACCGGAAGAATTACTTCACACTCCAATTCCGTATTCACTTTCATGCATTTATGGGGGTGTGTCTAAACGATCTCACGATGTAATCATAGATCATTTGGACAATTGGAAATTTATTTTTTTTACATGATGTTCATTAATATGAAAACAGACCGTCACTAAAATGATTCTGAACGTATTGTATACTGAGTGCGGACGGATCCCAGGTGCGTAAGCAGCACTACTTGCGACCGCGCTTGCAGCACTGGAGATACGAAGACACCATCAAATGAACGTCGTTCATTGTCCAATCACGAAATGGCAACAAGGCTACGACTATTGCGCAGTCTTCAACTACTGGTCGGCGCCATTTTTGTTTCTTTCGAGTCTGAAGCTTGAGGGCGCTTTGCCTGAGACCAAGGCCAAGCCAGCAGCTTGGTTCCAACCTCGTTTTCCAGGGTGTCGAGCAGTACGCGCCCACCACTACCTGCTTACTATTGGAAACGAGGTTGGAAATAATGTAAGCACTGGGGACGAGGTTGGCTTGGTTCCGCACGCGCAGCGCACTTTTGGGACATTGCCTATATCAAAATGAAAAAAAGTACTGAAAACAAACGTACTTTGTTTTAGCTTCAACTGTTCCTTGTTTCATTCGGTCAGAGCCTTTTTCAGCTTAAACAAATATACCATTACTGTTGATCAACATTTTTTTTTAAAATAAATTTTGTAGGGGCGGGGTGGGGGATTCGGGAACAACTTGTTTGTTTACGTGCGTTAGCAAGTTACGAACAGAAACTTAACTTAGGTCTAAATATGCATAAGTTTTCTTCAAAATACATATTATCCACTGAGCTGAAACTTAGTTGATATGTACCATTCTTTGGGCAAGTTTTGTTACACAAAATCAGCTTGCAGTTGTCATACCTTTAATTAATACAGCCACTTTTATAGAGAGCTAGCTGTATTGGTCTTTGTGTTTCTGTTTAAAGGTGAGTTGTCCGTGCTTTTCAACTGTTCATTTTTTCCCCTAAAACAATATAGTTTTTAGCCTGTTTCACGAAAAAACTCGTGCTTTTCCTCTTTAGGTCAGTATATCCGGTTTGTAAGTGACTGCACGCATGAGCGCCCATTACGGCTAAAAAAACGCGCGTCACTTTGCACAATGATTGCATTATTATACTCCTTGGGCGTATGTAGTAGTTAATTGAAATGACGTTACACTTACGAATCGAACCTGATGATAACCATCTAAAAGGGTTTCATTTTTTTTTGGTAGCCTTGTACAGTCGCCGATCTGCCATGCGAGTAATTAAGGACATTAATACCGGCCCCTATATTATCGAAAGGGGACGTTAACCAGTCTAATACAGGGGCGTAGCAAGGTTTTTAATGGGGGGGGGGGGGGAGGGGGGGGGGCAGGGGTAGTATGTGTAATAGACCATGGCTCCGTGGCGGATATCGGGTGATACTCAGACTATAAGTAGGGCCGGGGGTTAAACATTTCTTGAAAAGAGCACTTGCACATCCGTGCTGAAATGTAGACACTTTTTTTCTCCGGACACTTGTTTTTGGCCTCCGTAATATCGAATAGTGAAGTAGTAGTGGCGGTGGTGGGGGGGGGGGGGGGGGGTGTCAATCTGTCGATGAGGCGCTGTTAAAACCGACAGTTATGCACACCAGCCTGTGCTTTTCAAGGTGATATACATGCGCGCAATTAAAAAAACGGCATCCGTAACGGACGGTGGCACAAAAAAGGGCACGACTGTATTTTTTTAAAGGGTACTTGTTAAGAAAAAGGGCAGTTTGTTAAGAAAAGAAGGGCACCCTACGAATTTGGGGGGGGGGGTGGTTAAGCGCTGGTAAAAAGGGCATTTGAATGGAAACTGGGCAGTCTTTACAAAATATTGGGGGGGGGGGGGGGGTTGATACTCCTGTCACTGATCCCCTCCTCCACTGGCTACGCTCAGTGGCGGGGGGGGGGGGGGGGGGGGGGGGGGTGTGAAACCTTGAAACCTTTTCGCCCCCAGTCGCCCCCCACTGAGATTTTGAGTTTCTAAAAAAATTATCATTGATTTACATGACGCCCCCCATGAAATGTTCCAGCCACCCCCCCCCCCCCCCCCCCCCCCCCACTGAAAAATTCCTGGCTACCGTACGCCACTGGCTACGCTTAACTAGGGAACTGAATTATTGTTTGGTTTAAAATACTTCGAAATGTGCACATTGGTCGATTAGTTGTCTCATTCAAAAGTGAATACCTTGTATTTGTATTGGCCTACTACAAGGAAACTATATATAGCAATTTGAAGATGCGTTGTAAATCATTTCGAATTTGAACTGAAAAAAAAAACAGACTTGTTTTTCTAATTGCTTTTTTCCTTGCATTATAAAATGTATTCAATTTTGAATGAGACATCGAACAAACAAAATCCACCGAAGTAATTGGATTATTTCTTCACAAAATTCGAATTACATGGCTGCCACACAACAATTTGGTTCTCTGAGGGCGAGTTCAGTGTAAACAAAATGAAAGCTCTTTTCAGATGGTTGCAGCTCGACGCTCAAAATCGGAACAAAGTAGATTTTAATTATAACAAATCGAAAGTTCGTAAGAAGAAAAACAAATCGGTTTTTTTTTTTCAAGATCACGAGGCATAGGCCCTAAATCTTTAAAACAAAATCTACATGTATATATCGGGGTAAAACTCGAAAATAGAAGTATCCAACTTTCATGTCTCCTTTGTTTTTCTTTATAAATTCTTTCTTATTCTATCTTTTAATCGAAGACTATTTTAGACGGTTAGACCTCATGATCCTGACTATCCCGACTGCCTCTGGCCGTACATATTATCACAAGCTCTGCATTACGGGGCTTGCGATAGTCTGTATATACGGCCAGGGGCCATGGGCGTCGCGAGGGGGGGGGGGGGAGGGGGGCAAAGCAAAAAAAAAAAAAAAAAAGAAAGAAAAGAAAAGAAAAGAAAAGAAAACAAAAAGAGGCGCAAAGACAAAGTAGTGTAAATTTAATGGTTTGGGGGGTGGGGCAAAATGTCCCTGCCCCCCTCTAAAACTGATAAATCGAGAATGTGTTGAGAAATACAAGCATTTTTTGGCAAATTTTTTTTTTACCCCCCTCTAGAAAAAATCCTGGCGACGCCCATGCCAGGGGCAGTCGGGCTAGATCCTTACTGACAGATCCGCTTGCACATATCGCTGCCGGGGCCACATCGGCCCGGTTCGATGCTCTCAACATGTTCGCAGTGTTTGTCTTTATTGTCAAAAGCAATTCATTTAAACTGTGCCTGTATTATTGTTTTCCTCTCTCATTGAACAGTTTTTATAGAACACGCAGATGTGTACAGCATTGGATACCCGATTTTCGTCTTCCTGTTCATAATAATCGCCGCCATTTTCGCCCTCGTATCAGCCATCTTCGGATTGGTCAACACACTGACGGTTCCCATAGAAACCATTCATGGACCAATTGGGCTTTACATGTGGAACGGCATTGGTGGTAAATCTTTTAAACGTTAACCAACAGTTGCATGGGGCTGTATATTTCGGGCTTCATTGAACATCATGATTCCATCCCTACTTGGGGGGGGGGGGGGGGCATGGGGTGCATTCATTTTTTCAAGGAGGAACCGAAGGCACGATTCAACAGCGCAGTATCCAAATTCAAGATTTTGAACGCGGGGGTGCAGGGGGGGGGGGGGGGGACGTCTGTAGTTACGCTACTGGCCCTACGTCTTCCCCTGCATAGCTGCTACACCGGAAATTGTGATTGCTGCATTGTTCACTTCATTGTTCCAAAACGTCTGAGCCATACCAGTTAAACATTATTGTTCTAAAACTTATCATATAAATGAATTGAAAAATAAAACATCATTAATACAGTATGTTCCTTTTTGTGTGTTTTTATTTTACCTCGTATTATAGCTGTTTGCACTCTGCTCGCCTGTGTCCTTTATCTGGTTCTCCTCCTGACAAAACTCACCGAGAACGTCCTGAACCAAGAAGATATAGACTCCCCCAACAATTTCCGTACCTCTTCTGCATCCTTCCAATATTCCTACTGGTTAGTAGTGGTTGGCTGTGGCTTGTTCATTGTCAATCTTTTCTGCATCTTCCTGGCCAAGCTCCTGGCAGATCCGGACTTCATGCAACAACGCAAGAGAAAACATGACTTCTCAAGAGGGGAGAATAACCTTGGGCTCGACGACATCATGTATTAAAGTTTGTGTACAACATTGTTTACGTGCGTTTTCACAAAAATTGTATACCGACAATTTTGCAAATTTGGTAGACTTGTATGATAATGGGATAATATTGGGAAAAGAATGTGTGCAACGAGTGAAACAAATGAAAACTAGAGTTTCGCGTTTGTTGAGTTACAAACGCAGAGTGGTCGGGCAGACAGCCTTCTCATTATACACTGCCCAGTTTAGTTAGGAATATATGTAGAAAAAAGGATCACAAAATTAAATCCCTTCAAGTACAATCAATGTTTCAAAAAGGTATCTTTAACGGTGTGATAAACTTCAGTAAACATTCTATGTGCACAAAAAGTTATTTCTAGTTTGATGACGTCATCAGTCAAAAATGGTTAGTGAATACTGATAAAGTTCGGAGAGGATAATTTGTCATTTTAAAATTAAATAACGTATGAAAATATGGGAAATATAATTGTTTGTATTAATATCACCTAACTTCCGGTTTGATGACGTATTTATAACACCTAACTTCCGGTTTGATGACGTCACAGCATTAGAGATCCAAAGGTGAACATTGTAATGGATATCATTATTTGGACTTCGAAGATATGACAGGGATCAAATGATAGAAATAAATTTAAACTTTGATCATTTTCGAATTCTCCTTCAAGTAACTTCCGGTCTGGTGACGTCATGAATTTGAAACCTTGCCACCTTATCTGTGATTAATCAGAGAATGTCAAGGGGCGATTTGGTAAAATTGGACGGATAGTTTTACAATTACAGAAGGAAAACTATATTTTATGTGCCGATAGGGGGCGCCCTTTCGGATGATGACATCATCACACTGTTTTTTGCGTCTTACATTCCTCACTATACACTTTCATAATATATATGTCTGTAGTGAAATGCTTCCGCTTTTGAGTTATATTCAGTTTTTATTGCACTTCTGGTAACACCGGAAGTAAAGGTCAAGCGGTTTTGCGTTCGGGAACATGAAATGTTTCTCACGGCATAGTCTACAACCTCACGAAAAAACGAACACGATACTCTATTTAGTTCAAAAGATATAACGCAAACTATTTTGTCAAAGTTTGCCCTTAAATCGCTTGTAATTTGATACCTGATTACGTCATGATGACGTAACAAAATGTACAACATCTTCGTAACATGGTACAAGTTCACACAAGGTTTTGTGATCATACCGTGAACCGTTCGGAAGAAATGCTGCTTTGTTTTGATGTCAGGCTAACGTCTTCATTTTGAATTCACCTAACTTTGACCTTCCGGTAGACCCGGAAGTAAAGGTCAAGCGAGTTCACGTACACTACAAAAACTGTTAAGCGATTAATGGTCTATCTGATTACAGAATACAAACATCATTGATTGTTTAGTTCAAGAGTTATAGGTGAAAGTAATTGGTCACTTTTTCAGATAAAATCACTTGTAATTTGACACCCGATGACGTAATCATGACGTCAGAGTAATATGCACCACTTCGGATGAGGGTCGATATATATTGAAAGTTACAAGTTCATACCATATACCGTTTAAGAGAAACCGCGGAGAAGTATTGTCCGGAAAAAAAAGAAAGAAAGAAAGAAAGATTAATCGTAACAGATCCAAAGAGTGGTCGGGTTGTGCCCGACCACTCAATAGAACATCATAGGCAACATTGATTACTGTTCATACTGTGATGTATTTGTTTTTAGGAGACAGTGGTTCCTTTATGCCACACCCACTAAAACATATGCAAAAATGATCACGCGGTTAAAGTTTACACAAAACTCCTGGTGTCGCCAGGATTTTTATCTCGGGGGGGGGGGGGGGGGCAAAGCACATTTCCCCCCATAATTTCTGAACTGTTTCAACATATTCACAATTGCTGGATACACCACTGGCCACATGACACTAGGGTGCGCTGTTCATGATACAGATGTACATCTCATGTATACTTACGCTCCTTAACCTTACATCAAAACGGCACATTTAAAGCTTTGTAATTTTCTCTCTTTTCACTACTATGGAACACATTTTGCTTATTGGGAAGTTCGATAAGCTATTTTGTTTCTCACCACGCAAAAAAGTGAGGGTGAGGGATGATCCAATAGCCCATCCCTTGTAAAAAAAAGTGGGGGATATACACCCCCACCCCGCCCCCGGATTTACGCCCCTTGGTCTTTAGTCTACCAACCCATTAAGGCTCGGCTCGAAAAAAAATCATATAGCACTAATATCAAAATAAATTGTGTACATTGAGGATTTTAAACTTACATTTGCACGATTGACAACTGTAAATTACCACGATTAATTGGTTACTTGATTATACACGTTCAATTATTGTTAGCAAAAAATTGTAAGAGTCATTATTCAATAACCACAATAATTGTAAATGTGAGTTTCTTGATACAATTCATGGAATTGCAGCTGTCTGTGTTTCATATAGTATAACTACAGTTAACACCTAAATACCAACGAATTTGTTTTGAATAGCACCCGTCAAATATGACGTAGGCCTATACAGGGTGAGTAAAAAAAACCCGAAACCCAAATGGCAGGACTAATTATGAAGTTTTACCTGTAGCACTTTCAAAATTTAGGATATGAAAGTCAAATCAAAGAGCTTTCCTTTAGTGCATTATTGAAATCAAATGTACTTTTCAAGTTATAGAATTTTGAACACAAACAACATTTTAAAGTTTTGTGCACGGATCACAAAAAAGTAAGTGTTCTTTCAGCAAAACGAAAACAAATGACATGCATCCCTATGAGAATTGTTTTCGTTTTTCAGCATTACGTTTTAAAAATGGTCTCCTACACTGTTCAGCAGTCCTCAATATTGTGTTCGTCCCAGAAGAATTGATGAATGTATGACGATATGGGATGCCCCATTTAATTTCTACTTTTTAATATCTGTATGATAAAGAAGCTTGACTTGTTTTTTCTCATTTTATTTCATCAGGGATTTCTCCAAGACGATTTGCCAGTTAGCAAATTACTGCGTTGACTCCAGGGATGGTACTGCTAAACCGTAACACAATTAAAGTTCCTATTAATTCCTCATTCTTAACATTTTTATCACAGGATGTATAGATGCACATGAACAAGCCTTGATATGGTTGTATTGTATTGCTAGCTCACGACAATAAATCCATTCATTAGTTGAATAATGACATCTGACTCTTTTTCTTCTGATTGAATGTATTGCCTGTTTATTTCATTTTTAAAAACCACATCAGAATGATCAAAGTACAAGCACGCCCTGCATTAATATTCAGTTGTATGCATTTGAGGCTTTTATCCAACATCCCTTGCCTTGGGCCCATGTTCCCCCATAATATTGTGCCGAAGGTATTCATATAAACATGATGTATGGCTAGACTAGAAACTTTGACTCTACTCAAACGAAAACAGAGCATCAATATAAGAAGAAAGTCATCGGTTAGATGGACCCTCTGTCGAATACATGTTGTATTTGGAATGGTTTGAAGTCTGTGATTCAACACATCTAAACTAGCCTCGGCCTTGATACGCACACATTGTTACATGAAGATCTTGTCTTACTTTTGTTAATTCCAATCAACGCCCAGAAAAAAGCAAAGTTCTGTGGTGTTGACCAAGCATTCAGGAGTCTGATTTATTCTGACTGATTACCGACTTCCATAGGAGATCTTCTGGGTTCTCGGGTTTTCCGGCCCATCACACCTCCTTTCCTGTCCATCCATGTTACCAGAAGACAAAGCACCATAAATAAAAAAGGGAGGAAACGAGGCGGCACCTATAAGCCCTTTCGCTGCGCTGCGAGGTGATCAGCAACAAGAACCCCGTATCTTTACGAAGATGCTAACCTGGACTTTGCGGACAGGCAACTGCATGTAGAACTTACCGATCACGCTAAGTTACTGTCGATATTTTAGGACAGAGTATTAAATCTCTTAAAATTAAATGACTGAACGCATGCATTGAAAAACAAAAACATCACGAGGATTCGAACTCGGTCCCGTCTCCGAGAACGGGGACACTCGGCCGTTTTGGATACCCTTGAAATTCTCTTCAATTATATGACTTGAAGTTTTGCATGGCAGATGAGATAAATTATAAAGTTTGCGGGTAATACAATGTGGAAAGAAATCTCTCTTTGGATTACACTTATTTGTATTCGCATATGAGATCGTGCGCTAGAAATCTAGCGCAAAATAAAGAAAAACATAAGCTTTCGCCGACGATTGGACCAAGGCGTTCGATCGGATCCAAATGATTTGCATATATAAATAGTGGCCGCACGAGGTCGCTGTTCGCGCTGTATTTGTACATGCACTGATAGCGAGAATATGCCGTCGTTTACCGTTCGCTCGGATAATGACGAACGCCTTGACCATTGCAAGGATAAGATTTCGTTGATGTGGAATCTGATGTCTAGAGTGACTGTGTTGTTGCGGTGGATTTCGATGGCTTTTCTGATGCGTTTGGGAGCCAGTGGGTGACCGGAGCGAGGATGTGGGCTTGGTCCCAGTGGATGCGATGATCGTGCTCGTGTGAGTGTTTGATAATGGCTTCTTCTTTCGTGTCCATCATCTATGTTTCAAATGCTCGGCCAGGCTCTTGCACAGTGAACAGCCTTCTCGTTTGCCACCACTAGATCTTGAGGCAGCACTCTTCACCAAGAAGTGGGCATCTTAGTAGGTGTGGCATGGATTGTACAGATGTTTCACATGCACACTCTGTGTCTGCCGAATCTGCATACCCCCATTTGCTCATGTTCGTCTTGCATCGGTCCATCCCTGTACGAAGCCTGTTGAGGGACTTCCAGGTCTTCTAGTCGCAATGGGACCAGGTGGTAGCTCTTCCTTGGTTAAGATTGGCAGCTGTTCGTGGTGGCTGTTCTCATTACGTTTATCGTCCCACAAGGCTAGTCTAGTTACTTGAGGAGACTGTGACAGTGGTTGGGCTGTGTGAAGGAAGCTTTCCTTGACTTCAGGCGGTTGGGGCTGTGTGATAGGAGGTGAGAAGAATGGCGGGTGTCCCCAACTTGCCTATACTACGTTCAGATCTGCTGGCAGCTGATCTACGAACTCCTGGTGGAGCAATACCGGCCAAGACATGCAAGCTTTCCACATCCGTTGGGTTTAGGCAGCCAGTGATGCATCTACAGCTGTCGGTAAGGGCAGCATCAACCTTCTTCGCATGAGATCTCTCCCAGACAGGGCAAGCATACTCTGCAGCAGAGTCGCACAGCGCAAGAGCAGTTGACCGCAGTGTGGATGCATTCATACCCCACGACGAGGGAGTTCCTTGCTGTCAAAGCACCAGGTTGACTCTTTATCACACTGATGCCATGTACTCCTTTTTACGGCGTTTCTTGTGTGGTGGTTTACAGTTCAGAAGCAGTTGGTGAGCGACCTGATCTGATGTAACGTTAGAGTGCAGCGTTGCCTTCTGGGGTCGTTCAGTGTTGAGGTTCTTGATGGTTGACCAAGCTCTCTTACTGTTGCGTGTCATATCGACACTCTCAATAAGTTCTTGCCAAGATTTCCTTCGTTCTTCTTATTTGCTGTCATGAGCATCTCAACTGTGTTCATGGTTTCCTCTGAGAAGGGATCTTCCTCGTACAGTTTTGAGTACTTCTCGTACAACGAGGCACTGTCAGCTGAGATGTCAGGTATACTCCCTACATCCGCGTGGAATATGCTTTCTCTTGCACTGTTTGACGAACTGATCATAGTTTGCTGGGACTGGCTCGAGGTCAGATAGGGCTTCATCCAGATTGCTGGCAAACTGCTCCCAGTCCGCTTTTCTAAAGTTGAAACGCGCCGTCTAAGAGGAACTTTCTGAGGTGCCCCAGCAACAGTGATGCCAATGGCGATTGGTCTGTGTTGTGAGTGTGGTATTGGCTCTAGGATTTCTTTTTTGCTTTGACATGTTATTCGATCACTTGTAGAAGCCAAGTCTGGATTATAGCCTTTCTTCCATCGGCAGCTATTGAAGGAGGGAAGGAGCTTAGCATTATGAATTAAGTCAAGATGATGTGCTTCTGCCCAGCCCTCTACAAGATTCCTCGTTGGTTTCTTTATAGCCCCATGAGGTGCTGTGGCTGTCGAAGTCCCCAATGATAACATTAATGTGTTGGGAAATAAGTTTGTGGTTCTTCAAAGGCAAATATAGAGCCTGGTGGTTTGTAAACTGAGGTCACAATTAGTTTCCCCAGGTTCACAACAATGATTTCTATGTTCTTTGTCATTGCATGATGTCTGGTCGATGATTAGGATCTCTTTTAACTAAGATGGCGCTGCCATATTTCTCATATGGCCGTTCAAAATGTGGCCTTTCAAATAAATGATGATGGCTGACTAGTCGATTTCTCCTTTCCTGACGTGTGCTGGATGTTCCTAATTGCTTCTGGTCTTGAGGTCCCGTCCTGTTCTATACTCAACCAACCGGTTCTTATATAGGGCTCATGAAGTGAATATCTCTTAGGAACATATTTTGTGCTACTTCCTCATCCGCGTAAGTGTATAAAAACTAATTGATATTGCTTTTTGGTTAATGTTGTTGAAAAGTGCACTTCTTTAAACATTTAAAATTGTCTATGCTTTTCCAGACAACTGAGGGCGCTGTTGTCGTGATGTCATTTCAGGGAGGCGCTGTTCATTTTAGATGTTTTTTCTTTTGAAATAGCGAACCCCCATAAAATGCTCATTTGTGAGAAAAATTTGCTTATTCGCTTATACTGCCATGAACTGACACAACAACAAATCACTAAGGAAAAGAAAGTTTACGACAGCGAAATATTCAAAATCTTGGCAACTTTTTGTGCATAAACTAATTGCAACATTAAGGTTTCCGCCTGATATGACATCACATTTTTGCTCATGAATATGGAAATTCGTATTAGTATAAAAACCGAAAAGGCACCAAAATACCCTTGAAATGGCAAAATAAAAATTGAAAATAAGGTTAAAGGGACATAAAGGTGCGTTTTCAAGAATTGCATTAAAGATATTTCTTTCCACGTATTGTTACCTGCAAAACTTAAACCCGCAAACCAATGTATCTTGGCTCCATGCATGGTGGGTGGGGGGGGGGGGGGGGGGGGGGGGGGGGACAAACGATATGATATCCCCCCCACTTTAAAAATTGTGTGTGTGTGTGGGGGGGGGGGGGGGACGTCCCCCACCGATTTACGCCCATGTATGGATGGAGTCGCACGCATTGTTTAAAAGCTTAGTTTGTTCTCATCACATTTGTGATGAGAACAGGGCTATAAGGCTGGTTTGATTATTAATTGTGTTGAAATGCACTGCACTGCATTTGTGAGGAATGAGCCCATGCGTTTCATTTGTCGGGACATTTTGCCGTGTCCTACATTAATGACTTGCATACGTTAATACTTAACAATGCCTTCCTTTTGTGGGCACAGCTACATAAGGCCAGGTTTGTGTGGAACGCGTAACCTCGGCAAGGAGTGGCCTCAGCGATGTATGACGTAACCACTTTAATGCATATTGTTGATGTACCCTAACATGGCACCGAGTATACCTGAGGCTGAGACCGAGTTAACGTGGTACCGAGTTGACTTGGTAATGAGTTGACTCGAACTGACTTGGATTGGGACCGAGTTGACTCGAAACTAACCCAGTTGGGGTCAACTCGGTCCCAGGTGCCAAACAAAATAGGTGCAAACATTTCTGCAATTTGATTCACAGAACGTGATCTGTCTATGTTTAAAATGTATTTTCTGTGGTTAACCTGTTGATGTTCTTATTTGGTTTAATCATTGATTTCGGGGTTGTACGATTGTACCGCTCATACTTGAAACGGCGTGTTTCCCGCCAGCGGCTGCCGCAGCAAGTCGCTCGTTGCACGCTGTACTAGCGCCACATACACAGTGACGTGCGCCGTATACGCGTATATAATTCGGCACATAGTTTGCACGATGTAATCAAATCAAGTATGCCGGTAGGTATACTGATCTGGGTGAACACTTTTCTCAGGGAACGTTAAAAAGAACAACAAACATAAAGTACATTATAATTTAGAAATGACTACAATAAGTGTTGTAATGAAGGATGGAAATGCCAAAAAACTACCACGACCCTTAATCTTCCGTGCCTATAATTTGAGCCCTATGTTGAGTCTGATGTATTTTAAGAAAATCAAATCCAAGTTATAACAGGGGGGGGGGGGGACATTGGAAAATTCTTCTATCAGCGGGCTATATGCCTTCTTCAGAAATTGTCATAATGACCTATGACTAATTAAGAAAAAATGTTGTTATTATATTGTGTGGCATATAAGACGAGTTTGTTTTCTGAATAACAAGGTTTGGCGCAGACGAGACGAAATCGAATACTCCTTGACGAATTTGGTGTGCTCATGGTTTGAATTTGCTTTAAAAACAAATGAAATTGTTGATGAAGGAAGAAATATTGAACATACGAAGAGCAATAAATTGATTTTGCTTGATGAATTTGAATATTTGAATCGCCGAATTCAAAATGATAAACGTTGTTTTAAAATATCCGGGAGAACCAAGGCCTTTTGAAGACTGTCTGCGGCTTGGTGTCAGTCGGTTCGACGCGCGTCAACCAGATAGATCATGGGCAATGATCTGCTCATGCAGCATCCTTAAAAATCTACTTTTTATATGACACCATAATATGCTTATGCTTTATGTTATTATTTACTTTGGTATTAAAAACAGAAATAAATTGATGTGAATCAAACACTTTAGAAAGAGGTTTATATGTTAAGCAAACATTAGGGCCTATTGTAGTCATTGCAGGTTGGTGCAGTCAGTTAGATTTTCCCACTGCGTCATCAAGGACACGTATAATAGTCATGATTAGAGGTCGTGCTGGTTCGTGGTCACTAAGGCGTGACGAGTTCCTATTGTTGTGCCCACGCATGGCAAACTTCACCACCATCCATCCTGACCTCTACAAACGAACACACTTATCCACACGGTTACTCCCGCCCGTATGCCCCACACTGCACAAACTAACTTTGTAAGTTGTGTCAACGTTTCATTCTGTGGAAGTTTATAACTCCTAGTTTGGTTTTAGAAACACCTGACCAACTTGCAATTACGTGTGTAATTTTAGTGTCACCTTCTTTAGCTTTATGCCGGATTGATTTCATATGCCGTTAACACGGTGATCGTATACGCACAGTGATTTTATATCAAGTAAAAGGCCTACCATACCACTGTAGTAACAAATCACAACAACCCAACCCAGACAGCCATTGTGTTGGTATAGGCTACATAGGCCGTACATTGTAATCGTATTGCAAACGACATATCGGATGACGTACCAAGCACCTGTATGCAGTTGTTGCTTCTTTGATTAAAAGCACAGTCAAGCAAGTCTGTAGACCTCAGTGCTTCACCAGGAATAATCATGATCATCAAGCGGAGGACCACCTATTTCTTCTTCGCCTCTCTGGGCGCTGTCGTCTCGCTGATCTTCACCGGTATAGCCATCGTCACAAGCCACTGGACCTACGCCCAGCTTCAGAAGAACACCACGGGTCTGCTGGATGCAACCTTTCCGCTGCGGGATTATCTAGGCAACAATCCAATCGCGTTTGATCCAGACGACCCCGGTGCTTTCCTAGGTCTAGATTACTTCGGTCTCTTCCAGGGCTGCAAGAAGTTCAACTACGGATTCGGGGCCAGAGAGTGGCACTGCTACAAAGGTTTGAAAACAGTTAGATTTTGAAAATACATGTAATGTTCTGTTCATGATATATTCAGATATGACAGGAACCATGTATATACGCCGCGATAACCGAATTATTGTCGGGCCGCAAATGACTCGACGTTTCTAAAGTAATTATTCCATTACTAAACCTTGGCCGATTTCTTTTTTCGGCTCATTCCAAAGTGAATAACTTTATAATTGTATAGAAAACAAAAAGTAACAAGCAATCCATTTTCGGAGTGGAGCTCCAAAATAGCAGGGAGACCAAAATGACAACGAAATGGACACGTGAATTTAAAAGCTAAAAACTTTAATTCAATATTAAACATTTAAAAATCTGTTTTCATCCCCCCATTCACAATTCACTTTTTCCACAATCCACTATGACGGACCATCGTGACGGTTAAATACATGTGTTGAATAACCGTTTTCCTGTGAGTGTTTACCTTGTGAACAATAAAGGATAGTGCACCGGTTCTTCCTCGATTGGATCTTTTAGCCTGTGGACGATCACTGAAAATTCGTTTCAGAATGTTGAAACTTCGGAAATCTGTCGTTGGTTTACTGTATAATTTGCCGTACACTAATCGTGGTCGTAGAAAACAACGGCTCGGACGTAATTCTGGTTTCGTTTTCTTTAAAGGGAATATACAACATTTGCAAACATCGAAAAATAAAACTACCAAGTTTTGCGAAATACCTTAATAGGATGTTGGTAAATGACAGTCTAAAGCATCTGAAAATTATGGCACCGGTATACTGTCATTTCAAGAAAAGTGGTATTTTTGTATCAATTTCCAACGCTGATCGGCCGATCAGCGTTGGAAACAACTGGCTTTTTTTCAAATACTGGCCCCAATTGACCATTGCACTTGTTTGCAATCGATTACAAACCTATGAACGGGTACGAGCCAGCTAGACTGGTTCCCTGACCTTACAATTCCCCAATGTATGTAAACTGCTTTCTTCTTCTTATGAAGTCAGGGAACCAGACTACAGGAAAATGATCGTTTTTCTTGGTTTTTATAGCATTTCGATCCAAAAACCTCCAAAAAGTCAGTGTAACTATATTTGCTTTATATTTCCAATCCCCCAATTCCATCCATTTCTGAAAATTACAGCAAAAGCAAATGATGTATATCCCTTAAAATAAATCGTGATGCTCAAGGCCAAAGTCAAAAGAACAGTTCCTCGTCCCGGCGTTTTTTAACATAAGAAAGGAGGCGGCCCTCTTTTTTTTCTTCTAAAATAGCGGATTTTCCATGATGGCCAATTGATTCTTCCATTTTCTCGATAATTTGCTGCTACGTTTGTGTCCAAAGGAGCTGTAACCTTTCTATTAGAGTTACTAGCAGACATATCTATGCTTGAAACAAATACATGTACATGTACAAAAAAGAAGAACTGCATGGTTTATCTTTTTTTAACCTGGCCTAATACGGCACCAAACCAACCCATTACTTCATGACAATGAAAGTTCTGATTTCTTGCTTGGGCCACACAGATTGGCTCCCAACAACACCGGGAAAAATATTACGTTAGTTGGAATATACCTTTTGAATAATACATGTTATTGAACGAGGGTCAGTTTTGGCATTTGAATTTTTTTGTTCGATCAGCTCCGGAAAATATTCTGACGTAAAGGAGTTTCCCCGCTTGAAAACCTGTGACTTTATGTCACATGACGACTTATCAATGATTTAGCCTATCTTGTACGGAGAGAAGGCGAATAAGAAATGCTGGGTGCGGCGGCGATAATAAAGAAAACCAAGTCAGTTTAAGGGTAGGCTTGACCATGGGCGTCGCCAGGATTTTTCCAAAAGGGGGCCAACATATTTCCCCCAAAAAAATCCTGTATTTCTCAACATATTCTCGATTTATAAGTTTTAGAGGGGGCAGGGACATTTTGCCCCCCCCCTTAAGTCATTAAATTTACACCACTATGACTTCGCGCCTCTTTTTTTCTTCTTCTTTTCTCCTTTTTCTCCCCATTTTTTTCTTTTCTTTTCTTTACCGGGGGGGGGGGGGGGGGGGGGCAAGGGGGGCGCTTGCCCCCCCCCCGTAAAGAAAAGAACAGAAAAAAAATGGGGGAAGAAAGGACACCCATGGGCTTGACATTTTCGAACTTTCTAGAATCGAAAAAAAAAAACCGCTCCGTTTTTACATTGATGACTTTCTATATATTTCCGAAAACATATACTCTGACAAACTATGTAGTCAATAATTCATGAAATAATCCCACAGGCAGAACGTCCGTGGAGAGAATATGAAAATCTACTCAAAGGAGTTAGCAAAAAAGAAATCACACACTGTCAAATGTTCCAAGTTGTTTAAATGCTGAAAAACCATTAGATGCTGGATTTTGCAGGATTCCATACATATACAGGCATAATATAACCTGGGGAGATCTAGCGCATTTACGAGCAGCTTGCAGAATCCACAGTGTTTTCCGTCTTCAAGATTAGTAAAAAAATGAGTTTTTTTCCAAGTGTAAGACTATCATAAGCTCTCCCCGGGGCAAGGAAAACAAATAATATCCAAAAATCCATACTTCAGATTGGTTTTGAACAAATGTCAATATTTCACAGAGAAACCTTCGGGCTGTGATTGGTATTATTATAGGTCGATATTCTTTTCGATGGTCTCGGAGACAATGTTTGTGAGACCTTATTCAATCCACTGTAATTCTCTCTATATTGTTGTTTTCATGCAAAAACAATTTTACCTTTCAGCCTGCACATGTACATGTGAAGTGGAAATAGTAAAATATTTTGACAAGACCATTCAATTTTTGGCAAAGAATCACGCTAACGAAGCTTGATTTCTCCTTCTTTCCAATTATAATAAAAGATGGACGACAGCAATAGAACATTCATCAGAGAAAGACTGGTACACTTTCTTTGTCAAGTATGAATTTGGTTATGATTTACGATCGGCCTACTTGTTACATGTTTACTCTTTTCATAGATGGAATTCTTTTCATGCGAAAGGAAGAGTAAGCGCATTATTTTTTGTCTCTGCTTTCAAATTATGACAGGCGACACCACGAAAGAAATTCCATGGAATCATCGTCTGAGAGATATATATATATATATTATATATATATATATATATATATATAGATAGATAGATGTCATGCCAAGTATCACATTAGTGCTGATTTGATTACTGATGGAATTCTGCGGCCTGACTTGATATAGTTCCTCCGAATTCCCTCATCGACATTTCCCCAAATGTCCTCATGCAGTATCGCCAAATCTTTGTTGACAAGCGTCAAGTTCACTCAGTTAAATATGGCACTATTGCCTTAACAATGTTTGTTGTGGAACCATTGTAAACAAAAGTGTCCGAAATTTAGTCCAAAATTCAAAAACGGTGGCGTCCGGTAATTGAACACAAAATGGCTGAGTGTTCCCTAACGTGACGATCTTGAGAAAGTGTCAGAAATTCCCAAGTGAGCATATAAGAATTGTTTGAAAAAATCTGATAAACCATCTCCACTCACACATCCAACTCCATTGTGGGGAATCGTCGGGAAATTATTTTCTTATTATATTTTTACAATATAATCTGAAAAACGTGTCCAAGTAAAATTTCTCTATTAACTTAACTGTATTGAACGGAAATGTGAAATTTTAGGTAAAATTTCGCTCTACAAAACACTAAAGGCGAAAAATCGAAGTGCGCTACTACGTTAGGTGCCGCGACATGTTAGCAACACAATGTTGCAAAGACGAGTTTTTTTGTGGATTTTCTGCGACTAGATATAATTTAGCGCTACATATTAAACGAACTATTCGTATATTTCTCGCTCCATTACATTTAATTCTTGTTGGAAAATGAAAAGGACATATGAATGAAACTGTCGAAATGTCATTGGGCTGGTAAGCAGAAGCTGTATATCGACATTAATCTTGTTTGACATTTACGCTTCGAAAAAGTTCCCATACTTCCCTTTCGACAAATACGTGCATGTCGCATGTCGTCGGTTTGTATATAGACGTGGGTGGTTTTTAGTGTACGTTCTCACGCAGGCACTCATCAGTCGAGGTCACAAAGTGGTACATATTCCATGGCGTTTTCATTGTTAATACTTAGATATTCAATATGTCTTTCCATTGTTAGAGAACAAAGGTTTGTTTTTTAAAAGAGGTGTATTGTGCTGTTTTCTTTCTTCTCTGTATCAATAGTTTGAGGTCATGGCACAAGGGTTAGGCTCATTTGCGGTTTTTTTTTCAGTACAGTGAAAGTATTGTAGAGATTCGTGCAAGCTTCCATTAACTTTTAGTTTGAAGAGGTTATTGTTACTACAGCAATACGTAGATGATACAAAGAGGAATTTGCCATGTAAAATACTCTCATCTAGAAACTTTTAGGCTTTCCGCAGATTAATCAAAAAACACATTTTTTGAAAAGTCATTAGTGCGGTGAGAAATCGTATAACCGCTACACAAACGTAGCTAACAAGAAGCTGTAGGCCTAATTAAGTTCCAAGCCTTCGAGATGCATTGTAAATCATACAATGGATTGACGGGAGCCAATGGCTTTCGTCTGTTTAGCGAGTACATGTTGTTTCTTCAATAAATGATACTTGGGAAGATGTAATTACGAGGTAATTTAAGATGTACTGTAGGTGCTTTTCGTCAATTTAGATTGTCGATATTTTTAAATTTTATTTTGGACATCTGCAACCCTATGGATTTATGGACTAAAGTTTTATTTGTGGGTTGTGCACAACATATCCGCCCTGTGGAAAGACTGGCCCCGTTTCTCACGTTATCGAGCCTGATATAGGACGGGAACCTGTCTATTTAGCAGAACTGAATTTTCTGGGACCGCAAATAATTAGATTTTTTGAAAGTACTTGTAGGTCCTACATGTAATTGGTTTCCGTAATTATTCCGTACAAATTATGGAAAACTTCGTGTGAAACTTGAAAATATAGGACGGACACTATGCTATTCATCCAGGGGCGGCGGAACGGGGGGGGGGGGGGGGGGCTGGGGGCACATCCCTCCCCCCCCCCCAGATTTACCCAAGTGCCCCTTTTGCGGACATAAATGTGCCCCTCGAGATGAGAACAAAACTGGCCCTATAATTTCGGATGTTGTTTTCAGTAACCATTTCCCAAAATGGTATAGAAAGTTCTGATATGAACGAGGAACATAAAAACCAAGCCCCAAATCCTTACAATGCGCCCTGAAAATGGCCAGTTTTGAAGAGCGCCCCCTATTTTGGAAGATGTTACGAGCCCCCCCCCCTCCTATTCGATTTTACGGAGGCCAAGTGTCCGGTAAAAAAAAAAAACGTGTCGACATTTCAGCACGGATGTGCCGCAAGTGCCCCTTTTTGTTGATGCCCCCCCCCCCCCCCCCCCCCCCCCCCCAGTTTGAAAACCGCTCCGCCGCCGCTGTTTTTCAAGAACAGAAAAAGCATTTTAGAATTGATATTTTATAGTTAAAAGCCAATTTATATCAGACGGAACATGTTTACTCTTCTGTGTGATTATAAGCAGATCCACACTATATTGGAAGAGTACTTTCATTAAACCAATTAATGCAACATTAATTTTGTTTTTATTCCTCCCCTATATGACCACGCAGTTTTCAGCGAGCATGCAAATGTGTACAGTGTTGGCTATCCAATCGCAGTCTTCGTCTTTTTGACCATCGCCATCATCTTCGCCCTGGTGTCAACCATCTTCGGATTGGTCAACACACTGACTGTTCCCATAGAAACCATCCACGGGCCAATGGGGTTGTACTTATGGAACGCCATTGGAGGTAATAGCCAGCACCCAAACCTCGCTTTCGTTTGCCAGGTCCGACCGCTAACTTAATTTTGTGACTTCGGCGCAATGTGGGTGCAGGTTTTGTAAGGAATTAGAAGTTTTGGCAATTTCGGGAAAGGATTGTTACTTTAATGTGGGATAAATGACCTTTTTTTCAAAGATTCTGAAAATTCAACTTATCCTCACTAGAATTCAATATATTTTTTTATCGAAGATATAACACATTTCGAATTGACTGAAGCACATTGTATCCTCCCTGTTAATGAAGTGGACAGATGTTTGAAATAAAGCAATTCTATCAGATGGCTACATGTACAATTACGAGTTTATCATGACAAATTTCTCACCACAATTTTCTCACGTGTGTGTTATTTATGTGAAAGTCAAATCCATCAAACGGAAACCAGACCCATCGTCTTTTGTATTATTTTTTTACAGCCGTAGGCAGTCTACTCGCCTGGCTGCTTTACCTGATCCTATACCTGACCCAACTCACCACCAATGTCCTGACCACGGAAGACATGGCTCCGCCCAACAATTTCCGGACAACCTCGGTCTCTTTCGGCTACTCCTACTGGCTGGTCCTGGCTAGCTTCATCTTGTTCCTTCTCAACCTTCTCTTTGTCTTCCTGGCTCACCTCTTGCAGGAGCCAGACCTCTTGAAGAACAAGAACAAGAAGGGCGAGGTTAAAACTGGCAAGGCGGGTGGGAACAACAACGTGGGCCTTGGGCTCATGTATTAGGCGAAGGTCGTCGAATGTGCTCGTATCCACCTAAAATCTAGTCTGGGACCAAGACTACTGCAGCTAGGTTAGTTTAATGTACGAACGTGCATTGATCATGGCAGATAGCTACCCATAATGCTTTGTGTATACTGTATTCCTTGACACGATTTTGTGAAAGAGATTAGCCATAAACAACAACAACGCCTATTGATAGCACTATGGGTACGAGCAAACTATAGGCCTAGTTGGAACGTATACTATGGTGTGTGGGTGTGATCTGTTACACGGTACCCTCTGGAGACATGTGCACAATAGGGAACAAAGGATTGTATACGTCCTCAGGGCAATTTCTATAGATGAAAACGTCTCCAAAAATTTATCACGAAATAGATATATGGATTTTACTCAAAATCTAGGAATTTCCAAGGGGTGTTGATTCGTCGCAAATTGAAGTATTTTATGTGAGGGATATTAAGTCGGACTTTTAGCCCAGGAAATTAATTCTGGTTAAAATAGGTTAATCATTGAAAGTACAGTACACTTTCAAACTTGAAAACTTTAGTATACGAGAACAAAGAAATGACTCCACAAGGATACACATTTCAGTGTGTGTGCGCGTATTTGTTCATGGATATACATACAACTTTGATGTGGCAATGGTGTACGTCGACGCCTTCTGAAATCTTTCTAACAAAAAAATACGCAAGTAAATCATATTTCCATCATATTTAAAACATACATTTTACTACAAATGTATTTAAGAAGTTATACTAACCACGTTTGCTAAGAAAAAAACAATTGGTTTTCACTTAAATTTCAAATTTTACATAGATGAAATTTACAATAAGACAAAAAAAATACAATAAAAATAGAAAGGGCAGTTACTATTCTTGTTCAACCCGCTATACCACATCAAATTTAAGACTGGCAACAATTTAGTAAAAAGTAGTGGTAAGGAACCGCAGTGTTCAGGAAATCAGTCAGCGAAAGCTCCAATCCTACGTATTGTCAAATGAAAGGTCTTTGGAAGATCATCTCTGAAACCTTGGCTTTGGCGTCGGCTCTTGGGCCAGTACAAAATATTTTCATTTTAGTTCGAACAGGCTTTCAGTGTATATAGCCAAAGCTGGAGACAAAGCCGGGGTGTACAAAATGGCTCCCCAAAGTGTTGGCCTCAAATTAGAAATTAAATGATATTGGTTACAAGTAGATCTATCAGTAACCATATCATGGTTGCCATTTGCAAGATGAACAAAAAAACCCGCGGGCTTTCTGGACTGTATTTCGTTAGTAGGGTAGTTCAGAACCACGAATAGATACTGTTAGGCGTCTTGTGATATAAATAGGGGGCCTACGTGTAATGTCTGATTTCGGCTTTTAAATGAGAACGATTTAGATTATTACATAAATCCTACATGCCAAGATTGAATGATTATAAAGAGCAGTATAGCCAAATACTGCGAAACTATGGCGCGAAATTACGGTGACATACCTACACTGAATAAAAGTAACCAAACAAACCATTTTTTTAATTAATCGAATAATCGATGATATTTATTTTTCTACTTGAATTGTGGATTTAATTGGAATGGTTCACATTTAAACACAACTCGAATATCAAGTGCTAAGATCGAAAGGTGATAACATACATTACAATAATTTACAGGGTTTGTTAACAAGTTATAATTCTTTCAAACTTTAGCACTAAACAAAATACTTCGCCATTTATTGTTTAAGTACATGTACATCACGAATTTCTGGCATACTTAACACTAATTACGATTTCACATTTATAATATAAGTTCATCGAGACAAAGGGGAGGGAATATACCCCAAAATGTACATGCAGTGTGATTATGCCGTCGTGAATATGACGGTCCTTTTTAAAACACTTTAGCATTACATCCTATCTGGTTTCGGAGAACGAAGACAAAAATAAATGCGAGTCTGCATTAACACTTTTAAATTCTGTGCAACTGACAAATTAGCTGTTTGTGTAGACAATATCAATTGCATTAACGACATTTACTTGTAGAGTACATCTAAGACGTAAATTGCACTTATACAATATGTATATTTAATAATTTAATCAGCGAACGTTAGTGTGATTTGGGAACTTTTGTGTGATTCCACAGCAGAAAATTCTGTTTTATTTTATAGATAATAATTATTCTGTACACAGACATTTTTGTAACAGTTACGAAATATAATTACATTTTCTTGAGGTCAAGTATCATGTATACTATACAGTTATGCCTTGTCCGCATAGTGGTTTCGGCTTCGGTTCCCGTGCATGCCGCGGGTGACAAAAATGCCCAGTACAGACGCAACCTTCAAAACTGATCGATTCTGACTGCAATTTTGTTGACATCGATAGCTGTCAGATGTTAGTACATGTAATAACATGATAGAAACTGCCAAACGAATTACTCTCAATTTCAGTTTTCGTAAGAGTCAGTCAACCACAGATGGTATCGACAATTCTGTACATATACTTTTTGTAAAAGTTATGAAATATAATTACATTTTCTTGAGGTAAGTCAAGTATCATGTATACTATACAGTTGTGCCTTGTCCGCATAGTGGTATCTATATTTTCCAAGTTTTTTTAAATAGTTTTTATGATCTATTTTCCGTAAGAAAATCTTCTACAGAAACTTTTTGAGTAAAGCTGTACAAAACAAGACAAGATGGGAAAAATTAAAGTCATCTCCATGCATCATAGGACATTAACAAGAAGGAATGCAGTAACAATGTCAGTGACAACGTCAATAAACGTATAATATAGAACGCTCAAACACCAATTCGATTATTTTAGACGAGGAATAAAATGTGATAATTAATATACATGCAGTCTGTGTATGGTTTACATGCACTTTTCTCGTACCTTTTGAATTCCTGTCAAACCAAATTATACATGTCATTGCCATTAAACGAAAATGATAATACATTTCCAAGACAAGTATGCGAAATTGAATGATGGATGTGAATAGAATGAATTTTACGCAGATTATAATATTGTGCTCACACAAAGAATCACAAACCAAATTGCCAAATCGGCTTTCACGTTCCTGTTTGCGCGTTTTGAAAACAGCAATTATAAGATTCATCGGGAAGATCGGGCATTCAAATTCGTTTCCAGATTATCTGGAGGCGCATTTGAATACCCGATCTTCCTGATGATTCGCGTAATTGCTGTTTACAAAACGCGCAAACAGGAACGTGAAAGCCGATTGGCAACTTGCTACCTAAAGAGCAGATTGGCACTGTCACTTGAGAGCACTGAGTCAGGGGCAATGAAGTACATGTACCCCAAAAAAACCTTGAAGACGAGCGCATAACATTCACGGAACGAAAGCCAATTACGAGATAACTCTCAGCATCCCCCATATATAGATGCACTATCCGGGCGTATATCAAATTATAATGTTCAAACATCGGCGTTGTACATGCACCTAATTGAAATTCAAGCAATTACGAAATCAGTTGGCAAATTTAACTTGCGTTTAACTTCATTTATTAAAAAAAATAGAGTTTGAGTAGGCCTATAGCGAGAAAAATGAGCTCGTTTTGCACGTTTATTTAGGTACCCTTGAAGCACTCAGCGCGAGAGCATGCATTTTAGCATCCGCACTAATGGACTATTAGCATGGCCTTCGTATTAGGTGACTTCAACTCGTGCGGTCTCTTTTTGTGAATACTGCCTCTGACATAGGTTGACTTCGTCAATAATGGTTTTTAACAAAATTAGAAATACAATTTACATGTTGATAATAAAACTCGAAACTCAATAATAATGTCAAACCGTGTGGAAACCTGTCGGTGGTTTTGTTAAGACTCTATTTATCGATAATTTTTCCCCGCTTCTTCTGAAATATAGGCTGGAACATGTGAGCATATGACAGAAGACAGTTTCCTCGACTATTACATTGCATTTTTCCGCCTTTAAAAAGAAACAAAGTTTGATCCCTTTCGGTTGTTCAGGTCGACCTTACGCCGACACAGATCAATCGGCGACTGACATGACATTTCAGGTTCAAACTGCGTCTGATATGACCGTCAGGAATAACTCAGCCGCCCATTTTGTTTGCAACTTATGAATATCATAAGTGTCATAACTCCGACGATATTGAGACGATCGGCATCAGTTGGCGCTCAAAAAAAAAATCAACAGTCGTAAGAATATACAAATTTCAAGTTCTGTGCCGCGACGGAACGTGTTCTCGAGGGCGGGAATCAATCGCAGTCGACCTGTGTGAAGTTACGACGACGTGCGCGCATCCAGATCATCTTATTACCACCGCCAAGGAGGCTATGTTTTCATCGGCGTTGGTTTGTTTGTTTGTAGGTTTGTCTGTTAACAAGATAACTCACAAAGTTATGGACGGATTTTCATGAAATATTTTTTTAGGGGTGGTCCTTGGTTCAAGTACAAATCGATTAGATTTTGGAAATTATGCGGATCTGCAGATATCTGGGTCTGGATGAAGGTTTTTTTTAAGGATTCCTCACCATTTCTGCAAGTATTTCTTTTGGGTGTTCTGGCAACATGGTGCGGAATTGTTTAGCCTTGGCGGAGGTTTGCGCTCTCTGAGTGCTTTCTAGTTTTATTGTGAATCGTCGTGGCGTCGTGACATGAGCATGGTTGCTTTTGTGTTGAGATGCCGATTGTTCCGCGATAATCACACGATTTATTGAGTTGTGTGACCCGTATTAAAAAGCATGATTTTTTGTGCTTGATATACCGACAGTTATGTCGGTATATCATCATCGTCTAAATATGATGAGTTGTTCAACGGAGCCGCAAGCTCCAAAACAACGTCTGATGTAACGACTATATACATACAAACTTTGTGCGACCCCACGCGCCAGCCAATCGGAGTCGACTTTAGTAATAGTGACGTCAGTTCGAGCAGAAATTCGGCCTAAACTGACTGCCTTGTTTTGTAATACAACGGGTTACCGAGGACCAGACAGAAGGCGCCTGCTGAACTTGATGGTTTTGTTTTGCATAACTATTTGCCGAATCTGTACGCATACGCTTGCTGTGCGAGGGGCTTTGAACTACGGTTCCGTCCCGGCGCAAGCGAATCGCAGGTCGACCAGAGGCCGGCTTTAAATCATACAAGGGAAGTTCCCTAACGATTTAGGAATCGCTTCAGGAGATTTGAGCTCATGACGCTTGGATCTTTAGCTCAGTTTCCATGTTATGATGACACATTTTAGATACAAGACCATTAGAATCAGTCCATTTAGTTTGATCATTACGGCCTTTAAATGGTTCTGAAGCTGAAGACGACTGCTATGTCTGTGTGAACTTAACATGGTCAGCGTTGCAGGGCACAATTTTCATTCAAAACAATGCAAATATTAACTGCTCAAGCAGGTCACCATTCAAGTAACCGGCACTGGAAATGCGTGCATCAAGTCCTGTCACAATACCAAAAGCGAATTTCAGGGGTCAGTGCAGGTGTGGAAGGTAATTCTGTCCCCCGGTAAAAGTGTCCGGGGGGACAGAATTACCTAGGTAAAAGTGTCCTCCCTGGCCCGTTAATTCTGTCCCCCACCAGGTAATTCTTTCCCCTCCAGGTAATTCTGTCCCCCAGGTTTTTTTTCCCCCTCTTTTGAAACCCGGAAGGTTATTGTTTTGATGAATTCACTTTACAAGGTATACATTTTGGACTTTTAGTCTGCCCTTCATGAATATAAAAAAATATTTAATTTAGTCTATTAGATGATACGTGAACACAATGTTTCGATTCGGAGTACAGTGAAGTCTATCGCGATTCTACCGCAATAGGTCAACACAGCGGCGATGCATGGCGATGGCCCTCGTCTCATTGATAGTATGATACAACGTCTCCTTGGATTGGTCTGTGTTCCCATCATAGCGCGTAACGAAATTTACTATTGGACGAATTTCCATTGTAGAGGGAGACGCATATACACATGTTATAATCACTGCCTCAAATCTTGCAGCATGTACTGGTGCGTGCGACACGCTGCTGCTCTCATATATATACTGCACGGGGACACATTTACCAGGGGGACACTTTCACCGTTGGGCAGGGGGACATTTTTACCTGGAGGGGGACAAATTTACCTAGGTAAAAGTGTCCCCCCGGACACATTTACCGGGTCACGAGCCGGTACATGTGTCCGGGGGGACACATTTACCAGGGGGGGGGGGGGGACAGAATTACCTGTCACACAGGCCAGGCTAATAGGTAGAACGCATGTTATGATTTTACCGCCTCAAAGGAATGAGAGAGTCGAGTCGAGCCATTTGGTTGTTGACCGACCATTATCCTAAATGTGCCGAATTAGAGTGGCCCGGTGTTAGTAGTGCTGGGATGAGGATGTACCTTCACGTGTCGCGGCCTACTAATGATGCCTGAAGCGTTGGCTGAAGTGCTTGCACGGCTTTGAGTGGTGGCCTCTGACCGGCTTCGCCAATCTGCTACCTCCAAATCCTCAACGAAGCGAGCAGCGTAGAGCTTGGGCAGGTAGACACAGACCAGCGTCAGGTAGGCGTTGAGCAGCAGCGCCATGCAGAGAGTAGCCACCTTCTGCAGCACAGCCACGGCCGTAGTGTAGACAGGCACGGCGGCCAGGCACAGCACCAGCGTGGAATAGACGCTGACTGCGATGAACTTGGACTCGTTGTAGTTGCTGGGTACCTTACGTGTCTTGAAGGCGTAGTAGCAGCAGACCAGGATCAGTAGCAGGTTGTACACGCATGAGGCCAGGAACCCTCGGCCGAACTCACAAAAGATCTCCACGTAGTTCTTATACTTCGACTGCTGGTAAAGCTTCGGCAGCGAAGGCGCCCAGATGACAGAACATATGCTGATGAGGAGCTGAAAAGCAAGCACAAGAAACACTTAGTGGGGTCAGTCTCCCGCCCTACACATGCTGACTTTCCAGACCTCTGCTTTACCTCTGGCATCGGCTTCATTTCAGGCTGAGCAGTTTTAAGCTTTCATTTTACAAATAACTATAGGATTTGGTTTTCTGGCACCGTTCTGAGTCGCAAAAATCTCGTAAGCCGCATCCGGCTGTTCATATTAATTACAACCACTACCAACAGATCGTCCCCACATTTGTGGAAGTATGGTTCCAAGAACTAATTCTGACAATTCCGAAAAATCTAAGGCTTCGCGGCAAAGGCGGGTGAAACCATTACTTGAATAATTCAGTGGTTGGAATCGCCGCAAGATACAGGTTCTCTGACTCTTTCCCTCAATTGACATTATCCAAACGATAAAATTAGCATGGAGACGAAAAATAGTCGATGAAAAGTGAGCCCGCATTTGAGGTGTGCATGTACGTCGGTTCAACTTCATCTTATGTAAATAAAAGGCTGAAGGTAATCAGAGTCATGTAAGGAAGGCTCTTGGTGTCTGTCAGGCATGGCACCTTTTCCTTCACCTCGAAGTCCGATTCATTGCAATACATTTGAGACTTAAATTATAAGGGAGTATGTCTCGCCTGTTTCTGTCGAACAAAGTTGCTATCTGCGGTGTACAACAGTGTTTGAGTTGCACGTGATTGAACAAGCAGAATCATATTCTGATTGTTCCACTTGCACTCAAACATTTTTGACATCATTATTGTCAACCTCCGTGTGCATTCCGTACCTCACACATTCATTCATGTGACTATACATGTACTTTACACAATGGAAAGGGGCAGAATTGGGATTTTTGAAAGTTGGGTGTGGAAGGTGACCATTAGTGCTACCACCCCTAGGGGTATTTTTTACGGATGCTGTAATATACCTTCTTTTTGAACGCGCGAAGGCGATGGTTAAATTGTACATTTTGGTTTTTTTGTTTATAATGTAAACAAATAGGGGGATCTTCTGGAGCCCTCCGTTCTCACCCTGTGGTTAGGAAGGCTTAATGGTTTATCCGTAAGGCGTGGCCTTTCCATTATCTATGGATAGTTTTGTATATTCATTCAACTAGCCATATACTGATGTCAGAACTCGTATATAATAGTGGTGTCCCCTAACGTGGCGCACCTTGACGATTCCCCCGACTTTCCTCATGCAGTTTTGCCAAACCTCTTCGTAGAAAAACTTCAAATTCATTCTGTTTAATACTGGTACTATTACCTGAAAAATGCTTGCGGTTGAACCTTTGTGAACAATTTTAGTGCCATGAAATTCAGTCAGAAATTCAAAAACAGTGGCGTCCGGAAATCGGGCTCAAATTCGGCTGAGTGTTCCCTACCGTGGCGCACTTGAACAAATCTCGGAAAATACCACATTAACGTCTAAGAATTTCTTTAAAGTTGATAAATTCTAATAAATCATTATTATACGTAACTACAAGTTTGTCAGCAAATTATTTTCTTATTTTTGGGCGAATTATAAACGGGTTCATAGTGCACTTCGAAAAAAATTGGAAAATCATGCCAAAATAGAATTTCCCTAGAACTTTGTAGCGGGTATACGTAAACTCAAGATTTATGAACGGAAATGTTTAAAGCTGGATGACATTTTCACTTTCTGTGAAATTGGAGGTAACAATTTTGCTCTAACAAGGCACCAGAGGCGAAAAATCAAAGTGCGCCACGTTGGGGGCCGCGCCACGTTAGGGTACATCAACAATACTTCCCATGCATTTAATCCTTAATTATCGCGCCCGACTCGCTTTCGTAGTTTTTTTCAAGCAATGTTAGCCCGGACGATAACAAACCCCTCTCCTTCAATTCCATCTGAAGAGAGAAAGAAAGACAGCCTCAAAGAAATGGAGGGGGAGTTTTTTTTTATTAGCGTGACAAGTGGATAGGCGCACCGAGCCGGCTGGTATTTTTTTTTAGCGCTATCAACTTTCCGGATCCTGGCTCTAATATGCGGAAATTCGCTTGCCGTATTAAAACGGCCGTCATTTCTTCCGCCACGCACGTTTTGCACGCACACAGTGTATAAAAACATCAATTCTTGCGTCCTAATGGAAATTGCTCAGGGACGATCGACTGCATATTGCACATGTTTTTTTCCCCGAGTTTTGATGAGCGTTCAACTATGCTGGCTGGATATCGCGCGCACGTAATTCAGATTTTTTTGGGGTTCGCTTTGTTTGGAAAGGAGATTAAAGGGGAAAAAAGCTTTGCACTGAGTTTTTCTGCGTGAAAAGAATCTCATTCCACTCTTTCATCGGCAGAAATGACCCTGCATCCTCGCTGCTGGAGCTTGACCACTGACGAACGACTAGTACCAACGATGTCTGTATGAGGATAAGGTTAACCGACGATACATGCTGTTGTGGGGTTTTTCTATAAAATTCAGCTTTGTGTATACGCGACTTCTGATTCAATTTTAAAAATAAGCAACAAGATTTTAAAAACAATTCTCGACTTAATAGGAAGCCAGTGAAGATCAATAAAAACAGGTGTGATATGACAGAACTTGTACATGTTGGACACAAGCCTGGCACATGCATTTTGAACCCGCTGACGACAGTCTAAATGCACAGATGGTATCCCATATAGCAAGCTGTTACAGTAATCCAGTTCGGAAGTAATAAATGCATGGACAAGTGCGTGTTAAAAACTTCCTAATGGATCTAATGTTATGGAGATAATAAAATGCTTAACTGCACGTTCTAACAACATGATCTTTCATAGAAAGATTAACATCAAACCACGCTCCCAAGTTCCGGGCAAGAGTCACAGGGCTAACAACTGATCCCCCGACCTATATCCCGTCTATCGTAACCTTTGCTAATTGCTGACGAGTACCAATAACCAAGAATTCAGATTTGCTATCATTTAAGAATATCCCACTTACGGACATCCAAGTACGTAAATCCTTAACACATGACACATTAATTCCTACAATAAGTTCATACTGTAGAGATCGTTGTATGGCGAAGACAATCTTGAAAACGCAGCTCAAGGGTCCTCCACCTGTAAAAGAGCGTGTATGGGGTTTAACTACCACATCTCTATCGACTAGTAGACCTCTGTCGATTTCATTTTTAAGCTTTGATGCGTTATATCCGATTAATAAAAAGATCGTAAAGGGTTCACTGCCGGGAATACCGCCCGGGCTTGACGACACGGTAGAGTTCACCTTAAAAACACTGACACAGCCCGTATAAAGTTTATGCAGTTAACAACGCCACCAAGTATCCATTGGTGTCCAGCTCCCATACATTGGTGTCCATGCAGCCCTCTACTTCACCCCCCCCCCCCACACACACACACACACAATTTTAAGGAAACTTTCCCGGTGGAGGGAAACTTCCCGATAAACACAGCACAGAAACAGTCACGTACCTTGGCATGTGGATCTAAAATGTATTGAAAAAAAAATGCATTCAATATGCAAGTCCAAAGTATTCGGGAATTTTGCACGCATTATTTGGTCAGCTCGAACTAAAAAATCGTGAAATCTTGATTATCGCAGGCGCAGTGGCCAAACACCGAACTTGGGCTTATACAATCAACTTGGGATTGACACCGTGTTGATTTTAAGTTAAAAAAAGAAAGAATTTGATTATCTACATCAAGATCAATAGAGTCTACGTCCGCCATGTATTTTTTAGCTGTTCCTGGAGTGTGATGTTGTGAAGCAAGTACACTTACATGGGATTATATCTCTGATTACTTCGAGGGTACAATTTCACTCTCGGTGTCAGTTCAAGAATTACTCTAGCGATTCCCAAAGATACTCCACCCGAGTCTTCCTTGTGAAGCTGATGCCACTCCAACAAACAAGTCAGTGGCTGCTACTAAATTGCCACCGTGCCGCAAGACGATCCTCAAACCGTGCAGTCAAAGCCTTACTATTTCATACTTGTCGTGCAGGACTTTTTTCCCCAATGTCCGTGCACGGCCAATGACCAAAATTGCTTTCTATTCATCATTGATACAGCACCACAAGGGCGAACGAAAGTGGCAAGAACGATGACTGAGCTATTTGCAAGCATCCCCCCCCCATTTTTTGGGGCTCCTTTTAGGCCAACAAAAAAAGTCTCCGGTTTCTGGTATGGAGCTTGCCCAAAAAGTGGTGCGGCGACGCGTTTTTTTTTTTTTTTTTTACCAGTTTTTTTTTTGCTTCAAATGTAGGCTGATGACTGCAAATGGTGCCCGACTAAACTTAGTGCCAATATTATGGGAGACCAGAGTGGCCACATAAACTATTCTCGATCATAACCCCATCTAAAAACACGTTGAAATTGTGCAGCAGCAGGATTCCAGTCAAACAAGTGAGTTTGGCGGTTTTGAGACATCATCTTTTATTGAAAAAAAACTTTTCATTTTGCCGACGCGCATGGTTACGGCGACGCGCGCGCATACCAGAAACCGGAGACTTTTTTTTTTTTGCCTTAGTGTGCCCACCTTGGATTTCTTATTCCATTATTGTTATTAGACCAAAAAGAAAAAAAGAAAAAAAAAGACAAACATCGCATTTTTTTGGCTCCTTTTAGTGACCCCATCTTGGATTTCTTATTCCATTATTGTTCAAACTGAAACAGAAAAAAAAGACAAAGATCGTATAAAGATGCACAGGTAAAAGCTTTTCCCCAGTCCATTATCTAGTACTTTCAAAATTCGCTCTAGGGAAACAGTTCTCAAGAGATAAGACAGTTGTAACTACATGTACTATACATGTACTGATAGAGAAATAACGAAGTGTTTCCTTCGCTATAAGATTAAGAAACCGTTCTTGTTTGAGAGCTGATCGAAACTAACAGCTGACAAAATCGACGGAAGTGGCCTTCGTGGTGATCTTGTGGATCTCGGCTCACCTCAGGAGCTAGTCTGTCAACTTCGAATACCTCGGAAAGCTAGCTATGTTTTAATAGCGTCCCTCTCCTGATCAATAATTTGCATTTAATCAATA